CCCCCCCCCCCCAAAAAAAAAAAGTGTTCAAGTCTCTCTGCTCTGTTTGGAGGGCCTTGACAAAGCGTGGTCTTTGTATGTCATGGTGAAGCATATTTATGGTCCATGTCCCAGCTGCTGCATTATGCTGTGCAATGCCTCAGGTCAGTTTGGGTCGCCGTGCCGGAATACGCGTGGACTGTGAGTTTGAGTGAAATCCATGAACAACCTATGAATACCAGCCCTGCCCGTTTGTCAGTATGCTTCCGATTGGCCTAGGTATGGGCATGGACTTCACCTCTGGCATGCAGTACTGCAGCTACCCGCACCTCGCCGTTGGTGGTTATTCGAATCCCATTTGTGTCACAACTTGCAACAGTCAAACAAAGACCCGTGTCGTCTAGAGGTTTAGGATTTTGGATTTTCAATGTCACAGAAGATTCCAAGGGCCAGGGTTCGAACCCCTGCACGGGTGTCCTTTTCCCTTCTCCCTTTTCCCTTCTTTTTGGCTGGTTTACTTTTGTTCCTGCCCAGCTCAGAGCATCGCATCACTTCAAGTCTGGCTCGTTCAGTCATACACCAGAGCAACCGGTCGACTTTTCCATGGCCGCCGCTCCAGAAATAGGGATCTTGTGTTTAGGAAAACTTTCGAACCGGAACTAAAGTTGGTGCATTACTATAATAGAACAGCTTTCAGATTATTGGGCAGACACCAGTTAGATTCAGCGCAGCATACCTGGACTCAGAGTCTATGGCCGCACTCCATTCGACAATGTAAGACTGCATTCACATCCCAGGTCATGCTGGTGATCACTGCAACGTTCAGCACGCGACACAGCTACTGGAGGTATTTTGCACAAGTCCAAGCATACCCGTCTCCAGACTGCACTGTAGACTCGTACACTGCTCAGGTACAAGTACGTACCTCTGTCGTACCTCCAACATCTGGACCCCCACGGTTGCTGATTAATTGCCCCAACTCTAGTCGGAGCTCCAGGCGACATATGCAGGGGATTTACTATGGTAGGGGGCAAGCCACGCCCTGTGAAGGACGAGTACACACGCGGCACACATGCCGCGGGGCACTTCCGCAGGGCCCTGCCCCGCTACTCCGCAAATCGGCGGTCAGCTTCCCGGCCCAAAATTTTCGGGTTTCTGGGTGACGCAGACGGCATTTGATGATCTCGCCGTAACGACTGGGGCTGTTTTTGACATCAAATACCCTTCGGCCTGCCCGGGTACCGCTATCTCCAAGTCGCTTGCCCATATCTAGCTTGACGAACCCTGCTGTGTGAGCTCCAATTCCTGCGCCGATAGCCATAGAGAAGAACAAGAAACGCCATGGCACCTTTCCCACCCCCGCCGGTTAACACCATCGACTGGTCCAATGTCGGGTTCAAGGTGCGAGAAGGTGGGTTGTCATTCCTTCTCTCCTCTCTGCTGGTCAATTCCGGACCGCGCCCAGCTCACGTACTCATGCGTCACACGCAGTCAACGGTCATGTCGAGTCGCATTACTCGGTCAAGACGGGCAAATGGACCCCGCCCCAGTTTGTGACGGACCCTTTCATCCGTATCCATGGCATGTCTCCGGCCTTGAACTACGGCCAGCAGGCCTATGAGGGCCTCAAGGCCTTCCGCACCCCGTCGGGCGACATCCAGATCTTCCGCCCCGACCGCAATGCCGCCCGCATGCAGCACTCGGCCGAGTTCATCAGCATCCCGCCTGTCCCGACCGAGCTCTTCCTCGAGGCCGTCAAGGCCGCCGTGGCTCTGAACGCCGAGTATGTCCCGCCGCACGAGACCGGCGCCGCCATGTACATCCGACCCCAGATCTATGGCTCTAGCGCGCAGCTGGGCCTGAATCCCCCGGAGGAGTACATGTTCTGCGTTTACGTGCTGCCGACCGGCGTGTACCACGGCACACATCCGGTAAACTGCCTGATCTTGGACGACTTTGACCGTGCTGCCCCGAATGGCACCGGTAGTGCAAAGGTTGGAGGCAACTACGCGCCAGTGCTGCGGTGGAGCGACAAGGCCAGGACTCAGGGCTACGGTATTACCCTCCACCTGGACAGTGCTACGCATTCCGAGGTGGACGAGTTCAGCACTAGTGGATTCATTGGAGCTCTGACCGACGGCGAGAATGTTACACTGGTTGTACCGGACTCCAAGAACGTCATTGATAGTGTAACCGCCAAGAGCATCACCGAGATTGGAGAAAGCTTCGGATGGAAGGTAGAGAAGCGATCAGTAGGTTGACCTTGCAGGTTCCCTTGTCCTCGCGGAAGCTAACCTGGGAAATCAGATCAAATACACCGAGCTTCCTCAGTTCTCTGAAGTCATGGCTGCTGGTACTGCTGCCGCGCTTGTACCTATCCGGTCCATTAGCCGGCCCTTCGACCCGGCGTCACCTGCCTCCATCAGCTCCGCCGTCAAGCAGCACCCACGCTTGGCTGCCGAGAAGAACCAGGAGAAGGTCACCTATATCAAGGAAGACCAAGAGGATGCCGGTCCCATCTGCCTGAAACTGCTCGCTCAGCTCAAGGGCATCCAGCTCGGCAAGGTCAAGGATGAGTTTGGTTGGTGCGCACCTGTAAGCGAGACGGATGGTTCCAAGGTCTCGGGTGCACCAAACGGAGCAAATGGAGCAGCGCAGACAGTCGACCAGATGGACTAGGTATTCTATGGTTGAGAGACATGTGGCTGCCTGACAGCTCCAATGTAAGCATGCTTGAGCTGAGTTAGATACTACAATATCAGAGATGTCAAAACTTGGGTAAAAAAAATATTCTTATCAAAAAGGCTTGGATTTATATATCATTAAGCTATGAACCAGCTACGCTATTCTGAGGAAGGCGACCAAACCCATAGGTATGATTGTTCAGGGACCAATAGACGCATGGCAAGTTACCCCCGGGCTAGTCGAGAGCTTTTAGCCCAGCATCCAAAGACGCCTTTGGATAATTGAGCTAGGGATACTTTGTTGGCAACTTGTTGTTGAATCGGAAGACATTGTTGGGATCCCATGTTTTCTTCAGTGCAGCCAAACGAGGCAGTTTGTTAGCCCCATATCGACTCTCCAAAGACTCGTCGCCATGCGCCGAGTTGACGTACGCTGCCAGGCCGGGGTATCCAGATGTGGCGGCAAACGTCGAACGCCATTGACGCCCCAAAGCGTCCGTTGTTTTCTCCAGCGATTGGTTTGTGCCCGTCCACGTGAAGATTAGATCTCTGTTGGTTTTTTAAAATCAGTCGCTATGTTTACGATAGTTTTCCGGGAAAATTTCCTGGCTCACTGAACACGTACATGTAGGCTTTGGTCTCTCTCCAAGGATACGCAGTCCTGTCGTCAGGCACAGCGAGAGCAGCTTGATTTGGAAATATTGAGATTTGAATTGTGCTGCCTCGTGCCTCAGGATGAGCCTCGTAGAATGCACCAAGCTCCGCATAGGCCGTTTCATATGTAGCAGCAGAGAAGTTCTTCGCATCAATGGTGTAGATGCTGTTAATAGCCCCATCAATGCAACGTTGAGCATCCGAACCACCGCTCACCGATTGAATGACATTATTCCACTGGTAGTTTTGTATGCCCAGGACGATTGGATTGAGATCTAAGAGTGGTTTGAAAAACTCATTCGCCTTGTCTTCCGGCCCTAGGTATGACCAAGTAACCGCGATCACAAACTATCCAAATCAGTCAGCATCAGGGCTTCTGTGTAGTCGTAAGACGCAAGCTTGAACTTACCCCAGCTGCATCGTCGTAGACGCCGGCCTGGATGATGGCCATTTCTGGTTTCAAATTGCCTCCATCGTAAGTCTCTACAAGTTTGAAATAGTTAGAAAACAAGTCAGGTGTTAAGATTGCCTCAGCAACCCATATCTGACCGTCGTTTACTAGTGGCTGCAGTTGGTAAGTAGCTGAGGTAACAACACCGAAATTGGCCCCGGCACCGCGCATGGCCCAGAACAGGTCTGGATTCGAGTTGTCTGAAACGTCAATCACGGTTCCATTGGCCGTCACCACACGTAGAGAGAGCAACGCGTCAATGTCTAAGCCATGAACCCCAGCCCAAGGACCGACGCCTCCACCGAGTGTAACGCCAACCATGCCTGGGCAAGAGCAGGTGCCAGTCTCTGCGAGCCCGTCAGCGAGACTACTTCTGAGTAATTTTGGGAAAGGGTTTGGATCCACCTACGGATCTCATAGCCGGCCTCGAAGACTGGGTTGTAGATATCACTAAACCGTACCGCCCCACCAATGGTCATAACTCCGGTGGATTTATCTATATTGACTGTGTTCAATTGACCAAGATCAATCGCTAGGCCATTGTGAAGTTCGCCCAGCGTCGTAGTATAGCCATGTCGACCGCCTGTAGCTAAAAACGGTATGCGATGAGAAGTGGCGAGCGTCACCTAATGATTGAGCTTAGCAGATGAGTCTTTTGTAAGTGCTGAAAAGCTAGGAACTCACGGCTTTGGCGACATCGGCCTCTGTGGCGGGGCTGACGGATGCAGCGTACGTCGGTTGATGAAAGACGGACCATCGCTCCGTGGCGTTCGTGAAGCTATCTGAGCCAGGAAATGAAACAATGGTACCAGCAGAAGACCACTGGGCGCCAGAAAAGACGGTCTGGATATCAGATCGACTGAGCGCGGCAGCATACACACCTGGAAGGGCAAGGCCAGCCAAGAGGGCAGGCAGCGAGAACCACATGGCGAATTGAACTACCTAAGCCGTCTGACAGCGGCGACCTTTTGATTGTGCGACGGGACCGGAACGACCCAGGAGATGAAGGATCGCACGTGGGAGCCACGTGGTGCTTGCAGGAACGAATGGCAGGCTACCCGGCTTCGACGACGATGATGTAGGACCAGTATTTATCATTGCATCGAAGACCTATTGAACCTCGCGGCCGCGATCCTTCCGACGGATTTCTTCTGGAAGCGTGAGAAATGACTGCGCGGTAGGGTCGCGTAACTGCACATGATCCTTCGACGAGGCCCGATTAGCTGTGCATTGTGAAATTTCAATAAATGACTCCATTGAAGGATCATCAATCCATGTAGCTGAGGTGTGATACGGAGTGAGACTCGGATAAAGTACAATACACATGCCATGCAGAAACCCATGTCCAAAGCCTCATTGGGCATGCCACCTACATGGTAGTGAGAGCTATGCAAGTGGTGTTATAAACCTACGTAGTTCCTGCTGGTCAATGTATTCACGGAGCTAACCTGCCATTTAGGTCACCAACCAGCGCCACATTTCGCCGATGGTGTACACAAAAATCGGGTGATCCTGCAGTAGACGTAGTGGGAGAGCCCTGGGATTTGGGCTGAGCATTGGTGCATCCGTGGCTGCTTACAGGGTTACATTGCATGCTACAGTGCCACGCAGAGGCTTTGTCACGATACAGATTTGCTTCGACCGTGCCGCCATTCACATGTTCCACCTTACTAATTCATAAACATGATACACCTTGAACTTAGCGGAATCAATTCCCTCATCGAGTTGTGTTGTGATTTTCGACCTAAATGCGGTGTCCTTATACGTATAGTTGCTGACTCCCAAATACGTTGGCAACAACTGGTAACTCCAAAAAGAGCACCAGCGATCTGGAACTCCAATCTTGTTTAAAGCATGAAAAAGGTAATAGTAGGTCGGATGAAAACCAAAGGAAAAGAGAACCCCATTCCCGCGTGAAATACTTAGACAGTGCCAGATTTATTGCCAATGACCACGCCATTCACCACGAACTCGGCCAGACTGCTCAAGTCCTTCTGAGGACTTAGAAGGTCGAGGAAAGGCACGTCAACTCTGAAGCTGTTCCAGAACCAGGTCCGAAACTCAGCCGCAATCATGCTATCTACGCCGAATTGCGAAAGAGGCTTACGGTCATCTATCTGATCTATTGGCATAAGAATCAGGTTTGAGAACCGTTTCTTCGTCAAGCTCAGAACAGCCTCCCCTATCGACAAAGCATCGGGTTCTTGAGCAAACGTGTGAAAGACATTGGCCGGTATGGTCTTGAACCAGGGGGCTGCCGCCTCGAGGTTCGACCGGTCTACCAGCTGGGACTGGCCTGCTGTCCGCTTGAACGCTTCTTTCTCCGCCGCAACTGCGGCGGACAAGACCGACATGCGTGCATCCTGTACAACCTCAAAGTCGACGTCGAACCCACGAGCCATCAGTTTGCGGAACCCAAAGGTTTCGAGGCCCGTCAGTACATGGGACTCATCCACGCCGCTAGGTGAGTCTAGAGCAAGAGACATGTCTATGACCTGCAGAAATTCATCTTCGTTCAAGGGTTGAATTCCCCTTCTCAGAAGTAGGGCTTCGATTTCGGGATTCTCGTGCAGATAGCCCACCTCTGAAATCATACCGAGTCCGACCGAAACGGCGGGAAGCCCCTGAGATCGGCGCCAACGGGCAAAAGCATCGAGAAAGCCATTTGCTGCACAGTAATTGCTCTCAGTGGCAGTTCCAACACTGCCTGACATAGAAGAAGTCAGAAGAAAGAAGTCCAGCGCCTCCCCTTCAAGAGCGTTATGCAAGTTCCATGTACCAGCCCACTTTGGTTGAATAGAGGTCTGCCATGCGGTATTGCTCATACGACTGAAAAGGGCTTCGTGAAGTCCCATCGCTGCCTGAATAACACCTCCAATAGGGTGCCCAGTATCCTTGCAGGCTTTGACGCAAGCAGCGACATCGGATGCATGGGAGACGTCGCCGCGTACTACGTGTACGGTTGCACCCGCGGTACGAAGTCGATTGACTAAAGCTTGCGCAGGCGGCTTGTCAGAACCGGATCTGCCCAAGAAACAGAACCTCCTTGCACCACGAGCCATCATCCAACGACTTAAGCTGCGGCCCAGGCCCCCAAGACAGCCCACAAGTAGGTATATCTTATCTGGATTAAATATAGTATAATACTTCGCGGGCGCAACCTTTTATTTCCATTAGTTCGGAACACTCTCAGAGAAGGGTTTTTTTGGAGCTTACAGGAATGATACTCTTAGGATCCTCGAGCGAGACGACAACTTTTCCGATCCGCTCCCGAGCCGAGAAGTATCGAAACGCCCGCGCAACATCCGCCACGTCAAACTTCTCAAGAGGCGTGGGTTTGATTTGACCTGAGCGATACAATGCAAGTGTCTCACTTATCTTGCTATGAAATGCAAACGATTGAATCAGCTGCATGATAGGAGTGAGTGATGCAAGAAGAGATCACGCTTACCTGGCCCATATCTCATGATAGAACGAATCATTCTGGTAGAACAGTTCCGAAAGATCAAATGCTGTGAAGGTCGCGTTTTTGAGAAACGCATGCATATTCAGCTGGCCAGCATCAATCAGCTCACGCTTGCCGACCTCCACGAACCTTCCAAACTGAGCGATGCACTCCCAACTGGCATGCATGAGGTCGCCAACGAGCGAGTTGACCACAACATGGACACCACGGCCCTCAGTTATCTTTCTGATTCCTTCCAAGAAGGAGCTGTCACGGGAAGAAAAGATATGAGTACTTGGTATCCCAAACTCACGTTCCAAGTAGTCCCGTTTCGCTAACGAGCCCACAGTAGTATAGACAACGGCGCCAACGCGTTGAGCAATGTTGATCAAAGCCAGTCCGAGAGCGCCAGCGCCCGAGTGGATCAACACTGACTCTCCCGCTCGCAAGTGCGCTCGATCGTAGAGAGCATACATGGCTGAGGAGTAGACTATTGGAAGACTAGCCATTGTCGCAAAGTCTTCACCAGGCAATATCTTATGTGCTGCCCATGCCGGTACACGCTCTAGAGTGGAGAGATGGTTCGGTGCCATCACAACAACCCTATCGCCTGGTTCTAAACCGGTGACTTCTAGTCCCACGGATTGAACAATACCACTGAACTCACAACCTATAGTTGCTGTCTTTGTTTCTACACGCCCATTCAAAGCATATACATCTTTGGCATTCAGACTGAATGCCTTGACTTCAACGTCGATGAACCCCGCTGGAAGGCGGGTGAGGGGCTCTCTCAACTCCTGATAATGAAGCGAGTCGATGTGCCCGACTTGACTAATGTCTAGTCTTGCCGGGGCGGTCTGGTGTAGAGGCTCGTGTTTAACACGCTCAATGTTTTCAAGACGACGACAGAACAACTCATTGAGTTTCATGTCTGGGACGAAGCGGCTGACATACAACAGCCCATCTTTCTGGGTAAACTCTTTGTCGTTGCCGTCAGTGTATCGAAGCAATGACCTGATGATGTTATTGCAGGTAGTCCGAGTGTCAGAGAGCGAAGTCCCGATGCGCCCGATATCCATCACCGAGAAGTGCAAAGATGGTTGCTCAAGCATAAGAGCACGCGAAAGGCCATATGATAGCGTCAGGTCGGGCTTAGGGCTGTCCAGCATACTGGCGCCAGTCAGCCATAGCAAGTTGACCACGTTGTCGGTCATTCTGCGGAGGAGGTTCATGTCCGTTGCGCTCATGGTAGGGAGTAACTCGTGCTCAACCTCTATCATGGATACACATATACTCTTCTCGCTGAGTGTACGACTATCCAGCTGATCGAAATCGACGATGTCTATTTTGCACCCACATAAACTCTTCTGCAGGAAGTCAATCAAGCATACTGCCATCTCTAGGACTGCGGGTGAGGGATGGTGGACCACAAGAAAAACGTCACCGCCTCCAGAGTTGGTATTCTTGGCTGGCGCTGTTGCGAGAAATACATTCCCGACGACTTCTACAACTTCGAATTTGGCAGCCTGCAGATGGAAGAGCGCCTCATCCGTTTTGATGCCAACGATGATTCCAGTGTCACTGACAATCGAGCTCAACTTCTTTGGGCACCGGATCCAACATTGCTGGGACAGAATACCGTCAGGAAGCACCGCAAGATCGAAGGTTCCATTGGCGTCGCCTTGTATTTGTCCTTCCGCATCGGGCCCAATGACTCGATAAGAACGACATCGCGGGAACTCAGTGTCCTTTCCCAGCACTCGATCGAAAATGTACACATCTTCTTCGCAGCTCGTAGAACGTTTGCTGATCTCGACGACTTGGGAACTTGGGTTCTTATGTCCTACTAGATCGACCAGGGCTGCGATTGCCGCCAGAGAGCTGATGTGTTCCGACTCTGGGAGATATCGGCGGCAATGTTCAATGATGTATCTATTGAATTGATCTTGGACGTTACTGTGCACTGTGGTAATGTCTGGTTTCCAACTAGTGCGAAGACACGGGTGGCGCAACAGCTTTGACTCTGTGCTATCCAAGTCGTCTACCGTTTTGGACGTATAGAGCGACAAGCGCACATCCTTCAGGTCAACCACGGGCGCACCAAGAGAATCGCGAAGTGTGGCGTCTATTCTTTGAGACGACAGACCAGTCTTGGCGGATCTCGTGTGGATCAACGCTTCGCAGTCGGGCACATTGCGCCCAAGAGATCTGATTCGAGCTTCCGAGATGAAAACAGGGAGATGTGCCTTAAGAGCACCCAAGTTACCTCCTGTTCCACCCATTATTGATGCCTGTAGACAAGCATCGATAGTGATTGGATGTACAGGATATACCATGGCGTTTTTGTCGTTGGCGCACGATGGGATCAACCTTGTGGTACAGATACTCTCTGGCCTGACCCTATTGCCATCAGTGCGTAGACTTGTAAGGGACTTGAAGTCCCCTTCAAACCAAAGGCCTTCTTCTTTGCCCTTTTCATACCATGAATCAGGAGCCCACAGCTCAAACTGTTCGGCGTCAGGGACTATCACAGTGCCGTGGAGGTCTTGGATATCTTCAACTCGCAACCCGCCAGTACAGTGGACGGTGGATTGACCTGCTATCCAAGAAACAATGATGAAGTCATACCAAGTTGAAGATGTCGCAGATGTTGATATACGTCTTGGAAACATTGTGGTATGAAGCTCGGTGGTTTTCTTGCCGGTTTCGTCGTCTGCTTGTATGACCAAGGCTGCAGCGATGTTCACTTTTGCGAATTTAAAGACAGTGGACGATTCGGTGCACTGGTCTGCTATCGCATCCTTGATACCTAGTATTTGGGATAGCGCCTCTATTGCAACGGAAAGATAACCGGTAGCGGGAAAGACGACTTGGTTGTCAACTTTATGACCCTTGATCCACGGCATTTCGCTGAGGCGTAGAATATTCCGCCAACTCCATTGTATACCGTCGCCGGCAAGCTGTTTTGAACCTAGCAACTCATGTCGTATGTATTTTCGTTGCCGAAGATCGTGACTCGGACGTGGTTCATGGAAAAGCACTTCAGGATAATCCCAGGGATATGGCGGGAGGTCGTGGAGATGAGTTAAACCCGACCTGGGCAGACCATTGACACTGAACCAGTTGAGCTTGTGGCTGCCGATGAAAAGGTTGCCAGCAAGATTCTTGAGGCTAATGCCTGCATCGATATTTCTGACTAGAGTGCAGTTATAGGGAAGTTGTTGGTTGCTGAGTCTGAGTCCGGCCCGGACTTGTTGGATAGGCCCTTTCAAAGCCGAATGAGGTCCGATTTCTATTATGTGGAAATTTTTCTCAGCTAGCAAGTTAGTCAACGCGCCATTGAACTGCACGGGCTTTTCGAGGTTCTCCCGCCAGTACGTGGTCGTGTTGAACGACTCTCCAAAAGTTCGAAGAGATTCATCCGTGTGCCCGACTGAAGAGAACATCGTCGCCGCCAACGGACCTGTTTGAATATCCTCAAGAGGCTGTTTGAGTAGCTGTTCGTACAGGTCGCCAATCTCTTGCATCATATATGAATGGTAAGCACGGCCTCCAGTTTCCAATTTGCGGGCGAACATGCCCTGACCTTTCAGCGCCGCCTCCAGAATGCTCAAGCATTCTGGTTCGCCGCTCAGAGTGACGCTCATGGGCGAGTTGACGCAAGCCACACAGACCTGTCCATCGAGTCCTTTTTCGCTGATCATATTGGAGGCAGCGTCAGCGCTAATACCCGCGGCCATCATTGCACCCACGCTTTGGAGTTTATCCGCAGCATATCCCCGAAAATAAGCCACCTTGATCGCTTGCGACTCTGTGAGGAGGCCAGCAGCATAAGCCGCCGCGATCTCGCCCGAAGAATGGCCAACCACGGCATGGGCGCTGATTCCCCAGGCACGCAGTATCTTCACAAGACCAATCTGTATTGCTGTACATAGAGGCTGGCTCCGTGTTACGTGGTGCACTTGGCTGTGGTCTGGCGGGTCGAGCATAGTTTGTTCAAGACTCCACTCAGGGCCATACGGAGCTGCGATTGCTTTCAGAACCTGGTCTAGCTGACGAATGGTAGCCAGAAACGTCTCATCAGTACTCAGTAGTTCCTTGCCCATCCCAGCATACTGCGCACCCTGACCTGTGAATACAAATGCTAACGGTAAAGCTGCTGTTGGAGTAGATTCGGCTGTTTCCAGTTTGGTATCTTCGATGTACTTGAATGATCCATCCTCGCAAGCCTGCACTAAAAGATGGCGCTTGGTCACCAGCGAGCTTCGGCGCTGACTGAGTGTGAATGCCAGTCGCTTCATTGTATGTTTATTCGAGTGACAGGCCAGCTGGCGGACTTGCTCGATGCGCATCTCCAGGGATTTCCTAGAAGCAGCAGATACAGGAAGTACGAGCACTCGCGGTATGGATTCCGTGGGCATGTCTCTACTTGGTGTAAGGGTCCTGAGGTAGCTTTTTGCACACTCCAGGATAACATGGGCATTAGCTCCTCCGTAGCCAAAGGAGTTGATGCTAGCCCGGCGGATCTCCCCCGGCCATTTTTGAGGATCCGTCACAACCATGAAATTTCTTTCGTCGAGTTTCACTTTGGATAGTTTGTCAAAATCAAACGTCATGGTAATGATCAAACAGAACTAACTCACGTTTTGGGTTCAGCGTTTTCACGCCATATGTCGGTGGAATGTGGTCATTTTCGAATGCAAGGGACACTTTGATAAGTGATGTCAGGCCACTAGCGGCTTCACTGTGTCCGAGGTTCGTTTTCACCTAGTGGCCATGTATTCTTAGCTAACGAATGGGACATAACATAGGCGAGTGCTAGAACGTAACAAGACAGCGGCCGTACTTACCGAACCGATCAGCAGCGGAGTTCTATATCGCGGAGTGAAACAAGATGCAAGAGCATCTACTTCAATCGGATCACCAACAGCCGTTCCAGTTCCGTGGCATTCAACGTAGTCCGTGTCACCGAATCTCAGCCCAGCATCTGAGTACGCCTTTCGTATAACAGCTTCCTGAAGAACAGCGTTTGGCTGAGCAATACCTGCTGTCTTTCCGTTCCTGTACTTAACTGTGAGTAGTTTGTTGTTCCAAGAGATAGTTTTCAGACTGACGCATTGATGGCTGTGCCTCGAATTACGGACCAGACCTTGTCGCCGTCCTTCAGTGCACTCGATAGTTTCTTCAGATATATTGCATTAACTCCTTCCGCACGTCCATAGCCGTCGGCTGATACATCGAATGTATGACAAGTGGACGTAGGTGACAGCACTCCGCCTTTCATCGTGCCTAAATGCTGCTCTGGTGACGTGATGAGGTTCGCTGCGGCGACAATGGCGTTGTCACAGTCCCCGGACTGAATCGCACGAACTGCATTGTGAAGACAGTAAATTGATGAAGAACAGGCCGTATCCAGTGTGAAGCTAAAGTCTTGCGATAAGTATTGTGACTCTATAAGCGACATGGGGGCTGTACCTTGGGCCATGCAGGTTGAAAATGTGGCTGATTCTGTTTGCCAAGATAGCCGTGCCCGTGCCCGTTGCTGTATATCTTGACCCGTAGTCTGGATCTCGTGTCTGCATAGTTTGGAAATCCATCGTGAAATTCCCGACATAAACGCCAGTATTGGAGCCTGAAATATTCTCCAAAGACACTCCGGCGTTTTCGAAACACTCGTAGACAACCTCGAGCAGTTGGCGCTGTTGCGGATCCATATATGTTGCTTCCAAGTTGTTGACTCCGAAGAAGCTATTCTCAAACTTGCGAACGTCTCGCTGTAGGAAATAGCCACCATCAGCGCCCATTACACCAGCGCGCGCAGTATCTGGGTGGTAGAAACCCTTCATGTTGAAGCGCATGGCAGGCAATGGCCCTTGGGCGGATCTCTTCTTCATGATGAAGTCCCATAGCTCAGACGGAGACTGTATGTCCCCCGGGAGCCGACAGGCTATTGAATGAAAATGTCAGATGTCAAAATCTCATCGGCATGGAACCATCGAGACTCATGTCCATACCTAGACCGACGATGCATACTGGATCGTCACACATGCTGTAAGCCGTATCTGGTTTCAGGCTTGCGAACGGGAGACCACAAGCCTCCGGTTGGGGAGCAGCTTCCTCCAGCATTGTGTCTTATCTACCAACCAATATTGATACTATTTACCTCAGAAGTTTGCGAGAAGTTCGCGCATGGAAATTTTACTTATACTCCATCTACCGTAAAAATGCCGTGCCTCGGAACACACATCAACCTTTGATCTTGGAATACATAGGTACTATGGAACGAGATCGGTGGCAGGCATATCTTTTGTCTTAGACGGACCTAGCGTAGTCATTTGATTTTATATTTTACCCTTTCCGATACGCCACCCAGTCGGATATTGCCCAATGATGGGGTGCGTGCCTGATCCAAATGCATACACTGGCTAGTGCCTACATCTACGGAGTACATAAGCCGGTAGCTAGTGCGAGCTACGTATTTATCACCTATGGTGTCATGCATGCAGTATCGCTACCATGTCAGCAGTCATCTATCTAGTCCCCACACGCATCCTTCTAAAACCTTGGCAGTAGAACGACACGGCGCCAGCGGATATCAATCCCATCTAGTCACTTGACATGGGTTTGTGGAAATCATGCAGGGGTGATGAGATGTTGACACCACTTCCTAGTCCGATTGTCTTGTGCTCCCATTGCTGATATCGCATTTTCCACAACTGTACCACTCACAAACACCAAGTCGATCCCGGGCGTCAGTGACAGCGACAATGCTGGAATCGCTTCCTAAGTTTGCCCTTGTTACTGGGTATGTTCGCACTCCAAAAGCAGAAGGTTGCATCACTAAACCTCTCGCTAATCGTAGGTGCGGCCAAGGCGGGATTGGCGAAGCCTTGGTTCGAGAGTACAAACGCCACGGCGTTCTGCCTATTGCCACTATTCTGCCTTCGGAATCGAGCATGCACCTGAAAGAGGCTGGAATCACCTTCTTGCCGCTGGATGTGACCAATGATGATTCAATTGCAAAGTTGAAGCAGAATGTCATTAAGATCACCGGTGGCTCGCTCGACATCTTGGTTAACAATGCGTGAGTTCAACCTATTCATACAGATCATGATCAAGATTTTATATAGGTATATATTGACGCGTTGTTAGTGGACTTTGTAAAATATTCGAGCCTTTCATTTGAAGACATAGCTGAGACAGATCCTAGGCTACACTATGACAGCGATTGATACGGACGTCACTGCTGTGCAGAAAATATTTGACGTGAACGTATTTGGGCCAATGAGGATGGTTCATCACTTCCACGATTTGCTAGTCAGATCTGAAGGGGCAATCGTCAACATTGGCTCCATTGGTGGCATTGTGCCGTATGTATACGGATGTAAGCCGTTGATGCGTTGACAGAGGGCGTCAAGAGAGCAGCTCACCAACTCAGAATGACAGCGTCTTACAACGCCAGCAAGGCAGCATTGCACCATTGGTCAAGCACTCTACGAGTTGAAATGGCTCCATTTAAGTGAGCGCTTCTTACCACACCAAGTCTCAAGATACTATAGATTGACCACATCTGTTTTTAAGTGTCAATATCCTTACAGTAAGTATGCCTATTGCCACAAATAATTTTCATGGCTAACATTCGCCCATTAAGATAATATCAGGAGAAGTTGGTACAAACTTCCTGAAAACAGACTACGGCAGGAATATCCCAGATGGTAAACGCTGTGCGCAACTTCTGGGCTATAGGGATACTAAAGCCCATTGACAGACTCACTTTTCGCTCCACTTGCCGCAGAGTTCACAGAGCACGTGCAGAGAAAACCAAGTAAGCGATCCAGCCAAAAGTATGTGTCAGAGAACAACAAGCCTGTGACCTAACCATGAGACCTGGATTAAAGCAACCACGGATCGATTTGATTATGCAGACAAAGTTGTTTCTCAAAGCCTGAGACAGAGTCCACCAGCTTGGTTTTGGTACGGCCATGCTAGTACATTGATACGGCTATTAGACGCATTGGCACCTCGCCGGGTTTGGGTATGTGTCTACGCATGCTTTGCCTCCGTATAGAAATGGCTAACCATCATGAGGACTTTATTCTATGGGGTATGTTTGACTTCAAGAAGTTAAAAGATGCCCATCAACTGAAACTAAAAAGGCAGTAGATGATGGGCTAATTACTCTTTTGAAGTAACCAGTACCTGTGTAATAATAATACATTCATCACCCAAAACCCGTTTACATTCATTCGTCTCTTCGATTGAAAGTGATGCGATAAATTCTATCATGCCGCTTGATCTGTCCCCTGCCGGTCAACACGTACTTCTTCTTCTGTCTTTCCCTCATAGTATACTCCTAATGGACCAAGATATCCCTCAAGCCTTTTCCCTTTAACAACAACGTCTTGAACCCCGAGCAGGAACCACATCATGCGCCCAGGAAGTGTGCCATTTCCGGTCAGGTTACGCCACTGATGGCCAGTAGCTCGCTGAATACTGACATCTCCCTGGCGCATAATGCGTTTCTCGCCAGAATCAAGGATGAGCTCGAACTCGCCTTCTAAAACTACTCCATAGTCGATGGACAGAGCACGGTGCATGGGTGAGATCTCGTTGGGAGCGAAATCAATCATACGCAACACTGTACCATTCTGGTAGTGAAGAGGCGGCTAAGAATCATTAATATGTGTTGGCTAATGCTAAGAGCTGGATCCGTCATAACTAACCTGGTTCTCCTTTGCGTGAATAACATCCACGTCGTCATTGATGTTGACTGGTGTCTCATGGGTTGAGTACAAAATGTTGGCAAGCGCTTGCTGCTCGCCCATGATCAGATGATGATCGCCGCAGTCCGTGGTCAAAAAGGTGGCTTTGCCATCCGCATCGTGACCAGTGATGTGGCGGACGGTGCGTCGCAGCCCAGGTGCTGGGAATCCCTGTCCGATATAGCCGTGGGCTCTGGGGTTATGAGGGAGACCATACTCATTGATTTCACCTTCCTTCAGGTCTCTCTTCGGCCCACTCTGATTTCCTTCTGCCATAATGATGATAATAATGAGAGCCTGGTCTTGCAATTATTCTTGTTGAGTATGTCTCTCTACGTTTACATAGCTTGCTAGGTGTCATGCAGGTATTACGCGAACAGTGAAAATATCTACGACAGTGGACCTCCCGCTAGTTGAGGAACAAATATTCAACTTGGTTTAGTCATCCTACGATGCAAGGATATGAGATACAATGCGACTTGATCCTTCACGGCATTGATGGGTGTGGCCACCGGCTCTGCAAAGATGCGCCCGCATTGGGACGAAGGAAGCAGGGTCCAATAGCAAGGTTCCATCAGGTACAACATGTGACGTGGTAGTCCCTGGCCTAGAAGTCGGGTACAACTGAATACGATATACAGATTTAAGGTCACTGATTGTACTGACCGAGGTCTCGCCCTAAGGCTGTACCATGGCGTATGCGTAAGCCTCATGAGTCGAGATGCAGGAGGAGCTCCGACTGCAACACAACTATCAAACATGGCTTCAATCAGGGACAAGTAACCAACCATCACATAGTGGTCAGCATCAGGTTGCGAAGTAACAGAAACCTGCATATTTGCTTCACCTATCGTAATCTACCCATTGGGATCCACCTTCGGCCAATAGGGTGGCCACAGCATATGTAGGATGTCACCTATGCATGGCTTGTGAGCGTTGTACCCCCGTCAATGATTAGCCCGCTACCGGTGATGTAGCTTGATCTAGGGCTGCACAGAAAGATGACTGCATCGGCTACCTCGTCAGCGCTCGCAATGCGGCCAAGGGGCACAGCAGAGTTGATCTGATCCTTCAAGCTCGGGATGTCGGCTATTGCCTGTTTGATCATCGGGGTATCTACCCATGACGGGCAAACACAGTTAACACGGATCCCATGAGCGGCATTGTCGAGTGCTGCGGACAGATTAGACACCTGCACAAGACAAATTTGGAAATAAGACCGAAGCACACCTGAGTTCTTGGTTAAGCCAAGGACGGCAAACTTTGACGTCGTGTACTGTACCATGCTGGGTGTTGATGCAAAAGATGAGGCCGATCCCAGATTTACAATCGAACCGCGAGTCAACCCACGCTCCGGTGCGGACGGATAGTTGGGCCGTGGATCCTGGGATTTCATGGTCGCCGATGCGCATTTCGTCACAAGAAACGTTCCCGTAACGTTGGTTTGGAGGAGCTGGTTAAACTCTGCAACATTGGCTTCGGCAATCTCGCGAGGATTCTGTACGCCAAGCTATGGGCAAAAGTGAGGATCAGTGTCAATCAACCGTCCGGTGTTCCCGGGAGTATGTTGTCAGCAACGCAGGCTTACTTACACCGGCCGAGTTGACACAATAGTCGATTCGCCCGAACGTCTGGGCGGCCCGGGCCGTAATCTGGCTCACGGACTCCTCAGAACATACGTCCACTAGCGCACCCTCAGCCTGAAAGTCGGGGTTGGAGGCGATGGCCTGACAGTTCTCGGCAACTACACATGCGGCCGCGTAGTCCAAGTCTGCGACAAGGACTCTTCGCGCTCCGAATCTCGCGAAAGCTAGGGCACAGGCCCGACCAATGCCCCTGGCTAAGTGACGTGAGATATTGTCAGCAAAATAGGCTTGGGTGTAACACAAGAGCGACGCCTCTCTCTGATCCGAATTGTAGGCTGGCATGGACTAGGGCCGAACGTACCACCGCCGAAGACGAGAGCACATCCATCAATCTCCATGGCATAAAGTATACTCACTAGTAGCTACTTGGCTTGACAACCAACAGAGGGTTGCTCGCGCTTGAGCAACGCTACGTACTCGGTTAAATAGATAGAGTGTCCTACAGCATCCACCAGTAGCATTGCCCATACAAGCTGAATCCGACTGACACATGCAGCGCATATAATACGACATGATCCTTCCGCGCAACCCTCTATGCGTACAATCCTTGTTGGTTCTCCGAACGCCGCACGATCCACTATCTGCCACTATCTGCCTGTCAGTCGCTATTAGCACAAGGCAAATACATGCCTGCCGACTGTGATGCTGCTTTCCGATTTGTTAGAAGTGAAGGATTCCACGTTGCAGCGGCACTACAATGTGGAGTTCCTCCTGGGCGCCCACAGTGGAGTTCAGATGCGCTGATCCGCCCTGCTATAACGCAGTAGGGGACGGGGACAACGTGCATCCAACCAGCTAAACCCTTGCAGCTGCGATTTAGACTACATGCCATCACGGAATTTCTTGTAAAGTGTACTTTGACTCGTATATTGGCTAGTAGCTCGGATGCTGAGGGCATCTCGATCTCTGTGAGATAGACGGCTCGTCCAGCCGCGTTTCATTGTTGAGGGGTGATTCGGGGGCGTAGCTGTAAGCGACCGGCAGGCCTGGTGCCCCGCGAATTCCTCGCTGAACGAAAGCAAGCTGCATGCGTCCACTCGCATGTAGGGCGCAGCTTGCCGTAACATCTGGGGCGCTCTCATCCATCATACGCGCCATGAATGCTGGCCCAGTGTTCGCTTACCGTCCAAGTGCCTGACTAGGTAGCTTTAGCGACGTCCTTAACACCTACGGGACGAGTCCGGGTGCCTCGCTGTGCCTTGCTGTGTGTGCCTGGCAGTTGCCTCCCTGCGAACTTCTGGAACTCACCACAGTGACTCCAAGACAAGCAAGAGACGATTCTTCCGCCACTGCCGCAACAAACCATTCCAGGTTCGAGTCGAAGCGACAAGGCCAGCATCCCTCGAGGTCCTTGCTATTCGATATCTGCGGGACGTTGAGAATACCCGGCCGGATCCATCGCCAGCTTGCGCTCGCTCGTGCGAAGCCCTTCGACTACACTCGCTCAGGAGCCATGGCTAGCGCTGCCTTCGACAACCCCGAGAAGAGGGCTAGCATCCGAGCCTTTCTCCATCGCCAGCTCTTTGTAACACCGCCGGTGCCCCGCGATGTCGACCTCCGCGGCAAGGCAGCTATCGTTACCGGATCAAACGCTGGTCTCGGCCTGGAATGCGCACGCCAGCTACTCGATCTCGGAGCCAGCAAGCTCATCATCGCCGTCCGCAATGAAACAAAAGGCGAAGCAGCAAGGACAAACTTGCTGTCCGCCGGGAAGTTCAAAGATGCTACCATAGATGTCTGGAAGCTGGATCTGGAGTCGTACGAATCGATTGCCATATTCGTGGAGCGCGCAAAAGCGCTAGAACATCTCAACATTGTAGTCTTGAATGCTGGAGTAATGCAACACGAACACAGCTTAAACTCATCCACTGGCCACGAGCAGACTGTTCAGATCAACCTTCTCTCCACAGCCCTTCTCACTATCCTTCTGCTGCCTGTCTTGAAGGCCAAGAACACTTCCGAGTCTCCCGGTCGTATTGCTCTAGTGTCTTCGGATATGGCTTCATGGGCCAAGCTCACCGCAGCGAGTACACCTGTGTTGCCAACCATGGACAAAAAAGAGGGCTACCACATTTTCGGTCACTACAATGCCTCGAAGCTTCTTGCCCAGTTATTCGTCTTCCAACTATCTCAGCAGGTGCCTCCATCGGTCGCCATTGTCACAATGCCAAACCCAGGTTTATGTTACGGAACGGGCCTTGGACTCGCTGCACCCGGCGGCAGTATTGCAGACAGGATCGCCGCAATACCCAAGCGAATACTCGGGCGCTCCACATCTGTTGGAGCTCGAGTACTTACTGATGCAGTTGTAAAACACGGTGTCGAGGCTCATGGACAGTACGTCGAGGATTGCAAGGTTCAGCCGTAAGTTATATTCCACTTTCATTTCCTGGATGGCAATGTCCCATACGTTTTACTGATATCACCCAGAATGGCGCCTATTGCCTATCAGCCCGCAGGAGAGAAGCTGCGCCAGGCTCTTTGGGACGAGCTATTGAAAGAACTCGCCGCGTATCATGTTGATGAGATCCTTCGTGATTTGACTCGATGAACAAATTTTAATGCGGAAAAAAAAACCTATATGTCATCAATACCCAGGTCCCCATGGCTCAAAGTGAAATTTCGGGCGGGCTTGACACTGAATCGAATACCGCTTGCAAACCCCCGCTGGTATCGCCATGATAGCAGCTGAATACACCCTGTACACTTATGTATATCTGAATAGATTAGATAAAGATTCAAGAGTCGATTTCAAAAGTGAGATCCTTCTACACATGTAGCCTTTCAGGTCAATGACTTTGGCGAACCGTTTCGGTGGAGGATCCCGGGTGGCATTGGCCGTCCCTGTCCCGTCCTTACCCGATCCTACGTCTTCGCAAACAGGCTAAATCTTGGGTGGAATACGTTCTGAGTGGCTGCTAGTTGCGAGTCAGGTAGTGGTGTGAAGAGTAAGCCTTACAGTGGTTACATCGAAGGATGACATGCAGCAGCTGAAGAACACACGCGAAGTCCTCATACGTCAACATAATGCACACCCACCGAATTGAACCGCAGCAGAGCTGTTACCCTAGGAGCCAGAACGCACGCGACGTCGTACACATCGGGGGGTGGTGCCCCTAACTAATATTAGAACACATGAGGTTATCTCACTCTACAAGCACACTGCCGAGATTGGCTGACCCCCTCTTCACCATCAGGATGAAGTATCAAACAGGGACCGCAGCACATAGGAATCCTTCCTTTTTGGTGTGGTGTGACGACCGTTCTATATACTAACGAATCCCTTCTTTCTGCGGCACATAGTGTTCTCACGTAAATTACTTGCTCAGTCAGAAGCTCGTTCTTTCAACTACTGTGCGTGACACAGGAGTGACTTCACGATGTCTGCGCCAGACAGCCCCGACTTTTCCTCGCTGGACCCAGCTACGCAGGCATACATTTTGGCTCAGCCTGCATTAGAGCCGCCAAGTGGGCAAGATTCGATTTTCGATAACCCACCCAACTATTCAGCGGCTGCCGTTGTCCTCTTCTCGGTATGCCTGGTCTTGATCACTTTAACCTTTGTTGGCCGAGTATATATGAAGTTTTTCGTCATGAAGCAGAAGAGCCTGGGAGATTGTAAGTGCACAGCATGCCCTTGTCCATGGCCTTGAGCCTTGGTCAAAATGGAATTGTACTCACTAACAGTTTATAGATTTACTCATCTTGGCATATGTACGGTTGAATCCTCTATATTGTATTTTGAGTGTGATGAGTTGCATTGACACCTCACCATAGGCGCTTCTTATTGTCAACTTCGTCTTCACGTACCGCATGACTGAGAAGCCCGGCATCTTTGTACATCAATGGAATGTCCATTTGGGTGACTTCATCTACTTTCTTCGAGTAAGTCAGACGCTATGAAGATGTTGCATCGAGCATTCTGCTAAGCAAAATCAGGATGTTTTCATCACGTCACAACTTTACATTGGCTCGATTTTACTTATCAAGGTGGCTATTCTGCTGGAATGGATCCGCATCTTCGCACCTCCTGGAAACCGTCACTTTGTTTACTGGGCCAGTCATATCATGATTTGGGCAAACGTGGTTTTCTACGTGTCCATCTTCATCGCATTCAACATTGCATGCACCCCATACGAGTACAACTGGAACGTGCTCCTCAAGGGAAACTGCGATCGCGTTAATACACATTACACGAACCTAGCCACGTCTATCTTCAACGTCATCTCGGATTTCATGATCCTGATTATCCCACAAAGGGCAATTTGGAAACTGCACATGTCAACCAAGAAGAAGCTGGGAGTCTCAATGGTCTTCGCCATCGGTCTCTTAGCTTGCGTCTCCGCCCTGATCCGTCTGATTGAGACAGTTCGCCATGCCTTGTCAGCCGATTATGTCTTCACCTTTGCCGGCATCATGTGTTGCTGCGCAGCCGAGTTGACGTGCGGGTTCTTGGTCGTGAGTGTACCGAGTTTCCCTAAGGCGTTCAGCGCCATCAACTTGAGTAAGCTACTGTCAAAGTTGAGCTTCCGCTCGAGCTCAAGCAAGCTCCGGTCATCCAAGAAGAGCGGAGATGCATCTTCATGGCCGCCCTCCTCTGGAGGCTACTCTGAAGTCAAGACAAAGGCAGCCATGACATCTGCGGAAGGGGATGAGCGGCAGCTTTTCCCAATGGCGAAACTTCAAAACAACTCTTCCAACGATTATTCGCTCTATGACAGTGCAGGACATGCGGAGCGAGGTATCTACCAGACAACTCACTTTGAGGCAACAGAGTCGTTTGACCCTAATGCCACGAGATCTGAGTATAGACGCCAGGAGCAGTGGGATGATAATCGTATATAACCGGTCACAAGAATGTTATGAAGTTGTCAGATTATAAATCGTTTGTGCACCGTTCTCTTGTTTTGGGTGCACATGAGCTCTCGCCCTATCTTGGAAGATTCACGTGTGGGGCCTCCAGCGTGCATCGTTTTCGGGGCACATAAGTATGTGTATCGTGAATCTGCAGGTTCGGATCCTGTGCTCAATTTCTGTTGCAATTTTGTGCAAAATCCTGCTGGGCAACTCATATGTCTGCCTTGCCTAGTTTTCGAAGTACGCCGTAAGCATAATGCATGCGCTGACACGGATTCAGGCGGTTTCGCAACCATGCGTCACCCAACAGGAAGCGAACGCCATGCCGTTAGTGCGAGTGGCGACAGGTCAGACTAACAGTTTGGAAGGGAGGTACCTACACTGTGGGCAGTTGACTAAGTTGACGTACCAAGTCCTAGATCGTGATGACTGAGCTTTCGCTGACAGTGTATCAGATGCTGGCAAGTCAAATAGCTTCGTACTGGTCTGTACGTGGGCGGCACTGCAGAGTAGTGTGGTAGGCCAGGAATCCTCCCACGTCTATCCCTATCTGGCCCCTAGCTTCGGGGGATCTAATAGGACCGCTTGCGCCTTGTCACCTGGCCAAATAAGAAACTCTGCATCCTGTCCGGCTGTGATCTATGTACCATAGAATCTCATTGTACCTATGCATGTTGCCTTAGCATAGCCGGATAATGGGGTATGATTACAACATTCGAATACGGAAGTGATGTCGCGTAAGCACAGTTCGTGCTGTCTAGTTTGGGTTTGGACTTGAACTATCCCGCATGTACATGACGGCGACTGGTAATCCTTCGAGTAGATTGCGATCTGAAAACATGACACTGATAATACGACAACAGTAATACTATGGATGCCCTGCTCGATTGAGCGGGATGGCGGATGATTTTCCAAGGCACAAATGTGGTCAGACACGCGAGGAGTAGGTACATGAACTGCTCCAGGTGCTGATTGGTGGAAGGTACAATCATTCTTTTCTGCAGTATCACACAAAGTCCCTGCGGATTGTACACGTGCAGCTTTGCTTAACTGTTTATCACCCAACTGCACAAACTAGGGTCTACGTCCTCTCATCGGTGTCTCGGTATCCCATAAGCGCCGTGTGTAACACACGTGACTACTGCAGCACATCCCTCACTAATGAGATTGATTGAGCAGGTGCACTTAAGTGAGCACGGCATTTTAGGCCATGCAAGGGATGACTGCAGGACATATCGTGTAGGCAGAACTCTGTCGCGGTTTCCACGGATGAGTGTCAAGACCAACAAAAAAGTTCGGCTCCCATTTCCCACGTTCGTGTTCATACCTATCTTGCCCTGGGTCAATCTGTTGCCATGGTGGGCATCATAGAGGACGCGAAGGTTCTGGCTTTAGAGCTATCGGGGTACTTTGTAGCTGCGATCTCGACTTATGTGAGCAAGTTGAAGTCAAGAGCTTCAGACCGTACATCAAACTGATCAAACTTGACAGTTCGTCATATTCATCACTTACCAGATTTTCCTGCATCCTTTAAGCAAGTATCCGGGGCCATTTGTTGCAAAGTTGACTGACGCGTACAACGGTTTCTTTGCATACAGCAAGCGTCTCCATCTTACAACATGGCAGAATCAGCTCAAGTATGGTAAGTGCATTTTCCGCATCATTTGGTGGTGGTCTAATAAAATTAAACGGAAACGCTGACGAGTTGACCTGAATTAGGTCCAGTGGTCCGGCAAGGGCCCAATAAACTGATTTTCAGCTCTGTGACAGCCTTGAGAGGTTAGCCCAAGTTGATCCAAACCATAGTCAAGTGATACTAACTAGTGACTTTGAGATATCTACAAGAACGATAAGATTACAAAGCCAAAAGCATATATGGCCCTAGGACCAGGGCTGACTGGCTATACTGTCTTTACCGCGACTGATAGACGCCTCCATCGTGCTCGCCGGCAGCTTATCGGGCAGGTTCTCACAAATCGATCAATGCGGACCTTTGAACCCATCATGATTGAGCAGGTCAACATCTATCTACAGAAGCTACTAGCACACTCCCAATGTTCACAGCCCGTCGAAATGACGAAAATCACGAGGCAGCTCGGGTTCAACATTGCAGGTATCTTGGGCTTCGGTTACGATCTTGGCCTTCAGACGGAGGAGACCAATCAGTTCATGCTCACCATGCTTGATGCTGGAACGCTATGGAGCAGCGTCTTCCTACAGTATCCTGGCGCTCGGAGGTTCAGACTTGCCCTAGTCACAGTCCACGCCTTTCGCACGCTACGGGAGAAATATCTTGGCATTATAGAAAAGATGATCAGCTCCCGTACTGCCCTCGCTAAAGACGCCAAACATGACTTGTATTCATTCGTATCAGAGGCACTAAATGACCAATCTGATAATGGCCTTCGACAGAGCGATCTTTGGGGCGAGGCAAACCTTTTCCTCACGGCGGGTGAGTCTGAGCTACAACCAGTCATAGACGTATGCTGATTATAAACAGCCGGTGATACGACAAAAACTGCGATGAGCGCTGCCTTTTTCTACCTGACAAGAAATCCCGATTGCTACCAAAGGCTGGCTGACGAGATTCGTACCACGTTCAGCGCCGGTAGCGAGATACAGGGCTCCGCTCTTACAAGTTGCCAATATCTTCGAGCCTGTATCGACGAAACTCTACGTATGTCACCACCAGCGTCAGGGACTCTGTGGCGGGAACTTGGTTCCGATGGCGGTGACCAGTCTTTCATTGTAGATGGACATGTGATTCCCCGTGGTACGATAGTAGGCGTGAGTACCTATTCAATTCATCACAGCGAGGATTATTTCCCCGATGCGTTCGCATTTCGTCCAGAGAGGTGGATAGACGACTCCATCACGCCCGAAGTGAAGCAGATCATGCGAGAGGCCTTTACTCCATTTTCAGTCGGGCCAAGAAGTTGCGCAGGGACCACAATGGCGTATATGGAAGTTGGTCTCACCATCGCTAAGACTCTATGGTACTTTGATTTCGAGCCGGCACCTGGAAGGCTTGGCCATATTGGTGCGGGAAGTCCTGCCTTGGGCAAAGGTAGACAACGGCCGGGAGAATTCCAGATATATGATGTGTTCTCAGCGACTCATGAAGGTCCATATCTGGTCTTCAATCCTCGTGACGGGGGCGGTTTGAAGGACTTAAGAACTAAGGAATAAAACTAAGGCTAGACGTAGTGTCCGAATGGAGGCAGTAGTAGTACAGGATGCTGGAAATCGGCAGAAACAAACTTGAAGTCATAGTACTTGAGCTGTACGTGGTTTCCTCAGACAGTTTCATTGTCGTGTTCAGTCTATAACTCCGTAATCTGTGCCGTCCATACTACCATTGGTGTGAACTGCTTCATAAACTGTCTGCGTTCAGTCCTTCTTCATGTTACTGTACATTTTTTGGGTAGAGGAATTGTACGAGTTCATTCCGTCCTGGGTCATTCGGAGCTACATTAGATAGCAGTGAGCTTGCGTTTTCTTAGAGAACTCTCCATCATGATCATGTAGACTTACATATAGCTCGGGGCCTATCACATGGATAGAGAGTGATATCCACGCACTCATGGGATAAGCAACGTTGAATGCAGCCACTAGTTGCATGAGATCCATATTTATATTCATTACATTTGCGTCAACAACGACGTGCTGGTTGAGGTTTTTGCCGGAGTAGAAGGGTTCGCAACCAGGATATCGGCTCAGCGTGTTATTGCGACCATCGAGGACGAAGTCGATTTTATCGCATGGTTGGGCCATGTAGTAACCTTCGATTATAGAAATTATAACAGCAAATGCAATCATTAGGATTCGTACTGTGATGATACCACCGGCCTAGATTACAATTAGCACTGAGTCTTTTCCATAACAGTGCACGTATAAAACGAGATTACTGAGATATCTAGGCTGTTGGGACTGACATAGCACCAGGCCCGCAGCATCCAGGCACGATGGTCTCGGATTCGGCGACCTTTAACACTCCAATATCCCATGATACATCCCCAAACGAATAAAGCAAGTAGCGTAAAGTTTGCCAACTGTGCTGCTGGGTCGCCTCCGAAAGCACGTCGAAAACTGGGAAATGCAGCAATACTTCCTACCAGGCCAAGGACTAAACACGCATATCCATTGATGCGATGGACTGCGATAGCCTTGCGTCGAACTACAGGTACGAACTGTCCCACCGCTAATATGCTGGCGGGCAAAACACAGTAAAGATGGACGATCATTCCGGTCCTTGCCAGGCCAGGCTGCAGAAAGTAAAAACATTCTCCTGGCAATGCACCGGACGATCGGGAGCCGCAGAAGGCGCCATAGAAATCCAAGTACTTGAGGCGCACAAGCGCGAACACGAAAAGCGCACCACCAAAAAGGGTCCAGCATGCCGCGCGATAGCGATTGCGAAAACCGAGCCAGGTGGACATGGTTGCAGCATGTTAGGTGGCTATCTGATTTCGTTGAAACATTTGAACAAAGCCGTGTTTGTGTATTGAATAACGCTCGACTGGGTGTCATTCAGCCGAACCGAAGCCAATATTACGTCAAGCAGGACGGGCACTGATACGCGAGCGCTCAATATGCGAGTGGTGGTCGATGTTGCAGCCAAGGATTCCGAGGGAATGTATGCATGTCGTACATGCAGGCCAACAGGCACGTTGGGGCGAACATGCAGTGTAATTGCATTGTTTATCATGTGCCTCAGATTTGCATTCGATCTGGACCGCGAAGGATTCTACTCCTGTGCTGCATGTTGCATACAATCACATCGCAATGACGTGAGTGCCATAGAGATAATCAGCGTGCGTAAGCGGATGGACCTGAGGGGCCAGTTCCGCCAATGCACCAGTCCCACGGGATAGCCCTTCGCCAACTAATTCAACCAATAGTCTATCTTGAATCATGTCGCGTAAATGGCGTGCATCGTGCAGCTTGTGTCCAGGGTTGCCAGCAGCAATCCGAGTAAGGTGCATCGGTTGACAAGTACACATTCTCAAGTATTGATACATGTGCTCTAGATCTTCGGAGTCACTCCTCAATGTGGAACTATTTTTCAGCGCGAGGCAAAGTACTTTTGGGTGCTGGAAATTGCATAGTTTGGGTAGTATTACATGCGAAGGAATGTGGTCAGCACGTACTAGCGCCAGAGTCTGCCGAAAAACCCACCTCAGCTTTTGAACCTGAGCTCTTGGCAGTGGGTTAGCAGGCTGGAGCTGTGGCTGAAACTCCCTAAGCTCGACCCCATACTCCTAAGAAAGCCTGATTTAGTTGAGGTGATACTGAGTGTTACGGGATTGGAATTTATATAGATCGAAATATTCAACTTTCATAATAACTTGTGAGTCTGTGAGTCTTTGCCGTCTATTGAATTGATTCACGTGTGCTGACAACATTGACAGTCGTCCACATCATCAGCTGCAAGTTGTAAATGTGCAGCTCGCCGAGGTGTATGCAGTCGAATGGTGTTTGGTGACAGTGGAAGCCAACAATAACTGGATATGAATGATCAATAAATCCCCCATTCCAAGGCTCATGTCTGTACCGAGCTCTCCCACGAGCCTTTCCGATGCGTTGTACAACGTCTGAATACCAAGGTGTTGCATGTGGTGGCCATTCACAGGTCTGTTGCTGTATATCGCCTTGTGCTCTAGCAAAGCGAGGGCCTCTGTTAGTCATGATCTGATGCATGCACGCTCATCACACGGCCCAGTAGAATGATTGTACACGTGCTACCTATACAAAGCAAATGTTCCCCCTCCCTTCGTTCCCCCTCTTATCGTGATGCCGTCGCCGTGGTAGGGGGCCCAGACACCCTTGACGCCCTCGCTGACGCTGGCGACAGGCTTGTTGACGCGCTTGACCTTCTCGCTGCTGACGTCGCGCAGTAGCTCGGCCTTCTTAAGGATCTACGAGGGCTCCATGTTCTTGACACAGATGATCTTCTAGCGGCCGTTGATGTAGTGGCCGATCATGACGGAGTGGCAGTGCGGGCGCGACCATACGGCGAACTCGATTTGTGGGTGCGAGGCCGCGAACTTGGGCAGGACGTTATTGACAAAGGCGCGGGAGGTGGGAAATCAGTTCATGTTTCGGGCGGCCGCGCTTGTCTTGTTGGTTCTTAAGTCATCCCCTCTAGAGCTGCCCGAGTAGTCGCAGCAGTGGATGCTCAGTCTCTTGTACTGGGTTGAAGGCGCCCAGGCCGTTCTGTTGTGTAGAAAACCGTTGTCGGCCTCATCTGTCGGCGGTCGCAGTGGATGGGCGGAGGTGGGGAACTACCTCCTTGGGACATCTTTTCTATCGCCTTTATTGTCACCTCGTCTTGTTTACTGGTCCCTGTGTCGGAAACTCATGTTTCTGGAAACAGATCCTTCGCTGTACCTTGCTGCTTTGTTCGCCCGCATTGCTTTTCACTCTTCCATGCATTTCGTTGGATTGTACTCCAGCAAATGGCAAAATTGCTGCACGGTAGCTTGGGCAGCCCGACTGTCGATCGCGTTTGAAGATGAGCATATGTCTTCAAGACTCCTACACGCCGGTCTTGATAGATAAGGGCAAGTGAGAGCCTCACTGCACTGCTGGGGGGAACCATAAGCATTAAAACCACTCGTCATTTCTTCGTGGTCCTTGGTGAAAAAAGTCAACTGGTTGCCCTCCTTTTTCGAATACTACAAACGCTCTATTATCATGATACCGAAGTGATAGGTAATTTCAGAGGAAGGGTTGAAGAGTTGCAACATACTTGGCGGCATATTCTTGCCCTCGGTGGACTAAAACTCAAACTAAAATATTCCAAACACGTCTCACGGAGACCCCATGTTACTGCCGTGCAGTGCGAGCTGCGAAATCAGAAGGATAGACAAGTTTGCAGTATGAAGGGATGCTGTCCAATTCCATGGTCGAAATATGAGTAAATGAGTGCCCTCATGACATGTCCGCAACAATCATAAGAGTCCTAACCTGGGTTCTATAGCCCCTGCACGGTTTTATTTTCCATGATCTTCCATCATGGTGCCACTGGGGCAGAGGAGTGACCCAGAAGACGAGTAAATTATCAGTGGCACATCCCGTACGGTCTGTTTTCTCTAGGTACAAAGTTTCAGTCTGTCACAGCCTTGTCAGGTACCATGGCTACGATTGAGACATTGACCCGTACTTGAGACACGCCGCTGATCTACCATGTCGATATTAACTAAGGTGATTTTCTAGTCGTGCTTTGCCCACTTGACGTAGCACGGGTATCCATTAACAGGATGCAATCCTGCTGAGTCCGTCTGATACGCTCTGTCTCCATGTAGTGTTCTCATCGGCTCACCAAAAATCCATCGTTTCAGCTTCTCGCCGATGCCCATCTCGTTGTCCATCTTAGCATCGAAATCATCATAAGCATCTCTGATCTCAAGATCCCTGCATGTCAAGACCACAGCGATTCTGAGTTCATTCCAAACCAATGTTTGTCCGATACAGTTCCTGGGGCCTTGTTCAAAGGGTCGGAACGCTGCGGGATCGGGGTGCAGTTCATCCTCAGGTCTAACGAGGAATCTCTCTGGCAAGAACTCTCTGGGTCTTGGCCATACCCGAGGGTTGACATGCAACGCCTGATGGAGTATATTGGCTCCGACATAGTCCATAGGCTGCTCGCTTCCCTCCAGATCAGTCACAGTGACGCCGGTGAGTCCTGCGCGCATGGTTCCCGCTGGTGCATGAAGTCGCAGAGTCTCTTTTAAGAATGCCAGCGTAAGCTTGCAGCTGTTCAAGAGGCTAGGATTCTCTTTTAATAGCTTAGCAGCATTGTTGGGCTCTGGGCCAAAAACTTCGTCATGCTCCACTTGCAGTTTTCTTCGCCAGTTGGGATGCTTGGCTAGTCTGTGGTAGACGTAGACCATCATTGATGCAGTTGTATCTGTCCCTGCAAATAGGAATACCCGGATTTGGTAGGTGGCATAATCGGCAAAGTTCTGATCGAGCTTCTCTTCCTGAAGAACATCGTTATCTTGTCGTTCAGACAAGTACGCCTCAAGTGCGAGTGTGATGACAGATTTGATCGATTTGGGCGTTTGTCCAGATAAGTCCGAGGATCTTTCCCTTTTGGTTTCTTGAAACCGCTTCTCCAGCTCCTTGCGAATGTAGGTATTCATAATGCGACCATGATATCTTTGAACGAAGGGTCGTAAAGGGTGTATCAGCACGCGAGGGTCCCAAAAGGAGTGCCAGCTTGTGATGTGTCCCAGTGCAGTTGCAAGTACGTTGGACGATCGTTGGTAGTTCGAATCGTTGTCCCTTGGCTTGTGAGCAACATACACCTCTGATGGTTTTGGAGTACACTTACAGCGTAATTTTGAGGATGATCTCTGTGGTCAGCCTCGTCGTGAAGTCATCGAGAGAGAACATGCCCTTGCCGATCCTATCGACCAACTTCTCGCGGAAGACGAGTATCGAATCGACGATATGGGGCACATTATTGAGCATAGCCCCAGTGGCGAATCCTGGATTGAACAAAGACCTCCAATACTTCCATTCATTTCCATTCATGGATACAAGATTTGGACCACCAGATATTGGTTTCATGAATTTGGCAGCAACAGCCGTCTTTGGTAGGTTATACTTGTTGCATATTTGACTAATGGACTCGGGGCCGAAGACTGTATATAGAGGAGGGTAAACTGGCCAAAAGTCAACGAGGAAAAGCTCGGTGTGGGCAAACTCCTGAGCAAGATCTCGCATCGCAAAGGCCACAGCGGCGTCAGGTGGAATCCCATCAACGTATTTTCGAAGTACCAGTAGGTGCCCGGTTACCCAGCTCCATTCCTGTGGCATGGGCTGCGATGGGTGTTAGTATATTGGCAACCCTTCATCGACTTGACAAAATTGCATACAACTCCTTGTTCGCGAAGTACGTTGATCTTGCGACGGTGATCGTAGACAATCTTGATCAGATAGCCAAGCGAAGTACAACACAACACACCTAGTGCGACGAAGATGTTCGGCCATGCCATTCTCGAGAGATATAGAGACAGAGAGAGAAAGGATGAGACAGAGATAGAGAGCAAAGAGAAAGAGTGTGTTTGTGTGAGTTAGAGAGGGTAGGAATAGAATGTAGGCTTGAGCGAGAAAGTCTCAGAGTGGAATGTCAAGGGAGAAAAGGGCATGTTGGTTGGGGCCTGTTCCGAGACATTGGAGACACCCCCCTGGTACCAAAAAAAGAGGGGCAAGGAATATACAAGTACGCAACGCACGGGCGAATATACGGAGTACCAACCCGTGAAGGGACGACAAATGCCTACTTATTCAAGCCAATGACGCTTTTGAAAAAGAAAAAGAAAAAGAAAAAAAGGGAAAGAAACAGGAAAGATAGTAGAATGTAGTAGTACAGCCCGTTCAACCCCTGCTCCGAAATATCGCATTCGAAGCGTTTCGCGCGAGCTTTGTCGGTAATTCTCCCGAAATTGGATGATTACTAACGCAGAAACTTCGGAGCTCTGACTGAGGATGTGCATATTTCATGATGAGATGATACTTATCACTAAGGCTCACCAGTTCTAGTGTTAACCGTGCCGACGCTCCTGTGCTCTTAGATCAGTCGGTGTAATGGTGGCAATAAGAAACCCACAAAGAAGGCTACCACGTGACCATGTGGATGACGTTATTCTACCTCAGTGTCTGGTTCCTTCTTTACCCAAGAATTGGGCGCTTGCCATAATTCTATTGCCAAACCATTCCCGTATTCCTACTTCAATGCAAGGCAGGGAGTGCATACCTTCTCGAGAATCAACGGTCTCGTGCATCGTGATAGGCTGAATTGTGCCCGCTTAGTGAGCTTCTCCTGCTCAGGCCTTTAATCTCCTCATAGCAGTGTACCAGTCAGTCACAACGAAGGGCGTTCTTGTGACTGACACGATATCTGTGTACAATCGCCGGGAATATTATGTTCACGATATCCAGAGTTTATGTATCGTCTTCCGGGGCGAAGTGTAAGGGTCGATTGCGAAAGATATATATGGTTATCAACTCAGGGAAATGTTATACATGCACCGCCTATGCCGTGGTGGAGGCGGGGTGGTAGCGGTAAGTTACTCGGTATCTCGGACTATGGATTTGTTAATCTCGACTTCATTGCCTCCATTAACATTAACATGAACACTGTTAACAATGCTTGGATTTCACTAGGGGTGATGGGAGTTTTCACATTCCTTCTCTCAATATTTTAAGACTCTTTTGACGCAAATTATATTTAACCCATTTTACGGTGATGTGAAAATATTAATATTAAACATCAAGTTAATGTCACGGGCACCACAGGTGAATCGAGACTCTGCTACAAATCCTGTAGTATTGCGAAACATCTTCAGCTAGGGATATAAGGAAAGAAGAGCTCCCTTCATAGCTGTGGCGTGTGTTATTTACAGATGGGTGGACCACCCCCTCGTACCCCACTACAACACCTGCACTAGTCAGTCCATAACAAATATGCCAGGTCACCGTTCGTCGTATTGCCACTGGTAAATGTCCTTCTTCCACATAGGTGTCTTAGTTGTAACGAAACAAATCACTTGTTAATGGTATCGTCTAGCCATGTCAACTCACGAGACATCAATGACTGATGGCGCTCCAAGTGGCCCACATCCCGTGACATCATTCACGACAGCCAGTTCTCAGCCCCTCACTGCATCATGCCACTGCGGTAGGGTCACGTTGGAATTGCCTTCCAAGCCGAAAGAGATCTGCGAATGCCACTGTAGCATCTGCTACCGCTACGGCGTATTGTGGGCCTATTATAGACGCGGGGAGGTCACAGTGACCGTATCAGCGGAACCAGCTCCTGGGGTCAGCCAGCAAAGCTACATTCGCACGGATGAAGAAGCGGGGGGCGACATTGGATTCTTTCGATGCGGCCACTGCGGATGCGTAACACATTGGTGGGAAACGATTGATGGGGTTCCCTCAGAGGACCCCAAAGCTAAGATGGGTATCAACTCTCGGATGTTGCCAGAGTACCTTACCGAGGACGCTAAACGTAGCATCGCGCTTTGATGATTCTGATATCTGGATTATGGTTGGAACAAGTTATGGTGATTGCTATTGCTTTATTCGATTTAAGATGCTGCAAACTCTATATACTGTTAGAATAATCTCTCCTAACAACCTATAAATCAAAATATAAGACTGTGTACCACCCGTTGGCGCCACCTCCCCCTAAGACGTTCATTATGGCATGATACTTCATTCGATAAGTTAAGATGCCATTGAAAATGATCGCCCGTGTTACCTGTCAAGGCCTCGCATGCTAGGCTATGTATCTATTCCCTTGCCGCGCCTGCGTGACTCGATATCTGGGTGTTTCTCTCGCGGTAGGCCGTTGTGAAATAAAACTCATTAAAATGATGAACGTCACTGTGGATTCCGTAATCAGAACTCGCATGTGGAGTCTTACGTTGTGAATCTTGGCAGAGTCTAATCACTATATATACCAAAAGTCTATTGAGGATCATATGAAAGCAGTCGTAGCCTCGCGTTTGCACTAACACTAAACACCCCCGTTTCCTGGACCATATATATCTGGTCCCGTTATTTCATTGCTCATCCCAGAGGAAGGTGGTTCATGTAGCTATAGCCATTGCTTTGCGTGTATTTCAGCCCTCGGTTCTGCGTAGAGATACGTGGGTGTTTTTGTTGCCGAAAGCGGTATTGCCAATTCACGCAATGGAGTAGCTGCATCCAGCTCGCGAGGACTGGCAACCGGCTCTTCTTTGAGACTTTGTTGACGATCAGACTGTAAAATTTGCGTCGAGTCATATGAGTTGTGTGACGTCCCATGCAACGAGTGACTATTGTCGGCAGATGAACCATGCAGTTTCTCAGCTTCATCACATGCTGCATGCTTCTCATTGACTCCCATTTGCTTGGTTTGGGCATCTCTCGTCTCAGCGAGCTTTCTTCTCGCGTTTCTTAGGAACCACAAACTGGCAGCCAATGAGATCAGCAGCGGCAGACCGACTCCCAAACCAGCCGCGAGGCCAACTTTCAGAGTGCTTTGAGCTACCGTGGTTGTATCGCCACTATCGATTGATGTTTCATTTCCCAGGGCGTATATAACGCTATTAAAACTGCTATTTCTTCGATCATTTACAAAGCCGGGCGGAATCGAAAAGCCGTTCTTGCAGGTTGTCACATTCTCTTTACAGACCCATCGGTCGTTCTGCCCATTGCACTGCCTGAGGGGGCTCAAAGAGCTGCTATGTGTATCGCCTTTGCAATGTTGGGGACATGCGGCATCGGCGAACGTGGAATCGGTACATCCGCCCCGAAGTATGTGATTTGTAGACGGTTCCCAGCAAAGACCATTCGAGAGACAGGCTGGAGAAAAAGTCAGTATAAGGCCCCGAAGTGAATGGGCATACACTATAGTAAAAAGATACGTCGGGTAATGCTAAAAGTAAAGGGCTTACTGTGTGTTGCTTCGCAACACGCAATGGCGCCGACTGCGTTTGGGTTGCATGGAATGCCTAAAGAATGGATCGCACCACTTGGGAAGTAGCATTCTCTACTGAAAGCCACAACTGGGGATATCAATATTAGAAGTTGGGCCAGCATGGTTTGCAGCGGTGAGAAGTGACTGATGGAGATTATAGTATGATCAATATCCCGAGGGCGACCGTTTGACTTCGTGGCTCTCTAATACCAGGAGTAATTGAAATGTGGGTGGTTAGACCGGAATTGCTGCCAATGACAAGATAATACAATGTGCTTTTAGCGTAGATAGAGACGTTGTGTTTGCCCTTGATCCTCCGTCGATCCGCCCGCAATACACAGCCTATGATGGGTTGGCAGGCCATACTAAGCTTAGGGGCTGAGTTGGCTAGCCGTTGGTTGGATGCTGGCTCAGCATGCCGCCCGTCAGAGTCCTACTGGCAACTGTACTATTTAAAGCTGACAAACAGGGCGCTGCAGGGTCACGTGTGCGAGCGGCCGCGCTGCTTCGGGGCCGAAACGAGAAGAAGGACCGATCCAACTGACAGTATCGTCGAAGGTTTCTTGTTGCATTCGCATGTCCTCTGTGTCGAAGCTCAGACTGTTTTTCAACACGCATCACTGGACATTTTGAGGGATTTCCTTTCAATTAGAAGTTCATCAGATGTCAAGAGTTGCCGAAATCTCGATCTCGATGACGGTTGAAAAGGTATGGCTTTGGTATCCAGTTCTCCCTGTCCGAATGCCATTTCAGTTGCTTACATAGTATTGCTCCTTCATGGTTGAGCGGTTGAAGCTGTCTAAGCCTTTTCCTCGTCCCGAGATTAATTCATGCTCGATGAGGATTCTATCCAAACAGAATCAAATCATACGCCAGACACGGCTAGGATTATTCGTTGGTAGTATTCTAAGTTCAACTGACTATTTGACAATCCAAACTTTGCTGACTGAAATCTGCTGCTGTCGAAGGTTTACAGGAAAGAACGACTGACACTAGTGCTGGCTCTCTGAGCCACCGTTCCAACCAAAGATTCGATGCCGAACACTTTTTACTTTTGAAATCACTGTCGTGAATGCCCGCGAGGAGAGTCACCTGGCTCAACTGCCAAGTTGTCTCGCCGCCAAACGCCCCCAACGAAGATAACGAAAACAATCACATGTTCAAACATCACCCAGCTCCTGACAATGATGTTAGAAAGTCATGCACCGTCGGAGCTATCATTCTCATCCTCGCCACTGATATCGGACTTTTCTCCTGCAATGACCCAGTCGTCATTGTTGGACTGTGATGGAGTCCCACACGTCGTGCCGACCTGACAATTCTCAAGTTCGCTGATCAAAGTCGACGGCGTTCCTGAAACACTGCATGTGACTGAAGTGAGGTCGTCAACATCCTCTATGGCACCAGAATAGGTCAAGGAGTCATGCCGCTTGCCCGCCCTCTTCTTCTCGTGTATCAAGCGCTCGATATCGTTACGCATGTGATCTTTAAGCCGTGCCAGTAAGCTGAGGTGCATGTCCACGGCCGTTTCATTCGCGTGCTCTGGAAGGTCAGGTAGCCGCCAAGAAGGGTAGAGATTATTGTGAGATTCTCTCACTGTCACGTCGCGGCCTTCAAAGTAATAGGAGCAAAGCCGGCAGGTTGGCTTGCTGCTTCCGATGTACTTCCAATTGTTCCAGTATAAGTGCTCAGGGTCGACTGGAAGTCTTTGAAGACAATCATGAATGAGCACTTCTGCGTGAATAATGGGTCGGAAACGTGGGTTAGCAACAATACTCTGGAGACCTTTGTCAAGACCCATCCGTTCTAAGGGCTGTATTTGTAGTAGGTAAAATTCCATTTGCTCAGTATCGAGTCCCATGTTCTTGATGATTTGGGCTGCAGTGATGGGGTGTGACGGTATGGTCCGTATGGGCTTAGGCATGCGTGTGCCTGAAGAGATCGGAAACACTGTAAAACTCTTGAAGAGCGGGGGCCACCTCTCTTGGGCTGCGAGAAGAGTCTCAGCTGCTTGCCGGTAGGAAAATAGCCTTCCGCAGTAATGTCGAAGTTCACGCCAGGGCTCAGGGTTAGAAACGTTGTCGCCAATAGCTCTCTTCGTGATGTATTTCTCGAAGGTGGTATTCTTCATGGCAAGAATAGCATTTATTAGGGTGCTGCAATCTGAAAAAACTAGAATGCCATCATCAGCTAGGCCTTCCTAAGCGCAGCAGACTTCCTTACACTTGAGCCTGGCATTGGTGGTGGAAACTATGTCTCGTGGGAAGACAGTCACGACTTTCAGTTTCTCCAGCTCATCCTTGATCTCCGCGTCTTGTGAGTCATGTTAGTCACACATATAACTGGCTGCAGCTGCCAACTCGGCCTGAAATCTCTCACCTGCATTCATACTGCAGCATGCGATGCACTCATCAAGATGAATTTCGAGATACTTCAGATAGAGATCGACGCGTTTGATGCCGAATTCCAAGATCTGGTTTAGCACTTGCTTGACCCGTGGTTTCTTTTTCAGACGATCAGGGTTGTCCCCAACCAATCTGAGTAGTTTCTCCACAAAGCTCTTGGCTTTGTCAAGCTCATCATCGTCTCTCTGATTAGATGCCAAGAGAAACACGGGGCCATCCAGCCCTTGGAGGACTGTAATGGCAGAAACCGTTTTACCGCCACGCTCGCTGTCACAGGCCTGCGCCAGTTTGTTCATGAAAAATGAAAACCATTGTTGGTCTGAAATGAGGGATTCGCCCTGGATATTCGTCTTGTGGACAGAGCCATGTTGGGTAGTGTTATAGAAGTTGTTCAGCGCTTTCTCGAGTACCATAAGCTGGTATAAGAGGCTCGAAGTGTCCTCACTACGGGAAGTAGTGGACGGTAACTCCACACAGTCCAATGCTTCACGTAAATTGTCAGCTCAGAATCGATTGTTCCGTAGACCAGGTCGCTGGAGCTGCGGTATTTCTATCAAACTTACCTTTAGGACCAATGGTTGAGGGAACAGCTTCTGCTGCGTCAATGTTTGTGGCTGGCAATGCTGAGAACATTGTGATTTAAACTTTTTTTCGATGACGTATGTAACAGGAACGTCCGGTATGGGCTCAATCGTTGAATGTAGGACAGAGGGAATAACAAGAGTTAGCACCCGGAACCCTTAGCTTTTATAGACCACGTTCTTGGAGGAATATGGAATGTCGTTCAACGCGAGTACTTAACACAGATTACGAACAACCAAAGCTACACCCCAATAGTTTGTAGGACTATTACGTCGACAATGATGAACCGGAAGGTGCGTGCCAGTGCCTTGCGGCCCAAGGCTGGTGCCTCGATTGGGAGGCCCTCCAAATTTTCATTGGTTATATACAGATCTAATGCAGGTCGGAAGCGGGGAACAAGGCTGCCAGACGTCTTGATGCATGGTCTTGGCCCGCCAGAAATACTGAACCTATGAAGATGAGCCGGCATCGACCTCGTCTATGCATAGCTGTCCTAAATCAATTTGGTTCACCGCTTGACCCTTCGGTGTTGCCCAATCTGACGCATATGCCTGCATGCGTTGGTAATCTATTTGTTGGCAAGTTATGATTGAGCAAGACTGCGATAGGGGAGAACGATATTAACGTTTGAGCTATTTCTCTATGATAAAGCAAGTCCTGCAGAATTGTACGACAGAAGCCCGTGGAAAACATGGAGAGTTAATCAGAACCAGAAGGACCTACGGCGTACCCCGCCAGGAAGAGGATGACGGAGTATGCCCACGGCTAGGAGAAAAGAAAGAAGAGAAAGAAAGAGAAGAAAATTCAAAAAGTACTCTCCTACTTCGTAGTGAGATCGGTGTGATAACCTCTCAAGTTCATCTTCGTCTCAGCACCAATGTCATAGAAACCATATCGATACATATTGTGTCTTGAGTGCGTACCTCAAGCTTTCGCAGCCTAGTGGTGCAGAGAACTGCTGGAATACATACAATTCACTGCCTTGAATCACAAGTTAGCTGGCTGGACGTACCATTGTGAGCACGACCCCCTTCCATCCCTTGGCAACATGAGGAGCTCGGGTCGATATAGCGCCTTCAGGCAAGGGGCATCAGATCCGCCGTGGGCTGACGGCGATGGATCTATTGATGTTCCCATGGCTTCCACATACCCTTGCACTTCCCAAAACGATAAAGAGGGGTTGCGGACCAGGAACAGCTACTACGCATGGCATCACTCCGAAGGAAACATGACCATTAACCCTCAGCGACTATCCTACTCGGACAAACAGCCACAGCCTTCGATCTACCACGATGATGCACATTCAGGAACATAGTTTCCTGAAAGCTCGCATCACAGTAGAGGAGATCCTACAGAAGCCTCGGAGTACCATTACCAAAGCTCCAATCTGCTTCCTGAAGCTCCAACCCAGGTACCGGTTGCTACGTATCACTTTGAGAGACCTGGGCTTGACGATGTACAGATAGTCAATGAGAGCTGCTCCTCCTTGGAGACAGGTCACCAAAATGCTCCACTGAGAAAGGATTACCGCACTGGTCGTCGGAGTGGTCGCCGGAAGGAGCCTGTCACTTGTACCGTTTGCCAACAAGTGTTTCGCATACCTTCAGAACTCAAGTAAGATGGCTTTCATATTGTTACTAATCCCATACGCCTAAAGAAGGAGTGCCTTGTCTTGGCCATTCAATTTGTTCAGAATGCAGCAATGCGCTGATACAACACAGTAAACATTTTAAGAAGCATGAGCCGCCAATCCCATGTCTTGATATTGGCTGCAAAAAGGGGCCGTTCATGAGGAACAAGGACAGGGACCGTCATGTGCGATCCACTCACCCGTACTTAGCTGGAGAAATCTCGCCCGAGGGAGGAGTGTGTGAAGCTTGCGATATTTTCATCAAGCGTAAGGACAATCTCAAGCGACACAAGGAAGAGCAACACGGTGGGAAGACAAGGCCCAAATGATTGTTGAGTTGCAAGTTTCAAGCAGATAATACCGTGGGGGGGTATATTTCACATCTGCAATGTAGACTCCGATCATTATTGTGCCTATTCGAGAGATCCAAAGTCAGCTAGCATCCAGAGAATTACATCATCACTTCGCCCAATGTTCCGTTGTGGTACATGACGGATGGTAGCAACTGTCATTTACGAGTGATAACCGATTTTCATTGTAACCAAGTGCGAGTTCGGTCGCTTGACTGGACCACGAATGGTTGTGCCCGCATAATGTGAGGAAGCCATGGTGGAGATCCCTGGTAGCCACTATCACGCAGGACACGTAGCAGGCCAGCTTGAGTGTGAAGGTCCGAACCGCATGAAGACGCTGCAGCTTCGTAAGAGCCACAACTTTCGTGCCCGGGATTGCCTCGTTTGCTCGAACGTGAACGAGTCGTGAGTGACGGTTAAGCTCGTACCAGTTGGTGGACTGAATATAAGACTTGTCATGGAGGGGCATGGCGGGTGAGGTGGGTATAGTAAGACTCCGTGACACGATGGAAGTTACGGCCAAAGCGAAGTAACTGAGTACACTCTGCTCCAGGAGGTATGGAGTGTTTCGGTTAGTATTGCCTTGCACCGGGCTAGGTCTGACTTGGCGAGTAGATTCAATGAATACTGTTGATCCCACACGTATTATTGTGATGAAATGGCCGGAGTGATGCCCCAAAAACTTCGGAGACCGATCGAGCCTCTTGTCTAAGCCATCAGTATGGCATCTCCAAGAACTTAGCTCCTGTTATGCGAGTATAGAGTATATACAAGAAGGTTGAAATAGCTAGGCTGAACAGCCAACGATCAGGCAAGAGGATGGATGGACATGGGGTTGGAGCCGTTTGATTGGCCGAGCCGCCCCAGCTTTCGCCTGGTGCAGGGAGCAACGAGACCCACTTTTCCCGAGCTCCAACGTCGAAGCGCTGGAAAATTATCGTGAAGCTTCAAGATGCCGACGTAGGAACGTTCAAACCAGCACAGCACCACACAATGGCGGCACCACGTCTAGCCCGGACCCTCACCTGTCCCAATTGCCTCGGGCGGCTGCCCATGGCCCGCCACGCACCCTCGATATGGTCGCCGTCGCTGTCGCCGTCGCCGCTGCAGCTGGCCCTGACCCAGGTCCGACACGCCCGCACCCTAACCAGGGCCGAGATGGAGGATCTGCAGGGCATACCGGTGCGCCTGCTGCGAGACATCAAGGGATTCGGCAAGAAGAGTATGCTTTGGCCCTCCCCCCTTCGACTCTCTGTCACCCGTCCTCGCGACGCCCCCTTTCCTACCCTGGTTGAGCCAGCAAGAAGCTGACCTTTGGCCCCTCCCTCCAATCTAGACTCCATCATCCGCGTCAAGCCCGGCCGCATGCGCAACCAGTGGCACCACAAGGGCCTCGCCGAGTACATGACCAAGACGCGCTTCACCGAGCTGGGCCTGACCGAGGCCGCCATCGGCGTGCGCGACCGCTCCTTCGGCACCCAGCTGCTGGTCGATGAGGAGCAACCGAACAAGAAGCCCGTCGCAGAGGCGTCTGCCTCCAAGAAGAAGGACATTATTACTATGACGGTATGTACCATTCTCCTCCTGCACCTTTCGCCCGAGGAGAAACTCCAACCAGCAACCCAACATGCAAGACGAGAGACAGAGAGACAGAGAGACAGCGGGCTAATGACGTGCGATCCCAACAGCCCGAGCAGTCCAGCGCCCTCCTGCAATCCCAACTCCCCGCAGTCCTGACCTTCGCCCGCAAAGCCATCGCACCGGCCGCCGAACCCGAGCCCGCGGTCCCGCGCTCCCCGTCGCTGGCCGTCAACGCCGCCCTGTCCACGCAGCCCAAGCCCGCGTCGGCGCCCGCAGCGGACGAGGCCACGGCCATCTTCGGCTCCGTGTCGACGGTCGACATCCTGGCGCACATCCGCGAGGTCCTGCAGGAGGCGGACCAGACCGAGCGCCGCGTCGGCCTCGAGGCCGACGCCATCGCCATCGAGGGGCTCGACCTCGGCGAGGACCGCATCAAGCGCCTGGGCCGGTTCGAGCTCGTCATCACAACCGGCCGCGGGGTCGAGCCCGTGCGGCGGATCGTTGAGGTCGTTGCTGAGGAGGAATAGACAGAAATGCACGAGAGCGTCGAGGGGCCGCGGTGTCCCTGCTACGTGTGCCAACAGACGAGAGGAATGGCGAGGCAGGAAAGGACTATGTATCATTAACTATAGAGTATGTGTAAAACAATTGTAAATATTTACGCTACATCCAGCCTGGGGCTCAGCAAATGCTCCTCTTGAGATGAGCTACTATCATGGTGTTGCCCAGGTTTCTGTTCAGCCCGGCATCTCCCTGTGAATTGAAGTACAAAGCAAACGAAACATCACAGCAGTTCTGAACTGGATCAGTACCATGCCTGAAGGGTGAGAGCCAATGTGCCCGTGGATCAGGGGACAGAACACGTACTGACGCCAAGTGCGAATTGAGAATTCATCATAACCTAGGTACCTAGCAAAGTGCAAAGGGGTATGTTGTCCATTCAACTCGCCTATCGACTACCGCATTCCACCCATCTCACCATATGCAATCTATTTTCAAGGAAGTCATCCCGATCCGTGCGCCGTGGTACCATGTACGATTCAAGACGGCCCGGGCAGTAGCAATCTTGCCAGCAGACGCCGTGAATGCTCCCCAATGAGTTGCTGTTAATGAATCTACTAAAGAGCAATCCCACCAGTCCGTCCCTCCCTATTTCCCCGGGTAGCTCACATCCAGACTCCAGAGCGAGTCCCATACAACGCTCTTGTCACGACCCTCGGCACTGGCGTTGCTCGTTTCTCTTTGAAGCTGATGCTGCGCGCTACCCCCTGAGCCTTGGCCGTGTTGTTGTTGCGACTGCTGCTGTTGCTGGTCGTGATGGTGGTGTGGCCTATACTTCTGCGGACTACCAGCTTGTGACGCTCTTTCCGACCTAGACTTGGACGGTGATTTGGAAGGCGAGCTAGATGATGGATGCGGCATCCGCTGCTGGTCCTGTGCACGAGAAAACCACATCAGTCATTGACCTCCATGATTTTGTCCTCCGCGCTCAAGGACCGAGCAGGGAGTCCACATCGCGGCTTCGTACCTCGTTGACTTGGTCACCACCGTTGTCACCGTTGCTCGTCTTCGACGCAGCCGCGGGGGCGGACGGTTCAGGATTTTTGCCCTTGGAGGATCCGGCTATACTTCCGCCCATTTCTGGGCTGTCTGCCGGTGCAGCACGTAGACTGTTCGTCTCGCTGGCCAAGGCACTGCTCTTTGCCGCACCGGCCCCTGCGCCGCCAGCAAAAGGTAGCACCCTCTTCGTGCTGCCAGAGCTGGAGCGGCGGCTCTCGAGACTCTTACTCAGGGTCCTGCTGACACCCTCGATGCCAGTGTTCTTGCTGCCGGGCAGAAGCTTGCTGGCGCCTGAGCGAGCCTGGTGTGTGCGTATGTCGGCCATAGCCTCGACGTTATTAGCGGCGACTGTACTTTTACCGAGCCCAGGCGTAGCCGGCGCACCAGCCTTATCTTCATGTGCTTCAACAAGCCACCAGCGCAGGCCGTCAGAAAGGTCGAACGGGTTGTCGAATTCGTCGCCCGTGTTGATCGAGTCGGTCTCGGACGGGTGCTGGGCAGTGGTCGAGCTAAGGCTCTTAGACAGGTCGACGACGCGCTCCTGAACCTTGGTTATGCGAGCGACAAGCCATTCGCGCTGCCTAAGCCGGTGGCTCTCTTGCTCGCGTAAGAAGAAGTGTGGGCATCCGACGTTGAAGGCCGCCCAAGCCCCTGTTGTCTGGTTTCTAGTCGGCAGGAAAAGAGCCAGGTCGCCTTCCTTGAAGTGACGGAATGCGATCTTGTCATGTGACTCCTTGACGGCTTGATGAGCCCGCTCTCGGTAGGTCCTAGCATCACGAGTGTACTTGCGTGCGGTGTGCTCCAACTCCTTTACACGGCGGTAAATGGCCTCGGCAAAGGCGTCGACATCAAACAAGCCAGGACCTGAGACAAAGGATTGGTATTGAGAAGTCTCCATTTCCGTATCCTCGGCGTTCATCCAGTAAATGGACTTCAGATCAGTGCTGTCAGCAAGTGTAGCAGTTGTAAGCGACACAGAACGCCGGACAGAACTGCTCGGATCAGAAGAGTCGTTTGGATCTCGTGAAGTACGCTCAGCCCGTGGAATTTTCTGGATGATAGTCTTTCCGTCTTGCTTCGTGACCGAGAAAGACAAGCGCTCGAGAAGTCGGCTCAATCGTTCGTTGTGGGTGAACAGGCGTTGCGTAATATCTTTCGTACGCTCGTTGCGCCCTTCGAAGCGTTGGCTGAGCCCCATCATCCGTAAATCCGAGCTTTCCAGCTTTTCCCGATACATGCGCACCTCTTCTTCCAAGCTACCGATCTGGGACTGCCTGGCCGCAAGAGTTTCGGAGAGTTCTGCCACTCGCTTCTCTTCGTCTGCTAGTTTCTGTCTCAAAGTGTCTGAGCCGGATTCACCTTCAGTCATCTTCTTGCGGAGTTGGTTGACTTGATCCCGTCCTTCTTGAACCTCGCCCTCGAGCGTAGAGCTCTTAGCTTTCTCTTCCTCAAGAGATTCGTGCAGCTTCAACCTGGTCGCCTCCTCAGATGATAGGCGGTCTTGGGTTTGTGCCAGTTCGGCTTTGCCCTCCTTGATAGTCTCCTGAGCCACCTCGAGATCGGACTTCAGTAAAACCATGTCTTCTTCCAGAGACTGAACTTTTGCCAAGACATCGCTTGCTTTCGATGCGACAGCTTCCATAAGCTCGTTGATCTCATCGGGGACACGCTCCCTCGGAGACATCTGGCCGTGAAGGTCTCTCAGGATGTGGATCTGAGTCTCATTGCTTGCTTCCGAGGTCTCCGCTCTCCTGGTCAGGGCTTTGATCGCTTCGTTCGCCTCCAGAAGCTCTCGCTCTAGAGACTCGTTACGCTCCCGTTGAATTCGGCTTTCGTTACGGAGAAAGTCAACTTGCCCCTGCGTTTTCAGGTGCTCGTCCTGTTTCGCCTGTGTGAGGCGTTGAACCTCATCTTCCAGCGATCGCATTCGCTCAACGTACGAGACCTTTTCATTTTCTCTGGATTCGCCGAAGTTTTCGATTTCATCCTCGGTCTCTTCCAGCCGTGCCCTCAAGGTCCTGATCTCATTTTCGAGGGACTTTCGCTCTTCGACAAACTCCCTCTTCAGAGCCTCCATGTTCTCCAGGAGGTCCTTCTTAGTTGAATTGGCTTCGTCGATACGACCTTCCATGTCCCTAGTACGGGCGGCAGCTTCTTGCCCAAATACAGCTGAGCGTTCTTTCTCAGTGTGCAAGTCACCTTCTAGTTGGGTAATACGCCGCAGAAGTGTCTCGCTGTTCTCCGAAATCGAGGAATGCCGTCGGTCTTCGGGCAGTCCTGGTGATCTGATCGAGGAGACAGAATTATTGCGCTCGTGGCTGCCAGGCTGAAACATGTTTCCAAGTGAAGGTCTTGATTCGGTGCTTTGACGATGAAGCAAGCCTTCTAGGCGGCGAACACGGCTCTCTGCCGTTTTCAACTTGCTCTCTAACCTAGTCTTCTCATCTTGCAGACTGCGTAACAGATCGTCATCACCCCGTATCATCAGGCCACTTCTACCTAGGGCAGCCTCGTGCACACTGCCATTCTTGGAAGCCTTCACTCGCTTCATTTGCTGTTTGGTAGGGTTGCTCAAGTCGTTCATCAGCTTCGAAATGTCTTCCAGCACAGTGTCGTCAGCCTTCTGGCGCCTGATGGCCGCCACGAACTCGTCCAGATCTTTCTTCTCCAGCGAGGGCCACTGTTCCTCGTCACCGAGCAGGTTCACCTCGAGACCTAGTACATTGTTCTCCGGCTCCTCGGGGCCATAAGTACTGCCCACCATCTTCTGCCATTTCTGTCGTCGTTTCAGTTCTTCATGCTGAAACACCGCCATCTCGTTGGCCAATGTTGAAGAATCTGCCTTGACCTTGTCTGACCATTCCTTTCGACGTATAGCTTCGGCGACAAAGGAGGCATACATGAAGGGGAGTTCTCGCAGCAACCGTAGGTAATCGAAAGTTGCCATCTCGTCTTCGCCCTGGTGGAGCGCGGCCATCTGTGTCTTGACCTGGTGGAGAAAGGTGGTGATTTCGGCAATGGAGCGCATGAACACCAAAGAGTCGGCAGCCAGCTCATTGCGGGCCTGAGTGGTAGATAGCAGCATTTCATCCATTTCCTGTGCCCTGTTTTGGATGCTAGGCAACAGGCGCTCGGTATGGTTCGCGGCGGTTTTGGACGCTTGCAGAACATCCCGGGTCGAAGTAGAGTAGCTCAATGTCGTCTGGTAGTCGGTGTCGACCTTCTTGGCCACAGCTTCAATGTCTTCCAGTAACTGTATGCTGTCATTTTTGTGCTGGAATATAGAGCGGCCAACGACCTTGTCAAACTCCTGGAATAGATCATCGCAGCCATTGAACATCCTGTCCGCCGACTTGTCAAACTCCACTACTTTGTTATTGAACTTGCGCAAAGAGGTGCCGGCGAGTTTTCCGGCCTTTCGGGTGGTCTCGAGGTCGACTAGATCCTCCAAAGTGGCCTGCTGCGATTTGCGTACGTCCTTGCCCGTCATGAAACGCACCATGGACGGAGAGATGGCAACGCTGCGGGCCAGCTCGAGGTAATATTCGAAGTTTGCGACCAAAGTCTCGTATTCCTCCTGGGAAGTGGTAACCCACTTCTTCATCTCGTTATATTTCGGGTCCATCGGCCGGACGGCGGTATCGAGGTTCGCCACAGCAGCGTCAAGGCATTTGGTCATGACCTCCATCTCGCCATAGCGAGCCTGCGCGGCCTCGGCCATGGCGGTGCAGTCCTCGACAATCTTCAGCGCCCAGTTCCTGCGGCCTTTGAATAAGTCTTGCCATGACTGCAGCGAGTGTGTGTCCTCGATGAAGTCGGGGGGGCTCGAGACGGTGTGCTGCTTCGGCAGCGGTGTCTCGGGTGACAAGGATGTGGGCGCGCCGGCGGCCGAGGCCTGTGTGATGCGGATGTCGTACACATAGATCTCCTTCTCCGACTGTATGTTCTGCAGCTTGACTGTCTTTCCCTGGGGCGTGAGGGCGATGATGTCCTGCGGCGGAATGGAACTGGGGTGCGCGACCCAGGCCTTGAACTCATCTAGGCTACGATGCGAGGCCGCGGTCAGTACCAGCCGGCTGGGAAGCTAGGGAAGGGAAGGGGGGCAGGAAGACATACGATGCGAACTGCGAGGTGTCAACCTGCAGGCGCTGGCCCGTATGGGCTATCAACACCTGCGTCTGCGTCGCCATAGTGCATGCATTCTCTCCAGAATACCTGGGTGGGAGAATGTGGCGATGTGTGGAAAGATATAGGGTATGCCTGGCGATGCTCAGAGTCCAGTGACTCCGGTAGGTAGACAAATGCGCTGGCTCAGGAGCAGTGTCATCCGCCGTCAGTGTGTACCGGGCAATCTTCCGTGCTGTTGACTGGCACGCGCGCGAGGCTGCTGATGAGCCGGACCGGATGGGATGGGTACCTAATCGGAGATAAGCTGGGGTCTTGTCTCTCGCCAGCGACGTCCACTCCTACTGTAAGTGACTTAGCGGAGGCCAAGCCGCCTGATTCCGCAGTCAGTCCCTGGCAGACTGGGGCCTGGTGGAGCTCGGGACTGCCAGCGTGATGTGCTCTGGATGCTGTCCCGTGATCCAGAAGATGATGGCAGTAGCCGGGTTCAGAACAACTCCCCATCCGAGCCTGCAAGAGATGCACGCACTAGGTTTCCTGTACCCCAAGAGGTCCAGATGGCCGTGCAGATGAGAGAATGTTTGTCCCAGTGTTTGCCCTTTAGCAGTGAAAGATTCCGAGCTGTTTGGACGGCGATTCTTGCTCAGAGCTTGCCCACCTTACCGGTAAGCTACCCAACTTAACTAATAGAACAACTTCGCCTGCGCCACATTTCTTTGCACTCAGTACAGGCACCTCTCAGCCACAGATTGCATGTTTGTACAGGACGCGTCTCGGCGTCGTGCACATGTCCACCAGATCGCAACAGAGGGCAGCATCTTTGTTTGCCGTCGTCATCTGGCCTTTATCCTCAAGTTTCTACTATGGATTCCGAACCAAGGGATGGGGCTGCTGAAGAACACAAACCGAGCCAGCTCTTGCTGTCGGAGGACGAGGGTAGGGTCCTAGAGCTTTACGACAGACTCCAGCACCTGCAGCTTGAGATCGCTCTCATCACAGCCCAGAAGAACTTTGAGCCTGGTAAAGCCTCAGCCTACCCGACAATTGGCGTCAAGAATGCTGACGTTGTGTTAGGGGACATAACGGCTCCGAATGTTGAAGCCGCCCAAAATAATCTACTAGAATCAAGGGCGAGATACATGTTGCGGAACGAGGTGGCCGAAGGGGTCATCATGTCGAACCCGGTACTTCAGGCGGTTCATGGAGGAATCAACGCGTCACTCATCGAGAGGTAGCCTCGCAGTTCCTTCATTCTTCCATCCTCACGTTCGCTCACCAAAGTAGGGATTTGCGCCCTGTACTGCTGCAAAGAGACCAGGCATCGACCAGTTTGGCTCAGCAGACCAGCTTGTCACGACAGATTACTGATGAGATCATCGAAGTAGAGAGCCAGAGCCTGCGAATAAGTCGAGAAAATGTCGATCTGGCATCGCAGGTACTGGCTTTGGCCGAAGAGGTCAACAAGCACAAAACGGAGCCGATCGAGGATCCTGCACAGGCAAACGAGATTGCCCAACTAGAGAAAGAGGTCAAGGCTAGTAGACAACGCTGGAGAGTTATGAAGGCGACTGCAAGTGCTGTAGTAGCAGGGAGTGGCGTCGACTGGGCAAGTAGCGAGGAGCTCAGATCTATTGTGCTCGACGAGGACGACGATGGTGTCTGAGGGACAACAGTAAAATAATCCGTCGGCGAGAGTAACCTGAACAAAGTCAAGAATACCCAGAGCTGCTGGAGGCCATGAGTTTGATTCCCAGCTCCATAGTCAAGCGTGTGCAGCGGGCAAAAAGTACTACCTAGGTGTGAGACATGCTCAGGTTATTGCCAGTCATGCCGCAGTCGAAGATGATGGACATCGGCCGGCGCAGCAAGGAGAGGACATCACTATTATCCCAGCCCATTCTGGGATACCGGCAACTTGGACATGCATCACAGGGCCCACAAGAACCAAGGCGGCCGGCAAAGGAACGTGTTGCGCATCTGCTCGTCGGCCAATGCGAAAGCTCTGGTCCCTGAATGAATAGGGCTTAGCGTGTTGCGGTCGCGTCAGGCCGCATATGGGGTAGGCTGATTGCGATAAGGATCACGGGTAAGGTGCTAGGTGCAGCGAGGTCAGATCGAGCTCGAGCTCGGCTGCCCGCCTTTTGGAATCAGGTACGGAGTATGATGGATCTTCTCATACTGATGGGGCGGGGGACTTCGTGAGCAGGGATGGCCAGCTCGCTTGGGGGGCAACTGGAGCATCACGCGTTCAACGTGAGTCAACAATCAAAGGGCAACAATCAGTCCATCCCAAAGAAACCATGGCTTCGGTTGCTGGTGCGTCCTCCTATGCCGAAATGCAAGCTTGCCTTTGGGCTGTGACCTCAATCGGTGGAGAACGGCTTTGTTCTGCGCCCTGGGCATGGCTCAAAGAAGGCAAGCCTGGCAGTGGCACAGTGCCGACTGCGTGCGTGGGCCTATTTGGAGTGAGATTCTTGGGTGCCGCCTGTACAGCCTGCCGGCGGAACCACTCAGTACATACAGTACATGGGTCACTCTTCTCCGATTGTTTGGGGCTAGCGAGACATGAATGCCTGACGGGCCTTGGTGTGAGCGATCGCGTGGAAAAGGAGCAACGAGAAGCATTGCCCCGCATAAAGCAGCAATGACAAGCATGGACCCAGCCATGCGCTTCAGCTTTTGTGCAGGGTGACGCAGAATAGTAGGCTTGACAGGGGAGCTTGAAGCTACAGAAGTACCCTCCCTCATCAAGAGGGCTTCGGTGGAAGCTCCGGACAGCTGCGCGATGCAATAGAAACAGTGTATGTGAGACTTTGCGCCCTTGCCATTCTGGGCTTTGCAGTGCCCATGGGCCGTGGTCCGTCCCATCAGGTACGGACGAGATTAATCTGGTCACGGCGCGCTCGCTCGCGAGCTGTGAGAATATGCGGGACAGCTAGCGTTGCACGATATGTTGCCGTGTGACAGCCTTGCAACCAATGCTCTGGGGATGCTCCAGCATCCCAGCTTGAGGCACGCATACGCGGCAGGAGAAAGCCATAATGTGGTAGTCCGGGGGTACAGTACACTATCGGTAATGCTGCGAGACTCTGCATGCAACTGGCTTTCACGGGCTCGGAACAAAGGCTGCGGTCAGACTGTTGCTATGTCCACGGGTGCGTCCATCAGGCAACGGACGACTCGACATTCCGTGTAGAGTCCTGGTTTGGCGACGTCCGGCGCATGTAGGATTCCTTCAATCTCATCTTGATGAAACGAGTATAGACGGATCGCGTAGCAATTGGTGGCGACCTAGACGGGAGAGAGGGCGCATCTTACGGAGACATTTTGGTCTGGTTCTGGAGTGAGACCAAGCCAGCATGACTACTGAGGTTGAGTTTGTCCGTCTCTGGTCTTCATCACGTCTGCAGGAAGAGTGCAGCATCTACAGTACAATACAGAAGACTCAACGTTGAAGGCATCTGGCGGAGCAGGCCGGTTTGGCTTGTTAGCAGCATTTGGTTTTGATTGGACAATGCTGAAGGGTGCTTTGGTGGAGAGCCCGGTGGCAGTAGGGAAAACACAGGAGTAGGAGGGGAAAGTAGAGCGCAGCACGGAGAGGGGGCCAGCCAGACTCCCCAAGCAGAAATGGGTGGGCGGCTTGGGTGGAAATCAGCAGTAGTAGTGACGACTGATGAGGGAACACTCATGCACCGAACCACCTACACCAAGCAAAATGATTGACTGGCACTGGACTGGACTGGACTGGTGCGGGAGCGACATGGCCAGGGCACGCCAGGTCCGGGAGCGCAGAGCTTGAAAGTACCTCGGGCGCTAACAAGGGACCGCAAGGTACTTGTGGTGCGGCAGGCTGGGGAGCTTGCCTCTCGGGCTTTGTTTACACAGGCGTGTGGGAGCGGCCTTGGTCTGGGAGGGTGCAGGTAAAGGCGCAGGCAAAGGGAGTGGGCAGATGCGGCCAGTTGATTGAAGGACGGGCGGGAGCAAGCGGCTTTATCAGCAGCAGAGGGTGGGCGTCTCCCATGGAGAGTGATGTGAGCGCAATGAAGACGGCTGCGGCAGGGCATGGGGCCAGGTGCCGTCCAGCGTGCGAAAGAGGAACTGGCGGCCGGCTTCAGCGTGGTGCGAAGTACACAGTAGGCGTTTGCGGGGGTGATGCGCGCAGAGGCACGAGGCGGTACTGTACATCGCGCGCGCAGGAGTGACTTTCAGTCGCGGGCGTTGGCTGGGGGCCTGGGTCAGCGCTTGCCCGCGACCCCCTCTGTTTGGCTCTGTTTGGCTCTGTTTGGCTCTGATCTTGCACCTTAGCTGGAGCGTGTGGTGTGCGATGTGGGTGGCTGCCCCTGCCACTCCTGCCACTCTGCCACTGTCGGCGGTGGTTCACGTTGCTTTGGTGCGAAGCATGAGGAGCACGTCGTGTCGTGTCTGCAGGTAAAGCAGCGGCGCGCACCCAGTTTGAGTCCTGCCCGCCCGCCTGCCCGCCCGCCTGCCTGCCTCTGCCTGGCCTGCGCTCCCCACGCCCCTTTGCAGCCCAGCCATCCAGCCAGCCAGCCAGCCAGCCCAGACCAGCTCGGCCTTCCTGCCTCTGGGGTGTCTGGGTCTGGCGGTGGTGGGTGTGCAGTGTGTGAGTGTGTGTGAGTGTGTGCGCTTGCCCGCCTCTGCCTTGTCTCTCTCACTTGTCCTGGTCGACTGGCTGACCTTGGCCGCTTCCCCCCCCTCTCCCCTCCCGCCCGCCCATTCTTCCCACACACGCAATCAGCCTGCCAATCGCCCGCCCATAGTAAAAAGGCACCCAGCACTCTCCCCCATACAAAATTTCCCTCTCTTCTCTCTCACCAAAATCTGCCATACAAATCTCCCATACAAATCGCCCTCCCATACAAAGTCGGCCTACACACAGCCTTCACACAAACACTCAGCCAAGGTGAGTACTTCCCCCAGTATGGCATTCCACTGCAAAACACAAGTCACCCCCATCTGCCCTGCAACAATCGCATCTGCCCGTCGCTATCGATCGACTGGATCCCATTTCGGCGTACGTTGGCATCGTCATTGGCCGCGTTCTCCCAGCGCGCGCACTCAAGCTGTGCACTCTGAGAGCTATCCGAGCTCCCATCGCGCAACACGCTGGCCCGGCCTCCCAGTCAACATTATCGCAGCCAACGCCCGCAATCAACGCGCCTTCGATCACCTTGCATCGACTGCGCAAAACAGCTTGCACAACCACAACGCGCTTTGCAATCACGTCCAGACTTGGTCAAGGTGTGGTGCTCGATTGTTTGCATCATGTTTTGAGCTTCAAGTCGCAATTGATGTCCAGTGCGATGCACAATGGCAGTTGCGACCGGAGCGCACCACCAAGTCTCGGGATGCTGATTTCTGCACATCACCACCTCTGCCCCTCCACCACACCGCGAGCGCGTCGCGCGTCCCAGTTGACGCCAGTGTGCAATTGCGCCGCCAAACACTACCATGTCACAACACCACTGCCTCCACACCACATCAACAAGCCAAGTTCTTAAGAATCCTTTGACTGACATTCATCGACCAGATGCCTAAGGAGACTACCAAGCGCAGCAAGGGCGGCAAGGTCGAGAAGAGAAAGACCAAGAAGGGTGCGTTTTCCTGCCACGTTTGCATGATTTTATGAGCTGCCGCTGATCTGTACTAGACCCCAACGCACCCAAGCGTGGTCTCTCTGCCTACATGTTCTTTGCCAACGAGCAGCGTGAGAACGTCCGTGATGAGAACCCCGGCATCTCGTTCGGCCAGGTCGGCAAGATCCTTGGTGAGCGCTGGAAGGCTTTGAACGACAAGCAGCGTGCTCCCTACGAGACCAAGGCTGCTGCCGACAAGAAGCGCTACGAGGACGAGAAGGCTGCCTACAACGTGAGTAGCCACCTCTGATGCATCCCTGGTGATGATAACTTTGATGTGCGGGGGCTGAATTGAGCTGACTAGGCCGACGATGAATAGGCTGGCGGTGATGACGAGGAGGACGAAGAGTAAGCACTCTTCGGCCTTTTCTGCTTCAATACGTCCAGTCTACGAGGTTTCACGATGAGATGACGGATGGTTGTCTCGCTTGAAGGGGCGTGGGGCAGAGGATGCTTCAGTTTTCCACTTTTTGCGTGTAATATGGGACTCGGTCAGGTGTTGGCTGGGTTTTGATCTGCTTTTTCTCGAGTCTACAGGAGACTTTTCGGAATGAGATACCTGAACAAGGGTTGGGGGAGCCCAGGTTCTCATCGCGCTGCAGCTACAGATAGCGAATGTACACTACCATCTTCTCCCGCCATGGCAGATACTCCTCGTAGATCCCCTGGTCCTCAAGCAAACTGCTCGGCGATGGAAAGCGTGATAATTTTAGACGTAGTCCTACAGTGCAATGCAGTCACACCATGCGCGTACATTTCAAGCCCTGCTTTCTTACCAGCCTGACGTGCTTGAGGGTGATTAATCCATGTAAAGCACCCGACAGTTGACGCGATTATGGCTAGGGCTGCGACAGGTCCATCTCGCGTCGCAAGATGGAGGGTACCAGATCTGGACTATGATTGGGCAATGTCTCTCTATCTGGTTGACTCGATTTTGAGGCTCATAAGCGCACTGACGATGAGTCCCATCCCTGTGGCTGCCTAAAATAGGACATAAAAGACATCTCTTTCCGGTCGGTCGGTTTCGACTTTTCTTCTTCAGCCTCCTCTGAGCAACGTCGTTGAATTTAAGAGGGTTGATGCTCGCCCACCTTCAACGGAGGGCTCCGCCAACAGCAAACCCGGGTGTCTCTGGACTCCAACTCTGGCCTTACCGTCCGTCAGTCACGTCAATGTGTCAACGGTCAACCCGGGCAAGATGTTGAAACTACTGCTTTGGCGCTGGAACGGTCGACCTGGAGCATGCGCGCGGCTACGACGCTCTTTACCGCCGAGGCAAGCTCCTGAATGCGGCCGTCCGGAGGCGTCGCTATTCTCCCGTGTTTTCCAATACGCGCCAGTGACTTGGATGTCAGTCAGCACATAAGCGATAGTGGATGCCGGCCCACCTACAGCCTGGTGCTGGCTCGAGTTTGTCGACCGCGAACATTTTCTCGACATATGGCCATGGCATGTAAAGCACCGCCCGTCGGCGACACACGGGGATCTCGTCACGATATCAGGCTGTCAACTCGATGTATGGTAGGTTGTCCATCATATTACACTGATCCGATATGAATCCATTCTGGTAGTTTGCCCTGGACAAAAGATACAGCCAATCTCTGCTATTCTCTTAATGACTGAGACACGTATCACCAGCTACAACGCCACTTGGCTGGAGCTGGAAACTTGCAGATTTCTGCTGGGTCGCTCTCATGATCTCGCGTGCTGCGATCGAGGCCCTCTGTACTGGTCCAATTTCCTTCCCGCATATGAAATTATGCAAGTGTTCGCGTCCGAGGCCGTCCGCTACGCCTGATCCGGGTACGGCCCAATCCCCTGTGCATCTTGCTCCATGCGAGTGGACGTTGGATTCGTGGCAGCCGCTCAGTGAACACCTCCAAAACATACCGTCAGACTCTCCTACCTTTTATCGCCTGACGCGTGCGGTCATTCGATGCTGTCCAGGCCCGATTCTTCACTGCAAATTGCCCCATTTGGCAGCGGCCACCCCGTCAATTTCCCACAGCCCTGGTTTTCTCCCTGAATAATGACACTGGGCTCGTCAAGATGTCGACATGGTAGCCATTTAACGCTTTTCCGCCGTCTCGATCCCACCCAGGTTGAAGTGCCCCAGCTTTTACCCTCGTCCGTCAAAGGATCCAGCTTCAATATTGCCATGCAATTTTAGGCTGGGGGGTCCAACGACTGAGCCGATAAGCGTCCCTGCCGGCGCTCCCTGCGGGGACTTCTCTTTTTATTCTATGTTTCAGCGCTTGTCAAGCCCCCGAGCCGAAACCCATTGGATTGGAGTATCTTCACTTGCCCCACGCGGCCAACTGGCCGGCCTGGTGCGGAGGGGGACTGAGGCTCTGCTTCTAATCAGTTCCATGTCCACGCTCTACTTCTCACCTATTTTTAATTTCATGATTATCACGCTATAGAGTCATTCGTTCACTTGAGTCCAGTTCGGGGATTATTGCGGGCAGCGACAGGCAGATACGAAGGGCATGCTTTGAGGATCGGTTCCGGAGTTTTCAATATGCTTTACCATGGGTCCTTGAACATTCCTCGAGTCGGATTTTAGCGATGCAGATTCAACGCGTTGCAGTATGAGTTCCTCGAACAGCCAGAACTCAGCGCTCCTCAGGGGCTGCTGTTATGAAGCCGAGCGCGGCGAGAGGGTGGCTATGAGTCTCAAAAACCTCCGACACAGGCTGTCCGAGGGCCTACACCCTCATCTTAATGGGCTTGTTAGTGAAATCTACAAGACCTGTCGCGCTCTTCGTGATTTGGCGGATCTATCACAGATTCACATAGTGCGTCTGCACACCATAGTCGATTACATCCAAGTCATCCTGCCGTGCCTGGTAAAAACATTAGACGACATATACTGGTACTGTAAGGATCATACCCGTAGAAGGGAGGCCCGGTGGAAGAAAATGTACAACGAGATGAATAAGGAGCTGCCCGGAACAACCTTACCTGCTCGATTCGTCATGTATACCCAGTTTCTTGTTCAACTGCAACTACGGCTCACCAAGTATGTCAGTGTCCGACTCCTCCGAGGATACAATATTAAACTGTAGCAGATCCTCAACGTTCGACCGGAACGCCCTGCACGTCTTACGCCGCCGCATACTTGATCTTCGGGAAGTGAGGGGCATTGGTAGGTTGACACGAACCCAATAGAGTATTACAGGCTAGTAAACAACACGATATCAGTTCCACCGGATCCGACACCACGCGCACTTCTGGGTTGGTATGAACCAACAGAGTATGGGGACGAGGAAACGGTACGTCAGTGGAGCGTCTTGAGACAGACGCCAAGTTTAACTCAAGTATCCAGAATACACATTGGGCCGAAAAAATCTTCAGTCGACCTCTCCTGGCAAAAACGAAATTGCCGAAGAGCAAGCGGTTAGAGTCTTCCTTCCCTTCAAGAGGAGAAAGCATTGTGCTGACGTGTATAGCAGACCTTGTGAAGCATTGAGTTCTCTTCATCGCATTGGGAAGATGAGCATGTCTCCTGATATCAAGATCCTCGTCAAAAGGTTGCGCATTACTAGTTATTTGAAGGCGGCAAACTGTCGGGGATCCCCATTGACTGACTTTGACACAGGACCTTTGACCACGGCCGACTCTCGGTGACATTCCTCCTACAAACTATACATGACTACCCCTATGTGTTCATCCGGACAGATCATGAAGGGCAACCCATGGTTTCCACGTACGGTGCCCACGAGCTATGCATTGAGCGTCGCGACAGTGCAACTTTGCAGTTCACGCGATGGAGTGAAAGCGAGCAGCGAACCAAGCTTTGGGCGAGTCTTGTCTTCACCATCTGGGAAGGTTTGTCCTACGTTCGTTTGTAGCCTCGGATCCTACCGCTTCATATTCCTGCCCGATTTAGCCAGCTCTCGCTAACAGTTCCCAAGAAATGATCTTGTTCCACTGCATATTTCTCTGCTTAAAGGCCCGGAGTATTCTCAGAGAGAACATCAGAGAGAGCGAGTACAAGCTGCAGGAAGAGGATGCACTGTTTCAAGCGTGAGTTGTATCATCGAACGCTTTATACCCATCGACTGCACCACTAAAACCCCCAACAGCAAGATCGTCGATGACGGTTTCTCCCATTCTCTTTCTATCTGCCATGACTCCCACACCGACCGCAAACGACTTTACGCGACTGTCTTGGACAGTCGAGAGTTGAAGCACTGCCCAGTTTGGACGGCATTCCGTACGTTACCACGAATCTCACAATAGCTTGCCATCACCACTGACCATGTGCAAAGTCCCGGTATCGCAGAATAGGACCTGGCTATTCCGCAAATCGCGACACCGAGTTTGGCTCCGTGGAATCAGACCCTATGTATTTTGCGAGAAGTACCGACCTCGTCATCAACGGAGGACAGCCGGTGCTTTTGAGCTCTACTTTGTCAAGGAGGAAGGTATGTGAGAAGTCTACATAGTTGGTTTATCGCAAGATGAACACACTCGGACTAACCTGCAATGTAGCGGCCAATCGCTTTTTGGAGGTCTTCGAGCTCCCTGAGACAGCATCCACAATAAACGATGCATCGAGCCAAGGGACTGCGGACCTTTAGGGGGAACAGAAAGTGTGACATATGCCACACATGTGGAAGAGCACGCAGTGAATTGGCGTTAACGATGATTGCCTCTGAAGATAACGAATCATGACTGACGAATTTACGACATCACGGAAAAATTCGCATTGAACGATGACACGAAGCCACAGTTCCAGGCAAACTGCATGATACCCCGGCATTATTAAGCGTTTTCGTCCCTCTATGCTTCTGGTTCTATGCTCTTTACAGGGGTGAACCTTTTCGCGGGATATTACCTAGCATTATTGATAATTCCTTTTCGTGGCAGAAGTATATCGTTCCTGTGGAAGAAGCATTCATTCTGCTTTGGTCAGAGGGTTCCGGGCGAGGATACCCAGGCAAAAATATTGGTAATTCAATAGTGATCAAACTCAACCTCAGCGTCCTCCCAAGTTATGGAGGATCCAATAAACCTTAGAAATCACCCATTTACGGAGATAATTGAGCACGTTCCTCTCAAAGTAAGAACGGGCAGAATTCAATCGCCATGTATTTATACTTTCGCCTGTCCGTATCCTCATATCAGTCTTGCCACTGCTTCTCGGCACGTGCTCCTGTTATCAGATTGCGGAGATTCAGGCGCGTGCTATATAGAATATTCTCAGTGAAGCCAATTTTCCTAACCTCAGTAACACCAGGGCCATTGATATCAGAGTCTCCGGCCACGTTGCCTTTTGGCCTGTGATGAACAAACAGACTTGGTGTCACGCTGATGCATCGCATTCCGTTGGCCCTCACTCGGCACAGGTCGCTCAAGTGGTTATCAAACGGCTTGTGCTGTCCCTCCAAGCCGAGATACTGTAGCGCCTTCACGGCCCCCGCGTAGGAAAGAGCGTACGCGTAACTGCAAATGTTGTCCCCGGGGACATATACGATGCGGGTCTGTGGTGGGTAATCCTGCCAGCTGAAGGACAAGTTTCCCATGATGTGGCTTCCAGGCGGAACGGTGGGATCGTCGTGAATCAAGACCTTGCGCGGATCCCTCTGCTCGGAGGGGATCTGTAGCCACTCGGGGAGGTGTTCATCGAAAGTGGTCGCGCAGACGCCGAACCAAAGCATATCCCAATCCTGCCCATAAGGGCTGGCTCCCAGGGGACCTGGCCCCTGACTCCAATCCACCTGCAATTGCTTCCCAGCAAATGCCACGTGAGTCAACTGCTTCTTCAGATTGACGTCCCAGTCCATATCGTCCTCCATAATAAGGGCGGACCCGATCCGCTCCTCAACAATCTTCTGCATGGCATTGATATGCCCACGCCACGAGCCGAGGTTGCTATCCCTCATATTAGGCCGGTCCCAGCCCTGTGAGTGTCAGTGCCAGGCGTCTACGACTCGATTAAAGTGAGCTTACCAAGGGTAGGGCCTTGTCAACGACCTCACTGCCATTCACGCCATCAATCCAACTAATCCGGAAACCCGTGAGGGCCGACATCAAAGTGAGCGCATCTCGCTTATCTGATCGCTCTGGCAACCCAATGGCGAAGACTTTGTGGAACTAGGATCTGTAAGTGACCAGCTTCCGATGCCAATCGTGGATGAAAACTCACGCCGAGGGTTTGATTGAAAATGTCTGACCCCCTCTGTCGTTCCGCCGTCACGGACCACGTATCCCCCCGAGATTCCTCTGTTGGCGTGTACTGGCTAGCGTGCCATTTCTTCGACGTCAAGGTAAAGGTCCCCAGACAGAAGAAAACAAGCAAAGCTACCCAGAACACATTGAACCCGACGATTCGGCCCATCCTCAGGTCAGAGAGTCTCCACCACAGGGACCCACCTTGATGCCAAGCTCTAGGTGATGTAGATAAAGGCTATAGCATCACCAATGGCAAGGCGCAACATAAGAAATATGAATGAAACATTAGCAAGGTTGGTAGATGAATTGGTGACAAGACCCGCGGAAAGGTAGAGAACGAGGATCCGGCAAAATTGATAGCCCCTGAGCCAATCCTAGTGCCATTTTGGATATGACTAGCGGGTAGGGGAAGCGGCTACAGATGCTCCTAGCGCTTCTCTCCACAGACTGCGTCGGTAGAAAGGGTCTAGATGCGATTAGCCCAGGAAACTAACTTCGTTGAGCATGATGGGGCCTTATCAAGGTTTGCAGCTCAGCTCTCTTCTTTCAGCGGACTAATGTCCACTACGAGCTTTCGTCAAACAGAGAGGGGACCTGCAACAAGTCCGGAGGCGTGTGCAGTAGCCCGAGATCCAGAGACCATAGAACACCGAAATGGTTCGAGATGTTACCTGCGATCTTCCCTGTTCAATGCTTAATGCAATCCAAACTACCAACAACTTCACACGGGACTTGATGTCCTCATCCTCTGTTGTGTTGGTGAAACTCCATATGCTTCTCTTACCCGTCTGTAAGGCCTATGAATGGGCTGTCTGCGTCGTCAAATACCCAGCTCAAAGATTCCAGTTGATTGATGTCACCAAGTTCATCAATTCCCGAATCGAGATCCAGGACACAAGTGCCTAGGCCGTCTTGAAACTCCCCCGTGCCAAGATTCTCAGTTTCGGATGTCTGTGGCGTTCTTGACTTATGTCGACCATGCTGCAAGACCACCCGCGAGAGGGACTGTAGTAACGCAACGGAGTCATTAATGGTGCGAACGAAATGTCCAGAATCCCGGTTCTCAGCCGATGCAGTGCTGAGTAACACGATAGCACGTTCGACAACAGCTGCGCTGGACTCTTCATGAAACTCGCTGGAGTGCTGGCCATTACCCGAAGAGTGCAGATGGTAGAATATGTGCATCATCCCACACTGGAAGACCAGAGCGTGCACTGGTGGGATGACTCCCCTCAGCGCAGCTGGAGCAGTGCGCGTGCATATATCAACAATCTCAGAACTGGCGTCCGTACAAACCGCAAGACACTCTCGGAATTTAGGTGTGCTTGGATCAAATGTGAGTCCAGGACGATGAATCAGTAATCTGGCAACGTGTTCCATCAACGGCAACCACACTGATGTCAAATGTTTGTGGTCAGAAATGCTTGACGGAGGAGAGCCAATATCTTCCGTATGATTCAGGGACTCGTCAAATCTGTCGTGCCAAGTACGTAACTGTTGATCGAGTCTGCTGATCTTTTCAGGCCCACCGCGACGATCCGTCGTTGTGTACAACTGCGACAGCATGGAAGATAGGACTCGACTAAGATGGCAGAATCGGATGAAATCGTGGACCGGTGTTGTCTCTCCTGGGAGGGGCAGACTCATTCCCATCCCAGACATGTCCTCGAGGTCGCCGTCTAAAGGGTAATCGACGTCTACATCGGCATCATTGACGGTTCGAGGCAGTCCATGAGCGATGGCAATCGACCTTTGTGGGGTTAGTAGTGGCAACAAGCTGCGATGAAATTGACGGGCGTCTTACTTGTCAAGGGCATATATGTACCACCACAGTCTTTTCCTTAGTTCGACCTCTGCTGCGGAGAACTTAAAGCGCCTGGAGTGTCGATGGAGTCCAAGAGACTGTGCCTTCTGAAGTAGGACCCCGCGGAGGTTTATATTGGAAGTGTGATGGCCAGTGATTTGGTAGAAAAAGGAAACAAGGACGACGCTTTGTAAACTGGACAACTGCCCATCAATCATGATGGCTGGGAGCAGTGACGCCGCAGCTCGGAGTAGCCGTTCCTCTCTATCATTGGGAATGAGGAGATTGAGCTGCGCATCACCTGTTTCCGTTGTGTTGATGAGAAAAATCAAAATGAGTTGCAGAAGCGTATTGTTGTCGTCGATGCCTGAAGTGTATACACCTCTTTGTTGCATGCGGGAGAAAAGCTCTACTCCACGTCGTGATATCTCTTTCGAAATAATTACTGGGCACAAGGATGCCCAAGAAACAACGAAATGCCTAATTTGCCTCATGATAAAATCAGGTTGAAGCCCGGATAAGGCGAAAATGGTATCCTGAGTCTGAAGGAGCGAGTCTCGGTCGAAACTAGGAGCCGACATTGCAGAACTTGCCGGGGTCATGACATGCATGCGGAAGCAGTTGTCTGGAAACCATCCACTGAATGCACCCCTCTCCTGGAGTGTCTGCTGGACTGACAGAATGAAATGTACTCCAGTGGTAGATCCTGCGAATCGTTCAATACCGTCACAGTCAAGTACGAGACGACCCATATGTCTAATGAGGGGCTCAGTTTGATCGGCTACCGCATTTATTGATGTTGGCTTGCCTCTGGGTACATTCGACCTCGGGGACACCATGTCTGTAGGGAATGAGGATCCGGCCTTGGGTGCTTGAGATCGGACGGCAGCATTTGCAACTTGTTCCCTCTGCAGTAGTTTTCTGAGCTCCTCATTTTCCGCTTGAAGTTTATCTATCTTCTGTTCAGCGGATGTATGAAAGCCGCGGATTTTGGTACGTCTCCGAAGCCTCATAGAGACAACACATGGCACATTTGCTGCTGTGCATGCTTTGCACTACGGATTATCGAAACGCGGTTAGCAAGACACTCCCAGTGCCTGAATGTTTGCAAACCTGGTCACATACAGAAGGCAAAGTTCCGTCACACTTCACCTTTTTCCTATGAGTCGTTAGCGAGCACTTATAGGTCTGTATTGAAGCCAATCATACTGTCGGCAACGGTCACTTCATTTACTTAGTATACGATCAATGTGTTTCGTTGGTTTGAACTTACCAGACCTGCCCAGGCACTGACTTCACGTAAGGGCCCTTTTGAGCCGCGGAAGAACCCAAGCCTTGGGATGACCCCGATTCCTCCATAGATTCGGTTATAGCCAGCTATGCATTCGTATATGAATTCTTCGCTCTACTAACCGCATATAGGACCTGCCACTGGTTCTAGAGTCGTCAAATGAGTCTCGGTAAGAGAAGGCTTAAGCCGTGCGAATGACATCAGGTGTGTGGAGAAAACCTTCGGGATAAGCTCTTATTCCGGGCGCTAAGATGGATACCTGCGACGGAAAGCACAACGACTATCGTGCCATGAAATATAATCCATCACATCACCAAATAAAAATTAGTAAAATCAATGGATAAACTTTCATTGATTGAAAGGTCTTCTGATTTCTGCTCTACACAGATACTGCCTTTCTTGCAAGACAGCCGCAATGCCTGTTTCAGCATATGATTCGCGGATATTTCGCAACCTATTCGGAACGGATGAAATTCGTGACGTCTTTTCAGATGATGCCTACGTGAAACGAATGATAGAGGTCGAGGCAGCGCTCGCCCGAGCACAGTCCAAATCTGGTGTCATTCCCGCCGCAGCAGGGGACGCCATTACCAAGGCACTCGACAGTGTGCAGCTTGAGTAAGCTGAGCCACCCGCAAATCATATATTGATCTATAGGCTGACTTTCGAAGTTTGGAAAAACTTGCTCATGATACAGATATCGTTGGATATCCGGTTCTTCCCTTGGTGGAGCAACTCGTGGTCCATACACCCCAGGAGACCAGCAAGTATATCCATTGGGGGGCCACTACTCAAGACATCATGGACAACGCCTCAATCCTCCAGATCCGATCTGGCTTACAGATAATCAAGCGAGAACTGCGTGAACTTATCACCACACTTGAATCTCTCTCTATCAAGTACCGCGACACTCCCATGGCAGGTCGGACACATCTACAGCATGCACTCCCATGTACCTTTGGTTTTAAGTGCGCCGTCTATCTGTCTAGCATACTTAGGCATGCCGACCGCCTCGACGAAATTAAGCAACGATGTCTTTTCGTTCAATTCGGAGGCGCCGCCGGAACTCTGGCCTCGCTGGGCACAGACGATTCGGGGGTACGCGTGCGCGCAGCACTGGCCGAAGAGCTGGGTCTGATTGACCCGCCAATCACCTGGCACGTCGCACGGGATAACATTGCCGAGATCTTGAACTTCCTCGCAATCGTCGGCGGTTCCCTCGGTAAGATTGCGCTCGACATCATGATCATGTCATCGAACGAGCTGGGGGAGGTGTCCGAACCGTTCGTACCTCATCGCGGCGCGTCGTCTACCATGCCCCAAAAGAGGAATCCCATCTCCAGCGAAGTCGTACTCGCAGCATCAAAGCTGCTGAGGGCCAATGCCGGCTTAGGGCTCGATGCCATGGTCGCCGATTTCGAGCGAGCAAGCGGTCCGTGGCATCTCGAGTGGGTCGCACTGCCTGAAGGCTTTGTGCTGGCTGCAGGGGCCTTACACCAGACCAACTTTGCGCTTGGAGGGCTGGTGGTCAATGTTGAGGCGATGATGAACAACTTGTGCTCCACACGGGGCTTGATCGTTGGAGAGGCAGTTATGATGGGTCTAGCTCCCTTCATCGGGCGACAACCGGCACACGACATGGTGTACGAAGCGTGCAAGGAATCCATTGAGAAACGAAGGCCGTTGCTGGACGTGCTGCGTGCCAACACCCGTGTCATTGAGACGATTGGAGAAGACAAGTTGGTGCAACTGTGCGATCCTACGAACTATTTCGGTGCAAGTCAGTCAATGGTAGACCGAATGGTAGAGCTGTCGAAACAAGGCGCTTCCGGAGCTAGTCGAATTGACAGTGCATCACTATAGAAAGTCTGAAATCGATTTCACAACGACAATGGGCTCTCATTGTAATATCCTGCATGGTGGGTGCAAAGCCACGCCGATATTCAAGATAGACAATGCCCGACACCTGTTGCAAGCAACAGGCGGTCTATACCGTATAAATACCCAACGAATCCAAAATATTGCAACCACGTACAATCTAGGTATTATAAAGTAACACTTGCAACCCGAAGTCGTCCATTGCAGAAACATGAGAACAACCTTCAAAAGTTATATACCTCGGCGGCGTGGCAAAAAAAAAAAAAAAGCAGTACTGCGCATAGCCTGGCTAACTAGAAGACAGACAGACTCAAAAAGCTGTGGAGAAGCTGGGAATCGAACCCAGAACCTTTTCCATGCTCTGAAGCATGCTAAGGAAACGTCATACCACTAGACCACACCCCCTATGATTGGTTGAAAGCCAGGCGCGTTTTTGAGCTCTATGGCTATGTCGACAAATTTGGAAGTGTGTGTGGAAAGCCCATCGAGACTAGGGCATCCTACCCCAGTCTCAATGCGGAGAAGTCAATTATCAAGCGCATTCTGTCGTTTACCCACATGGGAACTACACCTGGCGGACTAAAGTCGGCACGCTAACATACCGGAGAGAATGGAAACGAGCATTGCATTTGTAGGGCAGCAGACTATAAGTCGCCTATAGCTCAGGCTCACTGTGACTATTGGCCAGCAGCACCTCTTCGCACATGTTGATCCAGTAGCATAGCCAGGACTAGATCCCATACCTGATTATCTAGACAGGGATCTCGGAATGAATGGGGCGGTCGGAAGGGAACATAGAATGCAGCAAACAAATTGATGGCCCATTAGGTATGCACAACCTTTCGAGACAGGGTATAGTATTTCGGAGAATGGGCAGACCATTCTGTGACCAGAGTGGGACTCTTCTAGGCCTACTTGATAACAGGTATATTGATTCGCTGGGTTTGTTATTGGTGTCGAAAAAAAGAGCTTGAGTAGGCAGAAATGTCGTTCGTATAATTGTCATAAGACGTAGTCTTTAGGTTTCAAAAATTCACTCAGTAATAACGATAAGCCGTGCGCGCCTTTTTTACACCATTTCCATAAACATGCTTTGGCATTGGTTATATGCTCCATAACTTTACCAAAAACTCAAAAGGTACCATGTCTTACCCTGTGATATGAGAAGATACCTTGGATTCGGAGATACCATTGACAGGTTCTACATAAACAGCATGATAAACTCCCTTTCCTTCACTTCGCTATCCTGCCAATCCAGCACTTCTCTGAACATTATAAAACAACCAACCTATTACACCGATCAGTACCGTACGTCTATCGAAAACGGTGGAAGTTACATTAACCCAGTACAAAAGCCAAACCGATACTATGGCTACCGCACGAAGCACTGTGTTGAGCACGCCTAAGCTCCTGGAGCAAATTATGGTCAACCTCGATCAAACCACCCTCATCACAGCCGCCACCCGGGTACACAGCTTCTGGCACCGTTTGATACAGACTTCTCCCCAAATCGGCAAGACTATTCTCTACCCAGACTGGCGCCCGACCCTCGAGCCGAGATGCGGATTCGGAAGAAACGATCGCCTTCTGCTGCAGTGCCAACACCTTGTCACCGGCAGACAGGGCCGTGAACATACAATGAACAAAGGCGAGTTCCTGGAAAGCATACCGCTTCCTATCTACCACACGCTGGAGCACGACTCGTCATCGCCTCTCAAGGATATGCAGGTCGCCCATCCGCCCATCACCAAAGTTCGATGGCACCTAAACGACAGGCTGGTGGCTGCTACCAGTCAGGAGGAACTTGTAGACGGTCCCGGCTTCCCTGCCACGTACACGGCAGACTTCTATTTCCCGGACGGCGTGAGAGTTGGGCAGCTCTACAACATGCTCTCCGCCGGCAACCACCTTTGCCATGTCATGTGGCCTGAGCCCGGAAACCACCTGCGCCAAGCAAGCCGCTCCAACACCGACCACTGGGCCGACTTAGAGGCCGAGGAGGCCAACCGCGACAATATGCTGTTGATACGCCGCGTTCCGGTGGCAGTGCGTGAGGGCCAGACGCGGGATAAAGTCAACCTGAAAGTCTACCAGAAGAACCTTGTCAGCTTGAAGGGGGAATACCTCGACTTCGATTATGTGAGCCAATACGGAAAGGCCGGGGCCATGAGAGAGCTAATCGCGCGGATGCGTGGGCCAGAGCTTGAAGCAGATCAGTGGGCAGCATAGGGCGCTCGGGCGGTGACTGGAATTCGACACGAAACATCTTGACAACAGCGCCTATAGATTAGTCACACTTCGCAGAGCAAATAAAAGTCAGATAAAATTTAACTGTTTTGATTTCAAGCGATTAAAGAGTAAATAAGTAATCAACATGCATCGCATCGCATGGATTCTTCGTAGCTCAGCCAAGTCGTCCAACCCAGTCCAAACCGAGAAAACCCCCCTTTTCCTCATTTCCCTCGTTACTCTACCATGTCATTAGCCATACCAGCCCGGTCGGCTTGGACCAGCCAAGCCGGGGTAGGGCTTTCGTCATTATCGCGGTCTCCTGTCCTGCTCTAGCAGCTGCCATACCTCACGCCTCGCTTGCCCAGCTCCTTCCTGCCGACCGGGTCCTCAGGGAACACCCAGCCTCTCGTACGCTTGGCCTCTCTCTTCTCCGCCAGCTGCGGCTGCGGCATCCAGTCGTCTCGGCCCAGGGCCTTGCGCCTGGTCCCCTCGGCCGGGGCGCCGATCTCGCTCTTCCAGTGGCAGTGGCCTGGGGCAGCCTCGTCGCTGGCCATGGTGCACAGGCCCCACAGGGCCAGGCAGGCCGTGAGCTGCTGCTCCTCGTCGTCCTCGGCGCCCTCGCCGGTGGCCGCGAGCTGGACGCTGGCAACCTCGAGGTAGCCAAAGTGCGGCGTGCCTTCGGCGCCGTTGCGGACCACGACGAGCTCGATCTCGGTGAGGATGAAGCCGTACCGGCAGCCGTGCTCGCGCATGACGTGGTGCAGGTGGGCCAGGCCGCGCAGGTACTCGACCCTCTTGATGTTGCCCTCGACGCGCATGCCCGTGTTGAAGCGGTCAAAGCTCTTCACGAGCCCGACCACGCGCGCCGTCGGCTTGCCGCCGAAGATGGCTGCGGCGGAGGCCGAGTCACCAGCCACGTTTGCGGTGAAAATGTGGTCATTGGGGTTGGTAGGCTTGGAGGGCACAGACAGCTGGAGCGGGCGCTGCGAGGAAACGGCCAGGGCTGAGTTGAGCTTGGGAACATAGTAGGATGCGTAGATGTTGTGAAGCGCGGCCTCAGTCTCGGGGTGACGAGCCGAGGTTGCTGGCTGAGGGAGCAGAGGCGCAGGCACGGGGCAGTTGAGCAGTCCTGAAGCGCCGGGAAGAGAGAGGATGGTGGAAGAAGTGAAAGCAGTCCACGGGCGGATTTGGCGCACATCCCACCAGAAGTGCTTGGTGTTGGGATCCCGCAGCGGGAAGGAGATGGTGCGAACCAGGGACGGCGCCGGGTTGGCAATTGTAAGATAGTTCATCAACGTGGTGGAGGCAATGGGCTCAGGGGTAGATGCTATGCTCAACGGAGACGGCGCCCGAGGAGTGTACTGGGCGTACATGTACGACTCGACTTGGGGCTGAGTGACGGCAGGGACATAGGATGGCATCTGGCGGTAGGTGGGGAAGCCGTACTTCTCCAGCGTGGTGCCGTCCAGGCTGACAGTGGATGCGCGGCGCGATTGCGACTGATCCTGAGGGAAGATGACAGGCGAGCACATGAGGGATTGGGAGAGCTGGCTCTGATCCTCGGCCTGGGTGAAGTATGAACTGGCGAACTGGTTCAATGTCTCCGGGTTGGTGAAGCTCCGGGTGTGCGACGGACGGTAGGTTCCCTGGCGACTTCGCTTGGCAACCGGCGCCGGCAGGGTCTTGAGACGCTTCGGCGGCGAGCTCTTGATTTCTTGGTCTTGCGAGCGAATCTTGGGCAGCAGAAGAGGGCCATGCTGCCGGATCGGAGGAGGCGAACGCGAGGGAGTTGTGACCCGTGTGCTGACCGAATCGGCTGGTGACGACTCGATGGTGGAGCAGATGGAGCCATACGAGGTTGTGCGAGCATGGCCCGGGTGGTAGGGGATCTCGAGGAATGACGGATCAAAGGTGAAGCTCGGCGGCGTGGCGGGCTCGCAGGAGGGATATGTGAAAAAGGACATGTCTGCTGCCAGACTAGATTGTCCGTGTTAGTCGGTGTAAGTGGGGACACCTGGAAGACCAAGAACCTACGAAGCCATGTTCAGAGTATGTGATGACCCGTTGTCTACTGGGACAACGAGAACGGGATTAGATTAAAGACTGAAGAGGGAGGCCAGCTCCGTGTCGAATGTTCTTGTCGGGGTCGATATGTACGGTGACGGTGTAAGTTGCTGTGAAGCAGGAGAGGGAATGGCCGAACTCTCCAGGTGATCTAACTACCCAACTTGAGACAAGGGAGAGGAAAAGGGAAAAAGGAAAAAGAAGGGTTGGTATTGGACTGAGGCGGTTGACTGATGGAGAATAACAGCAGACGGAAATGTAGATGGGGATGAGCGCGGCTACTTATCCTCGAGAACGACGGGCCACGATGGGCCGGCACAATCAGCCCACCAGAGCCTCTCATTAGATGATGTAGATGGCATATGCAGAGAGCGACCAGGGGCGGATCTGAAACATGGAGAAAAGAACTACAGAAAAGTCGGCTTCGACGTAAGCAGCATGTACGGACCCGATCGAGTTTCCTGGTCTCTGGTCTGGCCGGATGGGCCTGGTTGGGGCCCAGCACTGGGCTTGGGTTGAGGTCGAGGTGGAAACGGCGGCATAGTCACACGTGCGGATTCGAGACTTGGCGCCCATTTGCACTTTGCGGCTGCGGCGAGCCATAGGCGCTGAAGGCCGTGTAAGTCGGCAACGGTGAGGCACTATACCATGGTACAGACCAGAGAGACAGGACAAAGTTGCGTGCCGCGACACAGTGTCTGTGCAATGTCGATTGCGGGCGACCCCTGTGCAACTCATCCGCCGCCCGGCCTATCAGCGCCCGTCTCCCAGGGTCTTCACCGTCGCTGCCCGATTCTGCACACTGACTGGATTAACGGCTTGACGTCCCTACCCGGTACGACGTCCCAATGCAGTATGCAGCGTCTATGACTCACTCAAATTTAGACACATGGCGGGCCCCTCTGCTGCATTAGCCCTCTGCTCGATAGTGGATAACGCCGACGGCAGCGCGCAGAATGGGACCCGTTGCACCCCCGGTCGTGTTGTGTTGTGGGGGGTCGGGGGGTAGCGCATCACCAAGTTTACCATTCGACGCGCCTTCGAGAAGAGCGTCCAGTCGCGACGGCACACGACTGCTGCGCGCAGCACGCCAGACGTGCCATTGTTTGCCGCGACGAACGAGAAGGCTCGCGACAGCGTCTGCTGCCTCTGCGATGAGACTGCGCGTGCAGCTGGCAAGTGACGAGCGCAGTTGTCTGCTGCACCCGCTATACTGTCGCTCCTACGATACCACACTGCGCGCTCTCTCTCCCCCCTCTCCCTCTCTGTGCCCGCTTACAAGCGCGCGCAGCACACTCACAATTCCACACCCACCACTTGTCGCTGGACGCCCGTACGTAGCAATCTTCCTCAGGTTATCCAACCCAGTCGCAGACCCGGTTGCGGTGCTTCGGGCTGCTATGATTCGATGCCCCGTCTAATCTTCGCATGCGCCTGCTGGCGAATACTCGGAAACCTTGCGACCGAGACATGCTCGCCGCTGAAGATGCTATTTTTGGGACCGCACCGGAATGATCGCTCGTCTGAAATCTCGCTTCCCGAAGCGCGGGCGGCTACTGAAATGAATGCACAGATGGGAAGAGCCGACGACTCCGGTGCAGCGGGAGCAGCAGCGCCCCCATGTCTTAGACGCTGGGGGGCGCTGGGGCAGATTAAACGCGCCGGGCGGCTAGACGACCTGGAGGTACAATGCGAAAAGGTAACTTTTCCCAGCGCCTGCGCAGATGCCCTCATGGAAGCGTCTACAGCCCCCTGCGACGACCCCGACAGGCCTGAGGCACCGCCAGAACGGCCCTCGGGCTGACAGGACCGTCGGCGGCTGTCTCATCTGCTGAGGTCAGGTGGCTGCCCACCATGAGCGGCTGTAGAGATTACCGGTGGGCTTGGAGGGGGGGGGGCGGCCGCCGCCCGTATGATTACCGTCCCAGTCAGGTTTCTGCTGTTCGTCTGTCGCGCGGTAACGGGCCCTGGGCGGATAGCAGCCTCGACAGCTGACAGGGCGCCTGAGAAAGGGCATGAGAGAGAGCACAGCCTCAGTCGCCCGGCGCGTAATCACACTCGCGCCCACCACCGTCCCCCCGTGACGAGCGTGGCTCACCACGCGGAGCGCTCCAGCCACGCTAGACGGGCTTGCGTCGCCCATTGGCCAGCCGGCACGCGCCACCATCCATGCGGACGCGCCTCTGCCCGCCGTCCAATCGGCACCGCGCGATTCGGGGACCCCACCGCCGCGACCGTGTGCTTTTCGGGTCGATTGGCCGTCGGCCGTCGTGAGCCCGGCCGCCCTCGCCCCGCCGCGCACCCATTGGGCCGTCTGTCTGTGTTTCAGGTTTCTCTAGCTCCCGGAGCTGCTGGCAGAGCCAGACCGCCTGGCTGCGGGACTATAGAGCCGGTACGTGTGTCCCGCATTAGTGTCTATAGCAGTGACTCATTCTCGACCTTGGTAACATGCGGTCGCCTGTTGCGCTGTGTCCAGACGGGCATGGTTTCGCTGCAGACGACGATGATCGCTGGGGACCCAAGGCGGTGGGTGGCCATAGCTCCGTACATATCCAGCTTCAAGTCATGCATAGGCCGCGAAGACCAGTGGGCCAGTCCGTCTTGGGGTCGACGCGGAATGCCGATCCGGCTGTTTGTCTACACCGATTGCGTTTTTTCTTTCCCATTCTAGAACTCAAAGTCGATCCATGGAAGATGCTGGTGTTCCAAAGTATGAGTCTTACCTCGGAGTCTAGTGGCTCAGAGACAACAATGCTGAAGAGTTGTATATGCAGGGGCACTGATGCTAGCTACTTGGGATCGGTCCACGAACTCACCTTAGCATCACCAGATGACAGCTAGTGCGGTGACGAAATATTCAGTCACTGGTTAGCTGACCAGCTGGATTTCTTGGGGCTCAACACATTCGCACTTGAATGGGTCCGCTCGAAGGTCTCCTTGGCGGCCGTCGCCCTGACCTGTTTCAAGACCCTTCGGATCACCAGACATACATACACTGCCACTTCCCGACAGGTCATCCGGTTACGTAGACCAGCGTCGTTCATAAAGTCCTATGGGTTGCCTCCGACTCTAGGGACTTTCATCCAACGTATGGGATAAACGGCTAGATGGGTATTCGGCAACATGGGAGGTAACGTTGTCGTCATGGGTAGGAGCAGAGCATGATATACACACATGGGCGTGGCTCGACACACCTCTTCAGTTGTCTATTCAATCCATCTTTCTGATCTGGGGTATCAAAAAATCGCCACGTTGGTCGCTCGCATCGCCCTTCTGGCTCTGGGCAAGCGGCTGTCTCCGTCATTCCTCTCTTCGACCTTGTCGTAGGCCAACATTACCGCGGCTCATTCCCAGAAAGTGCTGGGCCTGTCGCACTGGACTCACCACTGGCACCACTAGGATCGCCTCCGTCCGTCGAACCAACTGTTGAGGGCCCTGCCTCATCCTCTATCTGCGGCGCAAGGGAATCAATGATCCCAGAGTCGACCACACTCTCCATCTGGCGTCGAGCTTCCAGCTCATCGATTACTTCCTCCGCCTGTGGCCCACCTACAGAGTCCATCCGGAATACTGGGCCTGTGGGAACCTCTCGGAGTTTGCGGATTGCTCGGTTCAAGCCAGCCAGACGTTCACGTTCAAGAACAACCATATTTCTCGCGAAATCCCGCATGGCACGCTTGCCCATTTTCTCGTGCATGTCTTGCCAACCGGCGAGCTCGCCGGCGACAACCTGTTGAGTGTATCGTAGTTCCCGACTCAGCTCGTCGACCTCCTTCTGTTTTTCACGCGCCCTCTCCTCCCTGTCCTCATTGATCCTCTGCCGTGTGTCGTCCAGGAGGCCCAACGGCCAACGGGTAGAGCGGTTGAGCGAGTTGTATGAACGTTCGATAGCCCGACGAGATGCTTGGATCTGGGCGACAATCTGTGGCGGGCGCGCGAGTGCCGCTAGCATAGCTGTCATGGTCGACTGAATGGCCAAAAATGTAGAATGGAGTGTTTGCGTCGGGGCGGACTGCAGAGGTAGTAGAGTCCGGACATATGCATCAAACGCAGAAATATGTGTTTGTGGCAGGAAAGGTAGGTTGCCAACTTGTTTGTTGAGGAGACTTGCTGCTTCGTAGAGGTCTGCATTGTGTCAGTGTTTATAGAGTGTATCGATAGGGGTGTTTGGCTTACCAGTACTCGCCACTGATAGCCCGTTGGTTCGTCGCGCAACACTTTTCGTTGAGTAGTTGACGCTGCGAACCATGTCACGGGCATGATCGACAAATTGCTCCACCTCACGGAGATCTTCAAGCGGCTCATAGTCGTCGTGTACGTTTTCAACGCGTGTCTCAGCTTTTAGCTTGCTACGCTGCTCTATCATGTCCGGTTGCAGGTCGGGCACAAGGAAAAACTCCCATAACATTTCATGGGTTGCGAAAGTAGGATGTGAAAGCAGGATCTTGATAAACCAGTCGGCACGCACTTGGATGTCCTTCAAGACTGCCCTCGAGGGTTTCGATGGGATCTGAAAGGGTGTCCGCTGGCTGTAGATGGTTGGGATCCACGAAGCAGGATTTTCGATTGACAGTAGGGTTGCGAGACGCTCAAAATCTGCCATGGAGCGGCGGCACGTCGTGATCGTAAAACTGTTGTTCTCGCTCGGCGCGCCAGACTTAATGACGAGCCGGATGGTGGCATCTTCCACGAAAAACGACCGCACGACACCTGTGACTCTGGCATCGTCGCCCGCCGGCATAGAGAATAGGGTGAGGTCGTCTATTTTGTTGCGAACTTCGTCATCTTTGGCCAATTCCACGGCGGTCAATCCCCGGAGGTCTTTTGCCGCGACGTCGACTCTTTGGTCTCCATACAGAGCCCGCACAATGTCATAACGGCCGTACTTGCTGGCTAGCATGAGTGCCGAGAACTTCTTCTCATTGGTTGCATTGACATCCACGTCACAATGCTGAAGAATTCGCAGGGTCAGAGATGCATCGTGCACAATGTGCAGGAGCGTGTTGCCCTTGGCATCGACATGATCATCCAAGTGCAAGGGCTGGCCATCGCCCTGAGACTCCGTCGCGGCTTCGAGTCCAGCTTCCACCATGGAGTGGTAATTGGTATGGTCATAGGAACGGCATAGAGAGAATAAGGGTGTCAGCCCATTTTTATCCTTTTGCCGCCATGGGAGTAAATTCCCGATGCGCCCGATCAAGAAGGGCGCGTGGAACAGATAGTGCGCGACGCTGCGGCCCATGGTGTCCTGCAGCGCAATGTACTTGGCGAGATGCCTTCTGTCGGTTGCACCCATGATGAAGTCCAAGATAATATCAATCAGCTCGGTGTGACCCAGCTGAACAGCAGCACTTAGCAGTGTAGTGCCTTGGTTGTTACTGTCCTGCAGGATCACATCGGCCGGGAAAAACTCATTTAGAGACAGGAGATATCTCAAGGTCTCGGGCCTCTCGTTCTGGATTGCCATCATTGGTATCGATTCCCCGAAGGAATCTTGTGTTTGACATAGACGAGAAACGGATGTGTCACCCTCTATGCCGCTGCCTAACGTCGTCGCAATACTCGCGGCTCTGGAGTGATACGAGAATTCCGAGCCGCTAGACATGCTCCTAGTATCCAAAGCCACCTTTTTGACACGCTTGGCAGGAGTGAAGGATGAATCATCAGTCACGCTATTCTGAAAAGGGAAGACATGACTGAGTCCTGAACCTTGCGAATAGGCTTCTGATATGCTGTATGCTGTGGACGACCTTCTCGATGACCCGTTTACCATGCTCCAGCTGACGGATGGCGCATGACAGGAGATAGGGGATTCCAAAGGCTCATCTTCAACGGCCTCGGCATGGGGATCCATGATTTTCTTGAGTTCTGCAGTATCACCCTTGGCTGTGGCATCCCACAAATCCTTATTGCGGCGGCTTGCCCGTCTCAGCGTGCTCGAATCTCGCATCAAGTAGGATAATCCCGCCTCAAAGGTACTCAGGGCATAGCCCATCTCACCGCTTTCTACGTCGTCGATGAAGATGAAGTGCTTCATATACTGCAGGCGCGCCTGCAGGTTCTTGACACCAGCCCTTATGACCACGTATAGGAGCAGAGAGACCAGTGTGTCGGCGTTGACGGTGAGAGGGGGCTTTTCGGCCGTTGGGGTTGCGCCAATCTCTGGCCTCGGCTGTTCAGTAAGAGTTGCGACTGCCTTCATGGTTGACAACAGCAATTCCAGCATCTCTTGAGGGCACGTTGCCGTGAACATACCCCCGAAGTATACGATTGCCTGTCCGAGCCGCACAGTCAATTCGCGCTTCTCCTTCTGGCCGCCCTCCATCGCCAGACCTAGCTGGGAGATGTCGATATACTCCATTTGACGTATCTTGGCTTCCAACTCCAGGTCTTCGGCGCGGTGCATGGCAGCAAGCCGGGTCCATATGAGGCTATGAACGTTTTCGGCGACATACTTCTCGATCAGGCGTTCAACTACAGGGCCCGTGAGATCGGTAGTGGCACCGAGCATGGAGAGTTGTTGCTTGTCCACGTTCTGAAAGAGATCAATGGCAGTAGTCACAGCCGTTTCAAGCGAAGCTCTCATAACGTCTTCATCGTCCTCGGCAAAGAAGTTCTCCGTTGCTCGACTTCGACTCGAGGCAGACCCATTGGCACTAACACTGACGCGCCGGCCGGGAGTACTGCTAGACCGTACCTGTTTCATAGCCGTAGCGATCGGACCGTCCGGCGTTGGATCGGGGATGTGGGCAGCGGACGGGGGTGGCGGAAGCGGTCTCTCGAACACGGTGTGGAACTCTCGGAACAGCTTGTCGAGCCCTGCCTGCATCTGTCTGGCGATTATCGGAAAATTGGCCAACAGATCATGGAAGCTCTTGATCTCCTTTTTCCGCGGCAGGCTTGGTTCCCCATTCTCGATGGCGGCAGCTTGCCTGGCGTCTGCAATCTTCCTCTTGGCCATGCCGGGCGAGAAGACGGCCTTCGGGACTTGCACCTCCTCCCACGTGCCCACCAGTGGTCGCGATATGTAGTATATCAGCCATTGCTTCGGTTCCAGCGTATCGGCGTACCAGATGGAGTCGCTAAGTATCTGGGCCTGGGCCAGAGTTCGGAAGCCTGTTGTTTCTGAAGGTCAGTGGTGTGGCGTGCATTTGGTCGCGGTGCACGTTACCTTTATTGCTGTAGACGAAAGCATCCTTGACGACGACACTGCGGCCGTTGAGGGTGTTGTACTGGCGCGCCTTGCCCCTTAGCTCCCGTAAGTTTCCCACGCTCGAGTCCTTCCCTCCCGCCGAGGCGGCGCCACTGGGGATCTTGAGCACATGGCTGCCCAGGAAGTCTTCGGAGGCCACGAATTCCGAAGGCGACTGGCCGCTCTCGATCTCGCGGGAGGTGAGGAAGAACTCGGTCGTGGGGACAAAGAGGATGTAGTGGTGCACAGGCGAGCACTGCGCGGCAGTGGGATTCCCGTGTCGGAAGAAGGCGGCCAGGAAGGGGTTCAGAGGAAGCATTCAAGCAACGGTCTCCGGGAAGCTCTGGATGCACCTCCCAGCCGCGTGCCGGGAATGATCGACGGGATCGTGGTGGTCGCCGAATGGGTGGACGAAGCTCGATACCGGCTTGCCCGGACTGCCAGATGGCCGGATCTGGGTCTGGATCGCGGGTCGCAGGTCGCCAGGGGTAGCTTCAGGTACTTGGGGCGCAGCTAAGAAGAGCCGACGGACTGTGACGGGTCGGAGCGGCGGTAGGGGACGTATTATCGCAAGGCCGCGAGGTAGCTGCGGAGGAGGAGAGCGACCGTCGGGGTAGGCGTTGCACGGGGCGCTGGCATCGGTATGTAGATAGTTGTAGGACTGGGTTGCCCTTTTACCATGTGCAAGAGGGACCGTATCGCGAGCAGGGAGGTCAGATTGGGATTGGATTGGCGTCTGGGGAATTGACGTGCAGATCGTTGGGAGCTTGGAGTGACGCAGTTCAAAGGAGCTGGACCGTGGACCCCGGCCCTAAATTGGACGACTGTGTACTAAACTCCACCCCTGCCGGGGACGACCAGCCGCTATCTTGGTGAGCCTTCAGTGAGACCTTTGGCCTAGCTTGCAGCACCTTATGGTAGCTTCTCCAATCCACGGCGCTTTCTTCAGGGTATTAACCATCTCATCCAGGGTGCAGGCCGCAGTATCAGGAACGGACTGGATGCATTGTCACCCAACATGAATTTATTACGGAGTATCTCAGTTAGAATGGGATTGATACATCTTCCACTAGGTGGAATGCAACCGTGATGGATCACTTCTTCACTGCGCCAACCAGTAGGAATGTCGGTCTGATGAACTCGGTTTCCCAGCCAGGCGACCGCTTGACATCTTCTTCAGTCGGACACCACTCCACGAAATCGGTGAGCTCGAACCCCGAGTCCAGCAGCAGGTTGATATATGTTCCCAGCGTGCGGTGCTGTTTCCTGACCCCATCCACAAACCAGTTCCGGATTCTCAGCCCTTCCCTCTGATACGCATCCAGCGGCCAGATCTTGCGCCCGTCTTCTATCGTGACAAAGCCCCCTTTCGTCGGCCCCAAGTATATAGGGTGCTCGATTGAGAAAACGAGCCTGCCCTTCGGCTTCAGCGCCCTGGACACCTCCTGGATGAGTTCCGGCAAGTTGACTAGATAGTGAAACGCCAATGCGCTGAAGACGACATCGTACTCTCCTTCGGGCAGTTTGAGCTCCTCCAAGTCTGCCTTCATGTACTCGATGGCATCCGTCTTGTTTAGAGCTCGTGCCTTGTCCAGCATGTTCTCGGAAATGTCAATCCCTCGGACGTGGGCGGCACCGTTCTCAGCAAAGTAGCGCGCATACCAGCCCATACCGCAGCCGAGGTCGAGCATCCGGAGACTATCTAGAGAGTCTGGTAGCATCGCCCGCAAGCGAGGCCATTCCGGAGCACCCTCGAGGCCAAGTTTCTGCCGGTCCAACTTGATATACTGGTCGAAAAAGTCTGCAGTGTCATATATATTCTGCGACCCTTCGGCGCTGCTGGTTCCTGTCACTTTCGAAGCCATGTCTGGACGTCTCTTTTCGCTTTCAGAAGCGCAATGGATATTGCCAACGGCAGAAGCTACGAGTGCGTCGAAATTACAGTGCTGTTCAACCTCGCTGAAGAAATGCGTATCAGTCTGCGGTGGGACCTTAGGCATTCGCGCAAATGACTCAACCGGCGAGCTAACTAGGCGCTGCAGATTCCGTGATCAACACCAGCCGCATCGTCCAGCCAACTCCCAGCACCTGTTTTGAAGATTGTGTAGGCTTGCTTTGATTTCTGCTGAGGATTTGCAATTCAGATTGGGGGAATTCTCTTATTCCAGATTCACAGCCAGTTCATTTCAACCATGGTTAGCTTCTTTCCCGCCGTCACATCACGATTGCTTTGTTACATAGTAGCTACAGGCAAGTAGTTCCTGTGTCACTTGTCGCAGGGGGCCTTTGCCAAGAGCCAGCTGTGGCGTCGACGCCAGAGTGGAGAGCTTCCTAGGTATACTAGATACCTATGGAGACCCGGGAATAGTGGAACCCAGCCTCAATAGTATTGTGACTACACAGCGACCTGAGGCGAAATGAAGCTATGCATCGCATCTATAGAAATTCCATATTCTCGTATCTGCTGCGTACTGTGTGGGTAACCAGGCCGTTATCTCGTCCAATTACTTGCCCAGCACGGATGCGGCGGAGGAAGCTTCAGGGCCATTAGCCAGATACGACCCCGCCGACGTCACTGCAGGTGATGAGTGGCACGGTATTCGGGGCTCGCAACGAATCCCGTTCCAGAGCTTGGAGACACCTTTTATCTCACCCTGCGTGCTAAACCCTCAAAAGCTGTGATTGTTTCTTTCCCAGTTTCCTCGCATGAGGCTCCATCTCATCGCCCTTCCTGCTCGGATCAATTGCCCGAGATGGCTTCCCTATTTCCCACCCAATATGCCCTCCACCAGAGCTTTGGCTCTCCTCTAAATCAACCCAAGAAGCCCACCCCATACCAGGCCCGAACCGAGCTCTACGGAGCTTACTCCGTGGTCGACGATGCGAAGAACAAGGCTCAGAAGCTGAGCAAGGAGGCCCAGGTCGAGTTCGACAAGGCGAGCTCGGCGGCCCAGGCTAAAGCAGGGAAGATAGAGCTGTACTCCGGGAAATACTATGCTGCCTGCACTTTTGGTGGTCTTCTAGCTTGCGTATGCGATTGCGCCCCATCTTTCCTAGCTGTTGGAGAAAGTGTGCATGTACTGATCAAGGCACTAGGGTCTCACGCACACTGCTGTCACGCCGCTGGATCTCGTCAAGTGTCGCCGGCAGGTCGACTCCAAGCTGTACAAGAGCAATTTCCAGGCCTGGGGTCTCATCTACCGAGCCGAGGGCCTGCGCGGTATTTTCACTGGTTGGAGCCCGACATTCCTCGGATACTCGGCGCAGGGCGCCTTCAAGTACGGCTGGTATGAGTACTTCAAGAAGACATACTCCGACATGGCTGGCCCCGAGGCCGCCTACAAGTACAAGACCGGTCTCTACCTCGCCGCCTCGGCCTCGGCTGAGTTCCTTGCTGACATCGCACTCTGCCCCTTCGAGGCTGTCAAGGTCAGAATGCAGACGACCATTCCAGCTGCCTACAGCGGCACCTTTGACGGGTTTGGCAAGATCACTGGTGCAGAGGGTGTTGGTGGTCTGTACAAGGGACTGTACCCACTCTGGGGCCGCCAGATTCCTTACACCATGATGAAGTTTGCCTCCTTTGAAACAATTGTCGAGAAGATTTACGACCGTCTCCCTGGACAGAAGAGCGATTACGGAAAGGCCGCCCAGACTGGTGTCTCTTTCACCGGCGGTTACCTTGCCGGTATTCTCTGCGCCATTGTGTCACATCCCGCCGACGTGCTGGTCAGCAAGCTCAATGCCAACCGCGGCGCCGGTGAAGGTTTCGGTGCTGCGGTTGCCCGCAACTACAGGGAAATCGGCTTTGGGGGTCTCTGGAACGGTCTTCCCGTCAGAATTGTCATGATCGGTACCCTGACTGGCCTGCAATGGATGATCTACGATTACTTCAAGATCTTTATGGGTCTCCCCACCACCGGTGGTGCTGCGCCTCCGGCTGAACAGAAGTGAAGCACTTGAAGTCGAGCAGGGCATTATTTTATGTTGTTAACTCCGTGGGACTGGTCTCATAAGTTTGGTTTTTCTTATCGTCGTCAATAAGATTGTACGAGCTGTACACTATTAGCTATTACAAAATGACAAATACAAAGATATCCTCGTTGCCCACGTCTTCGTCTCTGATATTTCATTCCATGCTGATCAGTGACCAGATCGTTCTTATCAGGCAAACCACTATCCAGGCCGAATTACCATGTTATCTGTTGCTGGACTTCCTGTCGAGCTTCAGAACTCCGCTAGCCAGCTGTGTTGCTGTGATGGTGGAAAACACGCTTGATGCGAACGCCAAGATCGCAGAAGCCATTTCTCCTTGGGGTTCGGCAGGTATCGCACCAAAGGTGAGGGGTGCAGCAATCGCGGCAGCCCTGCTGACGATGACGGAGACGAAGAAGACGCGGAAGTTGACATTGAGCTTCCTCGCATCCTTACTACTCAAGTAATCGTTGAGGACCGGCACCACCGTGCAGTAAATGGCAAGTAGCTACAAGATGGCCTGGCTCAGGACACTATAAATCGCCGCGTTGTGCCTCGTAGACGACGCTGCGTCGCCGTGGTACCTGTCACAGTCCGTCTCCTTACCCGAAGGACAGGCACAGTCTGTCGATGTTGCGTCGCTGCATGTATCGATGGATCTGTAGGATACTATCGAACAGCCCAAGAGGGCGCTACCTGCAGAGATAAAGAGAACGACGAGACACAGGAGCACCGCTTGCGAAATGTATGGCTTTGCCCAATGCTCCGGCTTCGCTGGCAACCCCAAGAAGTGGGACATCTTCTGCCGCACCACCATCGCGATCGTTCGATCGGTCGGAATCGACAGCCTGTCGTGGAGATGGTGTAAACTTCAAATGATTTCGTTGGTTTATTGCTTTACTGTCGTTGGTTATGCTGGACGCACTCCGTAAAGGATGCCAGGATCCGCGAACAGGGTGGCAGTAACACTCTCAGGGCTGCACTTCTGTCCCAGAGGCAAGGTCCAGAAAAGTGATCCCATCCCACCAGTGGCTGTGATGGGGTTTGGGGTGACAGGCTGGACTAAACATAGCCGCCGTCCATCTTGTAGGCTGCACATTCCGTAAGACTGTGGTCAGACGATCGGTGCTCTAGTCAGGTGTATGTGGCACAGCTGTGACGTGTGACAGGTTGGCCAAACTGTCCTGAAAAGTGCTGTCTCAATGCGTTACCGAGCTCGATCTTCATCGTAAAATGTGTTTTCAAAGCAGCGGTAGAGGCAAAATATTGGACTATAGCTCACGCCGAGTTCTCATGGCATGGATCGGAAATCTACAGCTAATACATGTGGTGTCTCTGTCGGGTTTTTATGTAAGCCTGGCCTGGACGGTACGTTAGGAGGGCTCAGACAGTATAGGGGAAATACACATATGTGCCACCGCGGCAACTATCTGACCGAGGGTATTGCTCAACACCCCTCGAAGCCTTACATGGGACTGTAGCTCAGTCACCGCCATTCTGACCAGTACGACCCCGCATCCAAGATTAGGCACGATTCGGCGAGGAAGAGTTTAGGTTCGCTGTGTAGTCTAGAACTATTTTGATTTCATCAAGTATCGACCCCTTGGCCCAAACTGCATAATGGGAACAATTAAGTTGCATTCATCATTTTGCCTGACGTCAACTTCTTCATTGCACAGGCGCTTGGGGTTTATTCTTTCCTGGCGATGTGGCCACACCAATCATACATAGGATACAGGATACTATTATTTCCTGCCTCACTGTCATTATTAAAAATAAATACCAACATCACCGAGGCCAATGAATTGTCTTGAGGACATAAACTGAAGAGTGCTGTAGTATATATCCACTGTGAGAAAAGCCTCGTCACAAGGCACTACAAGTGGCAGACACGAACCATGAGCATCTTCTTCACACCTTCTTTCTTCGCAAAGTAAGAACTTCAGTCACGATTGGAGAGCTAAAAACTCTTCATTTGATCGGACGCATCTATGGGGGCTGTGAGAAGCAGGCTTCGGAAACGAAAGTGGGGGGCGAGGGGCCACGGAGTGTCATGAGTAGATATCATCCTGGTTATATTGCTGACACTGTGTCACTTACCGATATCGAACCATGTAGACTCTTTGGGTTTGGTGTGGGTTTTGGCTTACATATATAAATACATGTGTGTGTGTGTGTGTGTGTGCGACTTGGAAGATCTACCTCGATGGATATGACTGAGTCTGCAGCCTCACATGCCGCGCTTTGCTTCCTTAGCACTAATCGCTCTCAGTTTAAGGATAAATACAATGTTCAAGTTACTGTACCTTGTGGCAACTACAGTTATCCCATCTGCATCAGCCCTGCGCTTTAATACTACAGCACTTACCGGTTACAACAATGTTTCAACGTTTGAATGCTGGCAGCTAGATGCGCCTTTCCAGATATCCACGCAGCCAGGCCTAGAGGGGTCAGCGAGTCTCAGCCTCGGCGAAGTCTCAAACATTACGTATAACGTGTTGCCTTCTGGATACGTCGAGCCTCTACACAATGCTCCTGTTCCTCAGTGGGTTCCCCGCGAAGGCCGCCTCGTAGACTTTGATCACTAACCAGCTGTGTCTAGATGGGTATTTCTAGTCTCTGGGTCCTTATCCGTCAGAATTCCTGGAGATAAAGAAACAGAGTCTATCTTCTTCGGTGGAGAGTTTGGCGCTCTTTTCGCAGCCGATACTCCCGCAGTCAGTCGCGAAGGCCATGCTGGCCGGGTGCTGGGGCCTACTGAAGCCGTTCTTGTCCAGATCCCAACTGCTGATGGCGAAGTTCCGCGCCACGCTGTGCTTCACCAAGGGCCGTGTGTCACTGAGGAACTAGTTGGGACCCGAGGAATGGTTATCACGAGCCAGAGGAACGTGACACATCCTGCCAAGAGAACTTACACAGGGTAACACTTGCATTTTGTTGTTAGTTATACAAAGCTTTTTATTCAACGGTACCGATGATAGTGATTTCATCGAGCCTTTTATTCACGAGTATTTAGTCCCTTCACGAATATTACGGCCATGTTCTAGCTATGGTGATCGAACAATTCTCCTCGGTGTGCTCTTAGAAGGCTATATTTCAAGGCTGGAAAACAAAACGTTCTCGTAGAGGCTTACCATAGCGGTAAAACAAGAATGGCAATGGGACACAGGCTAGACACAGGAAACCAAGGATAGAGTTTCCCCATCCGAATCCAAGCGCGGAATACATTGGTGGGCCAGCCAGGGAAAGAAATGCTCCGGCCGACACCCGGACAATCGTGTTCGCAGCCAGGGCAGAGGCGGCCGACTCAGGTCCAAAAGCGTCGACAAGGTAGATCTGAGAGGGCATAATGACAAATAGCGAGCCTATGCCGATGAGCGATGTTCCGATGATCGGCACGATCCAATGGGCTTGTGCCTGCGCGCTCCACCCATACCAGAAAAATCCCACCGGTAGAAACGGGGAGACCACCATCATGAGGGGGAGTCTCATCTCTGGTGCTCCATCATTCTCACCCTTGAGCCTTGTATAAACCTTGTCGTTCAGAACACCGAATGCAATTATACCAATGAACATTCCTGTAGATGACGAGTCAGTAATGAAGGAGCTTAGCTTGCCGGGAAGATCTCAAGTGGTAGGCGTTACCTATTCCCACGCCAAGGTACGATAACCCAGATGTTTCCGTACTGAAACCGTATTGCGACTCAAAGACGCTCGGAAATGTAGTAAATAGTAGGTAGATGAGACCGACGACAATGGCGGAATATATTGACAGCAAAGTGACGATAGGGGAAAATAGTAGTAATCGGGTTGGTCGGGCAAGTGCTCTCCGAAGAACTTGTGTTGGACTTGCCCTGGTATCCGCCTTTGCGAAGAGACCAAGGTTTCCGGTTTCTTTCCTCAGCGCTTCGGCCTTGCGACGCAACAAGATGGTAGAATTTGTCTCTCGCATGCATATTAACCCGATAAGCAGAACGACGCTTGCCTAGAATAGGTCAATGACTCCTTGACCTAGTATGATAGAGTTGAAGAAGTTTCTTACCAATATACTAATAACCCAAAAAGTCCACCTCCAAGAAAGCCGCTGCGCAATAAATCCACCGATTATCGGCCCAATAACCTAGGCACAATAAGTTAGGCTTGGGCGCAAAAGTGTTGTGAAAATCTTACTGGGCCTAGCAAAGGGCCTATTCCCCATATTGCCATACTCCTTCCCCTTTCTTCGGGTGGCGTGACATCCGCGATGACAGCGCCACCAATGGTCATCGGAGCAGAGCATGCACACCCAGCCATGAAACGGAACACGAAGAACATTGCCGTGCTCGTGCTCACAGCGCACCCAACCGTGAAAGCAATGAAGATCACATTGCATATATGTATGATGACCATTCTCCCATAAACCTCTGACAACGGACTGATGAATAGCGGACCGATTGCAAAGCCGAGGAGATAGATGGTAACAGTGAATGCAGCGAGGACTTCACTATCAATGCCGAATTCTCTGACCAGTTGAGCTGCTCCTGGTGCGTACATAGTTGCGGCTAGGTTACTAGATTCCGGTAGAGCATTTTAGTTTCGGAGTAGGACCGGAAAGAGATTGAAGGTATAGAGGAATCTGGAACTAACCCGTATAATGCGAACAGACTGACAAAAACCACATGAGCGTGTCTCTTGATACTTGACCAGTTACGTGGGTTATGCGGGTCGTCAGGCCCATCCCAGTCAACAATAGAATCAGATTCTACTTTTTCTTGTGCAGTTCTGGTGGCCTCATGTCTTGACTCTAGATCCGTCGCCAGAGTGTCGGACGTCGAACCAGATGTTTCGGGATTCATGATCGGCTTCATTGGATGGTTCAGGGGGCGGTTCGGTGGAAGAGATCGTAATGGGGCGTTAGAAGTCCAGGAAGATGGTTAGCATCTGGCTTTGTATGTATACCAGGTATGGTCATGGGACGTCCGTTATAAGACATTAAGCTCGGACGATGGTCCAGACATGCAGACCCGTTTTGATTTGACTGCCATAGGCTAGATCAAGCACCAGGTGGTTACCCGGTCAAGTCTCTCGCTCGGACGAACGTCCGACACTCAGGTTCAGGGGGCAGATCTTCCGCCTCAGGTCCGTCACTAAGTAACCCATAGCTACCCATTGCTTATTGGATACAATGCTTATTGGATACAAGGTCACTTTGTGGGGTAGCTTTGGTGGTTGGCGGAGACCACTGGCGGCCCACCAGATTAAGAAAAGCGTCTGCCTGGTATGGAGATGCTCCCTTGTTTGACTATGAAGCGTGTACTTTGGTTGTGGGTGATTAGCTGTATCGTCAGACGGAGCGTCGGACGATGCATCGGATGGTCGGATATTGCGGGTTTGATCGGCAATAAGGGCAAAGCCAACTAGCGGTATTGATATAGCGATTTACTTGTCCGCTTAAGTGCAATAGCGCTGACAGTTTTTGCGCATACCTGAATTGGCTTGCCAATAACCCAATAACCTATTATCACTCTCACATCACTCACAACTACGTTATGATGGGATACTGTTTTCTGAACGCTCCCGGCCACTCAGGTATTCTCCGCTGAACGATTAATACCTCTTACCCCATTCGTCTTGGGCTTTACTTTGTCAGACTGTTCAACACAATGTCCGATCAGACGAGCCCCGAGTCCAATGTACCACAAGGGCGGCCACGTCCACCGCCAAACCGTCGTCGGGACAAACCGCAATTGAGCTGTGACTTATGTAGGCGTAGAAAGTAAGAGAGGTCCCGGATACTCTTGGACACAGCTAAAGCTACCTGCTCAGGCTAAAGTGTAACCGGCTGTATCCTTGTGAGAACTGCGCCAAACGTGGACTCGATTCACAATGCACCTTTCCTGGCCCCGCTACAAGGTCTACGGCTCGACAGAGGAGTCGCGATGCCAATGAGAGCTCGAATGTCTACGATAGGCTTCGCCAGCTCGAGAGTCAGCTTGCGAGAATTGAACGGCCGTCACCCACACCAACAAGGCATGTACCCGGCCCTGCTGCTACACCCACAGAATCTGGAACAAGCACGAATGTGAATACGCCCTCGGGTGCGGACAATAACTTCCCGCCCGAAGGACTGCCATTCAGTGGTCCTACATTGCAAGGTCCTGGCTCTGTATATGTGGACTGTTCGCACTGGTCTTCAATCCTTCGGGGGGTCTCTGAGTTGCGGCCTGAGTCATGCACTAGGCCGCAATATTCAATATCAAGCCTTTCAAATGAGAAGGATTTGCAACAGCCTCCTGGGCCCTTGCTACTGTATGGGTGTCGTCCAGTAGCAACCAAACAGGAACTTTTGGATGCGATTCCACCCAAGGCTGAGACTGATCGCTTGATTGCTCATTACTTCAACGCATTGGACTTGTCCTCAGGTAGGTCCTCCCGGCCGCTGTGAGAATATCTGTGATGGGTTTATATTAAATGTTATAGCGATGTTACGACGCCCTGGGTTCGCGAAGGAGGTAAGTCCGTGTCGCCAGTTCTTCTGACTTGGGCTCATATGGGTTCAGTACGGCAGATTCTGGGACAACCCGGCAGGCACGCCTGTTTTATGGCTGAGTTTGCTTTTCGGAATGCTCTGTATCGCGATGCAATTTCGACAAGGCAATCCCGAGAATACCACCTGTCCAGAAGAACGATCAGGAGAAAGTGTTGCCAAGTACAAAGAGAAGGTGGTACAAAGCCTCCTTTTAGGCCGCTATACTCAAGGAGGCCCATATGTCATCGAGGCTTTGGTCCACTACCTTGCGATCGAGCACCTTTCGAGGCCAGATGCCGACAGTGGTGTCTGGATCGTTGTGGGAATCCTTGTGAATCTTGCCATGCGAATGGGATATCATCGTGACCCTAGCTATTTTGATGGTATCACACCGCATGACGCCGAAATGAGACGACGCCTATGGATAGCAATCTATGTTCTAGGTTGTGCTATCTCAGAGCATATGGGCATGCCACATCTTATCAAGAATGTTGACGATGTGAAAGAGCCGAGAAACCTATTGGATACTGACTTTGACGAATTCACTGTGGAGTTACCCCCTGCGCGTTCAGACAAAGAACCTACCCCAATGCTATACTGCCTAGCAAAATTTCGATCACTCAAGGTTTCCAATCTGATCAATGATCTTGTCACCAGCCGGCAACGCTATTCGTACGCTGAAGTTATGGAAGTCGATGCCAAACTCAGCGAAGCACATTCAAACATACCTGTTTGTTACAAGTGGCGTTCGTTGTCTGAATCTGTCACCGACCCGCCAATCGTCATTTGTCGAAGACTGTACTTGGAGATTCTTCATCTTAAAGCACGAATCGTTCTCCACATACGACATGTACTGCCAACACAGCATCAGCAGGACTTCGCCTACTCAAGACGGGTTATAGCGGATGCGCTTTGCGAATCTATGAAATTTCATCACATCATGGATGAAGAGACGCGACCAACAGGACAACTTTTCCAATCGAGGTGGCGCTTTTCAGCTATAGTTAACCAGAACTTTTTGCTCACAACGATCGCCATGTGTTTCTTCTTACGGCACAACAAGTCGGAAATCGGGAGGGCTCGGTTGGAGGAAATCAAGCGGTTGTGTCGTCAATCCCAAGGCATCTGGATTCGCTCCAGCAGGACCTCAAAAGAAGCATCAAAGGCGGCAGAGGCTCTAAAGGTATTATTAGATAATTGGGATAATCCTGTAGAATCCGCGCGTGGAGCGGGGGCACCTGTGCTAAAGGATCCGACCTTGGACTCGTGGGCCTCCACTACCTATTCTGGTAAGTAACCACTTGTATTGGACTTGCAAACTTGAAGGCATGACTGACATACATTCAGTAGACGTGTCAGGAGGACTGGAGATGCCATTTTCCTATTTCAGCTTGTTTGACGAACTGGAAATGACTTCTTTTGCATCTGAGACCCCGGACCACTTACTCGTGCCGCCCGTAACAGGTCAATCAAGCGATTATCTTACCTCAGCACAATGGTACGCGCACCGTCAAGAATCGTAATAAGATGTCACTGCCGTATGGTGTGCGGAACTTTCGCTCATTGTACTCTGACCGTAGGTACCCCGTACCAATAAAATACTTTCATATGAAGTTTACCAACGAATTCGAGGTATGGCTCAATGTGAAAAATATCACAGGGATTTGGGGCATGTCATTCATAATGATGGGACTAGGGAAAAGTGACTCCTTACGGCGGTGTGACCTCTAGTGGCGTTATCTCGACTTTTCGAATTTTGAAGTCTAACCAGAAGCGTGAAATAATGCGTAGATTGTCTTTCAGCCCTGAGTCTACAATCGCTTGGGTAAAATTAAGATATAGGGACGAGGGAATACCTATCTCATGAAAATCAATGAGAATGAAGCCTTCCCCTAGCGGCCAAGGAAAGTTCAGGGGTGCATTACTATATTTAGATGTCAGGCCGCTTAGCGGATGTGGGCTATACGCGATACCTGAAGAAGAGAGGGGCTGAACCATCTCCATCCCAGTTGAGAACCCAGCCTTGGATTAGGCATTTGGGGGCTGAAATAGCGCTGAGCCTCCAAGTCCGAGCCTGACGCACTTCATTGATCTGCACAATTTTCGCGTTGATCTTCTTCCCTTTGACGCATAGCATTCATTTACGCAATTGAATCCTTACAATGTCGAGTACCAGTCCAATTTTCCCCGTCTCTTTCTCTGACATTGATGTTGAATGCTGGGGAGGTATCAAGGAAGACAAGCGATGTGAATTTGCGCAAGCGGGAGAAAAAGTACGTGGCCTTCTTCCAGATTCAATGATACACCGTTGGGCGCTGGATAAGGCCAATTTGAAGAGAGCCAATCCCGAAGATGGGGCCAGCAAGCTCTACAGGCCCATCCTTGACCCGTATGAATTTCGCCTCCTCGAGCTCAAACCAGGTGGACATAATGACGCTCTTCAAGGTTCACTGCATCATTGCTCACTTGAACTTGTGGCCATCGAAAGCGAAAACAATCCTATTACGTGGCGGACTCCTGACGAAGAGAGATATACTTGGAAATTCGCCCTTCCGGTGAACAACCTTACCGCACCTATGCAGTACACAGCGCTGAGTTATAGCTGGGGCCCTCCGGTTTTCGAGGGTAAGATATCCTGCGACGGGCACGAGAAGGCGATCACGCGATCTCTCGAAACGGCGCTGAGACATTTCCGAAAAGAGGATTGCTCCGTGGTCTTCTGGATCGATCAGATATGTATCAACCAGGACGACAACGGGGAAAAGGAAAGCCAAATTCCACTCATGAGCAGTATCTACAGGCATTCACTGAATACCGTAATCTGGCTAGGTGAAGCTAGTCCCGGGTCCGACTTGGCTATTCGGCTCCTCGAAGACATCAATGTTCTTTTGCAGTTCAATGATTCGAGCATCAGCCCTGAAGATTTTGAACGTTTGGGACTGCCGCAAGCGGATTCTGAATCATGGAAAGCCCTGTGGAGCTTGTTAGGGCGATCATGGTTCTCGCGACTTTGGATCATACAGGAAGTCATACTCTCAACATCGCCGTGGGCAATGTGTGGGTACGACTGTATTTCTTGGAGCAAGTTGTCGACTAGTTGCTACCATCTCGTGACTTGTGGCATATCGCGCTGGTTGCAACAAACGCAGGCACCTATTCAAGACGCAAGAACACGTACCAATGACCAAGGCGATCTTTGCCAGTTAGCCTCGGGGCTCGGTGAAGTCAAGGAACAGTGCGGCCAGGGCCAGTCCGGCCCACCTCTTCTCGGCCTACTTGTCAAGACACGGCATGCACAGTGCTACGACGCCCGAGACAGAATCTACGGGCTTCTTGGAGTTTGTTATCATGGAGACGCTGCAGCGGTTCGTGTAAGCTACGCTCAAGAATATACTGCTGCTAGCTTGTTCCATGACATGGCCCTCCACTATCTGCAACCGAAACCTGGAAGCCCTATCAACAACGTGCTCACCTGTGTAGATCATGAGTCGCCCGATCTTCCCTCGTGGGTGCCGGACTGGAGGTTACCCCGCGAGACTGAATCTTTGGGGTACTCCAGCTTCAGTCGGAATATCTATCACGCAACCGGCACCGGGTCTCCTCCTGTTAGCGAGAGGGTTCAAATAACGAACATCGAGGAAAGAAGTCAGCTGTCCATTCGAGGCATCTTAGTCGACAAGCTTGTTCGAACCAGCGACCAGTTTATTGAGCCCGATCTCACTTATGTGAACTCCTCATCAGAAAATAAAACCCTGCTTGCAGCTTATAGTTTTGTCTCCTCCAACCTCGACTTATTTTCTCCCGTCAAGGAGCACGGTGTCTTCTCATCATTTTGGCACACCCTTGTCGCGGGACAAGATGCCGGGGGTATGGTCAGATGTCCAGAATCGTACGCCGAGATCTTCAGCCTGCTCCTCGACGAGACCACGGGCCAGTCCCCCTCGCTACCGGATCAGACGTATTCCCCGCGTCAATTGCGGCCGAAGGGCAAAGGCAGACTGGAGGTGGCGAGCCTAGAGTCTCGAACCGCAGGGCGGAGCTTTCAAGACGTGCGGGCAGCACTGAGACGGGTCACAAGAAACAGACGGTTGGGGATCACGAGCAAGGGCTATCTTGGGTTATTCCCGAGATATTGCAAGAATGGAGATTTACTATACCTGGTAGAAGGATGCCATGTGCCGTTTCTGTTGAGGCCGGCAGGGGATATAGAGGGAGGACATCGGCTGGTTGGAGAGTGTTATGTACATGGCATCATGGACGGAGAGGCTCTGAAGTTGGAGAGCGCTGATAAAGCTGACATTGTGCTGGTTTGATCGAAACAAATATCCCAGGGGTACCTCGAAAAGAAAGCAGGATAAGATGTCCTGACTCTGAACCCACACAGATTCGAGAAACAAAAGCAAGGTTGACATGATGCTTATAATGTCAAGCGTCGCATGTTGAAGGGCGAGCATAGGGGGGTATCATTAACACTTTTCTATCATATCACGATTCCAGACACTATTTCGGGATCTGCGTGGCCTCATAGCTAGGCGGTGCCTCTGCTCCGCCGCCAGTCCGCTCAAAGATAGACTCCCTGGCCTTCTGCAGATCGATCCGCGCCTTGTCAAGCTCCTCCGACTTCTGTTTCTGGTCCCAGTCAAGCTCTTGACACCTGCCCATTGCGCCCTGGATCTGGGCAGCTAAGACCTTGACGCACATCTTCAGCTCTTGACTCGAGTCCTTGATCTTGTCATGGAATGCCATATCGGTGAAGATATTATCGAATAGCATATCGCTCATAATGTTTCCTTTGGCGATCTTCAAGGGGGGTAGCTCGTGAATAGTGGGGTCTTCGCGTCTTGCGTGTGAGACATGCCAAAATGCATCATTGACCTGCATCTCGGCGTTGTGGAGGGCATTCCTCTCCATCATGTCTGTGATGCTTCCTCCGCCAAACATATCCATCCGGCTGTGATCGAGGGCCTCCTCTATGAACCGACCGGCGTTAGCCAGCCGATCTGAGGCATCCCTGAGGCTCTGCACAGCTTGGCTCTGCCTCTCAAACTTGCCTCTGGACTCTTGGTATTTCTGTAGGTTGACAGTGTACAGGCGCTCTCGGTTGTCCTCTTCTGGGAAGTCTGGGGTGGGACCCTGGAAGATCGAGTTGTATAGACCGTCAAGATCTTGCTGGGCCTGCACATGGCGCGCAACCTTCTGCTCAAGGTCGCTCTGCGCACGTAACGCTTCCTGGCGGAGAGAGGTCAAGCCTTTCTGCTGCTCCTTCGCCCCGTGTTCCTCCTGCAATGCGTCAAAGTACTCGCGCTCCTCCTTGGCGGCCTTGGCGTCGAACTTTTCAGTCTTGCGGCCCACCTTGTAGGCAAAGCGGCGCATGACAGAATCACGATACTTCTCATGATCCTGTAGCTCTTTCATCCGCTTCCTAGAGAGCTCGCGGACGCGCTTTTCAATGTCTTTTAATTGGGCATCTAGATCAGCAATGTATCGCTTTTGTTGATCCAGGTCTGGCCGCGCGTGATCCGTTTCCCGCAGGACCCCCAACAGCTCTTTGTTGCGCGGTGCTGCCTCTTGGATTAGTGCTGCAACTGAAGCCATGATGATATAGTGAAGCTGGCGATATAAGGTCTGTGATGTGTGTGCAAAGAGTTGAATTCGACGCTGGCTCTGAATGGAAAGATGGCTCCACGACACCGGCACAAACATGAGGCTCTATATATCTACAGTACTTGAAGATAGGAGCCTGGCAAAGCAGGTGCACTGCCATCATAACATTGCTTGGCACACGTTCATACAGTCGCTAACGGTGGCTTCGATTCGCAGCTGTGCCACTAACCTGCCTAGAGTGTGGTACCACGGGGTGCTTTGTTCCAACCCCGAGCGCTGTAGAATAGGGCAGGCGGGGCAGGATATGCGCGGGGCTGGGCAGTCTCGGGGGCAATTATTCTAGCATCGGATCCGCTGCTGCGCCACGACGACCATTTGTTCTAGCGCTGGCCCATTGATCCTTCGGCCTGCGAAATGACGTGGGGCGTATCCCACTACGGCGGCCTCACGACGAGTGGCCGCTTGATAGCAGGTAGCATCACAAAGCCAAGGCTCTACGCACCCACAGCAACGACCTCCGCAGCCCCGATATAGTCTTGCGACCCCGTGATGATTGACATTAGCAGCTGAACTGAGTAGTCCTCTAGAATGAAGCACCAAGAGACTCTTTGTAGTGACGCGCTGCTTCTGCCTCACTTGCGCAACGCCCGTTCTCTCAGGAGCAACGCAGCAACAAGTGCCAGGGATGAACAAACCAATGACACATCTTTTCGGGGGCACGAATCAGTAAGCTTTCACCTCAAGCTATAGCATGGCCTCGTGATGGCTTTTACTTACAGTGGCTATACTCGATTCCTTCGATGTACGACTGGACGATGGCTCCGGCAATCGACGGGCTAGCTTTGTCGATGTAGCCCACGTCCGCAGCAGCTCCTTCGATAATCTGGACCATATCAGTAAACGTCAATAATTATTTCTTGTCCGTGCCTGGTTGAAAGAGGTACCTCTTGCACACGATCAGCACTCAGGTTAAGCTCTCTAAGCCTTACGAGCAACCCCTTGCGAAGACCTGCTGTTGTCAGAGCACTGCCGACGGCCATCCCAATTGTGGCGCCCATTGGGCTGGTCAAGAATAGTCCGGAAGTGGCAGCGGCTTTATCGGAAACGTCGATGGATGCCTGCAATGCTATAAAGACTGCCGTCTGCGCTATACCCGTAGCTAGTCCACTGTCGGTGTCTATCAGCGCCAGCCATGGAAGCTGCGGTCGTTTTCAAGAACTTAACGCTTACCCCGGGAAAATATAGAGTGACTCGACCCAATTGGTATTACCCTGCCACCTGAGGATGAGCAGTAGGTAACTCGTGATACCCAAAAGGGTTGCTAAGATGAGCAAAGCTTTATAACGGCCAGTCCTGTGGATCCCCTGTAAGCTACAGTCACGTCGGCAATGGGCTTGATTGGACCAACTGCTTAATAGCGAAACCCGAAGCCAAAGCTCCGACTGCATTCCCTACGACGGCGGGGACTAAATGTGCCCCAGCGACTGTGCTAGACGATCGCTGGGTAACTTGGAAGTAAAGCGGCACGCTGAACATCATCTGCTTAAGTCAGCATCGCTGGGTGGAAAAAGGTTCGCGTAGCGACTTACAGTTAACTGGGCAGCGTTTTGAGAGCCCGAGATCAGATAACACAGCAGGACGTTTGGGTTTCGGAGCAATCTGATAGGGAAAATCGGTTCTTTCGCCCAGTACTCCTCGACGAGGACAAAGGTTCCGAGCATGATGGCTCCAGCGACAAATAGCCCTATGATCGCTGGGTGATCCCAGGGCAATCTGGATCCAGCGATTTCGAGGGGTAGCATGAGCGCAAAGATGCCTGACCCCAAAAGTAAAGCGCCAGAGAAGTCAATCCTGCCAAGCCGAGTTCCGGGCTGATCTGCTGGTTCTTGGGCTTCGGCTCGTAAGGATGGAAGGGCAACCCAACAGTATGTGGCGGCTATGGCAAAAATGGGTGCCTGGCCAAGAAATGACCTGGTGGGTAGATATCAGTATTACAATTACGATTTCGAGGAGAATATCAGACAGACCAACGCCACCCTATAGTGTCTGTCAACCAGCCACCTACGGGCCCTCCTAGGCTCCTTCCTGTGGTTGCAATGATGTTGAGATAACTCTGCCAAGAGGCGACCTCCCTCAAAGGAGCTAAATCTTCAAGACGGCATCAGTCCGGGGGTTTGGGGCCATTACGCGAGGAGCATACCTGTAATTATCAATGCCACCAATACGGTCATGCCAGCACCGCCTGATCCTGATATTACGCGGCCTATAATGACCTGCCACATGGTTTGGCCAGCACCGCTGAATTCTTCGAGTCAGCATCTACCTCGCCAATTTTTTGGACACCACACAGCTGCTTACACCAGAGCACTGAGATACGTCAGCAAGAATAATTTCGAGTAGAAGCTATGACATACCATCCTATCGCAAATAGGCTATAGCAGATCAGGAGCAGGGACTTCCTTCCGAATATGTCGCTCAGCTTACCATACTACTATCCATTAGCCTTGCCGAGTTGCTGCTTCAAGACAATCAGATATCCTCACCAAGGACTGTGTTGCACATCCGGCAAGCATGAAACCAATGAAGAGCCAGCTTGAGTTTTCCAGATCGTTGAACTCGGACCCTATAACAGGGTGGGTAGCCATCACGAGAGATCCATCGGCATTTGCAGTGAAAACACCTAATGGATGGGTTTAATTAGCTTTTCTCCCGTGGGAGCAGATAGTAGGCGGCAACTGACCAATGAAAAGAGCAACGACTGTCCTTGCGATGAATGCATTGCTGTACTTCCTTTCTTGGGTCTTTGGGAAATCCTCGTGGCTCCCGTTTTCCGTGATGGATGAGGTTGCACCGTAGCTCGGGGTGGTACTGGCTAGCAAACCTGAGCTTTCACCCTCGGTACCCCATGCGTTAGTCGTTGAGCCGTTCGAAGTCACGTTGGGCTCAGAAGCTTCAATATGTGGTGTCGTACTCATGGTGAGTAAGATATCGCTGCGCGATGATCGCCTTGTCTGGGCGGGCAAGTTGGGAGCGGCAGAGTATTACTTAGAAATGCATGTGCGAGCAAACTGCGGGAAATTCTCAGGTAGTGGTTGCCAAATGCCCGGGATGTGCCGATACGTGCTCACACAACGGTCCGCTTCCGGCTCTTTGTGCGCGATGGCGGATTAAACTACGGAAAATCCGTCTTCGTCGTAACGAGCAATTATACTAGCTTTGTGGCCATAGCCGTGAAAAGTTGCGGCTGGTCCCCAAATCCAATAGGATTTGGGACATGGAAGGCGACTAGTGTTATCAATCGGTGTCGACGCAATACACGGATGAAAGCACATCATCGCGCTATACCGGTTTAGCACCCATGAATCCACATTGGGACATGTTCTTGGCTTTAAAGCTTCTAACTAGAACTGTGCAACAGGTATCAGAAGAAACTGTGGCAAGTCAGGAAACGAAAAAAGGACACTCATCACGCTTGAACTCGGTGGCATATCTTACCATGACCGCACAGGACCCAGTGTACCTTGCATTTCTGTAGGTTCATTTACCAACACCACAAGGACCCAATATGTATTAAACTTTGTCATGATGTCACGGAGATCAGATATCATGTAGAAGAGACCCAACGATCATCGTAGCTCGTATGATACATCCCTCATATAATTAAAGACACTCCTCTTTCCAACATTAAGAACTATGAGCATGGTTCACGATGCTTTGCAAAATGGTACAGGAAGTTACGGACGGAAAGGATTGCTCCCATGCCGCGCCTTCTCCAGTGTGTTGGTATGCGAAGAATGCTCAAATCGATTCCAAACAGAGATATGATTACAGAAAATCAATAGTCTTGGAAGCAACGGTTCGATTTTTTATACTTCGTAATCGCATAGTGCATGTCCAGCTCCGTCTAGTAGAGTGCTTCAATCTGGTTCCGGCCAGAAAGGATTGAATCCTTGGCACCTTGCATAGAAAAAAAGGCAGCATATCAAATGAACCGGGCAGTAAAGCAAGTATGTATTAAGTGCGAATGTACGTCGTTGTTAAGTCGATCGAGCAATGCTGAAGCGTCCTTGGACGGCCACATGCCGTTTTGCAGGAAAGTCCGAGACGGCTGAGAAAGTCGCAACCTCCGTAGTCTGTAAGAGAACCAGTTCTCAGACGCAATGGCGTCGCTCACTGGTGATGGTTGCAGGGAAGCCCAAACCACAAGTATCCAATGCTATGATGACAAAAACATGCCATAACCCTTGCCCTGTAAAGTTACCCGAGGGAATACGAAATCACAGCCACTTGCTCTACAGAAGCAGGTATACCCTGCATTATGCAAGCCGTCCACATCTGCTATAGATAGCCGTATCTTAAGCCTAGGCACACTCATCGAATAGGCCTCAGCTGGAATGCTTCGTAAGAACCGAATATCGAGGTAGCGACCTGGGCCATATTTCCGTGCTGCAGAAGTAGCAAGTTCATCGCCCGGAACTGGGTTATACTCTTCATAATTATAATAACACTGAACTAGTGCTACTGGTACTGTACCGTATGCCCCTAACACCCTATTCGGTGCCGAACGACAAATGCCAAGAGAACAGAACAGCAACCTTGCGACCTCTATCGGATGTTATTCCGGCTGAGCGCGACTTAAATAGAATTCGCGGCCAGTAGGCGACAATGCCGGGGGAGTAACGGGCGGAACTTTGTTTCAGAAGCTGCGGGATGCGATTCCCAAGGGTGAGACGCGGGAATGACTTGCATGTGAGCCAGGATTACCAGATTGACTCTGGGGGAGGCCTGGAGGCTCATTTGGGGAGCTTTCGCGAGCCTGGCGAGCACAGGTTCATCGCAACCCACTTAATACCAAACCAATGCGACCTGACCACGTTGTCTGGAGGGCGGCTTATCCCCGACATTGTCACTGGCGATCATTGCTTGTTCCTGAAGAGAGACGGCAATATGAAGACTTATGTCGTGAGAGCTGTGTACCCGATTATCGTGCAGGCGCGCAGTCAACGAGAGCGTTGCCTCTTTGAGCGTCGGAGTACGTTGAGCTACTCCGAGATCCGAAATGATGGCAATGTCGACAGCTCTTAGATACGTATCGATCAATGCACTATAGATGTCGGTGACCAGCGAATCTCCATTACTACTAGCCTGCCTGCTGTCACAGTGCTGTCACAGGGAACAGAAAGGGGGGAAAAGAGAATATCCTGACGTCTGACGAACATGCCACGCCGACGCCTCCTGTGATAGATTGATCAACAGCAAGGTCTGGCGCCAACTGTGGCGTTGAATGGCCAAGTCCAAGCTTTGAGACACCAGGCGCGCAAGCTAGAGCCTGCAAGGCCCATTGGGTTCCGTCAAACCGTGGCTTGCCACAACCTACCGTCAACGATGCAGAAAGAGGAAAGTCGCATGGAGACTCTGAAGAAAAAGCTGCTTGCGACCTGCCCCAGGCAGATTGTGCCATGGTGCTATTGATTTTGCATGTATGTACGTATGAGACAATCCGAAGATCTGCATGAAGAACGCAAATCCTTCCCACCCGGCGGAATATCCCCTGCCAGCGGGGAAGCGCTCCGGCAGGGACTTGGACGGAACACCCGCCAGAGCAGCAGCTCCAGGTCCAGAATAACAAGGACAGGACACATGCAAAGACGACACCCATGGAAGGCGAACCCCTGGCTTGCCTGGCACTCGGTCTCGCTTAACTTACATGGTCCCCTGCCCAAGTCTTGTGCGCACCCGTGGCGGTTTACAATCAATTCGAATCTGACTGGCGACGGAACGTGGAGATCTTCCAATACTGCCTGAAAGTCTTGTTGCAAGCCACCTGCGAAAACAACACTTTCACCCCCTGCACCCTCCCTGGACTCCCCGGCGTTGGTAACAAAAAGATTGGCGAATGAAGATCTTACCGCCATGTAGTGGCGCGCTGAGAAATTGACCCCTTTCCGGTTATGGGCAGAGAGATTGGAGGCAAACAATTTTTTGGGGCCCTGGGAGCAAAGGTCGATGATGATTCGGAGTTGTTTGAAGAATTTTTGGCGGCATGGTGGGCTGCTGCACTGACAGGGTTTCGACGCTAGAAAGGGGATGATCACTGCGCAGAATTCTTCTAGAAGACATCGTCCCGCCCCCTAACCTAGTTCGCTGCTCTGACCACGATGAGCAAAAAGGAGGGCCCCCCTGAGAGTGCGGGACAGACCCCCATGATCCTGACATTTCGGGAACGGCCAAGGGGGGTTGATGAGCCCATGTGCTAGCAGCATCCCGTAGAAGAGTTCGCGGTTCGTGGACAGTCATGTTTGCTACGAAGCCAATCGCCAACCTTGGAACTCATCGATGTTGACGGCACGCCCTTGTTCTGGCCCTTGGCAACGACGATTGGAGGGGTCATGCAGCAGACGCATGCATGATGGGTGCCGACCGGTGAACTGCAAGGGCAATATTCCGCCGCGCCCCTGGATGCTAATGAGGACCTTCGCGCCCGTCTGGTGAAAGATGCTGCGTGTACGAGGTACGCAGTCAAGATGCCCACCTAGGTATATACCCAGGTATCTAATCCGGGCTTTGGAGACAGCTTCTGCGACATTACGACACTGCACGACTGGCTGGCTCGCCGCTGACACGATAGGATCCACCTAACCCAAAGCCATGGATGTTCACCAGCCCATCATCTTACACCTGTTGGATGTGTTTTAGAGTGTTTGTTTGTTGCATCTATCGGGTATGTATGATGACAGGGTACCGCTGCGCGGAGCTCGGTAATGAGCCGCTGCACGAGCTGAGAGCTGCGGTTGGTGTGGACCCCTGTAACTACTACCTGACTCTGTAGGCCTGGGACGGAATGATGCTTAATACGGCCTTATAAGACGCGCTCTTGAAACGGGAATACGACAACCTGAGCTGCTGGACAAGAATTCCTGCCCGGCAGATCCGGGCCCAGTGAGGAAGATGGATAGTTTGGACTGTCTTTCGATGCGACGTCCAGCCTGAGGCCAGTGGTAATAAGGTTGCGGACGTGGAACTCTGCTGGCCGTTGGCCACGAGACCAAGTCAGGAACAATCCGCACATTGAGTTTGCCGGCTGAGGCCATCTTTGATGACAGGGGCATCTGGTGGAAGGCAATGCTCGCGTGCTGTAGGGGGGCTGTCTGCTGGGTGTGTTCGACGTCCATGTTTAAGACGGTGTCCCAGAGACGACTGATCAGCCCTGGAGCCAATGCCCTCCAGACAACTGGACCAGGCCAAGCAGGTCTGCTGTGGCTGCAGCACGGAGTGAGTTAACTTTCACAGAGTAACTTCCAAGGTTGGCCATTGCGAGCCCTGGATTTGCTGCAGCCGGGTTTCGAGACTCGTAGAACGCTGCCGCCTTGAGGGTCGCATAGCTAGGTAGCATCCATGGATTGAGTTTGAGAACGGACAGTTGGGGTCGCGCACCCCTTCCCCTCACGCCGAACTGATTAATTTGACTGCACTTTAGCATATGCGCGCGCATTCTCAGGTGGCTTAACTTATCCCAGGTCGCTTCATACGTAATGCCGGCGCTGGCAGCGCAGTCTTCCATTCTCTGAGCTGGAGACCAGCCCTGAAGATCTCGCACGCCCCCAAAGTTCCAAGTTGCCAGACATCCAGAGCGGGCGATCTCGACGGCTCAGGTGCAGGTAGGGGTCTCCCAGTCCATTGTCAGGTCGTGAGGGCGCATTAAACCCTCCCAGGACTAACATCACAAGGCCCAACCCGCCGATTGACTCCACCACCAGCTTCTTAGTGCAATGCTGCCCGGCTTGAATCGTGGCCGCCTCCTCGTTAGTCCCGCCCATTATTCCCTACCCGCAGGAGACAAGGTCCAAATTGAATCGTGGTCTCGCTGCTGTCTCCCACTGGCGATTTCCTGTTTGGTCGTCCGCGAGAGAACTGAAGGGCCCTTAGGAGCCGGGTCTATTGGATGACGACCAAGTTGCACATCCAACCTCCCCTTACAACTCTTCCCCCTTTCCCACACCCCCCCAAACCTGCGTCACATATCACACATACATCCATGAGCACACACACACACACGCACATGCACGCCTTCACGTCGTCTTGGGTGCCTCTTGGGGTTGTACGTGCAATCTACTAACTAACACCGCCTTTCCTATGCTCAGGGTTCATTTTAGCTCCGGTCTGTCTATATAGGGCTGGGGCTTCCCGCATGGACTCGCGTCGTCGGACTGGATCCCCTACTGAAGCAGAGTGAAATGAGCAAATATTAGTGCCTGGGATCCGCCTGACCGTGTGTTTGATACCCGCCGACCACTACACTGGCCTCTTCCTGGGACCTGGGACGACGTTTCTTTTCTCCTGCTTGCTGGCCCGGTGCACAAGGCACGTCGAATAACTAAGTGAACCTACCACGCCATTGTTTTTTTTGGCACATCTCTCGCCTGCATTATCCTGCTTGTCGCTACGCCCGGCCAGTGCCAGATCCAAGGTCGTCCCCTGATTCAGTCGTGCCGCCGCTAGTGGGACCCAAACCACACGGACTGACGGTTTCGGCTCAGAGGCCTCTAAACCCCCATCCCGACTTGGAAGTCTTCCAAAACCCCGCGCCTACAAGTCCAGTCCAACCAAAACCCGAAGCCCCTCTGCGAGTCTGACACCCCTTCGCGGCATCACGGCGCACCCCCGGGACGAGACGAATCATGGCGACCGAGAAACCGTCGGTGCTGATCATCGGCGGCCTGGGATACATCGGACGATTCCTGGCCCTGCATATACAGAAGAACGACCTCGCATCCGAGGTGCGGTTGGTAGACAAGGTGCTGCCGCAACTGGCATGGCTAGCGCCCGAGTTCGAAGAAGCATGTTCGGGAGACAAGTTCATGCAGGCTGATGCAACGAGAGAACGTATGTCTGGCTTCCCTCGCCCGGTCTCACCCTCCCTGACGCCGGACGCCCGCCGCGTCCCGTCCCGTCCCCGATGCAGTTGGTATTGTCCCTTTCACTGACGCCATCATCCTCTTGACAGAAGCCGTGACCCGAATCTTCGACCGGCCGGACGGGAAGCAGTGGGACTATGTCTTCAACTGCGGCGGCGAGACGAGATACTCACAGGAGGACGAGGTGTACAAGCTGAGGTCGAAAGAGCTATCGCTGGCCGTGGGGCGAGAAGCGGCCAAGCGCAAGGTCAAGTGCTTTGTCGAGCTGAGCACGGGAATGGTGTACAAGCCCGACTCGTCGCCGAGCAAAGAGGGGGACAAGCTCAAGCCTTGGAGCAAGATTGCCGTGTTCAAACTCCAGGCCGAGGAGGAACTGGCCAAGATCGAAGGGTACGTCCACTCGTCGGCGGCTCGCATACGCGTCGGAGAAAGTTACTAACTCGGCTTGACCCTCCAGCCTCAACCTCGTGATCGTGCGCCTGGCGCATGTCTACGGTCCATATGCGTCTCAATGGGTCGCTACCGCATTGTGCATGGCGCGCGTATATCAGCATCTCGAGGAGGAAATGAAGTGGCTCTGGACCAAGGATTTGCGAACGAATACAGCCCACATTGACGATGTCACCCGGGCGCTGTGGGATACCGCCAAGTGGTATGACGCGGGCAAGGCAAAGTGGGATCCCAAGGAGATGGGCACAACCCCAACTTTCAACGTCGTCGACGACGGCATGACTACTCAGGGTGCCATGGCCGACGTGATTGGCGAGATCTTCAACATCCAGACCGGGTTCCAGGGCACCATCGTCAGTACGTTTGCGAGACTGAACCTGGACAGCGTCGTGGACGACGTCAACGACGAGGTTCTAGGCCCCTGGGCTGACCTTCTGGCCGACGCGGGAATCACACGAGCAGGCCCCTTGACGCCGTTCATGGAGAAAGAGTTACTGAAGGATACAGATCTATCCATGGACGGGTCGCGGCTGAAGAGCGTCGTTGGCTTCGAGTACCAGAAGCCGAAAATGACCAAGGAGCTCATCGAGGAAGTGATTGAGAGTTATAAGAAGATGAAGTGGTGGCCGTGATCGAGGGCGGAGGGTTGATAGCCCGTTGGCTAAGCCGCTTCTCCGGAGATTTGTACGAGCAGGTGAACGGGGGGAGTTTGACTTGGCCTCACTCGAGGGCGAGAAGGCGATATCCTCGTAGATGTCGAATAGGACTGTGGCCCTAGGGGGGCTCGAGGTATGGATGATTTGACATTGGCATTGCGTCTTATAAAAGCGATGACGGCCACCAGGTATAGGCGGCCTTGTACGATTAGGATATCCGGTGTTTTTTTTTTCTTTCTTGCCTTATTCTTCCTCTTCCGAAACTCTGGCGATGGGAACTGCATATACGAGGCTCAAAAGACGGTGACCTCAGAATATCTATCTTATTAATGTCCCCATGGAAGTTCCAAGGCGCTTAGGCTTTATTATCTATTCGCCGTGCCATTCCTCCCATCCGCAATCACCCGTCGGCTACCGACTGCTGCCAGTGTGCTGCTGCCGTTCAAGCTATGTTTCCTTATGTCGTCGCACACGCACACACATGAGCACGGGTGGGCTGCGCAATCACATCACAATGTCACATTACATTAGAAACCAACTTCCCGCATCCAGACAGACGGGTCACATAGGCCCCTTGTTCTCGTCCTAGCTTCCTTTCGTCCTTTGCGGGCCATTGGTCTCGTTTTCGGACGGGGGCGAAGATCCTTCTGAGTTAGCTCGTCGCCAATCTCGGGAGGCGTTTCCATCACTGGTTCGACAACCTCAATGGGTGATACTGGCAGCACAAGGGCCATGGTTAGTGCAGGCAGGGCAGGCTCTGGATATGCCCGGTGTGATAAACCCTCCTTCACGGAAGTCGAAAGATCGTTAGACCGTTCCACGCAAATGGGACCTCTTCGCCCTCCTCGAGGGCCCGCCTTCGGACGGTGCTGAGCTTGGCGGAGATAGAACGGGCGTGGCGAGGAAGCTGTCGGTGTCGGGCCACCAGGCACTCGGTCGCGCATGTCGGGGATCCCTCCCACGGCCCTGGGAGAGCTTCCAATGGCAAGAGAGCCTATGTACCCCAGTGCCAGGATGGGCATTGTGGTGTGGTGCAGCTTGTGCAGACAGGACCACAAGGAGCCACCCCGCAGCTCGGGCTCACATGTTGCCCGAAACGGAAACGCAACCCCTCCTAGGCTTCCGGGGTGCGGGCTTGTCCGTCTTGGGCGCCCTTGACGTGATGCCTCGGTTTCGCGTGCCCAGTCCACGACATATGATTCTAACCTCCGTCCAAGACAAGCTCCGCGAGGCTGGCGATGGCGATGCCTAGGCTGGACAGATTGCAACGCCCGGATGCCCCGCCAGACCACGCGATGGGCGAGCCAGCCAGTCTCGTCTTTAAATAGATAGATCCTGCCTTGACTGTCCTCAGTTACGTATGAAATCCACCTAGTCCTAGTGTTACACAGTAGTCCTCTCAATCAGTTTGGTTATCGGACGGAGCTACCCCACCAACTTACGATACTGCCACTTGCGATCGAGTTTCCAGAGGCAAAAGGCTGTACACGACTTGTTCGTAGAGATCGACCAAGAACATACACTTCCTTTCTCAAAGACAGAACTATACTCTGCGAGTTCCTACGATGGCTGCCCCCGCAAGCAAAACGATCGGCGACCTCTCCGGAAAATGGGTCATGGTATGTTGCTCTCTTCTGCTATAGCACCAAGACATTCAACGTCACCGCTACTACGTCACCTGCCAATATCAGCCTTGCTGTGTCCCTTGATCGCAATGCCACGCATCTGTACCCGTCAAGCTACCAGCAGGCACGAAAAAGCTGACGCCGAGTTCTCCTTGCCACCCTACAGAACAAGACCCTCTCCGACAACCCTGAGCCAGGCCTGGCCCTGCAGGGCATCGGCTACCTGACGCGCAAGGCCATCGGGCTGGCGACGGTGACGCTGCACGCCAAGCAGTACACGGACGCCGACGGCGTGGTGCACATCGACATCGAGCAGACGGCGACGGGCGGCATCAAGGGCACGTCGGAGCACCGGACGGTCAACAACGCGACGCGCGAGCACTCGGACTGGCTGTTCGGCCACGTGGTCTCGCGCGCGACCTGGTCGGCCGCCGGCGCCGACGCCCTGGCCGCCATCGAGCCCGTCAAGGAGCACGGCGTCGAGTTCCTGGCCAAGGGCTGGCTGGACGGCGAGGCCGAGCGCACCGGGCCCGACGCCGCCCTGCACGTCGTCAGCAGCGCCGTGGCCGATGGCGGGTGGACGGCTACCCAGGTCTGGGGCTTCCAGACCATTGGCGGCGAGAGACGGTACGCGCGCAACATTGTGCTCAAGAAGGGGGACCAGAAGGTCGAGATCACGCTGGTGTACGATTTCATCCCGGAGTAGACGACTCGGACCCGACCGGAGAAGGGAGGCGTGTTACTCAAGAATCAAGAACAGAAAGAACACGTACTAGATCGGGATATGTATATTTATTTGGGGACGAGCTATATTGGTAGAAAGCCGGAACGCATCTGCTTTGGAGCGAAGAGTGCTGGGCCGCTGGTAAAACAGCTTGACCAGGCTTACTAGGAGGTAGTTTTGGTTTGAAATACCCTATTCCGAGGTGTAATGCTGGCTTGAGAATTCGATTTCCACAATCAGAGATATATACAGTTCCAGAGCATACCGTCCGTTTGCCCTCGTCATCATTACTTTTGGCGTGGCAAGAGGATCTCTATCGTTGAGTCCGATCCTCGAGCCAGAAGCCTCAATTTGGCCTTCCAATGTTGAATGCAACCATGTCCAGCCCAGATAGAAACTCCAGTGCGCCAGCCGGCCAGAACCCAAAATTTCCCTCCAGTCTAGTGAACTCCCATGCTGCTGTGCATCATCAACCAACCCTCCCCCTGCAGCAAGTGCCGACGCGGCGGCATGATATCCCTCCACGAGCCCCTCGCTCACGCCGGCCGCCTCTTGACAAACTCCTCCAGGTCGTCCTTGGTGGCGACGCCGAGCACGAAGCGCCGGGCCTCGTCCGTGACGACGGCAAAGTCCTGCTTCTGGCCGACGCCGCCGCCCTCGAAGAACTCCTCGAGCTCCTCGAGCGGCGTGGCCATGGTGATGACCTTGTACGTGCGGCCCTTGCGCTGGAAGCGCACCATGGCGGCCGACAGCGGGTCCTCGGGCTTGACGTGGCCCCCGTCGAGCTGCGCCTGCAGCTGCGGGATCGCGATGTAGCCCAGCAGCGAGCGCGTCGAGCTGTCGATGATGGTCAGGTGCGTGTAGTCGCGCTCGAAGGCGCTCAGCAGCGCCAGCGAGATGGGGTCCGAGGGGTTCAGCGACAGCGCCGACGGCGGCTCGAGGTCCTGGACTGTGGCCTGCGCGGCGGAGTCAGCTGGGGGAAGGGCTTTTCTGGGACAGATATTGGGGGTCCGCAACGTACACCTCGGTATCTATTCGACCATTTCGACACGAAAGGCTTGCCGCCGAGGGGCGAGGGCCCAATGTGCGCGCCCTTGATGCCGATCGTTGATGCCATTGTTCCGAGTGTGCTGGATGAGTGACGCAAGGAGGGGCAGTTGATGCGGATGACGAGAGGCCCAAACTGTGTCGTTGGTAGAGAGCTAGGCTCAAGAATCTTGTGTCTTCGATACGGGGTCCTGCTTGACGCGCGACAAGACCGTAGCTAAATTTCAAGAACTTTGTCTTGTGTTCTTCGTGGATTGGCGGTGGCTCACGGTTGTGAATGATGGCAGGTCAATGTGGGGTGAGAGCCCATCCCGCCAGGATTTTAGGCCGGCGCAAGCCTCACATGCTCCAACGACATCTGAGTGATGTAAGCCGCCTCAAAGGTGACTACGGCCTCTCAGCAACCTTTCCAGTCCGCGAGTACGTGACTGCGGCCCTCTCAAAGCTCGACAACCTAATCCTTTGGCTAAAGACTAAATTTGTGCTCGTCTTCTGTGGGGTATTCTCGTAATACATAGTATGATCCGGGGACTTTCCTGCTACATAGAAAAACCGTGATTGCAATCGGGCAAACTTAGACTGCAGTCTACGTGTAAATTGTTTTCCTTTATCTACTTCGTCAAATTTGACACCTTCATGGTACAAGATCAGTATAGGAGAATAGTTTATCCTAGTGATTGTGGTATTGTATCATTAAATCGTGCATCGTTTGTGCAGATGTGAAGATAGATGACTATGTCGTGGCCTACAGACGAGGTTTGAAAATTGCGGTTGCTCTAGGCAGCAATCACAGTTGAAGGCAATCACTAGGAGCCAAGCATCACTCAAACACATAATACAGTCTCGGAAACCCTAGAAAAACACATATTACATGGGTTGGACAGAAGCCGACGGTAAATATGCGTGCAGAAGATATAACCAACTAAATTAGACCCTCCTGCTTGTAGTAGCCCGCGATGTCACCCTCAATGAAGTGAGATGAATATTTTGAAATGAGGTATGTTGATTGAACAATTTCCAGCATTGTTGAGGATTAAGGGTTCTTCCGCTGATGCGACTTCTGATTCTTTGTCTGTTTTCTTGGTAACTGAGTAGGTGAATAGTCGTGGCCTAGGGTGCTAGGAAAACCAACCAACCTCCAAGTCTCATAAATAGTCATTTTTTTTTTCGCACCAGCCTCTGTACTGGGAAGCTATCTCCTTTCAAATTCTTTCCCATCTCCACCGGGATACTACAAATACATACGCACAGGAGAGGCTCGAGATGGAGGAAAACAGTGCCAACCACTGGACCACTGCACCCGTCACAGTTCGCCCACAGGCTTTGGACTGGTCCGCAATCCGACTCACTCATATACAGTCTAACCCAAGAACTGCGTGATCTGATTTATAGCCATCTTTTCCGATCCACGAGGATCACGCATAACGTAACTAGATATTGCAGCCGCGGCTTTGAGCAACCGCCGGTGTCGATCAAGATCCGCCCCATCCCGAACTCCCTCGCAATACTTCGAAGCTGTCGTCGAGTGCACCAAGAGATAGGCTCGTCGTGGTTGCAGAGCTGCGAGATCGATACGAGAATCCTGACGACTACCGGTGGTCACGTGTGAACCAACACGCCTCGAGCGTCTCGTTGATGAAGAATTTGGAAGAGAAGGGCCATGTTTAAATATACGTATCTGTAATCATCAAAAGGGAAGAGGTGGGAAGGATAACGGGTAATATACGGTAATTACTGGCCAGCAACAGGCCATTGAGATTGACTGTGAGAACACGGCTCTGGTTAGGTACAGAGGCCCAATGAGACCCGAGAGAAATCCTGACAGCATAAATATAACGTATCATTTTCTACGAAAACGCTCCAGCACCTGTGGCATTGTATGACGAGTAACAAATCACATCTGAACGGGCCTGCTTGTCATTTTGGTCAACAAGTATCAAAGTGCACTTGCCCAGCATCACAAGGACGAGAACATGGTTGGAAAAGGATGAAATAGCTTCTGTATCGGAGAGACTCAAGAAGTGACTAGGAGACGAAGCAACAGATGTAAACAACTCTGGAAGGTTAGTCTTATGTGAAGCCAAATTCTCGTTCGTTCTCAAGTTTCAAATAGCAGGCGGAGAAGACAGATAAGTCGGCTTGGGCGAAAATTCTTATTCAATGATGTCTAGACTACTACTAGGCTGTCTTGAATCGCCAGGAGTGATGAGTACTGAAAAAAGATATCTCTGGAACCATCCACCCAGCCTCCGTACGCTATGCAATATTCCCGTAACGCCCCAGTACTGTAATCCTAGTTTAACTGTATCAAAGGCAAGCCAAAAGGTAGATCTAGACACCGCGGTCTGCTGTATCCCCGAGATATCTATCTATACAAACGTCGCAGCAGCTTGTCGTTCATCCATCGTAAGTCGTTAAAAAGCCAATTATACAAGAAGTTGCTCAATCACGGGATGGCAGTGATCTGAATACCACGCCAAATGACGCCTGTTGCGTTGGTCTCATGTCCATGAATGAACAGATCCATGGACTGAGATGCGCCGACATTGGCCTCCACAGATCAAACAAAACACTACGTTGAAACTCTAGAGAGGCAAGCCGAATGAGACGGCACCATGCTTTGGTTTCATGAAGCAGGACCTGCGGCGGTCTTGTTTTTTGCTCCGAAGTAACCAGGCGAGGATCCCGCAGAGGAGGGCGGGCTGGAGGGCTCCGGGGACTGTGAAATCTGCTTAGGCTCGGGATTAGGCTCTGACGAAACCACTATTGCAGGTGAGTCTTCGCCGGCGGGCACGGCAATGGTGGGGACAGAAGAGGCAGACATAGTCTGCCGCGGAGGCCCTACGTTGACGGGTGGCTGGCCGCTCGGGACTTCAAGCGTGTCCCGCCGGCGCACAGCTCTGACCATTTTCCCGTCTCCGCCAGAAGAGGGGTTTGGATGAGTGTACGACCTATAAGCCCTTGCAGGAGTTGTTGGCCAGCTGATTGATGATGGAGATTGCGGTGTCTGTGGCGAATGCAGAGACTCGCCGTCCGGCCCCTGTGAGCTGTTATCCCCTTCATATCGGGAGCTAGGGCTGCCTGTTCTGGATGGCTGTACAGAAGGCGACCGCCACTCTCTATCTATCCGAGACAGTGACCGGTTCCTCGCCCTCTCGCCGGGGATCTGTGGATAGTTCAACGCTGCCCCTGATCGAAAGTCGGACACGTCGTATCGTTTCCGGGCTGGCTGCCCGATGTAATTACCGACTTTGCTCAATGCTGCGGCAAACTTCCGTCGATTACCCGCATCTGTAGCGTGCGACCGCCCAGTGACCATGGAGGTGAGGCCGGTGCCTATCTCATGCAGTGAGACTCGAGGGAAACTCTCTGTGGAATCTCTTCTCCTGGCTCGACCTCTCGGCGGAGAGCCAGTGGCACCAGGGTGAAGTAACGGGCCATCATGATGACAATGCGGGCATTTGCGCTCCTCTGTGAATGAACCTGACTCAGACCCATTATCTTCAGGTCTGCCCACAAGTAACGACCCCAGAGCAGCAAGTCCGGTTGCGACCATGGAGCCCCATTGGCCTGCATAGATACGGTCAGCGGTTGAAAGAGTGAGTGGGACGGATTGGCTCACCAATGCTAGCCATTGGCTCTGTCTGATAAGAAACCGGTTTGCTAAAGAAGTTCTTCTCTCCGAGTGCAAGAATGGCGATAACCCCGGCACCGAAGACAGGAAGTTGAACAGCTATTCTCACGTATCTCATAATCTCCTCGTTGGTGTTGCTCATCTGCCGTGGAGTGGCGCCATTGGTCCCCTCAATTGCTGCATCGGGCTCGTCCTCGTAGCTGCGGCCGAACTTCCTCTTCCAATTGATGACGGCAATTTTATCCCACATGGTGAAGAGAGAGAGAATAGCAGGAACACAACATGCAGCAGCTAGAAGCGTAGCTGTGCCTGAGGTGAGCACCGTCGGTGCAGGTATCACGTAGATATCTTTAGTTGACCCATCCCAAGCACGCATTGGCGACCATGGATTGCCAGGCCCGACCTTGCAGGCAAGTCCACACGTGGTGTCTTCGTCGTCATATGGGAATGCGTCTGGGTTATCACGATACAGGCGGTTGCCCTGGCTATCAAATGCGCAACTCGCCGGCATGATCCTGTAGAACTCAACAGTCAAGCTGAGTAGGCCCGCAAGGACGAGCCCAGTCCACACGAAGATGATATTACGACCGCGGTCGTTGAAGTACGTAGAAGACAGCCGAACAGTGACCGGAGCTGCCAGTATTCCAATTGAGCATAGCTGGAAAGCTCCGTACACGTCCATGTCGACGGCGCCTGAACCGCGATGCTATCAGCGGTCTGGATTCCTGAACTCTAATCCGGGGAACGTACCATCGGTATGCAGGGATGCGAGCACAATGCCATGGATAGCAGCGACAGCGGGCAGCAGCAGTGCAGCAGCTAAGCACGCCCGCTTGAGCCAGTTGACCTTGCGAAAACCCAGGCAAGCAGCCACCAGGACATAGTATCTTATCATCCGTTAGCTTTGTTCAATGCCTGGGTATAGGAAAATGCGGTGTAGACGAGGACCCGACTAGGTCAGCACTATAAACTGCGCTGGCCCGTGTTCGAAGGGTTCATGACCGGCAGCGGCAGGATCAAGTGGAGAACTCACAGCACTCTCGAACCCAGTCCATACTGACCGCTAACTGGCCATGCGCAGACTACCGGCAGAGCATCCGCGATAGTGGCATTTGTCGAGGCTAAGTCAAGCGTGGTTGCGTTCCGATAGACGAGCGTGTTCGTCAGCAATGTGGTGTCAGGAAGCGCCGGCATGGCCTGCTCTCCTCGGCGCCTGGAGGCGGTAGACAAGCGCTGTGGAGGGTGTCTATGCCAAGGTGCAGGTGGGGATTCTGGAAGAAAAGAATGGTTGATAGAAAGACAGAGCTGGAGAACATAAGGCTATGGCTGAGATTAAAGGTATTGAAACTCCAAGCATCTTACCAATGCCCAGAGCCGTGTCTATCTTAGCAAGCCTGGGCAAGACACGCTCGACACGGCTGAGAGCACCGAATCTCGTCAAGCTCGATCACTGATGGCCACGGCTGCAGGCATAAGCATCCTTCGGCCCCAGTGTGCTCTCAGCCTCCTCTGAATTGTACCCGCGGCCGGTACCCCACGATGTCGGAGGTACAGCACAGTACACGTGCGCATGCAGCCCCAAAAGCTGCCTCCAACCCCGCCAGCACCCGTCAGAAAGCTGTGAAGAAAAGCTGTGAAGAAAATTGGTGGTGGTGGTGGTGGTGGTGGTGGTGGTGAATACAGTAATGCTGTCCGTCATCTCACTTACTGTTCCTGCATACCTAGGTTGCGCTTGGGAGTTGAAAATTGCACATTTGACTTCCATGGGCCAAACGACCATTGTAAGCAGACACCACAAAAGTCACTTCTTCCGCCAGGTACCTTGAAGTAACCCCGGCCACACTGACTTGAGGCCACTAACCGACTCCATTGACCGACATTTGCGGGGTCAAGTCTGGGCACCTCCCGGCTTGGGACCTTCAGCCAACCAGCCAACCACGGGACCAACCGGCGGCGTACTAACTGTGCACAGCCACCTCATCATATCTCGGCCCTCTGTACGGGCCCGGAATCACTCATTGGCGAGGTTAAAATTTCTCCACGCCTCGTCATCGTCGCCAGCGAGAGCGATGCTGACTCGTTAAAGCGCAGCGCAGCGCTAGAGATATCTCCCCTCGCCGGCCGCGCATGATCGCTCTCGAGCTGTTTGCTCACGGGACCGCTGGGTGCCAACTTAGGTGAGACGAGGCGAGCGTTGACAACACCCGTGGACACGAGGAAATGCTGACGGCCACATGCAACTAGGTTGTTGTTACTTAACTTTGAGCCTCCCTAGCACAGACCCGAAGGCGCGTCTGCTGGGCGACCCGGGACCCCACTTTACAACAAGTCTCACCAGTTCCGTGTCGAGACGTGCTCAAGATGGCAACAGATGAGAACAGCACGACCGCGGGCCCTGAGAAGATCAAGGAGTGGCGGTCCATCGTAACCCTCATTGTATTCGTTATCACGAGTGAGTCAAGCCTCGAGGGCGACCCTTGTCACTTCCGTTGAGATGTACGCCGCTGAGTGTCTCCAGACATAATTGTTCTTTTCCCGTTTCACATACCAATTCGCTTCCCACGGGCGCTTGCAAATGCCATTGCGAATCTTCTCAGTGCCCTGCGGATAAGACCGCCGAGGCCGAAGCACCATCGAGATGATGCTCAACCACTGGTGCTGAAGTTCCCCGTAAACTTCATCACTGCACCTTTGATCGCAGACTTGTTCTTACTGGCAATTCTCGCCATTGGTCGCGAGGAAGTTTATGGGGGGACGATATCTTCAAATCACATTGAGCCGTATGACATTATGATCTTTTTCTTTTCCCTGGCATACATCGCAATCTCGATAGATGCTTCCGGGTTGATCAGATATCTGGCCTTCAAGGTGCTCCAGAAGGGAGGCAGCGCCGGTCACCTCCTGTTTTTCTACCTCTATGCCTTCTTCATGGTGCTAGGTAGTTTCATTGGAAACGACCCCATCATTCTTTCCGGCACGGCTTTCCTTGCCTACATGACAAGAGTGTCGAGTAATATTGTCCACCCGAGAGCCTGGATACACTCCCAGTTCGCCGTGGCCAACATTGCCTCTGCCATCCTCGTGTCGTCTAACCCGACCAATCTCGTCCTTGCTGGTGCTTTCAACATTCAGTTCCTGCATTACACCGCCAACATGATAGTACCTGTGATCGCCACGGCTATTGTGCTGTTCCCCTTCCTGCTGTACATCATTTTCAACGATGAGAAGTTCGTTCCCTCCAAGATCAACATCCACGAGCTGTCGGAAGAACAGAAAGCCAAGAAACCAGTCAATCCTAACATCCCCAATGCGAGGGGCAAGGCTGAGGAGGAGGAGAACCAGCATTACAACGATGATCAGGGCAAGCAATTATCACTAGAGGAGATTATGAACCCGTTCCTGGACAAGGGCGGCGCCATGTTCGGAGCTATTGTTATGGCTGCAACACTGGTCAGTATTATTGCTTTCAATGCTGCATCTCAGACCAGCATGCAGTTTCGTGTGTTCTGGGTCACGCTGCCAGCAGCTGTCGTGATGCTGTCTTGGGATCTCGGTTTCGGTTGGTTGCACCGGCACAAGACCCGTAAGATCGCCGAAAACGGCAGGAAAGAGGTTGAGGCGCTGCATGCTGCGCGACAGGCCAGCGACCGGAATGATAAGCCACTAGATCGCTCACAAGAAGGGCCAGACGTGGCGATATCCAGCGACCAGCCTTCTTTATCGAGAACTAGCTCGCCTGATGAGATACGCAGCAGCGATAGCCACAGTCCTGGGGTCTCTACCGCAAACACAGACAGCGAGCTACAACAAGACCCAGAGAAGCCTAGAATCGCCCCGGAGAACCCCAATCTTGAACCTCGCGGTCTATTTGCGGACCCACCAAGCCAGGAGGCTGAAATCAAAAACCTCCCGGCCTCCGAGAAAGAGGTGACGAAGGTGCAGGGGCCGGTGCGCCGGTCAAGTAAACCCCACCGATACCTCACAACCATCTTAGCCGAGAGATACCGATGGTCACAAGAGACATTCCCTACGGCCGCCGCGGTACTTTCACATCTTCCATACGCACTCATTCCCTTCTCTTTCTGTATGTTCATCCTAGTGCAAGCCCTGGTTTCGAAAGGATGGATCCAAGTATTCGCGTACGGTTGGGACCACTGGGTTACGAAGACGGGAACAGTAGGAGCAGTAGGTGGCATGGGCTTCCTCTCGGTGATCCTGTGCAACGTAAGTCTATTCTACCCATTTCCCACTCGGGCATAAGCCAGTAGACGGACTAACAGTTGTGTCGCATGGTAGTTCGCAGGGACTAACATCGGGACTACTATCCTGTTGTGCCGCGTCATACAGGCGTGGGTAGATATTCACGATGCCAGCACTAGTCCCATCACCCAAAGAACGTTCTGGGCGACGGTGTATGCCATGGCGGTCGGGGTGAACTATGGAGCCTTCAGCACCGCGTTCAGCGCATCGCTGGCCGGCATGCTATGGCGGGATATCCTCGCTCGGAAGCACATACACGTGAAGCAGCTGGACTTCGCGCGCGTCAACCTACCCATCATTGCGATATCCATGACGGTGGGCCTCGCCGTTCTGATCGGCGAGGTATATATCACGAGATCAGAGGAGCCCTATATCCCTTGATTTCACTACGTTACTATAGAGCTATAGACAGATCATGTATATATATCATGATAATGACAAGATTTAGTACATCTCATTCCTTCTACCTTTTTGCCTTCTCCTGCGCTGGTCTTGTTGATGGGCTGTGACTGTCGGAGTTTGGGAGTCCATGGGTTAATTGATATTGGTCTGTGGCTTGCTTTTTGGGGTAATTGACACTGGTAAATGTCATACTAGACACGCAGGCGTGATGATTTGACTGATTTTGTGACTGCTGTTGAAGCCCTGGGGTATATGTGTCACAACAGCATATCTGCTTTCTTAGCTTGGCCAGGAAATACTACAACCTTTTCTCACAAATCTCATACTACAAAGACTTGAAAAAGTCTCGTGGCGTGCATATATATGTGGGAGACAGATATATTGCGCATATGCTCCACAATCCTTTCGTTGAGTTCGCCGAGAAGGTTGGAAAGGCAAAAGCTTCGTTGGGTCAGGAGCATGAATACCCTGGTTCATTCCTAATCCCAGCCTTGTCTACCATAATGCTGCTCAAGCCAACTCACAACTACCCTTTCAGTGCGCCCGCATATCTTCGACTCCTTCAATGCTGCTCTATAAGCATCTCCCCAGCGCCCACCCTTGGCCCTAATGTCCGCACCGTGGTTCGCTAGCCACTTCAATGCGACCACATTACCAGTTTTCGCTGCCATCTGCACCGCAGATCCGTACTTGCCACCCGTACAATGCACGTCGGCTCCTGCCTCGAGGATTAGGTCCATGATCACTAAGGTGCGGTCCCGGTGTCCGGACCTGTTGCTTTTGGCGGCACAAGTCAACACCAATCCGTACTTGCCCGTCGATATCTTTGCATCGGCTCCATGAGTTAGTAGCAGTTGAACGGATTCTAAATCGTGATTGATGGCGGCGGCGTGTAGCGCGGTGCCAAAGCGGCCGCCTCTTGCGTTCACATCAGCTCCAGCATCTAGCAACGGGCCTATCATCTCCGGATAGAAGAAGGCGGCGGCTTGTAGAGGCGTATGATATCGACCGCCTATGCCATTGAGCTTGCCAGAAGCTCGTATGAGAAGTGATGGAGGTGAGATCCCCGACTAGTCTCGGTGAGCGCGAGAGAAAGAGGTGTTGCATAAGTTCCAGAATCATCTCCCTTCACTGGTCGGTAATATCCTGCAAACCTTGTTTCACGCTCGACTTCGTCTGCGGGTCTGTACGTCGTAGGTGGGTTTACAGCTGTTCCTCGCTGAAGCAGAACTCGGATGAGTTCTACCTGGGTGTCTACATCGTCGAATTCCCAAGAAAGCACCGCCTGTAGTGGACTGCGTATGGTGGACCGACGTGGTTGACGGGGGCACCTTGCACATCGACTAGCCACTTCACGAAAGGAAGGCCAGCATACCACGCCGCTTGTTGCAATGCAACCCCGAGATGATTCGTTAGTTCGGAAGACATCATGGACTCTTCAAGCAGACGTGCCGTAACCTTTTTGCATCTCGCTCCACCTGCTGCTCTGAAAGCTTCGCCATCATTAGCAGAGATATCCGCGCCGTAGTCAAGTAGTAGATCGATCATAGCCACGTTAATTACCGCCCCAGCTGCTCTCGCCAGTCCGTCGGCCACCATACCATTTTTCAGTAGAAATGTGGCCATTTTCATGTTTCCACTTTTGCAGGCCTCTCCTAGTGCCATCTTGATCGCCCCTTTTGAGCTGAGGTTAGCGCCATATCTTAGGAGCAGCGCGATAGCTTCTGTATCAACTTTAAGACAGGCACTCCCAATAACTGACTTGGATCATCGAGTATCAATAGCGTTAGGATTGAGGCCATAGTCAAGTAGTATCTCCAGTTCCTCTAGTGATTCTCATGCATCAATGGCGGCTTCTGTGTCATTTTCTTGAAGCCGAGCTCCATAATGTCGCAACAGTGCCGCGAGACCTTGATCTCTACTCGACAAGGCCAAGTCCAGGCTACTTTGCCCGTTCTCTAATCTATTGATATCAGCACCCGCTTCGAGGAGTGTCGGGATGGAACTCGTTAGCTCGCTTCGAATTGCTGTACAGACCAAGCTACATTCCTGAATGGTATCGCAAGTGCTTATGAAAAGTTGTGTAGCCGTTTAGCTAGCAAATATCAAAGAGCTTGCCTGAGTGTTCAAAGCGGAAGATCACGTCACTCTATTTTGAAGGATTTGCAGCTGCCCAAGCGGCATAGCCCAAGTGCCCGCAAAGAGTAAGATACACCACGTGATAATAAGCGAATCGTAGGACTATCGTTCACTTTCAACCTGCCTTTGCTCTCGTTGCTTCAACAATCAAAGACTTCATTGGGAAACGTCATTGCTCACGATTTTAGTAGTTCGAAGTGAACTCAGTGGTAAATAGTGCATTCACCAGGATTCATAAGGGCCTGTGCAGGGTCTGTATCAAGGACGCGAACCTTAGACAGGCTAACGTCTTGCAGTCTCATCGCAATAAGCAGACAATTAGTTCAGAATTCTGTTGGTTTGTCACGATGTACCAAATCTGACCCGCGGGGTTGCTTTTGAAAACACTAACTGCATTTGATATCGCGTAATTTATTGTACTTAAAACTTCTTCTTGGTGTTTGGACTGAAGGTATTAAACGTTTGTCGTGTTCAACGTGAGAGAGGTCCACTATCAACATACTTTCCCAAAGCGGCCACATCTTGAGACTGCCATCAAATGCGTTCCAGAACAAGTGCTGGTCCTGGACGACAATAACAACAACCATAAGGTACGACGGAGGAAAAACTGTGAGCTCAAGCAGACGTTTTGCGCGTTACAAATGCAACGAACGGGCTATCCACCATTCTTATGTAGTGCATGTTGAAAGAAACACAGTGGAGCCGTATACTCGCCAATGCAGGGCTTGCAGGGCTTGCAGGGCTACAAAGGATTGCGGCCAGCATCACTTTCCGAGCGCCTAACTTGATGCTCGTAAATACGTACCTTAGGTAATAAGTCGGTCCCCTCTTCTTTGCAGGGAGGCTATTCTTAGGGGCATTGTGAACCAGGCGCCGTTCAATTGGCTTCATTTCACTAAAATGATGACTCGAGCAGCTAGGCGTGAACAGTGCGGTCGCTAGTGGTCCGGATGGCTGCCAATAGTGGCCTAAATGTCGGCGCCATGACGCCGTTTGGCGGCGCTGGAAGCTTAAATCCCAGGCTGCGGGCGGCCTAGGGCTTAACTCAGCTTCCAAATTAGCGTACTTCGAATCAGGGGCTCAGGGCGCATGTTCGATAAGTGAACCATGTTCCAAAGCGGAAGCCCTACCAGCCTTTTTATCGTCACGATGCCCGTTCCCAAGTCTTCTTTCTATTTTGAACAGTACTTATGAAATTTATCAACTTCGACGGAAATGCCTAGCACCCAGAACACACCGGTTGTCACCCAGCACAGCAAAGACAAGCCCATAATCACGGATCCAGATTTTGAAGATGAGGATATGGAGGTGGACGACGAGAGCTTTATTGACGACGATGAGGATGACGAGATAATAGGCCCCTTCCATCCACTTCCAAGGACTCGGCCCGATCCCGAGGATCCTGCGTATGGACTCCCTGACCCCGGACCCGGCATGGTCTACAGCACTTTTCCCTATCACGAAAATTATTTGGAGGATCCGTCCTATTTCGATACTCTGGGCAGAGATCCAATGACACAAATGCGGATCTACACCCTGCCGGATGAGGACGAACAAGCCCACCATGTGCTTCGCGTGCTGGAAATGTTCCCATACCGCGGCCTCGAAATCCTGTTTGACGCGGCCATGAGAGGCCGGGCCAAGGTTGTGGGTGCGTTGATCGGAGCCGGCGTCAAGGCTCATCCGGAACCTGGCAGCGATGAGGAAGATGAGCTCCTGGTTCCTATTCACACTGCTGCATACAAGGGCCATCTTGACTGCATGCAGGTTCTGGTGCGAGAAGGCAATGTGGACCCGGACAACGTGAGCGATGGACACACTGTCCTGATGCGCGCGGTGGTAGGTGGACACGAACATGTTGTTCTGTGGCTACTTGAGACAAAACGCGTTAACCCCAAAAGGAGGGTTAGGCAAGATGACGGTAATGTCTCACTCGGAGCGCTGGACGTGGCTGCGTTGGAGGGTCAAGTGGCGTGCGCCTCATTAATTGTCGAGTACATGGTCGAAGAACAGTTGGCAATCGACGATATGATAAACCACGCGACAATGCAAAGCGCAGGCATGTCCGGCAGCCGAGAAATGGTGGAAAGCCTGATGTTCTGGGCAAAACTGCCTGACTTGGGCTCGACTGAGAAAACTTCGAAGATCAGCCGGTCACAAACCAAACTGGTCGAGGCTGCGGTGATAGGAGCTGCAAACGCGGGCAATGGGGCCATCACCAAAGAGCTCTTATCATACCTCCGAGTTCACAGTGGTGCGTTCAGCCCGTCAAACGAAGTCCGGGATGCTCTGAGAAGGGGGGTGATTAAATCGTCTGCAAAGAATGATGCAGAATCATTCCAGATATTCTTAAAGTTGGCACTGCCAATCGGCACAGAGCGCACGGTGATGCGAAAAACATTATCAAATGCACTATTCGAGGCTGCGGATGAAAACGCCCTTGATATGGTCAAAATCCTGCTCGAACAGCACCATGTAGATGTCAACGACGGATCGCAGAATCTACATGAACTTACACCGCTTATCACAGCGGCAGGACGGGGGCATTTGGACGTGGTCAAATACCTAGTTGACGAGGCGGGAGCAGACATCAAAGTTGGCGCAGGAGCAGAGTGTGACACGCCACTGTGGTTCGCCGTGAAGGGAGAGCACCACGATGTTGCCTTGCATCTTCTTCGACGCGGTGGTCCAGTCAACCAGATCATCCCTGCACGCAAACCGAATTTCTCCAAACCCGATGATATCTTCATGCGCGTAGTTCGATTTTTGGATAAAGATCACGGAGTGAAAGTATTCCTTGATGGGGAGGCTGCCGATGAATATGAAATGGAGGCTACTAGAGGGTGTGTTGATATTGTTGGGCTGACTTCAGCGGACAGCCAATGGTGGGATAAACTGGATTTGAAATCGAACTGACGGGACGGTCCTAGACATCAAGGTTTCTGCTGACAGAATTACACCACGACAATGTTATCATCACTCCGGTGTACAAATGAACAAAATGGGGACTTCAAACTCGCTGCCACATTGCCCGCGGGCTTCTAGCAACAGAAGATACGAAAATATTATGTACAACAGGCCGTACTGAGATCTCTGTCGCTGTATGAGATACCCCTGATCGACTTCCATGGAACCAAAAGCGATTTGACAAACAAACCTCGATAAACTTGATAATCAGAAGTGGGTGCCGTCATGGCGGAAGTGGAGCTGGAGCCGTCATCTATAATTATCAAGGGGATTTATGCGCACTCGAGGAACTTGGCATCAAGCATTCATTCCTGCACTTGAAAAGCAAGTAATCCAAGGCGTAAAACCATGAAGGTCTCTGGTATAGTGATAGGGGTTTGTTTATTGGCCTTAACAAGTGAAGTGAGGTTACTGGCAGCACTTCAATACGGAGCCACTATATCGGCTCAAAAATAATGAATGCTTATCGAACTATTCAGGTACTACGGGCTAGATAAAACGGCCTAGTCCTGCACAAATACTGTCGTGTCATCCACGGACATCCTTCCTATCCGGACTCTGTTGACGTTCATCTCTTCGTCCTCATACCCAATTGAGACACCACACAGAATTTCTAGATCATCTGAGATGCCGACCTTCTCTCTCACGAGGTCACGGTAGCCCGCAATGCTTACTTGCACACAGCTTCCCACTCCCAAGTCAGTCAGGGCTAGGAGAAATGTTTGCAGGTACATTCCGACGCTCATCGCCGATACTCCGGGGAGTTGCTTGCTCATGCATACGATCACACCGACCGGTGCACCGAAGAACTCGAAATTGCGCAGTGTAGCATGGCGTCGCGCCTCGGCATCATCCCGGGGGATACCCCAGCCCTCACCGTAGATGAGTTTGCCCAGCTCCGAGCGCCAAGGTTTGAATTGTTCCGGGAGAGGCGGTATGTTCGGGGCCGCCCCGGAAGATGCCTCCTGCTTCAGAGCGGTCGTCAGCCGATCTAACGCCTTCCCGGTAACGATGTACAGTCTCCAAGCCTGCGTGTTGGAGTTTGAGGGCGAGTGAGCTGCCAGCTTCAAAGCCTTTTCCAGGACCGACTTGGGTACCTCCTTGGGCAAGAACAGACGAGTAGAGTGTCGCGTCACAATGGCCTCGTCTAAGAGCATATGGTGGCTTTTGCGGCGCGACGAAGGACTTTCAGGCGGTGTCGTTGCCATGATTACAGTGTACCAAGCCAGTCAAGAGTTCCATCTAAAGTATGAAGGAGTCGGGAGCTTTGGGGAGGAAGTCCTGCATCTGCGTGCCTTAAGACTTCTTTTTAGATACCGCCCGATCCGGCACGAGAGACCAATGCGGGGATCTTAGCCCGACGGATAAGCACTACAGATACTCCCACGCCGTAGTACCTGCTATCCTATAAACCTAAATGAAGCTAATTCAGAGTCTTTGCATCATCTGGCAGGTGCTGAGTGATCGACCTGCAACTAGAGTTGGGGCTCTGTTCCGGCACCCCTCGAAGTGGCGTAAATCTTTCCCTAGCGAAAGCTTGTCTCAACGTCCTTCGAGCTTCATTGGGATCTAATTTATCCTAAGGAGAGAGGGTTACTTTGGGGTCCCGTGCAGCATATTTGGCAGCTTGCCGAGCATAATTGCCGACACCATCCGAAAGAGCGACATGACATTACGGCACTGGACACAAGTTGTACATAATCATGATTTATAGTTCCCTATATTTTATCTATGGCGCTACTTAGGTAAATTATCGGACAGGATGCGCTTTATGGGCACAGGCATCTAAGATCTCCGTCCCCGTTTCATCGAGCGCTTGGAAGTACCAGATGCGCCTGTGTCAAGCACAGCAACACTGAGGTTGGGGAGAGAGAATTCGAAGACACCATTGTCGTCAGCAGTGACTGTGCTCTTAGTGGTGGTAACCACATTAACACCAGTGAACGGGTCGTTGTATCCATAGGGATTGTCAGGGCCGCTCAGCACTGTCAACTCTGCCGCGGTTCCAGCTGCCACACCGTCGAATGACAGCGACACTGGCACATCAGCGCCCTCTGTGGAGTTGTATACCGCACCTTTGAAGATATAGGCGCCAGTGTCTTCATTTTTGCCGGTGACATAGTAGAGAGGGTTGAAGTCAGCGGTAGCTGGCAATGTGTGGGTGAAAAGATGGCCCGCAAAAAGCTAATATCAATGAGTCAAGATGCAGAGTATCGAGGTCCGACGGGTGTACATACCTCCCAGACATAGAAGCTCGTGGATTTGGTAGTCAATGCCGGGTCTGCCGCGAACTGTATCATCGTCGTGGCCCATTGCCACCTGTCCAAGCTTCGAATAATCGGTGCCTTTGATTTGTCAGAACAAAGGTCAAATGAAAAATTCCAGGAGGTATCTTACATATAAAGCGCCGAGAATGCGGTCAGAGTTTCTTTCGTACCCAATCAGGGAGGCAGCTTCACCAACAGCACCGCCCCACCACGGGTACTCGACAAGACCACCATCCCAGGCCGTGCCGCCGTTGGGGTGAACAGCGGCTGCTTCGCCGATCAAGTGAGGGATCTCAACATTGTCGAACAGATCAAACTGATCCACCATCTGGTCTGGCGTTCCGTATATGTGATAATCGCCATTGCCAGGGGCCGGGATATCATAGCCGTCGAGAACGGAACCGGAAGAGATAACCTGAATATCGGGATAGGCGGCATTGATGGCTTCAAGAAACATTGGGAAGCGGTAGCTCTTGTAGGTCTCCCATCCTTCTGGGGCACCGGCAAGCCAGTCCTCATTGCCAACCTCTACGTACTTGAGTGTGAAAGGCTCAGGGTGGCCATATTTTGCGCGCAGGCTACCCCAAGTTGAGTCTGCAGCGCCGCGAATGAACTCGATTTGGTCCAGCGCGTCGTCAATGAAAGGTTGTAGCTCATCCTGAGGGGTAACGCCGCCGTCGAGAGCTAGCCCTGCCCATACGCCAACGACTACAAGATTCAGTTAGCATTGTGCAACTTGGACTACGAAACGTAACCTAGGAGATCCTTGAGACACTCACTAAGCTCTAAGCCCATGTCTTCTGACAGCTCCAAGTACTCCATAAGTCCGAGGCCGTTGGACTGTTGATAATTCCATACACCAGCGTAGCCGGGTCGATCTTTGAGAGGTCCAATGGAGTTCTTCCAATCCCAGTATGATGAGTTCGTTAGACCCTCCAACATGTTACCGCCTGGTATGCGAAAGTAAGTCTATAAATTGTTGTTAGAGCCGTGTAATGTTCAGGGGTTAATGCTACGTATACTTACTGGGTGGAAAGCCTCCAAGACCTCTGCAAGGTCCACTCGAACACCGTTAGGGCGATCCTTGTATGTGGGGGGAAATAAGCTAATCAAGTTGAAGTCGAGAGATCCATCCTCAAGTCCCTGAGGCATATTAGTAGCCTGTCTCCCAGGTCAAAGTCATATGTAACTCACTGCCGAATCGAAGGTTATGGAAAAGGAATTATTCGAGTTTGGTGCATTGACTGAAGGAGTCAACTCGAAGGGGTGTTCAACCCATTCATCGGGCGAGCTCTTTGACTCGACCTCAACGCTGCCAAAAACCTCTCCCGTAATGTTGGACATGAGGGAAGCATTGAAGATACCCTGGTAGGAGCCTTTGACCCAGAATGAACCAGTATACTTCTTTTGCTTAACATCCATCCCCCAATAGCCATCATTGTAGAAGCCAAGGATTCCATCTGATCCGGATGAGGCAACGTTGAGGGATGTCTTGAGCGCGTCAGACAGAGGGGTGCTCAGATTCTGGAGACTCAAAGCAGCGCCGTTGAGGGAATACCATCCTTCGAGCGTAGACGGGAAACTATAGCTCGACTGGAAGGCCCGGTTCCGAATGAGTTCGGCGTAAAGACCGCCGTCTCCCGAGTTACTAATATCCTGATTCGCTATTAGCATCCCACAGCGTCATTCTCCGTATTTACTCAACCCACCTCGTGGAGGAAACCGTATTGATGTCGGCTTGTGGCATTGCCACCATCGGAGCTGACTGTAATAGTGACAGCTGCAGCGAAGGGCAAAGCTACAATTGCCGAAGCAACTGACCTGAGTGAAACCATCGTGGCTGTACAGGCTCAACCGACCAGGACTGCTTCCGGAAAAGTAGGAATATCGCCCCGATGGAACTGCCAGTCCTACGCTCGTGAGACATTTATACCTGCCAGCTTCTCCAAAGACATCGTGACCCGTTTTGGAGACTGCGGAGAATTGGAGTCGTGACGTTGGGGAAAGCCTGTCTTGTGGTGTTATTGGTACTATATTGCACTTGGCGAGGCCGCATCGTGCGAACCAAGGTTTTGCGGCTCGAAAACGCATGCGCACCTATCAGATGTAACAGTACAGGTCTAAATGACGACGACGCGTCTTGGTCCCGGTGCAAGCGGCAGATCGGTGTTTGTCCCCCTCGCGCCCGAGTGTAACGCCAGGCGGCACGTTTGGTCGGGTATATTCAAATCGGCTCTTGATAGGTGGAATACTCCACGGGGTTATATGCGCCTTGTTTTGCGGGGTAGGGAGTACTGTGGGGTAGGCGATGGGGAGATGTGTTCGGACGACGATCTCACATGCTATGCGGATTAGTGTCTTGCATGGTACGATGATCACGGGCCAAGGAAGCTTTTGACAGATTTCTTGCCGTCATTTCCTGCGTAGTGTCTTGAAAAGATCGTGGACCCCAGCTGCCAATTCCAACTGGCGTGGTGTTGCTAAGGACCGGCGCCGGAAACTTTACCGTGGTCAATATTCCGCCAGCCTTGAATTTCAAACCCCAGTGGACGCAAAACAAGATAATAATACAAAGCGAGAACCGAATCGCTGCGATTTGGCGCCATCTACGATTTATAGCTCGATACCAGTCTGGGGCTTTTGTCTAATGCAAACCAAAAACCGATTGGCACGCCTCCACAAAACCTGGTTCCTTGGCAGGCTTGGTTCCTAACAGGGACAGAACATTACCATTGCACAATAAGGCCAGAACGACGAAGCGCCGCCCTTCTCCGGTCATATGCCGTGCGAGTCGATCGACAAATGCAGCAAGTTCTCCATATATAAAGGAAGCCAGGTAGGATCTTTGAAGCCAGGTTGAACATTCTGCCTTGGCACAAAGCAGCACTTTTGCATGAGGGTTTAATTGTTCTCACATGATGCACTGCGAAATGCATTATGGAATGGTCCATGGTTTATACTAAGGAAAATTCACGTACCCTATTCTCAACAATGGACTCTGATGACTTCTGCAGGCCTGTCTAGTTATGTAGAAGCCCATGGGGCCAAGGTTCGCGTTCTGGTCATTTCAGCCGACATGAGCTTCCTCCAAGTGACTGTCGAAGATGAGTAGGCCTTACAAGACAGCAAGTCTCGACTAGTGTCGCTATGCCAGAAGCCTTGCAACAGGGTTCAGTTAGGCTAGGATGGTTCTAGATTGAGTATAACTTCTTCGAGAATCCTGACCACTTGTACATAGCGGACGCGGTCTGAAATATTAATAAAACTTCAAACGACTCAATGCATCGGGACGGTGCTCTCAACGTCTTTACAAGGGGTTGAGACTACCTCCTGATCATACAACATTATCCTAACCGCCAGCTCTGGAGAAGTTCGACTGGATTCCAGCGGATCATTATATAGAGCTCACGCATTGAACCCATCGACCAACCGACCGCTGGGTGAGGGCTGATCCCTACATGGTGATCACCTCAAGTAATCCCGTGTTCCAGAGTCAAACTTGCGTAATGCAGACTCTTCTACACTGTCAGCTTGGCGAACTGACAAGCCATTGAGCGGAGGAAGTTGACGGGTCACAAGCGGTTTCTGACCGTACACTACCACTCTGTAGAACGAACTCGAATCAGCAGCAGCCTTATGGAAGGGATCCCATGAGACGAAAAAGAATTTGCAGGACATACGCAGGGAATGACCATCTGATCTGTGTATTGACAAGCTCCTTTCTGACATTGGTCAACAATGTTGCGATTTCTGAAGGCGAGAGTCCAGCTGCGACGAGCATTTTCCGAGAGATGCCATCCAGGCCCATGAGAAGATCTCGAGAGAGGTAAGCCCCCACACGTTTCCATTTGCGGTCACGCGGCCAAACGTTTCCTGTAGACGTATCAGCCGGTAACCATCGTCGAAAGCAGTCCCCGCATACTCACCTGGCAAGGGTACAGATACCTGGGTCACATTTTCGAAGCCCAACTCTTCCATCCACGTCTTGTAATGTCGTGCAACGTCTATGTTCCGTCCTTTGGCGGCTGCTCCTGCAATCAGGTGTCTTCCCCACTTTTCGATGCTGGTCCCACGGACAGACTCATCGGGAGACCAGAAACCCGTCTGTATGTCTTGATACTCTATCCAGCCGCCTGGGTTCAAATTTTCGAAAGCCGAGCGCATGACGGCTTTCGGATCATCAAAGCAAGTAGTGACAAAGCGGAAGTGTATGTAGTCGAACTTGTGCGGATATAACCATTCGTCCTCTGCATCCTCCTTGATGAAAGAGCAGTTTGGTGGAATGCCTGTTGACGGCTGAATGAAGCTCAGGTCTGTTCCCAGAACAGTCGAGTCAGGATGTGCCTCGGCAAATTGTACTTGACGAAATCAACATTCAGCATATGGAGTCAACTCAGCCAATACGCGGGCAGCCATCTTACTGGACCATATTCCTGTACCACAGCAAATATCAAGAACTTGTCTTGGACTGTCTGGAAGAGGCGCCAGAGAGAGCTGGCCATCGAGGGCTTCTAGAAACATGCGATGTTGGAAATCTGTAAAATCTATTAGCAAAGTCTCCCGCTGTTGAACCAGGATCGATCCTACCTAGGCGATCTTGCTCTACCTGGCGCTTGGTCAGCTTTGGTCCCATCCCTGCACCACTTACAAATTACTTACTCCGTCATTTGGTATATAGTACTCTAAACATGTCAGTGAGCTGATCCAAGGATTTTCCTGCCATGGTGCCTACTCCCTTGCTTGTATCCGTGATAACTGCGTCCGGTATCTTCGATCACGGAGTCTTCTTCGATGATTGAGTAATTGCTAAGAACCATCAGCTTAGAGGCCAGCGCTGCCCATAGTGGCAGACGAATCAGCTCACGTTGGCGTGCGACCCCACGTATCCGAGTCGAACCGTTCGTCCGCAGACACGGTAACATCTGGACGGTAGCCTACCGCCGGGCCAGAGGGCACTCCTACCGGTACGGCATTCTGCGAGCCTCGAGATTCCGGCCGATTGGCAGGATCCGTACAACGTATCATATTCACGCCACAAAGGACGACTTGGAAGTCGATCGGCAAAGCCCAAGGTTGGGGAGACGAGACGCCGACTTTTGCGAGGACAAACCTATGAGGGTGGCAGGCAAGGCAGGCAGCGGCGCAGCATGTGGTACTGTTGCAGATCCCGGCAATCTGGGTATGTATGTGATTCATCGAACCCCACCCCGTCAGCCTGGTAGGGAGCCTATCAGAAAGTCACGGCACGTGACGGTATGCAGCGCGACGACGCCATGCATTTGCGACGCTGATCGCCGAAAGTACTGCAGATGTGCGCTGCTGCAGGAAGCTAGTAAGTAGGCCGTCGTGATCTCGTCAGATCGCTAATCACGATATCATCACAAGTGGGTTCTTATGGGCTTGTATAATACTTAGGTACGGAGTAGGAACTTGGAGATCGAGACCCGCAATTGGAGTACTCAAGGGATCGCATGCGACAGCCACCGTAAATGCCGTATACTCAAGGCTGAAAGACCGTTCCAGAGGCAGGCCGTTACCACTTACTGAACAGGAGCAACAGTGTCCTGTTGTCAACTTCAAAGCTAGCTATCAACCCCATAATCCAGACAAGCGAATGTCCAGCAGAAATGAAGAGTTCGATTTCATGACGTCGCAATTTTGCTGTGTCATGCGTATATCTTGGCCACTGCCACACATCATGAGAGCACGCAACATCGCACAGTCCAGCACATACACTGGCAGCACAACAAGGCAACATTTGCATTATCACTTGCACCCAATGAAACACGAACAGATAGTCCATACGGAACTCTATAAGACAGGAATGGGACAACAAAAACTGGAAAGGGCAGTCGCACTGCGTGCACAGCGTAGCGCTAATCCGGCCTGGCAGGCGCGGGCAAAAATTTGCGGCGGGTCCACTTTTTCGCCCGCCCGCGCCGGGTCGCGCACACGAAAAACACGGCAAAAAATTAATCGATATATCTCGGTGTTCCGAGATGCATCGGGAATTGAGCCCGATGCGGGGGTCGAACCCGCAGCCTTGAGATTAAGAGTCTCACGCTCTACCGATTGAGCTAACCAGGCCGATTGGTGATATCCAACCGGGCACACCGGACGGTGCTGCTGTTGTTGGGACGAGGAGGGCCATGTGAAGTTATATTGGGCCGCGCGTTGGGCCCCGTATTGGGCCGGAGAGTGGGACCGTGGCGCGCAGCGATACCCTGGACATCGATCAGGAACATCTTGGGGCTGGACAACTTGGGTCGTCGACGACGCGATGGCTTGTGGCTTATGGCCTGGTGCGATGGCCTTAAGGAGAAAGGGAGGGAGGGAGTCATGACTAGTCAGCGAGGAACACTTCCGTGCCCCCTTCGCCCCCCTTTTCCCTCTCTCCCGCTTTTCCGTCCCGAGACCTTTGCCTACAGCCGACCTGATTATCTACATCGATATATACATGCTTCCCGTTCATCCCGTCTTCCTGATGCTGACCCGCATGGGCAGGCCGTCTTTGGGGTGCGCGGTGATGCACGCTGGCGGCTGGACCTGGTAGGCTTTGGTGCCCAGGAAGGTTTCGGCCTTCTCCGGGTATACGGCCGCCATGTCGAACTCCCTCACGGTCAGGGCGAGAATGAGCCGGAGTTCGAGACTGGCCAGCTCCTGACCGATGCAGTTGCGCGGGCCCTGCTCCCAGGGCCGGAAGGCGTTCTTGACCGGGCGGAGCGGGTCGCTCTCGTCGCGCACCGTCCAGCGTTCCGGGATGAAGGCGTCCGGCTCGGGCCAGAAGTACGGGTTGCGCTGGACCGCGGCCGAGCACCCAAAGAGCATGAATCCCTCGGCTGGGTATTCGACCCCGGTGTCTGGATGGCGCAGCGAGAAGCCGGGCTCGCCAATACGTACCGTGCCCACCACGGGCCAAAGCCGCAGCGTCTCCTTGACCACGGCGAGCGTGTAGGGCAGCTGGTTCAGCAGGGAAGGGTTGGCGGCGATCCGCTCTGCTGTCTGTGAGAGGTCTGCCCCGAAAACTGCGTCGTGCTCCGCACGCAAGAGCGCGAGCTTCTCCGGGTGGCTGTATAGGGCAAAGTAGGCGTAAGCCACCGTTGTTGCCGTTGTGTCGTGGCCTGCGAAGAGGAACATCTTGACGTGGTTGACGACCTTGTCAAGGAACTCGGGCGGGATATGGCCTCGCGTGGATATCTCCTGGACTTCCTCGACATAAGACTTGACTGCCAGATTGAGGATCGTCTTGGGGCCTTCCATCTTTTCGTAGTTCTGTACCACGTTCTGGACGTAGGGCATCATTTCCTGCCGAAAGGCCCGGTTGAGAACAAAGTGGCGGAGGGGCCTCAGAGGATTCAGGGCCTTGCTGAATTGAATATCGAAATATAGAAGCCCGACTTGATCCAGCATCGACGTGATGAATTTGACAGGCCTGTCTTGGGCGTGTACTCGTGCACCCCTGGGAAACAGGTCAGTCTAAGGGATGAGCAGTCGAGGAGAGCGGATTGACGTACAGGACGGCCCTCGCGATGATATCAACGGTCAGGTTTGTGGTGAGGTCCACCATATTGACCGTTGTTCCTTGCTGGGCGGACTTTATAAGGTAGTCCCTGAACACGATGACTTCCTCCACAAAGGCAGGGATCAGAGACAGCAGGTTCCTTGCGGAGAACCCCGGATTGAATATGGCCCTATCTGCTCTCCACTCTCTGCCATCTGAGCATGCCAGGTCATTGGCCCCGGTGAAGGGACCAAACTCGGCTTTCATGTTCGGGTGCTTGAGTTGACTGTTCTCTTGGGTGAACTGAGCCATAAGGTCCGGATGAAAGACGGCGATCATGGGATTGCTCAGGGGCCAAACATCCATGTACACGCAGCCCGCCTTCATTACTTCAGGATATGCCTGGGCTATAAGCAGCGGCATGCTCTGGCCGTGAGCATCTCGCGGCATCTTGAGTTTGATGGCAACCTTTGTGATCGCAGGCAGATGGCCGAGGATGAATGAATGCGGCAGGGCGAACTGCCGCCGGATTAGTATATAGCCAGCCGCATCCTATCTTAAGGTGATGCCCGGCGAGATCCATAGGCGAAGCGGGACAGTCCTCAGCTTGCACGCAGACTCGCATTTTAGGCAGATGAAAGGGACTGCGAAGCAACATACCACTCCCGGCTGGTTCTGCGCCCGACGAACCATCATCCGCACCTGGCAGAGACGATGTATGAATTTGACAGCACTGGCGATCATCACAACTGCCAGACACTTCAAGAGCAGGCCACGGAGCCCCTCGTCCGGGGGACCCACTATTTCCAGCATCGCGAATAGTCGTGAAGAGCTCTAACGTGAGGGGGTTGAGAATCACAAGGCAGGACTTTGGGGTGAAATTCCGAATTCGAGACAACAGGCGTGACGAACAGAGTTGGACAGCCGTGCGCAGTGTAGCAGGCTCAAGTTCCACAGGAGCTAACTAAACGCCGATGAACGAACGGCTTCAGAAGATTTCAGCGCTGATATCCAGGACGAACGACTAATCTACGTTGGCCTCGGGTGGGACGGCTAGTGAGGCCGGAAGATATTCATAGAATTGCCGGTTTAGTCTGGAGTTGGTGACCATGCAAACTCTAAAAAGGGCAGGCTAGGATTCGTACTGAGCAAGCACCAACTCCTCCGTGTTTTGGTTGACCACGAAGATTGCAGCGACATATTGGACCTCTTTTTTCTTGTAAACGAATGAGTAAGTTTGTTGTAATGGCAGCGAAGCAAATAATCACATTGAGACGTTCGACTATTCTCTGCACTGCAGGGCCGCCCAGATGGCCGCGGAATGGAATCCCATGCAAGGGATATGAGGTTCGAGGGGCATTTGTGCCAGGCTCCGTGGTATGGGGTATAGAAACATATCATTCGGGCCGTACGGTGGTTCAAGAGCATTGGTGGGACATCGGGCCGTCCAATGGGTATCGATTATCCCTTGCTTCGTACACAATGTAATGATAGACAGCCAGCCAGCCTAGCTCCTAGCTTTGGCAGAGGGGAAATGTTTCGTCGCCTGCAGATTGCATGGTGTTGTTGTTTTCCTCCCGTCAGAGAGATATGAATATGGTTCGCAGGTCGGACATGTCAGATACACTGCTCCCTGTGAGCATCGATCAGATCTACACCAGAGGTTGTGTCGGCACCTATATGAGCAGGACCCGGGTTGGGGAAACGGAGCCGAACTGCGTGGGCTAAACCATGGAATGGACCGAATGGATAGTTACGAGAACGCAGCACGACTTTGTAGGGATACACTGTGCAGTTAGGGTACCAGTATGAGTTAGCCAGTACCCGACCCGGGTTGTATTTTGCTTGCTGCAGCTTGACCCGCTGCCCCCGTGCTTTCTCTGCAAAGTACCACGATACTATGGTATATCAATGCAACAACTTTTGATGCAGCAGTGATGTTGCATTATTAGCCGTGCACCTAGTGACACCTAGGTGTCCTCCATCCCCTATGCTCTCTGCACCAAGACTTGCCAATTGAGGCGGTGCCGCCAGTGCAATCTCGGTTATCTGTATGGGGGCATTAAGCCTTAGGCCAATAAGCGTACCATAGCACATGGCGGCGGCGCGTCCCCTGTGGTCCAGCCCGCGCTGATTGACCGAACCATCCGGCAATTGACAGATTTGGCAGACGGCTTGACATCTAGTCCCCTGACTAGGTAGCTAGTTAAGAAAGTTAGGGGAGGGACTGGGCGACGCGAGCAGCAATGAGCATAACCTTGGAAGGAGTTCGGCCCATTGATTTTGTGGTGCCCCTCCTCCACCCCCTTGGAAACGCAAATTGGAAAGCCAATCTGTCGAACGCGCCCGGGCACGCATTGATCAAGGTTCATGAGAGCAAGCCGCACGCGAACCGACACGGGGCGCGCTCTGACAAGGTCCTGGAGTGCAGTCCCTTGCCTGCATTAGGAACCGCAAGCCCGTGCCCAAATTTCTGCAGCGCGACCGCCGCCAGCGTTAATCCATCAATCGAACCGAACCGGCACGCACGAACGCACGAACGAACGAACGAACGAAACGAACCCCTCCAGCTTCTCTGTGGCCTCTGGCAGGCTTTTTGCTAATTTTAACCCAGCTCGCCAGCGACAGGCCTGGCAGGGCCTGGGTTCCCCCTTGGCCCCCGGAGGACGCCCCCATCTTTTGGTTCCCGTCGTCATCGCATCGCCCGCCCGTGACTGGGCAGTCGAGCCAGCCCGCCCCAGTTCTCTCCCGCTTGGCGGGCCTAGATTGGCTGATCCCGGATTGCATCAGGCTCTTCCTGGCTCTTTGCTTGCTCCTTTTCGTCGGCACAGCCAAGATACTCGTCTTTGTCTGCCCTCTTCCCACGCAGGATCGGCCAGTCTCGACAGGAAACCCGGTGCAGTTCCCAAACATCTCGATGCTCGACTGATCAACCGTCCCCGTCAGTCAACCACACCACACACCTCCCCTCACTCGTTTCAATCCCCGGCGGTTGCATCATATCCACTTGCGTCGTCGTCGCCGTTTCGTCGCTCGCTTCCTCCGTGTGTTGACGTCGTAGTCGTCTTCGCCCACACTCGCTGTTCTGGTTCTAAACCCCTGGAGCTGGATTTCTTCACGCCACGAGGTCGCCTGCCTGGCTTGCGTCGCACAGGAGCCGGGAGCCCGCACCAACAAAGCGAGACACCGCACACAAAGACACAGCACGCAGCCGCAGCCGAGAAACGGTGGCATCACCCCGTCCGTAATCCCGTCCGACGTCCCCCTCCGTCCTCGTCATGGGGCTCAACACCATGGACAACGGCACGCGCGTACGGAACCTGTGCCTCGCACGCCTGACACGATCACGCATTACCATTCTCGCCATATTCTCCTTCCTCTTCATCGTCTATATCTTCTCGCCATACGACAGTCTCGTCCGGTCCTCGATCCGTTGGCAGTCAACTGTTGCATCAGACTACATTCAACATAAATACCCGAGCGACAAGTGGTTATACAAGGAACAGAGGTATCCCGTCGACCCGAACCGGGACATTGCCATTATTCTCAAGACGGGCTATGGTACGAGGAAACGGGTGCCTGAGGTCGTCGCCGCCCTGGCCAACGAGACCTTCGAGTGTGATATGCTCCTGCTCCAGGACTATCCCCTGCTGGAGAGGCAGTCATTTGCATGGCCGAGCGGCAAGAACATTCCGGTAGTGGACATCATCGGCTGGATGCTGGAAACCGGAAAGGTCATCAACAAGGACAAGAACCAACGCATTACCGAGTACGAGTCCCTCAGCGACGCAATCGATGCCGAGGACTGGTTCATGTCCGACACTCTTAGCAAGGGCAACGGATGGGAACTCGATGCGATGAAGGTATGTCATTCATGTCCTCCAAGTCGTGTCTGCCTGGTCTCAAATGAATGCTCTTTGCTAACCTTACCATTTAGTTCATCTCTGGCCTTCAATACGCATGGGAGAATCTGCCCCGCAAGAAGTGGTACATCATGTCCGACGATGATACCTACGTACTCAAGGAATCCCTGGCTTTGACGCTCGGCCACCTTGATCCCTCGACACCCCAGTACCTCGGCAACCCGGTTGGTGATTTCAAGGGCCGTTTTGCCCACGGTGGATCGTCTGCTGTACTCTCCGGCGCTGTCCTGAAGAAGCTGTTCAACGATAACCCGAAAATCGCTGCCGAGGCTCATGTGGAAGCCACAACCGCAACTTGGGGCGATAAGCTGCTGTCTACTACTCTCATGAAGATTGGCATTTACCTCGACGAAAACTACAGCCGTCTGTTCAACGGGGAGCCTCCCAGCATGACGAGGATGTGGATCGATAGGTTCTGCCTTCCTCTTATCTCTTTCCACGGATTGGGTGTAGGGTCACGCATGTCGGACGTCGGCAACACATTCAAGGGTATGAAGGAACCCGTCTTCTGGAGACAACTGGGCAAGATTTACGGAGCCGCCGACTTCGAATCCTTCGTGGCCGAGCCGATTCGGGCCAATCAAGACTTCGTGGGACGCCTGGACGAGCACAGCACCACCATCAACCTCGTTGAATCGGTGGAGGAATGTGTTAAAATCTGTGGGCAGCACTCTACCGACTGCCTGGCTTGGACTTGGGATATGGGCACCAAGCAGTGTCACTATGCCCCCTGGACTATTATTGGCGACTACAGGGAGAACGTGTTGTCCGGCATCAACTACGCACTGGCGCAGAAGCTGTCCGAGGGCTGCCATTCACCGCCAGCACCTGTTAGGGCGGCGGAATAATTCTCATTTCTCTGAGACTTTGTTTTGTCGGATTTTCTTCTTCATTAATTCCATGTATATAAATTTTAGGGCATGGGGCGTTTTTAGCTCACTCAGAGGGTGATCCCTGAGAAATGAGCGGTACACAGCCAACTGGGCACGTCACTGGGTTTGACATAGACCGCGGATACGGCTGGGATCTTAATGATTGAATGATACCCGGGAGGGTCCGCCGGGGACGGCAAGGCTAAGTAGTGTACATAATACGCTATACGTAAATGCTAATTCCACACACTGAACAACACCTCTCGCTTCGCCAGCTTTGCCGATATGTATGATGGGTTGCTTTCTCGGTTCCAGCTTCTACACCCAGGTGAACTTCTGTAGTCCCGCAAGACCTCAACATGAAGGCTGCTGATTACCACTGCTTCGTGCTTATAATTCTAAGTGCGTCCATCCGCCGTGGAAACTAGCGCCGTTATCTTGAAGGGCTCCCTGTCACGGTATCTGATGACGCTGTAATGGCCATACGCTCAGTTGATGCATTCACAGTCATAGTTACAGTGCTAGTCACATCCGTGATAGACACGATGCAGGTACAGATGGATGGCGCTCCACAGCATATGAGTTCATCCTAAAAGTGGTAGCCCTGGTGTTTCTTCGACACCTGCTGCACAGGACGTAGTCAACGCAGACACTAATTAGCAAGCCAGCCAGCTTCAAATCCAACTCTACTAGTGCATCAGCTAGCACCAGATCATTATTTACTTATCACCAAATGACCTTGGTCTGCGTTACTCATCCTTACTCAGGCCAACGCATTGGCGCATCAAGTTGGCTGTAGCCTACTAATCTTTCTGATCGGAATGTGATATCACTGAGATGAACTTTGGGGAATTGCATTCGGTGTTGTCTTTACGAAAATGAGATTATAATCCTGTCGCCAATGGCGCAACGGATGATCCTGAACACCCAAGATTTAAGTTCTTCCCTCCCCCCTGGGGCATTTCCTTTCTAATACTACACAGGCGAATTGTGATCATTACACCTGGAGATGCGCAGCAGGAGGGAACCCGACCTTCTCCGCCACCTTGTTCTTGGCCTTGCTCTCCCACGCATCGAACGTGCCGTCCAGCTTGTTCTCCAAGCCCTTGGCCTTTCTACCGAGGAATGTGCGGAACGAGCCGTACGCGCCCGTGGCCAGCCACAGCAGGCAGTTGACGAGGTCGATCCAGACGCCAACCTTCATGACGCGGACGCTGGTGCCCTCGTACTCGTCCTCCTCCCGCTTGAGGAAGATGTTGGCAAAGGTGCCGAACACGGCGATCCACAGGATGAACAAGGTCAGGTCCCACGCGAAGAGCCGGTGCACGGGCGCGAACGGGATGGCGTAGACGACGCAGGTGATGCAGGACATGCCGGCCACCACCGTCGCGTACGCCCACGCCGCCGACTGGGCCCGCCCGGCCCGCCGGTCCTCGTCCACCCGGTGCGCGTACAACCCTACGACGACGAGAGCGAACACCAGCTGGATACCCCGGGCCGCCCACCGCGCGATGTTCTCGTACAGCCCGATCTGTTTCGTGGCTGCGCCCTTGCCGGCCTTGGCAATCAGTTTCTTGGCGGTGATGAAACCCATGACTACAGAGTGATGTAAGCGATTGTGTGTTATGGAGATGTGTGTGTGTGTGTGTGTGTTTAAGGTCTTGGGCGGTTCGCAGTGATGCTTCTATGGCCGCAGTCGTATTGTTGTTACTTGTATAGTGAATTAAAAGAGAGTTACGATCAATGCTAGTGAATGACTTCCAGCGTCGTCCGTCTGATCTGAAATGCAAAAGGAAAACACGTCTCGGTAGACTTAAGAAAAAGTGATTGGAAAGACGAGAGGAGAAACACTTGCTTGGACCCGACATTTCTTCAAGGCGGGAGGTATGATGCCTTTATGCTGTTCGGCCGATTCTTTGTCGGCCATGCCTGCGCTGGCGGTCATTGAACCACGGCGCATAGTCGAAACAAAGAGTCCCATTTCTTGACCCTTGCACCGGAGCTCGTGAGCCAACCAAGGCGGCAGACAGGATGCATGGCCCGTGCTTACCGCTTTGTTGCGTCGGCCGCCGAGTCCCCAGGCTTGATTGGCTGTCAGTGCATCGTTGAGGGCCTGGCGCTTAAGAGGGTCAGAGCCTCTCTGCTTCAAGACCCGCGCGCGCCTGGCCCTGAATAGAAACAGCGCCCGGCTTTGGGCGATTGTATAGGCCCAGAAGTCAGACTATGGTCCTCGACGAGACTGACGTTGCTGAGTGGGCTCTCTCAATTGACCGCACATGCTGACCTGATCATCTAATGAACATCTTGGGCTCTTGTGCATGCCCATTAGTGGGTCGCATTGCTTATATCCATGTCTGTTCTCTTATCTCTAGGTTTATAAGCCGATGCATCGCTCTCAACCTACATTTTTCCTTTCCGGCCTCTGGCTTACTTGATTCCTCAGGCAGAGAGAACCCAGTTGACTACTGTATCTTTGATACAGCTCCACGTATATCTTGTGCGTCCAAGCTGACGGGGCGAGTTATAGGCTGCAATATCCCTCCTTATGGGCATGACTTATGGTCAACTTCTATAGACATACAAATCAAACTGGCATTTCAATTTCGTCCATGTCCTTGTTCTAGCCTGACGCACGTTATCGCTGATATATCACGCAAGGCTGTGCGAACCCCGCTTTTCTATTTCTTGAGATGTCTTGTGGCCATGATGTGGTTGTAATCTGAGTACAGCACGTCGCTCTATATAGCCCACCACTAATTGCTGTCTTCCTATATGGCTATATACATATACCGTCTTCTCAACTCATGCTGCCTTGATATATGTGTCATGCTGAGCAACCGCCACACATTAGTGTAATTCGATCACACGGCACGGCTGTCAGATCTGGCACTGGGAATACTGGTGAGTGATATTCAGCTCGACTTACCTGACCTCAGCCGCAAAACGCCCCCGCACACCATCTTTTGAAACGAAAGCCCCACGGAGCCTTGTTTCTGCAAAACCAACCCTCTTCATCATTCATTGCAAACATTTCACGCTGCTACAACAACTTCGACCAGGTCTCTACAATGGAGATCTTCATCAAGTCTTGTAAGTCTATCCCTTACCTTGAGAACGACAGGGACTTTATGGCAATGCCAGGCTGACCATTCTGCGCACCTGCAGTGACGGGCGAGATCTACGTTCTCGATGTCGAGTCGTCCAATACCGTAGACGATATAAAGAAAATGCTAGCGACCAAGAACGGAATCGAACCTGATCAACAACGCCTAATCTACGATGGAAAACAACTAGAGGATGGACGGACACTATCGGACTACAGTATCCTTCGGCAAAGTACTTTGCACCTTGTACTCCGCCTCAGAGCGTATAGCACATCACCTCTATCCACCAGTCGTGTGCCCGTCGAAAGCGTATTTCTTTCCGGCGAAGACGCCCAGCGGACCCTACGAAGATGGCACGAACTGGCTGAAATGGGTGATTTCGATGCAGACACTCATATTGTAGATCCACAAGCCCACTACACTGCCTTGGAATCTCTTGAGAGGACTATCGTGACTTCATCTGAGCTATATCATCAATCTGGAGGGTACGAAGGCTGGACGCTGGCAAATATAGACACTATAGTGTCCCGGCTTTTGGGTGAAAGAACGTCACCTTCCAACATACCTGATTGGGTTTGTGGCCTCATGCTGGACATACAGTATGACCATACAGCAGTCACTGAGAAGGAGATCATCATCAGCCTGTGTGAATCCTACGTCATCATCCAGTCAGTCATCGACCGGTTCGATATTCTGGCCACCATAAAATTCTCCTCCGACTTCTTTAGTATACTATTGCTACGGGGTGAAAAGAATATCGCCGAGGTTGTCAAGATTCCTAAAGCATTAGTAGCCAAAATTGCACTCGAGTTACAAATCGCATTGACTCTTCTGAGGACAGAGTCAATGGATTCGGTCCGGGGTGGCATAATGCCTTGCCTACAGGAATTGTTCGATCTTCTCGATTGTGGTCCTGTCGAATACGAGATTCCGGAAGCTTTCCGAGTCATGGCCTACTTATTGGATTTGGGTCTTGTCTGCTACGTTGGGTCGCACGCAGCTCGCTTTGATTCCGAGTATTTCACGAAGGAGACTCCAGAGTTCGTGGTAAGCAAGAGAGCTGGGCTTGGATTTAGTTGCAGTCTTCGACAGTTGGCTTGTCTCAACGGCTTCCTTGATGCGAAAGCTGTCTGGGCCTTTGACGTGCACGTACGGGCTGATCAAGCCGCCAAAAACCCAAACAGAGAGAGCAATAAGTTATCGATTCTGACAACCATCGATGCGCTCGCAGATATTTGGGGTCCGGTTTATGCAGAAGTCGCCCACAGTGGGTCGCCAGCAGGCCAACCTACCCTTGTTAAGAAATACAATGTCTCCAAAGGTTGTATACGACGCGTCCCCGACAGAGCCTCCTCGCCAAACGCAGGAATATCCAAGTGCCACTGGTACAGCTGGGCAGAGGAGCAACGTCGACGTCTGGCACGATTCTTCGTAGAGCCCATCACGGGCAGTCAGGATCTGACCATGTCCCTGGATGATAAACTTCTGATCGGTACGGAGATGACCACCAACCCTGCTTGTACCTTCACCCTGCAGGAATATGAGATGAATTTTGGCGATCTCCTGACTGAACTTGGCCCCAAGCCTTCGACCTGGAAGTTTGATGGCATTGCCATGTCTTTGCAACTAGCTGCACCGAAGGTCGTTGCCATTCAGATTCAAGGACAGACAAAGAGGATACCAGAGGTCTCTGTCAAGGAGCACACATGGCAGAGATGGAACTCAAACCCAGAGCGTGCAAACCCAGGAGTTTTGAACAATTACTATGGTGTAGAGATTAGCCACTGCACTGGAAACGCAAGGAGAGTACCGTTGAAGCAGATACTGCTGATGGAACCGATACAAGAACTCCTTCAACGGCAGATACCAGGCTGGGAGTCAACACAATGGGGGATAGACTTTGTGAAGGTGCTTCAGGTTGAATCTAATGATGCAATATTCAACTTCTGGACAAGACATGTTGCTGAGCGTCCACTAGTCGGGCAGCTCGTCTCCTCTGTTCTCAACGTCCTGGACAACACCGGTAGTAACGATGTGGGTCTCAAGGCTGCAGTTCTCCACCAAAATTCCGAGAGCATCATCCACATCAAAGCAAGGAGCAATGACTGGGTCCGGCTGCTCAAGGACTCGTACCTGACAGCTACCTATGCCATCGTTAATAGGGTGTGCCTGGAATTCCGACGTCCCGATCATACGACTTCGATATGCACCGACGAAGAACGATACTCTGTGCTTCAAACGGGGGCTGGTTTGCAGAGAGATGGTTCAGTTGGCACGCAATTCAAATTCATGCCTTTGGGATTGAGATTTAAGGCGGTTGACACCGACCTTGCAGCCTCCCAGCCCCCATACCTCCTTGCTGCTGAGCCGAGCCGGGCAGCAGCACTACTAAACTCGTTCCAAGCCTGGTACCGGTATACACAAGTGAAGGAACTAGTGAATCAAAATTCACATTCCACTCGACTCAATAAGATGGTGGTACTTCGAGCTTCGCAGAAGAGCTTCGGAGGCCAGCCATATCAACGAAACCGTGGACTTCTGACCATTGTTGACGATGATGCCCATGACAGGATCGACGACCTGGAGGATCTAGCAGCACAACAGGAGGCACTTTCGCAGCTGGAGATTGAGGCTATCATACTCGAAGATGTTGAAAATCAAGATCATGCGGAGAGTTCAAGGGCAGCCTGTTGAAGAGATACCAGACAAACGCATCACCTCAAATCTTACCTGGGCAAACTCATCTCTTGGTTCATAGGAAGACCTATCCCTAAGCAATCCTTGCACGTTGCTGTATTAACCTGAACCAGGGTAATAAATTGAGCCAGGCTGTGTGCAAGGAGGTGTAATCCAAGCTGAATGTCTCCCGCCCCCATCTCACCTCCAGCTGGACCTGCGCCTTTAATTCCACGCCACCGCAGGCGAATTGGGGCCCTGCTGCAAATCGTATAATATTGTGAAAAGTCTAAGCTAGGGGAGGAAAGGAAACCTTTCCCCACGGCCGTCACGCTTGCTATTTTTACACGTGCGTGACGACTGACCCCAAGCTGGTCCGGGAGCTGGGCCCCATTATCGGGTCATGGGCAACATACGCTATCAGCTGTTCGCTCTAAGCAAGAGATAGCAGACAAAATTTGATGCGTAAGCATGATGGATTGGCGGTGTCGAAGACTGCATTTCATTGGTTTAATGTACGGCTTACGCTATTGGTTCCCATGTCCGGATTGGGCAACATACACTATCAGCTGTTCACTCTCAGCAAGCGATACCAGAAGCGAATTTTATGCGTAAGCCTGATGTATTGGCAGTGGCGAAGACTGCATTTCATTGGTTTAATGTGCGACTTACGCTATTGGTTCCCATGTGCGGATTGCAATACTTGGTAACTAGGAAATCAGGATCCCTCGACGGTCCACCTGATCTGTCACGTCAGGATCTGTCCACATTGTGGATCTAAGCAAATAATCAAAGAACGCTCTTGGGCTTCTCCCAATCATTGATTTTACTGCTAGTAATCACGGGAGATCAAAGTGCTGCACTTTTCAGCTCCCTTAGAGGATTGCGACACAGAGAACACGCTAACAGTGGCTTTGCGTCATCATACGAGAACTCGTACTACACAACTTCTGCATCCAGATACTCCTCAGCCATATAGCTTTTCACCATTATATGAAGTCGAAGTCAAATCCAATAGACATTGGAGGGATCACTAGGAGGCAACCAGTATTGAAGTGAGGTTCGAAATCCAGAGTCTCGGCGAGACTGTCAGGCTCACCTGGCGGTAGATTGGTGGTGTGTCACCAACCGCGCTGGAGAGCTTACCTCCCCGACGCAACAACAACATATCAAGGACCCCATAGTAACTACATCACCCCTTCCAGAGCCACCCGGATCGCTTGGCCTCTCCTCCCTCACCAATTATTTAAGTAGATTTAGGTCTGGGAGGATGAACATTCAATGTGCTCATCACCCCGGCTTGGGGCTTACATGTAAGATTTATTTTTCTTACTTTAGGTGGAACCGCATTTTCGCCAAGACGGTCCTTCTAAGGCATTTTTTGTTGCCAAGGCTTCACACAGGGGCGAAGCGGTACCGAAATACCAATATGGAAAATAGAATGGTCCACAGGAATGCACCGCTCGATATACCGCTTGATGGTCGTGGAAGATAGTTGAAATATAAAAGACTGGCGTGACCGTCGTCTGATTACCACTGCCTGTCACAAACATCTACCTCTTCAAATCGCCACGAGCTCATTTGCCCACCAGATATAGCAAGCTTGGTCTATATCTGGCCCTTTGTGCATATAATTAATCTAGCCTGTTATCCTATTGAGCAACGCCATGACTATCTCTCGTTTTCTCACAGCCGTTTTGGTGTCGTTGGACCTAGTGTCAGCGGCGCCAAATCTGAAGTCTCGCCTAGAGTCGGGTCCTCGTCCGCATGTCATTGTGGCTTTGTGTAACGCCATCGAACCTGCGGTGTTTTATTTGTTAGTGGAAGCCTGCACGTTCCCCTAGGAGCCAAGACGTTAACGCTAGTCAGTGAGAGCGACAACGATAAGCCCGACATCCCCGATAGTATCAATATCCTCCAATCTTCCAAGAAGGTTACCGAGGGCGTGGCCCCACCATTCAACCTGCCATTCGTAGTGATGGGAAAGTACAATAGTATGATAACACCCCCTCCGCCAATCCGCACTGTTCAATTTCCCACCAGGATGCAGTTCCAGCTAAAAATGGCGTGTTAACAATTATGATTCATAGTCCTAGGAGGGGCAACTGTCATAGCCGGCGGTCCAGGATCCTACGAAGGGGCGTTCAAAGGAACCGTGAAATACGGCCAGACAGGCCTGAATTGCTTCGACAGCCAGTTGCGTAGCTTCACTTATACACCGTCTCCCCAAGACACTGCACCCGCATTTTCGGGCGAAACGAAGTGTCTGGCGGCGTTTTCATGCACCCGGGCCGAAGGCATCGACGTCAAGTTCGAGGTCTCTGACGACACGGTTGTTATTGCCAACTACAAGGCCGGTTTCGAGAAGCCATCCAACATGATCAGCACTGCCAAAGAACTCATCAGCAGCGGAGGTAAACTGTGCAAAGATGGCGACGTCTCTGTCGACATAGACAACACTTGCAAGATAACGCTATCAAATTGCGACGACGCCAGCGGTGCTCTACTTCCAAAGCTCATTGATTCTTTTGGTGCTCTTGCCGATCAGAACGGAGCTTTCGCGCTTTCCAGCCAGAAGAACACTCATTGCTCGGGACCGGCCTATTGTCCGCCTTCTATGGATGTAAGTTTAAGTGGGCAGGGACAAGAATTTCTCCTCATCCCTTAGCCCTCTCCCTTCCTGCTTCGCAACACCACATCAATGGTAATGAGGCTAATCATGCCGTCCTACAGACACAAATGATCAGGCTTCCGAAGAGGTGGCAGGCGCTTGTCAGCAATATCCCCCCTCCCGGCAGCAACAACCAACCCAGTATTCAAGCTACCCTGGACCTCTCCTTCGAATGCCATTCTGATATGGACGAGACCATGTGCAAGGTTTTGAAGGGCCTCGCTGGCACCGGCGCCTTGATTCCAATCGTCGGACCAGCCTTTGGGGCCGGTGCCCTGGCTGTGGACTTGGCATGCTCATGAGAGACGAGTTCCATCATAAAGTTGATGAGCATTCAGTCTTTCACAGATGGGGGTGATAGAAGTGGACTTGGCACAGACTTGAAAGAAAGCCAGGGGACAGAGAAGGACAACTTTGATTCGTAATGACCAGTAGCGTTTGTAGTGATCAGTTCTATAAACATCTGCCTTATCAATTTATAGCTGAAAGCACCGAGAACAAATCTACTGGGCTAAATTGGTCGTCATGTTCGCACACTCCTCATGCAATAACATCGGGACCGTAGCTACCCCCGCAAACACTGGTCAGCGGTAAGACAACTATTGTTCAACCAGCTCAAACATGGTGGTTTCCCAACTATCACCACGAATAATGATCGTGAATTCCCTGTCACTTCACGATATATCTATAGTCGAACTGTGGCAAGTAAAACTCCGGCAAAAGACAGCACTAAGATTACCGTCAGGTTATTGCACACCGTATCCTGTTACACGAACAACTATCAAAGATTCCCAGCCATCAAAAATAGCCGATATTTTTCAAATAACCACCAAATCGCGGTATAAGATGTTGAATAACTTTGTTGCCATGATTTCAAGTTAGGTAACTTCTGGGCAGCAATCTCCCTTTGTTTCAACGCACTTCCTGGTACATTCATTCGTATGCCATGAACCCATCGAGTACCTTTATTATTCGTGTTATCCATGATCAGCTTTTACGGATGGGGATGGAGTTCTGTTACAATGGTATGTTTGGATGCGCCGGATGGAAATGCCCTTCGCGGGGCGTATACTGAAGCCACACCCTACTCTACGAGTAGATAACTGGATGATCGATCGAACTAAAGCCGGATATTGGGGAAACTCGGCACCATTCCTGTGGTTGAGACTCTGCCGACATACCTGATTGTAAACTTGTGGGATTTATGAGCCAGAAACAAGAAGTGCTGGACAAGTCAAGCTAAAATCTTCTGCTGAAAAATGTCTATATTGACAACCAAAGTTTAAAAGGGGTGAAAGTTTTTTTTTTTTTTTTTTTTTTTTTTTTTTTTTTTTTTTACAAATAAATTACCCCTCCTGTCCTACGGACATCGAACCATACGAGACAGAATGCGATAGCGATATGTAGAATTTACAAAGCGATAGATCCGTCTTTCTGGAACAGGCCCTAAAAGAATAGTAAGTTAGCTAACGTATGGCATACAAGGCGGTGTCTCTTACCATGAATTTATTTCCAGTGGTGATACAACGGTGTAAGAAAATGGCGAGCCGGATGAGAGCAAATAGTGTCACCACCGCCAGCACAAGAAGCAGCATCCCAATCAGCCCCAGAATGCTGCCGTTACTTGTTTCGGACTTATCAGGCGTATTTGACAGGGCCTTTACAAGGGGTTTCGTAATGTCTCCAGTGCACCAGAACGCATAACTTCCGGCTGCATCCGAGGGCATCTTTAGGCACCTTTCCAGAAGCTCTTCGTCCACGATGTCCAGCATATTAGGCTCACCCACACAGTTAGGTGCATCATAACGGGCCAGTAACGCCGCTGTACCGTTGGTGCACGTTGCCGTCTTGTATATTTTAAGCTGGTTCGTCGCCTTGATGGGGTAACATACGTCTCGGGTCGGGGCCTGGAACGTAGGAGCACGGTGTGCCTTGCCCCGAACGTAACAGATATTGTCGGAAACTGAAGCTTTGGAAGCGATATAGGGCCTGGCTTTCATTGTTCCGCTGGGGTGTTCTAGTTCTGGTGCTGCCAGAGTAAGGCTTATGCTCAGTGCGAGCACTAAAAAGTTCCGTGGAAACATGTTTGACCCTTCCGATGAGCTGATTTAAAGTTGTTCTTTTCTAAAATTAAATGTTTCTTAAGACGAGATGTGTTTTGTTGGCGGCGCGGCTGGAGGTTGGGGTCAGGGAGTTCTCCTTGAAAAATTCTGCGGGGGACATATCTAGGAAAATGTATGCCCCCAGAAGTTCAGGTAGCATATCTCGCATTTGCATTTGTGTTGGCAGAAATGGAATAACATTATCGTCGTTTTGCGGCACAGCGTCACAATATGGTTTAGTCTGAATCCTTCAAGCGGAAATTCTCTAGTTCCAAACGCCACGGCCTTGCGCGACAGGATTGATTGGCCCATCTCTGTTAATCCCCAGGCTGTCTTATGCAGACACGCGCCCGGTTTGTTAGAATCAACCATGCACGTTGCCTGATCTGGTAAGGTGTATGAGTTATTGATGGTGTAGATGCTGCCTTAACCCACTGCACCGAGACCTTAGAGGACGCCCTTTGCAACACATTCTCGGGCGGAGACTGGTTGATCAAGTTTTAACGCCCCCTTGATTCTTATGGTTCACATTCCTTAGGAAGTGGTATCATGCATTGAACCCGAGCAACCTTGATTTACAGGCATGAACTACAGCCACTACGTTATTTCCCAACTTAATAAAAGAATGGGAAACAGGGCACCATGGTTCCCGCAGCTAGTAATTTGTTTACAGGGTCCAGCCATTCCTTTACCTCTGCGATTTGGAAATATTCTAGCTTCACCATGATGACCTGAGGAGGCAAGTTAGCCAGTTATCGTTGATGACCGAAAAAGAAGGTTGCACGTACGTAATCATTGAAGTACCCCGATACTGCCCCTGATGGATCCCATTTTGCCAGGCCACGCGAGCCGTTTGTCTCGATGATCGATACATTGGGGTCAAGAAACTTGTCCTCGTGGAAATCGGTGACTTGCTGTATCGCGTGCGATTAATAAAATTCACAGGAGGCAGTAAATGGAGGCAATTACCTGGTCCCACTCAACCAGGGAGCTGTACAGCCATTCATTGCAAGATGCGAGGAACTCATCGTTGTATTGCCGCACCATACCCTTCGGCATGAATGGCATATTTGGCATGAAGTCCTTCGTAAACCATTGGGCTTTTTTAGGGCCCTCGCGCTCAGTGTCAAAGTAGTTAGGCCTCAAAAAGATGTCAAAGAGCTTTTGACGCTATTCATGTATCGGTAAGTAAATGTCCATTGGCATACAATCCGCCGACCGCCAGCGCAGCTATATGACATGGAGAACGGAACGTACCAGAGCTGTGGCTTCATCCCCTTCTTCCGGGATCTTGTCTGGGAGGGCATACTGCTTCTCTGGTACTGGGACGCCCCATCGACCACTATAGTGGAAAATTGGAAGGTTCATACCCGCGGCCGTGTAGTACGGTAGAGGATCACTCCATGTACGGGCCAGCGTCACCTTGCCATCATTGATGACCACGAGCTCAACGTGTGTGCAATCAAACTTCCGAACGTGTGGGCCGCCCCACGTCACGTCGGCCACGGTTCGAGACTCGATCCAGAATCGCGACAGGTCCTTCGTCGGGTACTTGACTATAGAGTCCTGAGGTCGGGACCAGTTTTTGACGGTTCGTCGTAGCCAGCTGGTTAGTACGGCGCGCCTCGGCCGGTCAAAGGACTTCGGCATGCCAGGCGGTGCGAAGGGAAAGTCGAGGATACAGTCCCGAGAAAGTAGAGAGGAGATAGCATCATCGCTCTCCCAGAACGGTGTGTTAAGGAATCGATCGAGTACCTCCTCGTTTTGGAGTCTCAAATCATCCAGTGAGGCGGCCATGGTGAACTCAACGGAATGATACCCAAAAAAAAAAGTGAATAGTAAACTTCCAACATATGGAAAACTACTTCCTCCTCTGTTGACGTTCGTCTTATAAACTCGCACTTTGCATATGTTCTGAGAAGTGAGGGATGGTCCGAGCCCGGACCGATCCCGAATTCCGGGGAGAACATCACGAGGAAAGGCGCAGAATGGCTTAGCCCGCTTTGATTGAAGATAGGGTAATTAGACCATGTCAATCGGTAGGAGGCAGACAATGCTTTGCTCGGCTGGTAGTTTGACGACGCAATGGCCAGAACACACTACCGCATGCCACCTCTAGCCAAACATCAAGCCCGTGTACATGGCAAGCCCCTCGATTGTGGATCCCTGTTTAGTGCAACCCCGGCTGGAAGGGTCCTTTAGCTCTGCGGAAAGTTCTGCCGCGAAGAGTATAGTACCGATTTAGGCAGTGCATCCCTATCGCATCACTAGTGGCCGGATCTTGAAGGGCTTATCGCCTCTAGTTCGGCTTCGCCATCGCGGGCATCTTTACGTACGCAATTGGCAAATCCAAGTCATACGATATCGTACTTGCTCATGAGCGGAAGAATATGCATGATCAGAACAACCAACTGGCTCTGTACTCTTGACATGAGCTCGTAAGTTACATATTGTCTGATAGACGCTCCAGTATCTCTCCCTACCCGACTCTTCTTGTAAGCCCCTCCCTTCTTGTACTCCAAGCATTGCATTCCGTCGCTCAATGGAGATCTTCGAAAACGCGACTCTACGAGAGGCCTCCGTGGGCCTGGAGCAATATGCCACGCTCCCACGCCTGGCAGTTGTCGGTTTGGTGTTTTGCCTAACATTCCTGCTATGGCGGCCACAGGCCAGCAGCCAGCCACCGAGCCTCCAAGAAGCGATTCCCCTCGTCTCCAACACCTACCTTTTCATGACCAACAAAGAGGCATTCATACGGAAGGCCGCAGATTTTGTTCGAGGTAGATTCGACATTGTGCAGTTCCGCCTCGGTCTGAAGAAGATATATCTGGTCACTGGCGAGAAGAACGTGCAGGCGTTGATGAAGTCGACGCCAGGTTTGCGGGCGGAGACCGGCGTGGAGACACTCCTTGAGAGCGTGTGGGCGATGCCTAAGGAGGAAGTCCAGCATTGGCGGCTCGACAAGACTGGAAGGGGGAAGACACCCCTCCCAGGAACTGAGGGCTTGCCCGACGATCGTAGATTCTGGTTCGCATTCTTACAGAACCCTGAGCTTACTGTTCCTATAGACTCATTAACTAACTTTCCGCAGGTATATTAGCCACCAAATTTACGACAACTACCTCACTGCGAAAAAGTATGCTGATAACTATGCACTAAAGTTCTATGACATCTTTGAGAAGCACCTAGATTCTATGCCCGTTTCGTCCGAGTGGTCCACTTTTGGTGTGTATGATTGGGTCAGGCACCAGATGGCTGAATGTGCGCTCATGTCGGTCATGGGAACTCACATTATCGACATGAACCCTGGCTTTCTGGATGCCCTGTGGGACACTGACCGTGTCACCCCGGACCTTGTCGCTGGGTTCCCCCGGTGGATGAAGCCGGGACCATACGACATTCGCGACAAGTTCTATGCCATGGCGAGGAAATGGGTTGAAACTTCGATGGCGCAATTTGATTTTGACGGCCCGGACCAGGACGTCGACTGGGAACCGCTCTTTGGTGCCCGTGTCACGCGCGAACAGGCAAAGTGGATGTCTCAGAATCATTGCGGAGAGACTTTAGGAGGATTCTTCGGAACTTTTGCCGCTGGGTAAGAAGTTGCACTCTTCTAATAACGCCACTGGTACTGATATTATGGTGCAGCGTAGTAGCCAACTCTGTTCCGGCAGCCACATGGGCCCTCATGGAATTGCTGAAAGATCCCGAGCTGTACCAAGAAGTCCGGGCTGAAGTCCAGACTGCCGTCGTCACGGATCCGGAGACGGGAAAGCGCTCCATGAACGTACCGAAGCTCCTGACGCTACCACTGCTACAGTCAGTCTACGTCGAGACAATGCGTTTGCATGTTTCGTACAGTATTTTCCGCGCCGTCACCCAGCCCGTGACCATTGGCGGATACCAGATTGAAGAGGGTGCCGCCGTCCTTGCCACGACATGCATAGCCCATGTTGACGATGCTGCATGGAATGCGCAGGGAACTCACCCGGCGTCGCAGTTCTGGGGTGCTAGGCACATCAAGTTCGTTGAGGAGGTGGACGAGAAAGGGAATAAAGCGACACTGCCTAAGTTTGCCATGGCAGCACGCCCGAGCTCATTCTTCCCCTATGGTAAGTTTCGCATCTTGCTCCCCTTTGTCTACTTCAATTTCCACGGCTTTGTGGAGCAAGATAAAAACCTAACATCTCACAAGGCGGCGGTCAATCAATCTGTCCTGGTCGCCATGTCGCAAAGCAGCACCTCCTCATGATGCTGGCATTGCTGCTCGCACGATTTGAGATAGAAATGATTGAGTGGGTGAATGGGGATGGATCTAAGTCTGACCGTGAGCCCGAGCATGTCTCTGCTTATGTCGGCGTGTTGGCCATGCCTCCTGACCGTGACATGAAGGCTCGATGGAGGAAGATGTGGTAGTTTCCAGTTGCCTACTTTCTTGGTTTCCACAATCATAAGGCTATGAGTTTGGATGGTTTCTTGAGGAAATGGTACACATCGGTAGCACGAAAGATGAACAATTCGGCATCTCGGAGTTCTACATAAATATGAACATAGGTTGCTCTTCAATGAAGTTATCAACGTTCGGTATGTTCTGTCTTGCATATTTGAGTCATTCCAAACCGGAATCAAAACTCGAAGTCACGTATACAATCTTTGATTTGTAAAAGACTTGGCAAGGTTTAAAGACATAATCCCGAAACAACGACCGCAGCACTTAGCATCAGGAAGTGATAGATGCGAGATAGTGATTTGGCTAACCAAAGTATACATTCTCTGTTGCCGATAGTGTATCAAACCACAGCGCTATAATTTAATTCACCAACATTGGATGGCCCGTCTCCTCCAACAGGTCCATCCACCAAACCTCATTTCCCGCGTCCCTCCGGCGCCACACGTCCTCCAACAATTTACCTACCTCCGCCACGGCTGCCTGCTGCGTTTTGTGTGCAAGCGTGTTCATGACAGAGCGGAGAAAATCCCTGTCGGGAGATTCAGGAATGAGTTGTCCTGCGGATAGAATTGGGATGGCACAGACATTCCATAACCGACTATCCACGGGGATTTGCCTTAGCAGCACAATCGCGGAGTAGGCAAGCTGTGACAAAAATTCAGACGCTGTTACAACCTCATCTATCAGCCCTACGCGCTTGTACAACAGGTCGCGGCTGTAGTTGTACAGTATCAATAGCGCAGAGAGCCTATAAGCTTCCGCAATGCTATAAAAGTGTCGTAGTTTAGCAGCGCCTAGTGACGGTTGTGGTTGTGGGTGTTCCCACTCCAGGAGGTCGGTTTCCGCAGTGTGAATTAAATTTGAGAAATCGTCTGACTCTAGAAGTTGGTCTTTGTTACGGCGGAGGCGCCTCACAATTCCACCCACGCGGCCTACGAGCGGCATCAGCGTTGTCCAGGTCCCGAGGAAGGGGTCAATGACGGCATTGCTGTCGTTCCCTCGCATTGGCGTTGCGTATGCTGTGAGAGAGGTGTATGTAAGCGGGGAGGAGAACACGAGCCCCTCGTCATCAGAGACGAAGCTGGCGAGCGTTTCGATCCAGCAGAGCCAGTGCGCGAAGAACGGTGGGATATATAGTCCGGAGCTGATATTGTGGAGGATAAGCTGCCGGGCGGCGTCTAGGTGCATTGAGCAAGAGTTTTTTGTGTCAAACCAGGACTACAGACAAACGTAATGTGAGCAACACTGTTCCATGATAGTCATCGAAAGACCTGACTTACCTCTGTCGCTCCCAGTAAGAGGACGGAGGTGAGGACCTCAATAGAGTTAGACTGCCATTGAATATCCTTTTGCAGCATCCCGAGCGCCTGCGTCCGGTAATGCCACGCGGAAGACTCCGCACACTTGTCACTATTTCTGTTGGCCATATGCATTGCCGCTATGGCAACAACGATATTGGTGAGCGCATTGCTGCGAGTAAAGTGTTGCCTTAGTTGTTCACCTAACGGGTTGTCTGCGCCTTCCGCGATAGAGATGTAGTTCGCTATGTGATTGAAATAATGGTCGAGATAGTAGTTCTGGCGACGGTACTCAGAAGACTCCAGATCGAAGCTCGGTATTGAACTTCGAGATAGGAAGGAGTGTGTCAGTGCCAAGGGATGGATATTGGCAGTGTTTTCTTGGTCTTCACCAGGCGCCGGGCTGCCATCTGGTATATTTCCAGCATCCCATATGTCTATAGCTGAGTGTGCAGCCGCGTTAACAATCACAAATGAATAGAGGAGTATATGGACCACATACCTTCGCTGTGTAAACCGCAAGTCACACTGCCAGCCTCGGTAAACTTCTTCCTCTTCCTCACGGAGGGCCCCACCACCCATTTGTACTTCTTGTCGTAGCCAGGGCACTCAACACCTTTCTTGACGCATTGGGAGCAAGCTGGCGTACCTTTGTCACAATGAATATGGCGAGAGCGGCAACGGTCGCATCCTTGAAATGCCCCTGCAGGTCAGCGACTGGAAACAGTATCAAGGAATGTGTTACATCAAGTGAACAAGATGGACCCGCTCTTACCTCCAGATGATCTGCGAGACTTTGGTGGTAGAGTGGAACCAGATAAGGTCAGCATGGTGCCAAACTCAGAATCGCAGTGAGATTTGTGTGGTGACGAGATCGTGAAGAGCCTCAGGAAGTATGGCCAATCTCTTCGGTAACGGCGCCTCAACGATGGTAGTGGAGTCGGGTATCTTGGCTGCTGGCAGGCATGCGATAAGGTCTCCTGAGCCGAGGGGCTTGGAGCTAAGTAACGCACCCCTCACCAAGGTGTCCAGTCAGGAGTTGCGCGTCAGTCTTCCCCTTTTGGGTGAGATTGACGGCAACATATGCATAGGATGGTCTTAAGTTTTGGCAGACAAGTGCTCAGGTAAGAGTGGGCGACAGATACATGGTTATTTGTCCACGATATGTCGGAGGTACAGCCGATACTACATACTCCACCACACCCGTATCTCAACCCCACAGCCGCCACTGCAGCGACCCTGGTCCAAGGCCAGCTGAACACGTGCTATCGAGCTGGTTCCCCCGACTCAGCAAGCTAACAAGTGGGCTGGGTACTCAAAAGGGATATGGAAGAGATAGAGTGCACGCCCAGTGCCCAGGCCGGGGGTTTTGGGATTGTCCACCCAAGGTTCTCTAGGGTCCACGGGATAAAGAGGTGACTTGTCGCCTCTACGTACTATGGTAGAGTCACAGGTTCCCCTTTTCTGAGCTACTCAGAAGGTCTAGATTTCGAGATATCCAACTATTTGTGGACCGCTGACGCTAAGAATCACCCACTAACTGGTCTTCACCACGCGCGTCGGTAAGCTCCTTTAGCTTGATCCTCAAAATTCGATGTACTTTAGCTGTGTCTTCCATTACGAAACAACTAAATTCCAGAATCAAAATCATACTTGAAGACGGCATAGATAGGAAGATGCTTAAGTAACAGAAGAACTGCGGGTTGCCCGCAGCGCAACTCAAGTGTATTTTCATGCCTCAGTTTGTCGTCTCTGGTTCTACAATATGTGTAAACAAAAGTTGACTTAAGAAGAAGAATAATATGCATTTCGAAATTGTATTCAGATGATAGCGACCATACAAGAAATATAATACTTTTGATTAATTTGCTAGACTTCTTCCAACTGACGCCATGTCGCTGCACAAGCTCAAGTAGCTTTAATCCAATCGGTCCGAGAAGCCCCCACTATTTAGACAGCGACTCCGGCCTTAGTGCGGAATCTATCAGCGTAGAGATAGACTGGTATGCCCAGAATGCCCAGGACTCCAGTCAGCATTCCGTAGATGCTGAAGCTAGTCAAGTAACCAACACTCTCCGCGAAACCCACTACACCATAGCCCATGCCGAAGGAAGCGCTATCACGGATGACAGCCACCAAGGTCATGACGGCAAGCGAGTCTTCCGCAGATGTGATGTTGGCCAGGTAAATCAAGGTGGCCTCCAAGATACCGCAGAAGGACTGGTAGTAGAGAGACATGAGGAACACAATCGAGAACCAGTGGGGTTGGTCACCGCCGGGGTTAGTTATGAGATAGTTCTGCGCGAGGGCACCGAATCCGATGCTGGAGATAATTCCCGTGATGACAGGAATAATCAGCACCACAAGACGGTGTTCGGGTCGGTTGACGCCGTTGTTGCGCTTCGCTAACCAGAAGATAACCTTATCATTGCCCCATCCGAGCAAGACCCAGTTGACTTTCATATGTCAGTCTATATCTTCCAAAAAGAGAGGCCTATTGCAGAACTCACGGGCAGCCATAAGCACCGGACCGATGTTGATCAATCCTACATTCTGAGGGGCCCAAGACCAAGGTTCGCTTACAAGCATGGTGGCATAGTAGGTGGAAGCTGCCAAAAGACTCCTGAGACCGACATTTTAGCAACACAATCAGACACTCGAACAAAGGCACATAATTACTCACCCGCACATAATAGTGTTCAGCCCCGCATTCCACCACATGATAGGCGATAGGGCGTACACCCCCATACGTTTGAAGAACCACACCACGCTGTGGTTCGGCGAGCCTTTGACTCTCGGCGAAATGGGCTGCAGCTGTCTCGCGAGTGTGAAAGGCTTATATTCCCCACTGGTACCAAGTGTCTTCTTGAAAGAGGCATATTCGCTAAGTTTGATACGAGGAAGCAAGCTGTTGCCATCGCGATTATAGCGAACCTCCGGCATAATGAAGAACATGCCGACCAAGGTGAAGGCGGAGATGGCCGCGAACATGAAGAAAGGGGCTTGGAAGCTTGTCGTGACAGCCATGTAGTTCGTAGCGATACTGAGACCGAGCTGCAGGGCCAATTGTGTACCCATCAGCGCACCAATCATAGTACCTCGCTCGTGCACAAAGCTCATCTCTTGGACAATCACATAGACGAGGCAGTCGGTCGGTCCCGCTGCTAGGCCCTCGACCACACGGGCGGCCAGAAGCGAGTTATATGAAGTGGAGAAAGCGCCCCAGATACATGAGGCAAAGAGCAGGGCGTTTGCGAGGAGCATCGAGAAGCGCCTTCCGTAGGCGATGGCCAGAGGCGTGAAGATCAGTTGGCCGGGGGCAATCATCGGCATAATGATTGTGACCAGGAGGTTGATCTGACCTGCATCGGCGTCCGGGAACCGCTCGGCAACAGAAGGGATGTAGTTGAGCAGGAATGCCTGGATTGAGAGGGCGGCCGAGCTCCAAAGCATCAGAATGGCCAAAATGGCCCATTTTCGCGCCGGATGCCAGTTCAATGGGTCGCCCTTGTCTGTTGTCGGCGTGGGGACAAGGTATATTTCTCCATTTTCGTCGACGAGCTTGTTCTCGGCCGGAAGCACTTCTCTTTTGCTAGTGGTTTCAACTGCTCGGAAGGAAGTATGGTAAGCAACTCAGCTCCGCAAGCTATACATGCGCCGTGGATCACGAACCTGATGACCTTGTCCCTTTGATATCGGTCTCTATCTGCGCTTTGGCGGTCCCACTGGCATCAGACATTGTGCCAAAGATGATCTTTACAGATATTCCAAAAGTCAGGAAATTCGTTGACTCGATCAAACTGAATAATGATCATTCATAAATTTCCTAGATGGCGGCCGGAGGGTGCTTTATCATCTTCAACGCAGGCTGCTATTGCATCTCCGTGTCTCAAGATAAGGTTGACGTATGATAGAAAGCCAACTACCACCTATACCACACGCCATCCAGTGCCTTGGACCTGGGATGCTGAGGTTATCTTCAGCAATGCCAGGTGCATCATCAATGCGCCTCAAGTCTGGTGAAGGGGCAGCTCTCGGGTCATCTAGCGAGAGCAACGAGCCAATGATAAGAATCCGGAACCAGTCCCAAAGGGGACATGGAACGCGTCACTGTTGATTGGGTGGCTCTGCCCCACCACTAGTATACCCCCCTCTTAATCGTTATTTGTTTGGTCCTTTTTGTTCGCTTGTGGACAAGTCTGATAAGCTAATCCGGCAAACGGGCTAGCTCATTGACCTGCAGATTACTAGCTAGCAGGGCCTGGATGCGTTAGAGGACATTGAAGGCAAGGGTTCGCTTTCGGCGTGATCAATCCTCGGGAGTTAGCTCCAGCAACTCACGTCCAAGTCGATTAGGGCATTACGATCAGAAATTGTGGCCACTATAGTCGTCAACTTCGTCGCCCGATATCAATGCAGGCAGAGTCATCTGGACTGCTCGGCAGTTCTTTTCGGAGATCAGGCGAAAGCCACGTTATAGTGACATACAAACTACTCAGCATCAGATAGATCTCGTAGGGAAATTATGATGGCTGAGAACATTCGAGGGTCACTTGATTAGGCTCCCATGTATGGCTTGCATGTTTTGTACCGTAAGTCCACGAAAAGCGATTTTACCACTTCATCGATCTCTTTACGGAATTTACAGTTTTATGTATAATCAACCTCATTTCTTGGATGTTGTAGATTAAATTCTATGTGCGTATGTCATGCTCTCAGGATCGACATTGGCTCTACTTCATACTGTTACGTACTGAATGCCCCATTTCCTTGCGTCTATACGGCAACCTCTGTTTCCGAGACGGCAGGACCAAACCCCTTCGATAGGGGCCCATCTTTTGATGGCACTGTAGAATCTTGACGTAGTTTAGCGACGGTTTCATCATATACTTCATATACATGGTTCTCGGGGTCGAAATCCAACAGCCAAGGATCACGCTTCAGGTGAAGCGACTTGGGGTTCTTCCAGATCGCATCCCAGTCTGCTTTATGCCACTGCTCTCGTGTAGTTACACCCATGTTCTGTGCCTTGTGTACACGCTTATACCGGATGGCCTCGTAGGCCCGCACTCCCTCGGTCACATTGTCCTTGCCACTCTTGTCAAGGCAGGCTGCAATGGTGGCACCGTCTTCTACTGCCTGAGCAGCGCCTTGGATCGATGTCGGTAAGAAGGGGTGAGCGGCGTCGCCAATCAACACAATACGTGCGTTCTTGGAGATGAATGTTGGCAGGGGGTCACGGAAGACAAGTTTGTAATCCACAAGCTTATCTGCTGGTGTGGCCTTGACGAGCTCATGCACAAGAGGATCCCATCCTTCCAAATCTTTCAGAACATCTTCGACTTTTCCAGGAAACTGCCAATCCTCGTCAATGTCGGCTTCGTCCTTGTGAGTCAGGACCCAGCTGAAATCTTTTCCATTCTTGATCGATGTTGCCAAAAAGTGCTTATCACGTCCGATCTGTCATCATGTCAAACTGAATTAGTTCTTGGGCCTCCAAGACAAGGTATTTGGAAGTCGTGTGTCGGATGTGGCTGTTTGGCAAGAATGATAGTGAGACAAACTTACCCAACCATTGTGAGTGTCCCCATTGATGACCAGATGCTTTGTCATTTCATTCTTGGCTAGAACATCAGAATCATACCACGCCCTGTACACGGCGTAGCCCGAGGGCTTCGGCAGATCCTCGTAGCCAAGCACGATCTTCCTCCCGGGGCTCTTGACACCTTCCGCGGCAATGACAGCATCAGCTTTCATTTTCTCGCCATTGCAGACAACGCCAGCCCCATCCTCGGTCTCGAAATAATCCGTAACATTCTGCCCCAAACGGACATCGATGCCACGATCAGTAGCATGCTTCATGATCTCCAGGTGGATCTCGCCGCGGTGGCCACTGACGATTTCGCCAAACTTCTTGCCATTGTCCCACAGCTGCGTCGTGACAAAGCGGCCCGTCCAGTCAAAGTAGCTTATACCCGGGGCTTTGTAACATAGTGGCTCCAGGGTTTCCACCACGTTCTCCCATTTCTTGAAAACACCTGCGGCATTGGCTGCGAAGGTGATAAGATCGCCCAGCGGCTTTAAAACCTTTACCTTCTCTAGGAGAATAACCGAATGCCCTTTCCTGTCGCATTCGATTGCAGCAGACAAGCCAGCAAACCCGGCCCCAACAACGATGACTTTGATACCCGAGGGTGGGAGCCTTTCGTACGTGGCCATGTCTAAGAAAATTAGGAGGCTGTGGTCAGTTTGAAGAGAAATGAAGTGGGCTGGCATGCACTGCGATGAGGATAACTTTAGGCACATACTATGTAGCCTATGCTCTGGGCCCAGAGGATCCGGGGATACAGCTTGCAGATGCCGGTCTTAACCGTGACCTAGTGTGACAGTGGTTTCTAGCACAGACTTCACTGCACGGCCGACCAATTGCCCATTAGGCTCAGCTGAATTGTCGTCTCAAACTTTAGATCCCGAGTCCATGGATAGCTAACGGTGGTCAGGTGCTTAGTGCCTCTCCCCGCCCTGCGGGACTTACTGCCTATCTGGGTAATCGGTTCAAGGGTGGGCCGCAAATCGCATTGCATGCACCAGCTCCAGATGGCACTGTAACAAGAGTTACGGGACTTTGTACCTAATCTGCCCATGGAATGTTATCGAGCTGCGAGAATTTCAAGTCGCAAGTCATTGATTAGCAAGCCGGTAATGTTGTAGTCGGTATCCAACTTGCGGGGCCATATCGGCCGGTGGCAGGGCTCCGTTGTGTCCGTGTACAAAGGCGAGGACGTGGTAGAGAATACGGCATACATGACTTACACATACATATCACATGTAAGCAACAGCGACACCTAGGATTTTTTTTAATATAAAATTTTGCGACAGCTGCACTCACCCTAACACAATACACGCCTTGCATATCGTATTTGGCTCAATCGCAATGCTGCTTCCAACCGAGGGGTGGCAAGCTGTTATACTGCCAACTCACCTCTTCGGGGCGTTGGTGGTTGTCATATCACTGCCAATTCTCTGGGTTGCGATTGACTATGCACGAGTCCTCAGGCTAAGGCGCAAGCTCCCCCCTGGACCACTTCCTCTCCCACTCTTCGGTAGCTACTTCGAGATACCAAGGTATAAGCCATGGGTACACTGGGAGCAATTGTCTAAAAAGTACGACAACCCTATGATCACTGTCTGGAACGGCAATCGACCAGTCATCATCTGCAACGATGCATGGACCATCTCGGATCTTCTTGAGAAACGCGCGGCCATTTACTCATCTCGCCCCAAATTGTATGCCAGTGGAGAGATGGTCAACGCGACCGAATCGAACCAGATATGCCTTACCTACGGGGACAAGTGGAGGTTGCACCGAAGACTGACGGTAAGCTCCTGTATAGAATGCCCCAAAGACTTGCGAAAGCTGACAACTATGGCATATAGCACAACGTAGTTGGGAGCCAAGCTGTCCGTGGCTACCGCTCGATTCAAGGAAGTGAGGCCAAAGTTTTGACCAACGATCTTCTGGAGAATCCTGCGAAGTACGTATCAAGTATCGAGAGATACTCCGTCTCGGTGGTCTCGATTATCGGACACGGACGTCGTATTTCTGCCATCGAGGATCCGGTCGCGCAGATCGCGCTCGCCATTATGGAAGGGGTTGATTATATTATCCCTTGCTATACATTGGTTGAAGCCATACCTTGGACTATGAAGCTCCCGAAATGGATATACGCGCTGCCCGCTCTAGCCCGGGAGGGCAGCGGGTTGGGAGCCCAGTACTTCGCGAACTTGGCCAAGGAAGCAGTCAACAGAGACGATAATCTCTCAAAACGGCTCATCGCGGATCAAGAAGAGCTTGGAATCACTGACAAGGAAATTGGCAGTATTACCGGGAACCTGATCGGTGGCGGCGTGGACACTACGAGCAGCTCGATTATCAGCTTCATCCTGGCCATGTGCGTGTTCCCAGAAGCACAACGCAGAGCTCAGGATGAGATTGACCGTGTGATTGGCCGTGACCGGTCCCCTTCAATGGATGACGAGGCAAAGCTCTCGTACATCTCAGCCTGTGCATCGGAGACGCTGCGTTGGAGAACCGTGACCATTCTTGGCGGCATTCCACATGCTCCCACCCAGGACGACAAGTATCGCGGGTATCACATACCGGCTGGGACTGCGATCACCGGGAACGTCTGGGCCATTCACCGCCACCCTCGAGATTTCCCGGCCCCCGACACGTTCCGTCCGGAGCGTTTCCTGAATGGACTCGAACGACCGTATCCGACGAAGCAGGGCCACAATGCTTTCGGATGGGGACGACGGGCGTGCAGTGGACAGCCTCTTGCTGAGAAGAGCCTGCTCCACGTGATAACTCGGCTCCTGTGGGCTTTTGACATCAGGCCCGGTCTTGATGAACAGGTATGCCGACCCCGTCTCTCGCCTTGGCCGTTCACCCCTGTTCGGTTACCTAAGTGGTTGTGACTACCCGCTGATTAAACTCCTCTTAGGGCAATGAAGTGACATTGGACATTTTTGCCTACACCTCGTGTGAGAACATGCGCCCCGAGCCATTCAAGGCGCGCTTTATACCACGCAGCGAGAAGATTGCTGAGATTCTGCGCGCAGAGGCGCAGGCTGCCCGGGAAGAACTGCGCACGTGGGATGGCGATTCCAAGGTCACCATGTAACTTAAGACGAGTCGTCTTCGAGACGGGGGTGATTTATCACCTTGATCTTTAGGCGGCGGCGTCGATTGCCTGATCTCCTCGTAATACGATGTAATGCATTCATTCCGGACACCCATGTCATGTACGAGTAGATGATGGAATTGGGTCTGTGTACGGGCTCATGCTGATGCTCATGCTCATGCTAGTAAAGGATGTTATCGATGTATCGCGGAGTGCCCCGCGTGGCCGCTAACTTACAGGCTGGCTGCTCGCCGCCCTGCGCGTGACTCTGGCGGGCCGGGCTTCCCACTTGGGTTTTGATGACGTCGTCCCACAATTGACGTCAAATTTGGCGCCGCCTTCAACCCGCGTGGACGACACGCACGCGGCCCAGCCGAAGCGAAGACCAGACAGACAAGAGACAAGACAAGACAAGACAGCACAGCCCGCCGTGCCTCCCGCCGTGCCTCCCGCCTGGCAACAGTGTCCACTCGTCAACTCTTTCGCAACAACTAGAGAGCTGCCTACTCATCAAGTCTCCGGCTCGGTGCTCCCTTAGCTCAACATAAATACCCCTAGATTCCCACCTGTGGACCTTCCTACTCCCGCCCACAGACGTCCGACGCATCCGCAAGATCCAGTCCGCCTCCAGCCCTGTCGCCTCGCTTCTCTACCAACCACTCGCCAGCCGTGGGATCCTTGCACAACCCCATACCTTGCTATAGTCAGCCAGCTTCGTACAGAATAGGAAATCCCCAGACGAACGAACCAGATTCCCCAAAATGACCGAGCAGTCTCCTCACCCCCAGGCCAGTGGTGCCAGTTGGACCTCTTTCATAAAGGTATGGCAACCGTGTGGATGGCTCTAGCACACGCCATTTCCGCCCTGACGGCGACCCTTGGATACAATGTATCAGTTACTGACTTGCTTCGGGTTCCCATAGTCCATCGCATCCTTCAACGGCGACCTCTCGTCCCTCACCGCCCCACCATTCATCCTGTCCTCCACCAGCCTTACAGAGTTCAGCTCGTACTGGTGTGAACACCCCTCGGTGTTTGTTGCACCTGCAAAGGAGGCCGACCCTGCCAAGCGGGCCTTGTTGGTCCTGAAGTGGTTCTTGACCACGCTCAAGCAGCAGTACGCCAGCAGAAGTGAGCAGTATGGCAACGAGAAAAAGCCGTTGAATCCCTTCCTGGGAGAGCTGTTCCTCGGAACATGGGAGGATGCTGCTGGCACGACAGAGCTGGCCAGTGAGCAGGTCAAGTACGGCCCCCCAAGATGACTTGCGATAACGTGTTGTCCCACGCCTCTAACGAAACTATAGTCACCACCCTCCCGCCACTGCCTACAGCATCACCAATGCCAAGGCGGGCGTTCACCTCGAGGGCTACAACGCGCAGAAGGCATCCTTTTCCAAGACGATCAACATCAAGCAGATTGGTCACGCCGTATTGACCGTACCCGACCCCTCCAAGCCCGGCCAGTTCGACACATATTTAATCACCCTACCATCGTTGCACGTCGAGGGCTTGCTGTTCGGGGCACCGTTCATAGAACTGGATGGTGCATCGTACATTACGAGCTCCACTGGCTTCACCGCCAAGGTCGATTACAGTGGCAAGGGCTGGCTCAGTGGCAAGAAGAACTCGTTCACTGCTATCCTACACCCTACCGGAAAGGAGAAGGAGGTTCTCTACAATGTCTCGGGCCAGTGGACCAAGGCGTTTGAGATCCACTCCGGAGCCGCCAAGCACAACAGCAGCAGCAACCTCATCGAGAATTGGGATCCCACTACGGTTCCTACCAGTCAGCTCAAGGTTGCTCCCATCGAGCAGCAACACCCACTTGAATCTCGCCGCGCCTGGGCCAAGGTTGCCCAAGGCATCGCTATCGGAGACATGGACTCCGTGGGCAAGGAGAAGACGAAGATCGAGCAAGCGCAACGCACCATGCGCAAGAAGGAACAGGATGAGGGTCGGTCGTGGGAGAGGCGGTACTTCACATCGGTCGCCAACGCGTCTGATCCGACACTGGAGTCCCTCGCGGCCAATGTGGGACTCAACAGCAATGGAGATGCAGACAAGACTGGCGGCCTTTGGCGATTTGACCCAACCAAGGCGGAAAAAGTGAAGGCACAATCGCTGAGTGACGAGGAGAAGTCAAAGCTGGCAGCAGAGTTGCTGGGCCAATAGAGATCTCCCCGATTCTCTCCGGCTTCGGTGTTCGAGGTTGTGCCGCTGATTGATGAGGCAAGCCGGAAGACGCCTGCATGTTTTAGATGCTCGAAGCAAGGGGATTAGAGGCGTTGTAGACATCCAACTTGGCCTGCACGGCTGAAGTCGGGTAGATGGATGGCGTGTATGGACCGGCAACAAGAGCTGGACTTTCACTAGAGACATACTGAAGTGCTTCTATAATCTATTAATTGCGGGCGCAAAAGACAAACCGCATAACCATTCACTGCTTTAATGCTGGCAAGGGCCAACCAGGACTAGGCAAAGCCAGCGCAGTCCTCAGAAAATCCTACCAGTTCGGTTTCCATAAAACTTTAATTTACGTCTTAGATTGCTTTGTATGTGTGCCAAGTCGAAAGGAACGAGAGGAATGGTACTGGCCCGCGATTTTATATATCGTTGCCCAAACCTCGTGGACCGGCCCGTAGCAGCGGGGTTCCACTCGCCATGCCAAGGAGCCACAGTCACCCGCCATCCCTGCAGAGGATCACCGGCGCGCTTCACGGCCCCAGGAAGTGTGTTTCAAACGGAGCACTACATTGGCAATATGTATGCCCATTGGGTCCGCGCACATAGACAGTTGCCTTTGTTGGTGCTACTGGCTGCCGCTTTGCCCCTGGGGATCAAATAGATGAAGCGCAGATTAAGGGGCCGAGAAGGGATTGTCTAGATTCGAAAGGTCCGCACTCCCATGAGGACATAAGCTTACTTTTTGACAACCGTCTGATCTATGCAGAGATGTGATTGTATAAACATGCTGCCGTTCGCCGCCTCGCTCTGGGTGCGCGCTTCTACCATTCGGCAGCGCTGGGTCTGCTTCTTTTCGACTTCAACACCACGAACGCCCGAGGGCGCTTCATCCATTCCTTTCTACACACTCCTTTGATAACATAACAGCAAGCCCTCAGGATCGGGCAACTATCACATTCCTTTTCGAAAGTCCTTGCAGCACGCCACCGACCAACATAACCCCTGTACCGTCACCATACTTCTCATCGATCGACATTGAGTATACAGAATGCGGTCGCTCATCAGCTTTGCCCTCCTTTCAGGAGCTCAGGCTCATACCTTGTTCACGACCCTCCTCATCAACGATGTCTCTCAGGGTGATGGAACGTGTGTGCGCCAGTCCGCAGACATCAGCCACTCCGTCAGCCCAGTCATCGACTATCGTTCGTCAGACATAGTGTGCGGCGTGGGCGGCACAAAGGCAGTGGCTTATACATGCCCGGCACCAGCGGGTGCTAAGCTGACCTTTGAATACCGCATGTCCCCCAACACCCCGGGCTCCGGATTCATCGACTCTTCACACAAGGGGCCCTGTGCCGTCTATGCGAAGCAGCTCTCGGCAGACACTGACTCGGGCGAGGGCGACGGCTGGTTCAAGATCTGGTCCGAGGGCTACGATCAGGACGAGGATCTCTGGTGCACCGAGAAGCTGATCAAGGACGACGGGTTCTTCTCCATTGACATCCCCTCAGCCCTGCCCGCGGGCAACTATCTCTTCCGCCCCGAGGTTGTCGCCATGCACAATGTCACTCCCGAGGTCGAGCCCCAGTTCTACGTCGGCTGTGCCCAAGTCTTTGTCGAGAGCGACATTACGGGCACCCTCGAAGTTGCGGATGAGTATCGGGTCAGCATCCCCGGGTACATTCAACCTGGCGACGGTGGTGTTACCTACAACATCTACAACGACGATGAGTATGCCAACCCGAAACTGCCATACCCGGAGCTTGGGCCGAAGGCATGGGTCCCAGAGGTGTCCACTCTCACCACGCTGTCTGTGTCCAGCTCCAACGAGGTCACAACCCAGTCTGAAGGCAGCGTGCCAGCCACGTGCCTCCTGAAGAACGCGAATTGGTGTGGCGTCGAGGTAGCCGCGTACACGGACCAAGAGGGATGCTGGAACGCAGTCACCGACTGCTGGGCCCAGAACGAGGTCTGCTGGAACGAGGCGCCCCCGAGCGGAGGATCCAACTGCGAGGTCTGGGAGACGAAGTGCCAGGACCTGGATGACCAGTGTAGCGCAGGCAATTTCCAAGGACCACCCAAGTTTACGCTGGTCAGCGCGGACGCGAAGGCGCCGGCCGTCGTCGCCGCTGCCATGAACGCGGCCCATGGCGAGGCGCCGGCCGCTACGACGGGCGAGGCCAGCGCTGCTGTGACGAGCTACGTGGCCGACAAGCCAGAAACGACGAGTAGCACCGCGGCGGTGACCACGTCTCAGGCTGCCAAGTCAGAACCTACGACCATCAATGCTGGTCCTTCGACCACCTTTGTCACGGTCTACGCTTCCAGCGCTTCTACTCCCAGCCATTCGGCGAACGCTGGCGAGTCGTCATCAAGCGCCAAGCCTGTCCCGACAGGCGAAAGAGGTGGCAGACGTCACGGAAAGCATAGATATCAGTGCGGTTCATCGGCAGCTAAGAAATGAAGGAGAACAACCACAAGATACAGTTGGTGGGTTCAGACTATCTAGAGTTTATAGATAGAGAGTACAGGGCTTGTGTAAACCTTATCCTTCCACCAGGGACATGAATAGGTCTGACTGGAATTTCTCCTACTATATCGCAAGGTCGCATATGGCACCCTGATACAGTGACCTCTGACATCATAGGCACTCGAGCCTAAAGATTACCTATCTCAATGTCGTCTGGTGCACTCTATCATATTTTGGTGCACTATGATTTGGAAAAGCTCTTCCAACAAATCGATCGACTCAGTGGGCGCCTAAACACACAATGCAATGACATTGGACACCTCTTCACACCCAGCCGCACGCTTGATGGGCATAACAGCCAGCTGGCACAGTAAATTTGGGCACCACCCTATGTTGCAACGCATCGCATCAGGGCTCTAAGAATCGATAAAAGGTCCCTCTATCAGGCGGTCAATTTGCCTCAGTTATGTAATACACGGCCTAGTACACCGCGGTGTCGCCACCAACACGTGTGAGCCCAACTTCTGTAGCAATGCCAAGCTGCTTGCGGAGGGGCGCATCCCCGGCTGGGCAGACGCGCTTTGCGAAGATTGGGGCGCATATGTGACGGAGGCTTGCTGAAAACAACCTGCTACCTTATACCTGGTTCTCCACCCTAAACGAGCATATAGTAGAACATTAAAACACCCGGAGGCGTAAACGGCAAGCTGTTCGGTGACCACCCTCCAGCCAAACTATGCGAGACTACCCCCTTTAAGTCGAACTAATAATTCTGTGCCACAAAGATGTATCTAAATAAGGTCTTTTTTGGCAGCCCTGCGTATTATCTGTCTTCATGGGACACGCGGAGTCCCAAGCTCCGTCTTTAGGTTTAGCGGGGAATGAATTTTCCTAAACTCCGAATACCACTGTAGTATACCATTAAGTAAAAAGTCTACCATGGGGAATTCAACCCCTAGAGTTGAGGGGATGGCCTTCATATACATCAATGCAGCTGTACCCACTCCCAACTTCAGCTGTGGGACAACCTTTCGGCGCAGTAAATGGGAAAATGATGCTTTTTACAATAGCGATCGCGGTGTTCAGCCTGGCCCGCAGTGCCACGGCTCAGAACTTCAACAATCCGGTCTTGTATCAGGATTTGGCAGATCTCGATGTAATGCGGAATGGAGACACGTTCTACTACTCTGCTAGCACAATGCATTTCTCCCCTGGGGCACCCATTCTTCGCTCCTACGACCTGGTCAATTGGGAGTACTTTTCTCATTCGGTCCCCACACTTGACTTCGGACCGCAAGCCGCGTATAACCTCTCGGGTTCCAGTGCCTACAACAAGGGAATCTACGCCTCCTTCTTCAATTACAATCCCGTGACTAAGACTTGGTTCTGGGGTGGCTGCACTCCAGGCGACTACAAGACATATATCTACACGGCGAGCGCTCCTGAAGGACCATGGTCCAAGAAAGCTACGCTGAACTTCTGCTACTACGATTCTGGCATGCTCGTTGACGACGATGGCACTATGTATATCGTTTTCCTAACCGGATGGAATACGAAACAGGTCATGGTAGCTCAATTGGCGTCCAATGGGTTGAGCGAAGTCAAACGGCAGCAGGTCTGGACCACGGACAGCTCATTGTCATATGTGGAGGGGCTGCGAATGTATAAACGAAACGGCTCCTACTACATCCTAGCAGTACATCCCCAAGATGGGAACATCATACTCAAGAGCTCCAGCCCATTTGGCTCCTACTCCTGGAAATGGCTTGTCCACAATGCCGGCACCCTCATCTCCGGGTTTTCGCAGCCAAAACAGGGCGGCCTCGTATCTCTTGCTGACGGTCGTTGGTATCATATGGCATTCATCGACGGATACCCTGGCGGACGTATCCCAGCCCTCGCGCCCGTGACCTGGTCTTCAGATGGCTGGCCAAGTGTGCAAACCGTCAACGGGGCATGGGCTAAACAATATGCATACCCTTTGACACCGCGCGCTGTCAAATCCATCGTTGGCGTTGACAACTTTTCCACGTTGGGCCCTCAATACGAATGGAACCACAATCCGAATCCATCCGCCTGGGCTATCACCTCTGGTGGCCTTCAGTTGACTACAACCACCGTCACTGATGACTTTTTCATGGCACGCAATACCCTAACGCACCGCATCCTAGGCCCATCATCGACAGCCACAGTCCGTATCGACTATTCCCAAATGGCTGACGGCGACCGCGCTGGCTTGGTTCTGTTTGACGTAAGTCAACTCACTATAAGAAACCATGACGTGGCTAATCTGGTCTTAGTACACTGCGGGTTGGATTGGTGTCGTACGTAATGGAAATACTTTCCAGGTGGTCATGTGGAACAATATCGCTTTGAACACTAACGGGTGGACATCTGGGAACAAAGGATCTTCCATTGCTAGTGCAACTATTAGCGGTGGGAGTATCTGGCTCCGTACCACTGTCAACATTTCTCCAGGCACGCAGCAGGGTACATTCCAGTACAGTACCGATGGAACCAATTTCAATAACCTTGGTAACGCAGTTACCATTGTCAACAACCAGGTCTTCTTCATGGGTTGGCGTTACGGCATCTTTAACCATGCAACCAAATCACTCGGTGGCAAGGTTACTGCACGCAGCTTTGCCATTAGTGGCACAATGCTTAACAATCCTTAGTCTAGCACAGTCTCTCCAACTTTAACCTTCAGGAATAGAATCATGACAGTCGATTTCTGAAGTCAAAATAAGTTTGCCTTGACTATTTACGTACGGAGAAGGTGGCATAGCATCAATTCGAACCAGAGAAAAGCTCTACGTGACCTTTGGGCCAGCATATTCCTGTTACAATCTTACCTTACTCTTCCGCGTCATAATGTGCTTGGTGTAAAACCAAATATTTGATACTGATCGGCGATACAGATTACCTCAATTCGTAATCGTGTCGAGAGACTTTTTTTTCTAGACTTTTTCAAGAACGCTGTCCTATAATCAGTACCGGTTTTGTCTTGGCGGTGCAATTCGCCGTCTCAAGCGATCAATCACGGCGTCAGTATCCACAGTAATGATACCAGACTCGGATCCGAGTGTTAGTGAACTGATATTCGACATCGAAATCTCGTTATCGAGAGGCGCCCTCGATTCATCATCGCCCGAAAGCTCTTCAGGCTCGGCCGTGAATGGTAGTTCTAGTCCAGAAGTCATCAACCATCGATGAACGAGTGAGCTCTTGTCGGTGCTCTGATCGCCGATGTCGCGCGCTTGTTCATGAGTTCGGGCCCGTTTGAATTCTTCATAGCAGTCCTCGTAGAAGCTCAAGCTGTAATCCGACTTCGCAAGTAGCGCGTCATCGCTGCTCTCGGCCTCATCGTCAGCATTATCCAATATGCTTATACTATCAGCAACGCTGACGTTTACCTCAGAAGGGCACTTGTGGGCGATCAGATCAAATCCAATCTGGCTCAAGTCATTCCACCATGCACGTTTCTCCGAGCGGCTGTCGAAGTGACTACGGAACCACTCCTGACAAGTGTCCTCGAGTTCGCGAAGCTCCGGAAATTCCTCGTTCAACGCATCAGAGGCGTCAAACCCGAGCGTCTTGAGTATCAGCGGGTCTTGAAGACATGCCAATGCGTACTCTCGAGCCAAATCAGTCCATTGCTTAGGGAGACTCTTGCCGCTTCTACGAAGCCTGTCCACAGCAGCACCATAATCAGCAGCAAACGCGCGCTTAAAATGGTCAAGTTCTTCGGCCCACTGGCCACGCTGATCATCGGACTGGAAGAAATAGCAATGAGGCATGGCCGTGCGCACATCTCTGCATCCAGGGGTACAATCACTGAATCGTGGCCCTCTGTCTTTGTCATCGGCTTCCGAACAAATTTCTGGCAATTTGAAGCCCCCTTGCCCGAAACCTGCCTTGCAGTTTGGGCAGGAGAGGAAGATATGATTGGTTTTACACATCGTGAGTATTGTTTTGCTTCAGCCAACTGGACGATGATGGACTCCAGGTCCGATCGACTATTACTCACCGTTTAATGGCTGAAGCAATATTGTTGGATAGTCGCAGTGAGATCAAGATAAAACCCACGGCGATTGGGCTGAATATATAGTATCGGCCTTAGAGGAGGACAACGACCTTGTTTCAACCGCCAATTTATTCAACAAAGAGACCGCCTTTCTGCATAATACCAGCACGTGTGAAGGTTCGTATTATCCTGAAACAATGGAGCGTACTCGGTTCCATAATTAAGGGTCTGATTGGTACTGGAGAAATTCTAGCCTGAGGACTCTGGTTCAAACCTTGTGAATATCTTCGACCAGTAAGAATCAATTCACAGGGACAGTGGCCCAGAATCTCTTTATGTGATACGTATGGCATACCTATGACCTTAGACTTTTGTCAGATAAAGGAAAAGAAGACTCAGGCCGTTTCCGGAAGCCACAGCCCCATGGTTTGTCCAAGACAAGGAGAATATGCTCGCAGCATCGGAGCCATTGACCGAACTTGCCAGCTGTGACGACGTGAGAAAACGAATACTATACTTGCTTGGAGTAGCGGTGATCTCGACTTTCTCGTAAATGGTCACAGCGATATGAACTACCAATGCGCTGTATGTGCACGCCCATAGCTCGAACAACTATTGACGTCCCACTCATTCGCCCCTGAAATTAAACGACATGGCTACCGCTGGGGAAAACCCCAGCAAACCCATAAAGTTTGACCCGGACCGGCTGCCACCAAAATGGCCCACTGACCACCCGCAAACGCTGGAGCAATACTACGGTATGCCCATCCCGGCCGACGTCACCCCATTTCTCCGCTCCACCTCGCCGGAGCCGGAGCCCTCGCCCGCACGAGAGCCCGAAGCGGCGGCGCCGAAGCCCCGGGGCCCGCGGCAGGGGCCGGTCGACTGGACCGCGGACCCGTACGTGTTCCAGACGCGCGGGGCGGTGTTCCGGACGTCGGCGGCGACGTCGCGGCACACGCGCGAGTTCCGCGAGGAGCAGCGGCGGCGCCGCGCCGGCCGCAACCCCCGGCCCATGCCGCCCTACGGCTCGTGGACCGGCTACAAGCTGGTCACGGGCTGGACCAGCCGCTCGATGGCGCCCGCGCCCGGCGACGGCGTGCCGCGCATGGCCAACATCGAGCCCAAGTTCGACGAGCGCGTGCGCCGGCTGCGCGATTCCAAGGCGGAGGGACGGCAGCGGGAACGTGAGGAGCGCGCGGCGAGGGGGGAGGAGGTCGGTCCCGAGGATGCGGAACAGCGCAGTTTGGATTGCTTGGCCTTAGACCCTGTGCCGGCGGATGATGGTCTGGACCCTGCCGGGAGGCCCATAGCCTTTGGCCAGAGAGGAGGCGCCGGAGGACAGCATGTGCCCAAGCCGAACGGAGTTCGTGCCATTCCCTTAACTATATGGGTTTTGTACTGGACTTTCGTCGTCGGCCTGGGTCTCACGCTCTTCGTTGCTATCATCCAGGGCCTGACGCCGACAATGTAGGGTCAAATCTGTTGGGCTGTAGAGTCAACATGTCAATAGATTCAGGGTTGACTCATTCCCTATTTCAATGGATACCTTAGGGATGAAGCTAGATTCGGAGCTGGTTTATGATGCTGGCGACACTATGAAGGTGCACAGCTGATCGGTATCTGACTTCAGATGTTTGTGCAATAAGTATCGCTGGACTCCAACGTAATAGCCAATGTAGCAGGTGTGCAACATCAAGTATTTGTCGAGTGAAACTGGACGTCATTGGCAAGAATGCATGTTTATACACGAGTGACCAAACGCTACGGGACCAGTATACAGGTGGGATGGGGCCTGCTGCCATGAAACACGCTGAGCCAAGCTAGATACAAATAATAGGACGGATAAATGAGACAGGCTGAGTCTGCCCGTAGAGCCACCAACGCCAGACGATGCAAAAACCCCACAAAAGGCTTCTAGAGCCGAGTACAAACATAGGAAACCGGGTTTGACCGAGTAGGTCACTTTATCAACGCGCTCGCCGCCTCCGAGATGATTCTCGCCGTCTTGTCGGCGAGCTTTTGAGCTAGCGTGAAATCACGAGCGTCAATTGCATCCCTGATGGCAGGGAAAAAGGCTTCGTCGTAGCCGGACCACAGTTGCGGACCAAAGACAACGTGGACGAACTGTGTTCGATTGGGGATCTATACTCTTGGTTAGAACGAGCTTCGACGTACACCATGTGAGGATAGGAAAATGGACTTACACCGCCACCAAATTCGGTGTCTAATAATCCCGTCTCAAACGCTGCCATTCTCGTGTTATACTCGGTTCTTGTCTGTCCGAGTTTGGCAGGTTCCCAGCCGTTGGAGCTCGCCACGGCCTGCTTCCACTCGAGCTCCCATGACCCAAACCTGGCCACCGCTGACTCCACCTCCTTGATCGCATCTCTGATTGGGTTGAGATTGAGCCTCGTGTTTTCATCCTTATTCGCCCCATTCTCCTCGCTCCACTTCCACAGGTCTCCAAAGTATCGACCAAGGCTTAGAGCGTATTGGTCCAGATCGAATGGAAGAACAGGTCGATCGGAAAGTTCGAGAACCAACAGGGCCAGAACTTGTGCCAAAAGAGTATGGTAGATGAAATCAGGATCTCCAACATTGGCCATCCAGTCAAAGGTCTCGTAGTTCGAATGGTACGGAAACTTGTCGCCATCGAAGCGGAGGTCGATGGAGCTAGTGCCAGCAATGTCCTGGAAGGCGACATAATCGCTGCCAGCACCAAGGCCTTCCAGCTCGCCCTTTCTATCAACCCACAAAGCGCGCAGCGTTGCATTCCGCAGAGGGTCGTGGACACGCTCCATGACGTTATAGAGAATCTTGTTGAATACCGGGGAAGCCGCAGCATGGAACTCGTTGCCGACAACAGCCGTGTCGAGGTTGATATAAGCGAACGCATTGGCGCGTAGGGAATCCAGATTGTTCTCCACATACTCGGTGCTTCCAATCAGGTTGTATTCCTCGGCGTCCCAGCTCATGAACTCGATCGTTCGAAGCGGACGCCAGCCCCTGGCAAGAAGGTCACCGAACACGCGGGCAACTTCCAACATGACAGCTTGGCCGGAACCAGGGTCGGCAGCGCCCCAGTTCCAGGCGTCGCGGTGGGCACCAATGATGATGGACTTCTCGGTCTGCTCGATGCCGTTGATCTTGCCGTAGATGTTCCAGATGGGCTGCTGCTCTGCCTCATCCTGCTCGTTTTTGAGCCTGACAATAGGCGAGGACGAGTTTCCAGTCCACCACTCGACATCAGGTACCCCACCCTGCCAATCCTGTGGTACTCGCTCGCCAAATCCCTCAAGATGCTGGAGCAATTTCTGCGCGTCGCGCCAGGACAAGGGGATACTGGGAATCTGCACTAACCCCTTTGTCTGGGTCGTCTTCTCACGAGGCTGGCCCTTTTTGCTGGCCCAGCCCGGTGTCAGCACATCGCCGACAACCCAGCTCATCAGACTAACAGCACCTCGTTGCACGCCGTCGGTAGGCATAAACCTTCCCTTGGGTGCGGGAGTTCCCAGGAGAAATCCATCGTCGGCAGGATCGCTGTAAATTATACACCCAGCAAAGCCGGCCAACTCGGCAGCCTTGACTTTGAGTGCGCGATCCCCCTGGCTGCCGTAGTATCTGACAAGCGCGATGGCTCCCTTTGTGTCGATTCCACCATCAGATATCCTTTTGAAGTCCTCCCTGCTGCCGTAGTTGGCGTATATTAGAGGGCCCCGTACATCGCCAGACTTGGAATGTCCGTGGAAAACCATGGTCTGTTTCCCAAGCGCATCGTTCTCAAAGCCCTCCTCCTCGATCTGTGCGCTCCAGACCGGCTGGGATCCGTCCTCGTTCATAATCTCAACAGCGCGTCCTCCGGCCTTTGGATAGTTGAGGTAAACGTAGTATTCATCGACTGTGACATCCTCGAGGCCGCTTTTCAGGAAGGCGTTCCTCACATCCTCGGCAAGCGCGTAGTCTCCTTCGGTGCCTGCGATGTGCGCGTAGCTCGTGAAGTGTTTCAGGGTCTCGCGTATTCGACGGGAATCTACAGTGTTGATGACGTGGTGCCGCACGCTCTCGGGGTCGAACATCTGGCCCCCAATCCTCCGAGACATGTTGGTGAACATGTCGCTCACGAACACCAGATACAGAAAGCCCATGACCAGGAATATGGCAAACAACCTGCCGACGAGCAGTAATACCGCAGAGCTTTCCATGCTGAGCTTGGGCCAATGCCATCTTCTCGTAGTCGTGGTCGCGGATTCGGATTCGGGCTGTGTCGTCGAGGCATTTGCGCCGTCGCTGGCACGAGGGAGGCGGACAGTCAGGCGTGGGAGGCGCCATCGCCATCGCCACTGCGGGAGGGATAGAGAGGCGATTCGTTTGCGCCATAGGGAGCTGGAGCGGGAACTGGCCGAGCCGTTCAGGGGGTCTTCTACCTCCAACTCCTCCATGTCCCGCCGCACCCTCGACGGTTCGGCATTGTCTTCATCCTCACTTTCCAGACTCCATTCCGAGCCCTCATCGTCCGTCTCGACATGGGGCGGCCGATAACCGGGGGGTATTCTCCCCCTGGGCTGTGTCGAGGTCAACAGCGACTGGGCCTCTGTCTCGGCGTCGGGCCTGTCGTCGATGGGCGATCGGGGCGGAGGCCAGTTGGCTTGCGAGGACGAGCCGTGTACGGCCTCGTCGTACGAGGGTATGGGTGGCGGAGGGTTGTACCCGGACTTCTCGGAAGGCATCTTTACGGTCGTTCAGCGTGCTGCAACATCTGCAGCCGACCTTGAAGCGTGTGACGAGAGACGGATGGGTGTAGCAGCTGAGACAACCGGAGGGGGGCGGTGGATGGCTACGGCACCATGTGCGAGAGCGCGCAAAGGAAAGAAAGCGGCGAGGCCAGCTAAAGTGTTAACGAACAGACGAGAGAGAATGTAGAGGGTATCGGGGCCAGAGGGCAGGGCGCCAATGCCGTTGTCGGTCGGAACGAGTGCAATGCAAAGTGGACAGAGGGATGGGTGCAAGCAGTGGGTATCATCACAATCAATCGTAGTAACTAGAAGCAATGCGCTTCAGCTTGTCAGATGCAAGGGTGCGGTTGAAACTCAATGAGCCCTGCAAGTCCCCGCGAGATCTGGCACTTCCATGGATGATGGATGATGGATGATGGATGGGGGCGCCCGCTGCTGGACTGCGGGACTCCCAGCTACCTAGGTACCAGAGCAGACGGGCCTAACTGACCTGACACTGGACGCCACTGGATGTTGCTAGCTACCGGAGACGGGCTGTTCGGGGCCTCCAGGGCTCTGGTCACTAGTCAATGGCGGGCATGGGAAAAGGTGGTCCCCCCCAAAAAAGTGCCCCCAAGCCCCCCAAGTACGCCAAGATCTCCCGCTGGGCTGGTTTTTTGTCCGTTGTTCGTTGTCGTTGTCGCGAGCACAGACGCCAATCGAGCCAGCCCAGCTCAGCCAAGACCGCTCGTTAGTAATCCACCTCCTTTTCTGCCCGCGTGCCGTCTTTCCCGTGGCAGGACGCTGACGAATGTCACAAAAGCAGCCTACCGTAGAAGTATCTTCCGGGAGAAGGAGGATAGAGTTCACTTTCAACGGCAACGTTATCCATCAACGTAATCCCGGTGATAACTCTTTGGTCTCTCTCATTTGGGGCTGCTTCGTGAGTACAAAGGTACCCAGCAGTGGTCTGTCTGTCTGGAGACCAGCTAGGTACCTGTGCGGCATGCAAGAAACCAGATGTCTCAGACTCGCCAGGGCGAGAAGGATTGGGCAATGATGTGATGCCACAGTCAATACCTAGGTACACGTATTACAATCGCCAATATCTACATGAACATTTCATGGCAGCTCTTCGCTGTGGGTATGTGTATTGGGATATGTTGAAATAATTGATCAACTAAAGAGGTATCCCATGTCCATGGCCTTCCAGCAATCAGCCTCAGCTGTCTAAGTCCTTGGCAAGGGACCCCGGAACACGCCGCGAACGTGTTTTATTCAACACCAACACCAGATGGGGAATTAACGTCTTCCACCTCAATCTCGAACAGCATGTCAGCATCGCTGACCCTCTGATTTCCCTCATGATGACCAGGCCCGGCTTCAGGGTTGGCATCGTGCCCAGCATCGTCCTCAGCCTCATCCCTGGGCTCGACCCGCTGCCCCTGGCCACCCGCTGGTCCGATAGATAGCTTCCTCCTCAACAGCACGGCCAGCTCGTCGTTCTTCTTCCGGTGGTCCAGCAGGTCGCCGATTTTCTTGAGCTCCTCGTGAGTGAAGCGAATCCTGACCCTGTCGCAGTCGGTCTGCTCGCCCTCATCCGCCGCGGACGACGTGGGCTCGCCGGAAGCTGCTGCTGCTGCAGGTCTGGGCTTCTCGACAGGCGCCGGAAAGGTAGGATAGTAACCGTGGATCGCGTTGAGCGGCATTATGAACGGGCCTGCTGTTGATTCTCGTAGCTTTGCGGTGTCGAAACGACATGTAACGACGCATCGTACGAAGGTCTAGGTCCAGTAACAACACAAAGCTCCTTTGTAGGTCCACCCTCCATCTCACGGCGCTCGAAAATGCCGCAGGCTCAGACACGGTACAGTGGGACATGATGTGGTCATGATTGATGCTGGACAAGGCCCGGGCTTAGTGAGTGAGCATCACTTAGCGGTCTTTGTTGCAGTCAAAGAAATGGATCAGTCTTGCATATTTTGCAGAATTATATATGGAAATGGTGCAGAGATCATTCAAACTATCAGAAAAGGGCGTCTCGTCCGTGTGGAATATGTAAACTAGGATTCAAATGACCATAAGCCCCCCATTTGATGTGTGGTAAGGCCGAAACCAAATCAAGGGTATTCGCAAACGCCATCCCAATGCCCGTCAGTGTACGGCTAATTTAAGTGCCAACCCCCTCAAGAAATCCTCCCCATCTCGATGCCATCCGCCTCGCTGAGTCGGATGACCGGCTCCTCGACCTCCTCATTACCCTCAGTCCCCTCATTAATCTTCCTGAGCCGCTCCTGCATGTAAGGGTCCTGCTCCAGCTCTTGCCAGAGTTCCAGATGCCACTCCTCGGCCGAATCGCCGGGAGCCCTCCTCTTCCACGGGGGCCACTGCCACAGCCCCCCGATGATCATGTTGCGCTTGATCGCCTTGAAGCCGAGCTCAAGGCAGATAAGCACGGCAACCACGATGATGAGCGTCAGCCACCACATGCTGTCAGAGCCAAAGGTGATAAGAAACCCGTCTCGTACGGCGTAGATGCTGACGGAACGGCTATAAATGGCGGAAAGGATGATGTTCCATAGCCACCAACCGGCAAACGTGATGCCGAAGCCACCTAGGACAAGTGATGATTTGTGATGTGTTTCGAGGATACTGTTTCGAGTTAGCTGAGCCAAATGCTTGGGGCGCGAAAGAAAACCTACAATAGCTTGTAATTGATCCACACAACGCCCACCGTGAAAGCCAAGTCGCCAAGGGCGTAGAGTCCATCATCCTTTACCGTACCAAAGACGGCTCCGTAGCCGGCCCATACGACAAACCACACCCCTATACCCTCGGTGGCTGCGGCGAGCATCCAGCCAATGAATTTCATGCCGTTGAGGCCCGTATTCCTCTGGCCATAGACATACAGCTCAGGAACTGCCAGTAAGGTTTGGGCACTGAGATCTTGCTCCCAAATTCCGGGTATGATCACAGCAAGAGAAGTGAAGAGTGTGTTGAAGACCGTCAAACTGGCACTCTCGTACAGAGACGTTCCGGTGTACCCGTTATACCGTTGATACAACGCTGTCGGGAGATAGAAGAACATCTCTTTCCAGAACGTGGCGAGCACGAATTTCGCTGTACGGACGTAGTTCCACCTGCCGTGGACAAGCAACAGGCGTTGCAAGAAGCGAAATTGCGCAATAGCATAGTCAGCCACGCGCGCAGCCTGTAGTCCCTCCTTGCCTGAAATCCCGACGCCCACATGGGCGGCAGATATCATGGCCAGGTCGTTGGCCCCGTCACCAATGGCCAGGGTCAGTGCACCTGGCACACGTTGCCGGATCCCTTTGACGATCGACGACTTCTGCGCCGGGGAGGCACGGCAGCATATGACAGAGTCGATGGTGGGAATGAGGGCATAGAAGAGCGCCTTCAGGGTGGATGACTGCTCAACTACGCCTAGGGTTTGACCATCTATCACCACCACACTGTGGATGCAACCTGCCTGGATGTCCTCTACAACACCCAATATTTGAGTCTCAAGGTCCCCTTTCGTAGAGTCAAGAATGAATATGTCCGACCCGGGACGGCATATGCGGGCCGAGTGGGCGATGTTGATGGCCGTCTCTCGTTTGTCGCCCGTAAGCATCCAAATCTTGATGTTGGCGCGTCGTAGCTTCTCAATGGTCTCAGGAACTCCCACCTGAAGCTTGTCTTCGATGGCCGATGCGCCAATGAGATCGAGCGATTGCTCAATCATTTCACCCGCTGCTTCGATCTTTTCTTGGCGGTCAACAAGACTAGTTGTTGCATCGTTGTATAATTTTCTCCATAATCGATACTCCTCCGCAGGGATGAATTTTCTGGCGAAAAGCAGGGTCCGTAGACCCTCAGTAGCAAACTCGTCGAGATGCTTGAAGCATCGCGTGAAGACGGCCGAGTCGTCATTAATCGATGGGTCGTCGAGGAAACTGAATTTGTCATCTATCGGTGCTAGGGGTACCGTATGGGGCGCTGAAAGAGCCTTGTTAATATCTAATGATACGGTCCTGACGCCCAGAGATGGTCGTGACGGTCTAGGTCGGTCATCAGAAAATCGTATTTGAGACGCTTCGAAAGACCTGCTTCGTTCGATGGCGGGCCGCTTCTTAGATGGGCTTGGCTGAACAGGGATAGCAAGGCTCTTTCGGCCGAGAGTCATACTCGGACGGCCACCAAAACTGTTGCGTGGTTCCATTTGCTCGCTCCTTCGCAGCATCTCGTGCTCTAGCTCGGCGCTCTTGCGAACCTCATTGACCTTTTGCAACGCTAGATTTGCGAGCCTTAGTCTAGGAAGAATTGTAGAGTCGGCGCCTTTGCAAATAATACAAATACGACCATCTGGATAGCGCACGACGATCGACATACGTTTCCGTTTGCTGCTGAACTCGATGACGTCGAGAATCTCGTAGACTTCAGTCCTGTCATCAGCATCGAGGGAGGATATCTTCAGGGTAACCGTCTGAGACGACCGATGTATAACTAGATATCCTAGCTCCTGAGCAGCGCGTACCAGTGCGAGCTCATCGGGCGAAGACGCTTGGAAATCCATCTTATCATCCTTCATTTCAGGAAGACACGTGTGGCACAGGGCAAGGGAAAGGATGTAGTCCCGTGCCTTTCTAGCAAATGGTGAAGCAGGTCTGAGTCTTATAAACTCCAAGAGGTCCCTGGTATTGACTTCGGGTTGTTGGTGGTCAGGGCGGCCCGTAGATCTCCATTGGGATGACGATCTTCGTCCGCAATAGGATGGCATTCTCATGAAGGTGGGTGAAGTCACCGTGATGGTTACTGGGGAGGCCATTGGGGGCTCGTCGTCCTCGTGAATCACTCGAGTGACCTCTCTGGATATCTGCATCATTCCGCCCGTCGCGGTCTGAGGAGGGATCTCGATAGAGTCTGCCGTGTCCTCCTCTAGGTCCATCTCGTGTAACCAAGATGTGCCGGCGATGCTCAATTTCCGAAACTTCATGACGTTTTCCGTAAGTGTGCCTGTCTTGTCTGAGAAGATATAGCTGATCTGCCCAAGGTTCTCGAGAATGGTGTTGGTATTGCACCTTGCGGGGGTATCTGTCGTCTCGTCGTACATCTCCACGTCCCCGTTCAGCATCCACATCTGCCCTAGTTTGACAATCTCAAGACTGACGTAAAGTGCAAGAGGGATGACATTGTTGAACTGAATAGCAAAACCAATGATGATCTCCTTGAACGCAACGGTGGCATCTGTGAGGTACCATGATCTTCTCTCGGTCGAGCTCCGCCAGATGATATAGCCCATAGAACAACCAACGGACAGGACAATGACGTAGAATGCAAGAGTAATCACAATTCTGTTAGAGATCCTCTCCAGGGCTGGCTTCTTGGCCTTGGGATGTTGATTGGCGTTCATTCGTAGTTTGCACTCTTCACCCGTGTTGATGACCAGTCCGATCACACGGTCGGTATTCCTGATTGTGCTGCCTCGATAAATAACTTCGTTCAGAGTCAGGGGAAGCGTCTTGCCGTCCACCGAAACTCTTCCGTCGAAGCGATACAGGTCGGGATTTGGGTCCTCGAGGACGAATTCGGCCTTGCGCGAGCGAATAGCTGGTATCGAATCACACAGCTTGAACGCTGGCAGTGATTCCTTGCTTTTGAGGTTTGTCTCGCCATCTAAAGCCATGGTGTCCACGTATGCTATGCCGTTTTCGCCTGTAGAGTTAAGCAAGACCAGGTCAGCGGGCACTTCCTCGTCCCGCGTCAGTCGGACGATGTCGCCGACTTTGACATCCTGCCAATGGAGCTTATTCCACCTGAGATCACCATCACTGTCTTCTTCCAAGTCGTCTTCCTCCGCATCGCGATTGGTCTGGGTTCTTGAGAAGACTCTGCGCAGTCTAGACCATTTTCCTGGAGGAGCAGTCAGACTGGCCTGGGGTCTGGGATTTCCCAGAACGGTGGTGATGTTCGCATTCTCTAATTTGTCCAACCGATGCCTCTTATAGTCGTCATAGCCTTCCTTGAATATTGTCAAGAGGACAAAGAACAGCAGGGGTAAGATGGTCGTATAACTGCCTGTTGTACTCAGGCCCGGGATGGTCTGCGGAATACCGACGCAAAGGAAATAAAAGTTGGCCAACCGAGTAAACTGGAAGATCAGTTGCTTAGGCAGGAAATCGACCACGGTATACCGCGACGTGCGTATCGTGTTGCTCAAGTACTCGTGGCCGCGTCGTTCGTCGATTAACGGGGTGTCGCGCGCGGCCTCGAGCGGGATATGGCGGCCATCTTGGGACGGCTTCAGTGGTTTCCGGCGCAGCAGGCCCTCGACGACATACTTCTTGTACCACTCGGTCGCTCGCTGGTCTACCTTTGCGGCGAACCTCTCGTGTCGTAGTCGCAGACTTCGGGAGGTGAGAACAGAACTCCCTTTCTCAATGCCCTCCTCTTTCGTGGCATCGCCGCCAACTAAGCCCATTATGCCCGGCGATTGACGTTGATGATCGCATCCCAGAGTTCTCCTGCTCCAAGCATTGCGGAAGGCTCGGAGGCTCTCCAAGGCACGTCCGCCTGGTGGTGCAAGCGCACCTTTCAGCGGGTCCCTCTTGGCACCCTGCCTCGAATTTCGACAATCGCAAGGCGTCGCGCGCCGAGTGGTGAAACAAGCGGACTAGGTCGCAGAGACTTCGTGAACAAATCTCGCAGGCCCGCTTAACGAGTGGACGACGACCGCGGCCGTCAAGAGTTGGGACGATGTGGTAGGCAAGTGGGAGGGAGGGAGGAGACGGCTCACCTTGGCACCCCTGGTCGATGGCACTTGGCGGTCATCATCGCGATGGGCGGAATTCTCAACTCAATCTTCCTGCGGAAATAGGGACGGGAGCGAGGGGATAGCACGCTGTCGGCATCGGGCGCTAACCCCTGGAACGTCAGGGCCTGGTTACGCCGTGGCTTGCCCGGACGCCCTGCAAGACGCAAGTTATAGCGGGGTCATGCCAAGTTGCATCTTCGTATCAGTATTAGCGCACGTGGTTGGGTTGACTCGCTGCAAGATGGCGTATCGGCCCCCATGCGCCCGCCGGCACCAGTGCTTGGCCGTTGCTGCAGTGTCTTGCAGCACAACGGGTTAAACCTGGCCCGGCTTGTTCTGTCGACGATTCTGGAGGGAGTGGAGGCAAGTCAACTAACTTGCATACTGACAAGAGTCTCGCCTATCCTTGACTACAACCGTCGGTTGGCTGACAGAATGCATCTGGCAGGTCGACTGCTGCCCCGACATGCTCGTATTCAGGTGCAGAACCTTTGAACCTTGGAGCGAGTCCATCTTCACTGTACTCGGTAGGATTTCTACAATCAGAGCGCAGATTACACCCTTGCAACGTACAGCAGTAGTGAACCGTAAGCGTATGTACTCTTGCATATGCGAGCAGCAACTCCCAACTCCCCAGAGTTTGTTTGCTATCGTAAGCTTTCGCTCAGTCAGCCGTAGCCTTCCTGCTGAGATCCTCCCAGTTTCACCAGTCTCTTACAGCCAGTTTGCCTTTGCGCGCCCGTCTGAGCGTCGGGTGGTGTCAACGCTGCCAAGCGGGATACTTCCCTCTCGACCTATCGTCATCGGGTCTCAGTCAAGGCGACAAAAGCCGAAGGACGAGTGATTGAGTCTACGTGCCAAAGACTCTTTTTGAGCCCTCCTTTTGCCGACGGTCTTGGCGGACACAGTATGGGATCGATATTTTGTCACATGCCAGGACTATGACCATATCATTCGAAATAGGTACAAGTTCGCCTCCTACTGACATCAAAAGTTCTGACGTGATTCACTCTACCTCTGCTCTTACCCGTCACTTGCGACTACATCGACAAGAGCATTGAGATTGAGTGCCGCCAAAGGGGGCGAAATCGCGAAAAAGGAATGCGCATGAATTGTGGCCTGATCCGCATCTATCACAGGAATATATACTTCGCTTTGGCATAGGATACCCCCCAAGTCAGACGAACACGCCATCACATAGCCCAGGTTTACAGAATAAAGTCTCGAACGAAGAGGATAAAGTGAAACTCAATAGCCAAGTATTTACCTGTTGTCGGGGACAGGGTCCCAGCATTTTCTCATTCGCGCTCTTATACCACATCTTTACCCTACGAAGTTTCTTGTCGTTTCACCCAGTTTTCCACAGTAGCAATCTTGACAGCATTTATCATAATTTCATTCATTAAGCGAGCATGCACCATGTCTAGCCTATTGTGATCCTCGTAGACTCGATCATTATTATCTGAAGGGGAACATCAGATGCTCTGGTTGGTCTCGCACACCCAACGACCCAATGCTCTAAGACCAGGAACCAGGGGGCGGGCCGAAGTACTCGCCGTCGCCGAGTGTCTTGATCACCGCGCTCGCTGTCTGGTCTAGGGTCTCAGCATAGCCCGTAGTTCCCCACCACGCAGGGAAGGACGACTGGGAGATACCAATGCCCACGGCGAAAAGCACGAGGCACAAGGCAGTACCAATATCCATAGCACCTGGGAGCTGGTTAGTGACTGTGAGGAACCTGATTTGGCGGATATCTTACCTGACAGGACGTAAGTGTACCTGGTCCACCAGCCGAAGTAGTTGCGCTTGACGACGACGTTGAAGGTGAGACCAATGGTCAGCCAACACAGAAGCTGGAAGAGGGTTGCTGGCGGGATCATGCCAGAAACGCCAAAGACAGCCGGGAAGAAGATGTAGCGAGCGATGCTCTTGGGGTACTTCCGGGCAAAGTAGAACTGAATGCAGGGGCAGATGGCGCCAATGAGCCAGAACCAGTTGGTCCAGGCGAACATCGAGCCAGCGCCAAACATCCTCTTGGGGCCAATCAGACCCCAAATAACGCTGGCGTTGAAGAATGTGCGGGCTCCAGCACAGGTGAATCCCTGGGGTTGGTCCTCGGTACATACGTCCGGCAGGTTACCCATCAGCCAGTTGAAAGTACAAACTTGGACAATAGACAACCATAGGACAGCAAACAACTGGGCACTATTCATCAAATCTAGTCAGCTTGTGTAACTTAGGTCGACCGCTAGACCCAATCGGCCGTGTCCGGACTATACTAGGCACAGCTTCAAATGATGGGAGAAAGTCGGCTTGCGCATAGAGTACCCCTATAGGAAAAGTGGATAGGCTTACCGGAACATAGAGCGAGGAGGGACCTTCATATAATGTCCAACCTTCATGTCAGAGACATATTGAAGGGCGTTGTAGGCGAACATGTAGCCAAAAGACTTGAACAGCATCATGGCAACCGGTCGGCCGGGCAGCATATAACCGACAATCATCTCGGTGATGACGTTGAGACCAGTCTGAGAGTTGGTGACAGCCTGGATCGTGCCTGCAAGTATATTAAAAACCGCAACTGCAGAAGAGGGCCTGACAGTCAAAACTTACCGACAGGGAGAACGAAGAAGGTTCCGATCAAGATGGTAACAATGTATGCCCACCACGGCAGGTGGGTTTCCCATGCAACTGCCGCAGCCATACCAAAGCCAAACGAGACGAGGAAAATGCTGAGGAACCACCACTCTGGGGCTTCCTTGTATTTTCGGATCAGCTTGAGATGGACGTCAGGCTCCTCGTACTTCGCGTTCCTGACGCGATGCCAGATATCCTTGCCGTAGAAGAGGGCGACGTGCACGAGGGTAGAGATCAAGGTCGCAAAACCCATGCCGTAGGCAAGTGAGAATGCAGGACCGATGAAAAGAGGCGAATACTCCTTGTAGGCGTCCACATCCAGAGTAAGATCCGGGCTCACAACACGAGTAGTGTTGTACTTCTCACCGAAATGATCGTAGTTGGTATTCGAGAGCAGAGGCAGGTACTTGTTGAAATCCTCACCAGCGAATCCAATGCCGACAATTCCGAGAAGGAAGATCAGTCCTCCGAATCCCATGTTGATCAGGGAGAAGGAGGGGTACTGAAGAGGACTCAGGAACCAACCAGTAGGAATTGTCCAGTCGAGGGACAAGGGAATTATGCCAAGGCCGTGTACACCACCGAAGACCTGGTTGACTGCGAGATTGTCCGGAGCAGCCCAAGTTGGGAAATTGCCCAGGTAGGACAGGAATGGGGCAATCACGAAGGGGATCCAGTGCCAACCAAACGCAGATGCTGCCACAATCAGGAAGAACCTGTAACGACCAATGGTCCAGCCGTTGGACTTGGATGGGTCGGTCGGTCGGTGGTCGTGAAGCGAGTCCATGATCGTGCAGGTGATGAGTGTTGCAGGCCAGACCATAGCGGCAGGCCAGATAAGGAAGCGACGGAGCAATCCAGCCATGCCGAAACCCATAGCTTGGGTTGAAATGGTAAGGAGGATTTGGAAGCCCCAACCCCAATATTGTCCATAGAACTCCTGTTGTGCCAGTAGAATGTCGAAAGCCTGTATGGGGTCAGTAACTTCACGTTGTTTCGGGTTTCTTTCAACTAAAGGAATATAGCTGAGCCGATGAGACTTCGGCGGAAATAGTCCCTTAATGCCACCCAACTTAGAGCAGAAAACACAACTTACATAACTCATGGCAGCACCAGCGGCCGTCATCATGGTAACGATCGTGTGCTCCTTCTTGTTGAAGGGGCCAGGGTTCAATGGAACGCCAAAGATATGAATGTTAGGCATGAACTTGGCCCAGCCCTTGCCCATGGGATACGCGACCAGCTGGACAACGGAGCTCTGAATGACCAAGCCAGTGTAGTGCTGACCCATGAGCAGGTTCATGGCAGCCACAACGGTGCAAGTGATGAACCCAATGGTCCAAGCGCGGATCGTGTCCACATACATCTCAGGATCATCGGTGTTCGGGACCTAGGCTCGAGTCAGACAAAGTACCACGAGGAGGCAGACTGTGAAACTTACCGCGGTGCGCACTTCGGCGTAAGGCGAGTTCTCGCCGATGAGCGACGACTCGACAGCGAACTCCTTTTCGCCATTGCCGGTTTCAATGGCCGAGTCAATGGCATCGAGCTTTTCAATCTCCATGAAGGGGTCGAATCTGTGCTGGTCCTTCAGCCGCCTGATGTGCTTGTCGGCGTTAGCCGCGTCGACAGCCTGGTTGTCGCCCTCATAGCCGGTCGTGGTCCCCTCGCCCTCGGCTGACTGGACGGGGAGCACCTCCTCCACAGCTCCTTTGCGGCGGAAGAAGCCCATCTTGACGATTGTCCGTTTGGGTAGGTGTCAAGTGCTCATGTGCAGAGTGGAACTGGTCCTAGCTTGCGCAATGACCCAGACTGGTTGCCCGAAGTGTTGTTGCGTGGGACTGCCAGCGACTACGATTGCGTTGCCAGTGTGAACAGAAGCAGGAACGCAGACAGGACAGAAAGCGAGTGGAATTGCTCCTGGTCAAATAGTGCCCATTGCCACCTGGTACCCGGACATGGTTGTTCACAACCCTCGACCGAATGGGTGGATGGCGAACCACAGGCGCGGTGAATATTAGGCTTGGTAGGGTATACGGATGTTCTAGAAGGGCATGATCGTTAGCTTCACGGTGCCACACGTCGTAATAGGAAGGTGTATGGCCATCCTGTGGCACCAACGTTGCCGATGTCTGCGAGAGTTTCCAGATCGCGAGCACGCGAGGACCGGGTAAAGGGCCTACCCACTCGGGTGGCCATCCATACACAGCACAGCTCCTCCTCCATGGATATTGGCCGATAAACAGGGACAAGGTCTCGTGCACCCCTCAGTGGTGTCCCCTCGGCCCACTTTCAGCTCCGTTATGCGTTGCAAGGTTGCGTGTGCTCAGGCGCTGCGAGTGGTGCAGTTTCCCCAAACTTTAAAGTGTGACCAACTTTAGTCACTGCGCAGCGTAATAGCTGACTATGCTATCTTTAGGTATACTGTTGTTACTGGAACTCACTATGCATTCCAAGGCCGACTCCTGACAGACACTGCTGTACAGTACTGGAAACAAGACTTGGTGTACAGTGCCAACCTTGCCGCTTGTGTGAATGATGTGCACTATTAACACCATTATGCTCTAATACCCCCGGCGTCGACGACATAGATAAGTCGCATGTGCGGTTGGCAATGAGCGAACCAGAACTTTATTGGAGGATGTACTTGGTGCATGTAGGTCCTGGTCCAATCAAACCGTAGCCAAATATCGGTTCGCGGCGTTAGGGGTCCAGAATGAGAGGTGGATCGACTGAGCGGAAGACAAGGGTGAGCTGGTCCGTCACCTCATCTCGAACTCGAAATACGCCGCTCTTGTGCAGGTAAGACTGTGCTTCCGTCAACCGTGCCCTTCAATGTTGAGTCCAGTGCTTGTCGGCGCCGCTGGACCGCGGAAGGGCTAAATTCCGCGCGCCTTAGCTTGCTAGATAGCCCCCGACGCAAGCTGGTCGACTATCTTCCTCGAGTTCATCTAAATCTGCAGAAGTCGTCGAGTCAAGCTTTGCCAAGCGGCCAAGTCAACGGGGGTTCATCGCCAACCCTCCTCTGCGGGTGCAGACGGCAACCTCGGCAGCTCCAAGCGATAACGCCAGACACCCCTTGTCTTATTGACCCTGTCGCGGTAGCGCATGGGTTAAACCCAGAACGCCACACGGAATACTCAACGAGCGCCGCGAATCGTATTGCGTGGTTTGTCAATGGTTGGAATTGTGCCGCCGAAAGCCCGCTCCACTTCTTCACTAGCCCGCGATTGTTATCTTTGACCCCGGAAATGATCTCGTGAACCGTTGCTGTCAAGATCCTGCCCGCGCTGCCCCAGGTTGGTGTGTCAGTTCGTACACAACCGACTCGGGCTAAAAATCAAGCCACTGAGATATAGGTATCTTCTCCAACTTAGTTCCAGTGTCTCGGTCTGATTCGTTGCCGTCCTGGCGGTTCTTCCCCGTAACACACACAAATCAAGCGATCTGATTACTAGCAACCTCAACCTGCCTATTGTAGTCTTAGTGGAATAGCTAGTTGAGCGAGGCGTAACTCACGGCGCTTCCGTGGGACCACTCTCGCAACATGATTGCGCAATGTAGACCTACCTGCCCTTTCGGCCATGAAACCAACAACACGAATACTCTTTGGCGGCTGTGCCACAGTCATGCTGCACGACCGAGTTGGCCTTTTGCTTCTGTTGTTACCTACGCGACTTTCAAGGTTCTATTGCAAATTGCGCTTGTTCATGCACTTTTGACAGGGAACAGCGGACTCCAGCGTATGCCTGCTCAAAGTCGGTCGGTGTCCGGCGGGCCACCAAGGGTCCATCACGAGAGGGAGCCATACTGATTGGGCGCCTTATGTATGCAATGTTAGCACTATGGAAGACGTCTTATCTTGGCACCACAGCGACCCGAGAGGCAAGCTTTCTTGGCTTTCTTGGGTCGATCTCTTGCATATTGACCCACGAACCGTGCAACCACAACTTCGCTGTATCCTTGCCAGCCGTTCAGCCGCACTCAGTCAAGCTCGTACGAATCATGTGTCTATAATGAGAAAGTGCGTGTGGTCTATATGCTCAAATGTTCGAATGTCTCGCGGAGAACCTACGCTCACGATGGTATATAACATTCGAGCATATGGACCGTTTCCTGGAAATGCATCCCGGAGATTATAGGCTAAAAGGGACCAAGTCAGTTTATCATTTAGACAGATGGCAGACAACGTCCTCATTTACAAAGCATATATCGAGGCTCAAGTACAACCTATCACCTGGTCCAATGCATTACGCCCCGCCCTCAAATACCCAGCTTGAAACCTCCAGGAACCAGTTTCTGGAACACTCTGCCCGGATCGTATTTTTCACTGACGCCTCTTAGGAACTCAAGGTTACTGTCCCCATAGCTGGCCATTGGGTCCTGGAAAGGCGCTGCGTAGTTGACAAACTCAAAAGGGCTTCCAGCGCCAACACTGTTCGTGTAGTCATGGATCAACCTAAGCCAATCCTGCGACAAGGCATAAATATCATCATCATATGCAGCATCTTGCCAAAGCGGCATCAACAGTACGACTTATAGTATTTTAGTATCGTCATATTTCGCGCCTAGGACATGGAGTTTCGGAACATACTTATAAGATCATCAGTTGTGTCGTTTAGACCCATGATATTACCGCCTCTCACCAGGCTCTGCTCTGTGACATGACGTGGAATAGGGGTGTATTGAAAATCGAATACTAGGTTTGGTATGCCTGAGAAGCTTTTCTCAAAATGATCGAGCGTCAGTTGATGCACGCCTTGAACGACGGACGGGGCATTAACGAAAGTAGCCGTCGTCATGAGCACCCTGTCGGTATCACGAATATGAGTCAAAGTCTTTTGCGATATGATGCATGCATCGAAACTCTTAAGAAGACTGACCTAGTGACTGGTGGGACATCATGCGGATAATCCACCAAAGTTGTCACGCCAACTCTGTCAAGGATTTTGGGCTCCAGGTCAAGGAGCGGCTGCAAAGCCTCATGAGGGCCATTCAAGTTGGTATCGTCGGTGTCGCTAAGCCACAGCAAGATTTGCTGACCGGCTGCGTTGGTGCCGTTGAGAAAGAATTCAAGTGTCGCGTCCGACTCGGGAAAGTCCTTGCTTGCTGAGACAAGCTCACTGAACCGCTCGAGGACAGCGTCTGTAACGTTAATAGGGACGATCGCAAGACCGCCGTAGATGCGCTGTCTGTGCTCAAAAACGCTCAGATCGAAATGTGTGACGACCCCAAAGTTGTTACTTCCACCCTTGAGGGCTAGGTAAAGGTCAGCGTCGTCGGTAGCGTTCACATTCCGAATGTCGCCGTTGGCCAGGACGATTTCGTAGTTGATGATATTATCCGCAACGAAACCAACTCTGCCGGTAAACCATCTAAAGCAATTTACTGATTGTCAGAAGTTGAAGTGGTTTAGTTTTAGACGTCAAGGTCACTTACGAGTATCCACCGCCGAGTGTAAGTCCTGTTTTAGACTTTGGTGTTAGTCGATAACGCCTAGCGCAGGCATATTCGTTGTAGAACTGATGCACTGTGTTGACTCACCTCCAACACCAGTCCCGGGACAACGTCCCCCAGGGAAAGCAAGCCCGGTACCGTTTAGCTGCTTATAGATATTGTGCCAAGTGCCCCCGGGGCCCAGGCGTACATAGGAACGGTCATCAGACACGGCGGTGTCGTTCATCTTGCTGAAATCTATAGCAATACCGCCGTCGATATCGTTGGCGCCTGCCCATGGCGTGTGCCCACCGGACTTGATGGAGAAGGGGCATGCCTGGGCGACAAATATCTTGACTGCCGTCGAAACATCGTGAGCTGTTTCCGGCAAGAAGATGCATGTGGGTGCCAGCTGCGCATTCTGCGTCCAGCGGGCATTCGCCTCTTCGTAGGTCTCATCAACCTGATATATCACCTGATTTGGGTATTCTGCCTCAATGGCGGTACACTGGTATTGCGTTACGAATAGTATAAACGCATGTAGACCGCTTTACTCACACAGGAAGCTGAGTTTTCCGTCGCGGAGCGGAGCTCTTTGACAAGGCCCAAGACACCCATCAGACCCAGGCTAACGCAGTGAAAGATCGATAGTGACTTCATGGTGTGGATATGGTGCAATACAAGAGAGTTTGAACTAGGTTTAATGATATTATGCTGGGGTGTGGACTTCTAGCAGCTGACCGTTGTATAGGCTTACCGATGTCTGGTCACGCAAAAGCGGGGTCCTTGGGGGACAGAAATACTCCTCGTATTACCCTTGTCTAATGCCTGTTCCCAAGACCTCCTCTATTCCAGTGAATATGCCACACTAACTTGGGTTGCATCTGCACAAGTCACAGCATCTCCGGTGATGGGCAAATATCGTGTCCATACACATCGGTTGAACCCGGATTCTGTAATGACGCTAGTCCGTCGTGATGTATGTGATGCATCTTGGCTTTGAGTAAAGCAACTACACTTTTACCTATTATCCGTGTTTGGCATCCAGAAGAAAACGTGAATAGATGAACAAAAACAGGGCCTTCCGTTTGAACTTCTTTATTATTGCCAATGTGACCTCATGGAGAGTGGTTAAAGGTCGGCGGCATTGAATGTACCAGAGACGAATGGGCGAATATCCGGTCTGTGGTTTTGTGCCACTGAGCTGATAAGGCGGATATCTACATAACTAGGGAGATCACCTATTGTCTGGAAAGCTGTTTATCGTCCTTTCAGTCTCAGTATCGCCGTCTCTTCCATGGCTCACAGGATCCTACTTGCAGTTTCAGCTGGCGACAAAAGTTCTCCTAACATTCGAAATCCTATTCCTTGGGCTATGAAACAAAACTAATGACTGTGAGGAGGAAATCAACCAAAGACCGCCACGAGCGACCAGCCCGCGTAGTTTCAGATGGTGCATCAAAGCTGTTACTAACACTCCGTACTCTCGCGGAGGGTAGTCAGAAACTTGGGTCACGTAGAACAATCCGTGGATGGCCAACTTGCAGCCAACCATGGCTTAGTCTAGCAGCTTAGCGGGGACAGGCTCGTTGGCGCCACAATTTGGCGCAGCCACAGGGCTCCATAGTCAACTGACAGCATGCTGGGGCCTGGCCGCACCCTGAAGTCGCATGCCGCCGATAACGATAGCTCAGGCAGCGGACATCATCTTGAAACATCCACGGCCACCTCGAGCAGTCAGCAAGCTGCTTGTGCCTTCTGCGTTCTGCATGCCTCCCCCAGACTCGAACACCGTTCCGACCGAACCTGAAAGCGTCCCTGATCCGTCGGCAGCCGGGAAAGCCACTGAACATGACGCCACCATGAGCCAACCTACTCTGGCAAAGCAGCCTGGCCCCACGGCGCCTGGCGAGGCCGAAGCGTCGTCAGGCAGCATAGATGTGTCCCTGATACCCCTTACCGAAGCACCGAGTGCAGCCGACAAGCATAATGACACATCCGAATCGAAGGGTCCGGACTCGACGGCCACCGAGAACCAGGTACACCAGTCCGAGTCGGACTGCGTGCTCGAGACCGGCCATGCCCCAGCAAGCTACAAGGAAAGCGCACCTGAGCCTCCAGCTAAAGACGAAGCCTTGGTGAAAGGCAAGGAGCCAGCAGTAGAAGGTCAATCTACAAATGACCAAATGGAGGACTCCGTCTCGACACTCAAGCCTAGGAAGCCCCAGTACCTGACAATAGAAACGCCTCCGTATGTTGATCCTACGCCACCAACGCCTTCCGGCTCGCAACCGCCATCGAGAGCGAGCTCGTCTAGGTCTAAAGGACATGGTCCAGAACCATCGCCCACGCGGTCCGATGTGGCCTATGACGAGCGAAGGTACGCAAGTGAGGACGACCAAGAAGGCAACTCACGGTCAGAGATACAGAGCATCATGGAGCAGTTCCCGGAAGAGGGTGGAGGCCCAGATGTGGAAGAAGTCATGAGTCCAAGGCTGGAGATTGCTTCACCTTTTCTGAGCAACCCTTCGCCTCAACACCCTCCCAGGAAGTCGAGCCTCGAGCCTCTCGCGCCCAGTATTGCGCAGCAGATCCAAGAAATGCAGGGTTTGAGTCTCTCCACATCCTCGCCCACAAGCGCAAGATCAAAACCATGGGAGAAAGAGGCAGATGATCAAGGGCCACCCGTTCCCCCGAAGGATGGGCCTTCAGACGAGAGGGCGCCCGCCGAACCCCAGGTTTCTCCCACAGCTACAATACACAGACCTCCTCCCCCTGACCCAGAGCCGGAGCCGACTCTGCCTTTCGACTTCCACCGTTTTCTTGAGCAACTTAAGAACAAGAAAGCCGACCCAGTCGCAAGGTACCTCAAATCTTTCCTCCAAGAGTTTGCGAAGCGACAATGGATGGTGCATGAGCAGGTGAAGATCATTAGCGATTTTCTTGCCTTCATCGCCAACAAGATGGCGCAGTGCGAGGTGTGGAGAGAGGTGTCAGATGCTGAGTTTGATAACGCACGGGAAGGCATGGAAAAACTCGTCATGAACCGTCTATATACCCAAACCTTTTCGCCCGCCATCCCACCACCTCAGCCGATTCCGGGCGCGAAACCAAGGAAGCGAGGCGACGATCGACCTCTGGGGCCGGGCCGACGTGGTCAGCATCAGGAAGACGTCGAGCGTGACGAGATTCTCGCGCAGAAGATCAACATTTACGGTTGGGTACGAGAACCACATTTGGATATCGCCCTTGTCAGCGAAAGTGGGAAGCGCTTTCTCACTTTAGCCCAGCAAGGTTCGCGCACTTTACGTGGAGATATTCGACCGCGTGCTAATCAATGTAGAGCTTCTAAAAATCCGATCATACCGAGCACCCAGAGACAAAATCATTTGCGTCTTGAACTGCTGCAAGGTTATCTTTGGTGAGTGCAACGCGCTCCCATACACGTAGCGGTTGTATTTACTGGTTCTCAGGTCTTCTGAAGAATGCCAAGTCCGATACGTCAGCGGACTCTTTCATGCCACTGCTCATCTATGTCGTGCTGCAAAGTAACCCTGACCACCTGGTGTCTAACGTGCAGTATATCCTTCGCTTCAGAAACCAAGAAAAGCTCGGCGGCGAAGCTGGATACTACCTTTCGTCCTTGGTGAGTTTAGCCTCTTGCATCTCGAAGTACGAGAAACTAAACCTTCGGAATAGATGGGAGCCATACAATTCATCGAGAATATGGACCGCACAACACTAACCATTACGGATGAAGAGTTCGAAAAGAACGTGGAAACAGCCGTGTCTGCGATTGCAGAGAAGCACCGCACATCGATGGAGGCGTCTCCTGTACAGGATCATTATTCGGAGAAGACTGGCTTGCACCAACCTGGAAAATCGCCGTCTACGCGCCCCTCCCTAGACATAGATCCAGCAGGGACGCCACGCCGTTCCCTGTCATCTGACCAAGGCGACGATGGCGCCGCAATCTCTGGCCTTCTGCGCACTATCCAGAAGCCTCTTTCGACCATTGGGCGCATGTTCTCGGACGATCCCAGTGGCGCTGGCCCAAGCGAGCCTGCGCGAACCCCACAGCATGATAATACCCCCCGGCTGTCGCCCCGTCCCAGCACCGACGGCAGACCGTTGAGGGAAGAGAGACAGCAGCTGTCGGCCGAAGAAGCAGCTGCTAGACAAGCCAGCGCGGAAGTGGCCGAGGCCCAACGACTCTCCAGAGCCGAACACAATAATGTCGTCGAGACACTAGCTGGCATGTTCCCCGACCTGGACAGGGACATTATTAGTGATGTTGTCTACCAGAAGGAGGGAAGGTAAGTCTCAACCCAGCTACGCCATCTCCCCTTGGCCTGCATAGCTAACTTTGGCACAGGGTTGGTCTCGCTGTAGACGCGTGCTTGGCACTGAGTTCCTAGGCCGAGCCTGCAGCGAGCTATTTTTCTCACCGTTATGCATCAGTGGAGCAAAGGGATTGCATCAGTGTGTCGGTCGGGTCAGTCATGGAGGGATGGCGGGTACCGTTGTTTTTGCGCCTTCCCCGATTTTCAGCCTCTGCGAGGGTGGCGTTTTGCATGTACATGATCCCTCATATACCCCTAATCCGATTTGATCACCAGCCTCCACGAGAGGGCTTGGAAAATTATCTCTTTGCGTCGCGACTAGACGTGCACTTCTGGGGATCCTGAGTTAGCAGCGTATCACAACTAACTCACCCCTGAATTATCCACATGCTTTTTTTCAAAGTGAATTTTGATAAGTAACACAGGCGCTGACAGATGCTGGACCAAACACCATCTTGAGCGCACCTTGTCGGCCTACGGTGTTATGGTCGAAACGGATCCTAGTGTCACTAGACAACGATCGCAAGCTTGTGCGATGCCAATACATCAGTGGATCTCTTTTCTCGTATAGAATCTCGCCACAAATATATACAATCACCACCCCGCTGCCATTACCCCTTGGTCCCTCTCACGCGGGTGGAGGGGCAACTTAATGTGGAACGAGCAGCGGTAATAGCCCCCTTTATCTTGTTTCAGACAGCAGATATTAGAGCTGCTACCTCGCCAATCTCTTACCGCCTTTCACCCTGCACCTGGCGACCCTCGCTCCAAGATAGCTCCGCCTCCTAGATTTACTTCTGGGGGTACAGCACGACGCCTTCCCATCCTCTGCTGGCAATGTTGTCGAGAGTGTGTTTGAAATGTTTCTTGCTGTTCTCCACGCTGGCTGAGTCCTGCTGGTTGGTGCTCAGATTGGAGTGGATCAGCTCGATAAGTCCGTTGAGGTATTTGGTGGTGACCTAGTGACTTTGTTAGCGCCCCCTGCTTCACGAGACCACCGCAGCAATGCGAAGCAAAAACAAACTTACCGACTCGTTCTGCTGCTCGAAATAATAAGCATAGCGGTCCAAGATCTCTACAAACAGCTCGATCGATGTGGATTGCTCCATGCAGCTGTCGGCAACCCGAAGAGCCCGCTGAAGACACTCGAGCACTCGCTTGCCGTCGCGGTACAGACCCTCTTCCGACTCCTCGGTGGCCGCGATGGGGGTTGCCCACCACAAGTGGCTCGCAAGGTAGACAGCGCGGCACTGGTCAGGCTTGCGCAGTAGTTTGCTACCATGCAAGGCGCATTTCGTGATGAGCGTGTCGTAGTTCTCCCTGCCAAAGTTCCGGGTCTGGTGGAGTGCATTGGCGACGACGCACACGGCCTGGAACTGAGCCTTGGAATCGCTGATGGCCTCCTCGTACACAGTGAAAGCCTGCGCAAAAAACTCGTACGCCACTTCTTCGAAGCCCATCATGTCAGCAGTCTGACCACAAGCAGTAAAGAGTCGCAATGACAATTCGGCAGCGCCTGCACCGTTTACGCGTGCATAGAGAGCGGTGATTGCAGAGTGCATGAACTTGAACAGGGCCGATGACTGTGTTTCCCAGTTGTCGTCGTAGTGTTCGCGTGCCTTGAACCGTCTTGCAAGCTTCATGCCTGCAGTAATAAGAGGTGGCGTAGTCGTCCGAATGCGTTCGTTGCCGTCTCCATAGGCTTTGCGGACCATCTGCAGAAGCTTGAACTGAGTGTCGTTGTCGTCACTTTGGACAAGGTGAACTATGCGAGCTAACCAACCCTGCTCCTCTATGGTCTCATCTGTCTCCATAGCCCGTCGTTGCGGGCCACCTGGGTAGCCGGCTGGTGGTTGTGTGCCCTCCTTGATCAAGACCTTGAGGATCTCTAGGACATTCTCCAGCTGCGTCGGCGTAGATATTAAGATTTGCTCCCTCAGCAGCGTTCGGGCCACCTCACCAGCCACTGCCCTGCGAGTAGGATAGGTTTGATTTTGATATAAGGGTACATATGTTGGCAGCGATAACGCGGTGAAAAGAGAGGCATATCGCTTTAGGGGTGCTTGAAGAAGTGCCAGCAGGCTCTGCTGAGCTGGGGGCGAGTGCAGGTCGGCACTGTTAGCATGCTCCCTCACCTTACGGTTTGCATACTCGAGGACCTGGTCCACATAGTCCAGGCGACCAGGATAGATGTTGAGGGCCAAGTTGGTGAGCGAAACCAACAGGGCGATCGTGTCTTGGATGGCCAGATGCTGGGCTGCTACCAGGTTGTTGACTTGCTCGAAGAAAATCTCGTACAACTTTACATCTTTCGGAATGCCTCTTTCCTTCTTGGGAGACTGCGGCGTCGGCTCGCCGTCAGCCTCGACTGCTGTGTCCTCTGTATCTGCGATTGACGGAGTAGCCTCAGTCACTGATTCGGTTGTCTCCTCGGGCACGGATTCTGCCCCGTCGCCGTTGCGGCCCTCTCCATTTGCATCTTCAGAAGGCTCGGCAGGTTGCGGCTTTGACTGCTGCTGGTCCTTTCCGAGGCGGATTTTCTCCAGCAAGTCTGCTAAGGCTTCCTCTTCCATCTTTGCGCGATCCTCACTGGCCTCCACTTGCGACTCCCTCTCGGCATATGCGGATAATCGGTCCATCAAACCAATAACGATGGCCTTAACATTGACGTGAGGATTCAGCCGCGATACAGCCGCAAGGAACTGGTCTAGGGTGTGGAGGTGGAACTCGTCGGGGAAGACCTGGGTAATGATTTCGAGGAGATATTCCTGAGCGAGAACGTCGCGGCATTGCACGACCTGCTCGAGCAGGGGTGCCAGTATGCCATTGCTGTACGTCTCGAGGTCGACGAGCTGACTCAGGCGTACAATATTGCTGCCGACCAGAAGCTGCAGCTCCTTGCGCTCCTTTGTGCGCTGTTCGCGTTCTCTCGAGTGGCCTTGGTGCTGCAGGCGCACCCACAGCTTGTTCATCTCGACAAAGTTGGTCAGCACGAAGTTGATCGAGTCCTGAAGGTTGCCCTCGGGGCCGTCGCCTTCACCGGTGGGCAGGAAGTCCCGTGCCTGGCCAGATAGGTAATAGCGTAAGAAGAGCCCACGGATGGGGTGCTGGACACCTCGGCTCATGTCCATCATGTCCTTCATGAGCTCCTTGACCGGGGCATCGGGTATTGACATGTAGGCGGTGCCGACGGTAATCATGAGATACAGGCGCGGGATGATGTTGCCGGCATACTGGACAAGCTCGTAGAGGTCGGCGAGGTGGTTGTGCGGGTGGTTCTCCCGCAGGTGGACGGACAGGTAGCGCATCGCATCGAAGACGGCCATATACAGCTCGTAGTACTGTTTGGGCCCCAAGCTGCTAGTGCGGAGTTCCGACACCAGGGTAGAACTGTTTGAGGCCAAAGGTCAGTCAGTCAGTCGGTGGGAATGTTGTCGACAGCAAGGCCAGGGACACCGATCAACGGCGACCCAGCCCGCCGGCCAGCAGCGCCGGGCATGTGCTTGCGACAGCTGACGTACCAACACTTGAGCGCATCCATGAGCTTCCCAGACGTGTCCAGACATTTGCGCATGAGCACCGTCTGCTGGCGCACAGCGATCAGGGCATCCTCGAGCAGCCGTGCCTGGTCCTCGGCCGGGACAGGTGTTGTCGACATGGCTGCGGAGCGACGACGGCGAGGCGAGAGTATTCGGTCGGGTCAATTGTCGGGCGTGTTGTGCAGCTTGTCATCCACGCCTGGACGAGAAGGGGTGGACGGGCAGACGGGGGCGCGCGGGTGATTGGGTCGGTATCCGATATTCTGCTGCCTTGTCACAGGGAAGGGAAGGGAAGCTCACCCGGGACCCAAAGAGCTCGCTATCGATCAAGATGATGGGATGGATGATGCGGCTGGTTGGCTGGAGTCCCGCCCGCCGGTCGAGGTGGACCGGGGTGAGGTCAGCACAGGCCTGCACCGCCGCCCCACGGCACCGCCACGACCGCCTACCTATGGACCTACTTGAACTAGATTCCCCCCACATTGGGATAAGTTCACTCTCACCCATCCTCCGCCAGCCACATCAGGATAGTCATAGCCTCTGACTTGAGCCCTCCAACATCTTATTCGAAAGCGAGATCATCGATCAACAGCCAAGAGGTGTCCTCGAAAGCAGATGAATACGTTTTCACTCGAGACTTTCTTGACAACAACCGGTGCGTCAGTTGAGGGACCCTTATAACCCGCTGTGGCGAAATAGAGAGAATATTTAGTCAATTATCTAATACGAGTACAAGGATCAACCTGTTGCACCATTTTTGGACTAAAACGTTTGGCTATGTGATTCACCCAAAGATTCCTCTCGACAACATCCGTAGGATCGTGGAGGTAGGGTGGGTGTTTCGATGATTACCTGCTGCCCCTTTTACAAGGACCCGTGAGTTGATAGGTAGTTGGTAGTATCTGGCTTCTGGACGCCCGAGACCAGCTACCTGCTGAGGCACGAGCGGATGGCTTTGACATCTCGTTCGATGCTGCTCCGCCACCTGGAGTTCTTCCCTCCAATGTGAATTTCCAGCATTGGGACGTGAACGAAGTCATACCAGATGGCCTTATTGGGGGTTTTGATGTCATGTATCTACGCTTCTTCTCGCTCGTGTTGATGAAAGACCAGATCCCAGGTCTGATTGCAAAGATCTTCCAAATGCTAAGCAAGTTGGAGCTTGCAGACATCCCGCCCACATCACGCTGAAAGTCGCCTGGAGCCTTGCTGCTAATACCAAGTTTGCAGAGCCTGGTGGTTACATGTAATGGGAAGAAGCCGACTTGGAGACATTGAGCTTTGACAAGGCCGAACCCGGCAGCAAAACAGACAGCCTCGAGAGTCTCTACACGAAGTTGCTTGTGCAAGATGTCCGCTTCAAGCCAACTTGGGCTAAATGTCTCCCTGAGCTCTTGTCGGAGTCTGGTTTCATGGATGTAGAAAGGGACATCAGGGATGCGCCTCCGCATATCGCCTTCCAGTTCCATGAGGTTGGCCTGATGATCCACGACCTTATCGCCCGCAAAACCAAGAATGAGGTTCTAGCAGGGGAGCTGAAACGTCTCCTCCCAGCTGCTGTCGAAGAGACTAGAAATGGCGCTTATGTAACATCTAGGGGATTCGCTGTCGTTGGAAGGAAGCCATGAGATAATGACCAACGTCATGGTTTACCTTTGCTGCAGCGGACAACAATGGAATCCTAGCACGGCCTTTGACTTTTGATTTCGTGTGTGTTAGCTTGACCGCCGTTTAATTAATCTTGCGACACTACAACATGTTCTAGCACTAAGACCATTGAACAGGAAACTTCTACACCATTGACCGAATCCTATCCCTGACAATGGTTTTGCTTGCTCGCCTCACCAATCGTGCAATTCCGTACGCTTACCTCTACAGACTACCAGGATTTGTTCGAATATTTCCAGGCAGTGTTCCCAGCGCAGATGGCATTCCGGAGTACCTCGCAACCTCTCCTGCCTTACCTTCTTCCGCCCATGGGCGGTGGTGATGGTTGTATCTGATGTTGTTTGCCGCGTCACCAGGTCCTAGATATATCCAGGTGGTGAAGTGCAACTGGTCGCGGCCATTCCCTGAAACCTGTGTCTCGAGCAGGAAGTCCATACGGCAGATATCACACCAGTGGACGTCGCGCTCGTCACATTTGCCGGTGTGACCCGGCACCGGACATCGGCACCGGACGACGATCCTGCCCTGGCCCTCTTGAGACTTCAAAGTAGTCTTTGGGCTCAAGTGTCGACAGAGTCCAATATGTGCACTGAAATCCATCCAGTGTTCCACGAGGTTCTTCATCTGACAGTGCCCGCTGGTCGTATACGAGTCTCTCTTCTGCCAAAAGACCCCGTACTCGTTCACCAAAACCGAGAACGCCCTAGTTTTAACCATTCCGGAAACCCCGAGCGTCCCTACGATTGGCAACTCTATCATTGCTTTAAGCTGCGATACGTCTCGGCCAAGTCGGACGTTCTTGGCATACGCGTAGTAAATGTAAGGGTGATGGCCCGGAATGAACGGCTCGTGGTCGAATGCATGCCCCTTGAAATCGCTACGTCCACGGCACTGGTACCGCGAGTCAAGCTTATCGCCTGGTGCCTTTCGTGCATCATGGAGCTTCTTGCACCATGGGCAGTAAATTTCCTCGCATTCGCGCTCGAGTAGCCGAAGAAAACTTACCTTCTCTTGTTCAGATAGATCCAAGTACAGCCAACCGATCGAGTGGCGCATGTGCTTGCTAGTCAAGGACAGGGCTGCACGTGACTCTTTAGGAAGGAAATCCTCGATGCACATGAGTATGTCTCTTGGAATTGCCTCGAGGCGCGAAAGAGGCTTTTGTGACATCTTGAACCCTGCACTTTTACTGGACCGTTGGTGTGCACTTACCTTCATGTCCAGTCTCACGCACTGAGATCAAAGACCTACGCATGATTTCAGACCTATTGCACTAAGAGTCTTATAAAGCACAGCTGAAAGTTACGAATAAAGCACATTGTTTTGTGCTTCGGCCTCAGTGGACGTTCAGTGTCTAAATCAGAGCTTTGTATCCGGCCAACCATGACCATTGTTGAGGGGTCGCCTTTGGTTAGTACAAAGCACTTCTACTTCTATGGGTAGACTTGGCTCACATGTTCCTAGGCGATAGTCAAAATCAGAATTTGCCTGCAAGGATTCTTTGCGAGGAAGGATGCTTTTCTTGTGCGAAGATCGCAGCTTTTGCAACCCTACGATTGCCGTGTAGGGGCTGCATTAGCAGTGGGTTCATTCATAGAGACCCGAGACTCCATTGAAATCGACCCGCAGTCTCAGACCTTGTGGACGTAGCAAAAGACATGAAAATATTGTAAGAGTTGCTTCAGGCTGCTTTCTATCATCTATGCCATGGATTCCTGGATCGAGTTCAGCTATAGGTACAATTGGGTGGGGTGCAGTACCCACTTCCCCGCGCATAATGCGCCAGTCTGAGCTGTGTACCTGGTATCTGGAGGTTATCAGCATGCGATCCCCTAGATATTGTTTAAGGCTGGTCGCGACTCCCACCAGACTGCTCCTGATTCCATCGCATCACATGTGGTCGACCTAAAGCTTGGTGCATTACTCCCGCCAGCGAAAAGAAGTATGGCCCCTCGGCCGTCGTCCTACCTCATAATCGGATCCGGCGTCTTTGGCGCCTCAACGGCCTACCACCTGATCCGCCGTTATCCGGACGCCTCCATAACGCTCGTGGACCGAGATGCCTTCGACGCCACCAGCCGAGTTGCCGCATCTTGGGATTGGAATAAGGTGGTTAGAGCCGATTATGCTGATATCAAGTACTGCGAACTTGCGCTTGAAGCTCAGGATGTCTGGAGGACTGATCCGCTGTGGAAGCCCTTCTTTCATCAAAGTGGCATCTACTGGATCAGCCATACCCAGTTCGCTCAAAAGGTTATAGACAATTATGCGAAACTTGGCCGCCAAGCCGACCTGTACAGCCTGCCTGTTGAAGAAGCGCGGAAGCTATACGGCGGCATTTTCGACGAGGCTGACTACACCGACGTCAAAGAGGTGCTGATCAACAACACCAGCGGCTGGGCGGATGCTAGGGATGCCCTGAAAAAGGTGATCGAGACTTCGATCGAGAAAGGAGTCAAGTACGTCGTCGCGGAAGTGAAAGCGCTGAAAGTGGACGATCATGGCATCTGTCACGGCGTAACTACAGCGGATGGAAATATATTGGAAGCAACCCACACGATTCTCTCCACAGGCTCCTTCACGACGAAACTGCTGGAAGCGAGCGCAAAGGTAAGCGGCGTCAAGGACCTCCGAGCTGGAGATCGTATCATCTCCGCCGGAGTCACTACTGGCCTCACCCGGCTGAGCGATGAGGACTTGGGAAAATTATCCGGGATGCCGGTGTGTATTCAAGAGAATCCACCAGAAAGAGGTGTGAAAAACGCAACCCATCATTATCCAGTAGATAATCTGACCGTGGCAAGGGGCAAGCAATGGCACGTTGCCTCCGAATAGGGACTCGCAAGTGAAGTGGTGGGGACAATGTATTTTCAAGAATACCCAAGAGGTCCTGAAAGATAGGTTCGTATCAGCGCCTCCGGATGAGCCAGATTATGCCGAATGGAAGGTCCCAGATTCATTAAAGGATGATGTAAACTTCGCCAACAAAGCAACATTCGGCGAAAAGGGCGAACTGTGGAACTTGGAACAGTATCGCATCTGCTGGTAAGTAGATACAGCAGCTTGGCCACCAAGATGTGCGCTGACCTTGACCCAAGGGAGGCTTTAACACCCAGTGAGGACTTCATCATCTCACCACACTCGGCAGCTAGTCAGCTCTATGTTGCCACATGCGGTTCGTTTCACGGGTGGAAATTCTTTCCAATCCTAGGCAAGTACGTGCTGCAGATGCTGGACGGGAAATTGGCTCCAGACCTGAAAGGCAGATGGGCCTGGGATCGCGAGTTGCCAGACCCTTCGGATCTGGTAGTGTGGCCACGAAAAGAGCTTGAGGACATGTGACTTAAGAGTCAAAGAGTATGTAGCGATCGATATTTTCTACTTGCTAGATAATACTGACTCTTTATGATCATAATAACAACCCTACTAGAACCTACGGCCTTGGTGGTTTCACAGGATGACGTAGCACCACCAGGACTTGACTACCTAAAAACACGCGGGTTGGAAAACTGTCCTTACGCTTGCTTCGGCTGCCCACTCTGGTTGGCTTCGTATCAGGCTCAAGGACCAGGCAATGTTGGGTAAATGAGCAATTGGCATTGGGTGGGTCTAGTTACACTATCGGGCTATGAGGCCCGATCTACCTGCGTGACTCGCATAAAGGGCAAGGAGCAGGCCAAGGCGACGACTTGGGTGTATGCATGTTGGTTCACCAAAGCCCCGATGCCATCCTTCGACGGAACAAATAATAGTATCTCCGCACTGGACGGGGCGGCACGGAGCCTCATGCTGGCGCCGAGCCTTTAGGACTGCATTTGCGCAGCCCGAACTGCGCAGTAACTCCCTATTATACTTAGCTTGAGGGCAGACGGAGCCAGAACTGATGACGTGCCACTGCCATTCGGGGTCATTACAGCATATCACTTGCAAATTTAACATCAGAAAGGCAGAGAAATCCCGCAGTTTGGCCAATTTTACGAATGGATCTCGCTGGGAAAATTCATTCGTCAGTTGGCTGGAGTGTTTGGTTTGCACATCCTTCCATTGCCCAGAGCCTACACCGGTCTCCACAGGCGAAACCGCCACTGAGCCAACACCATATGCGACATTTTTGGGAGGCCTAAGTTTTCCCTCTAACTCTCGTGTCGTTATGAATGATGGGTAGATGTGCTATTGCTTACTCTCAGATTAGTCAGCCGTTTGCTTACTGCGTGCAGTGTTAGGATATGATTATAGCAGTATAAGTCGTTGGTTTGACCACACGAACGCTCCGATACCCCCTGCAAGTTCTTAGTGTGTTCCGCGCTCTGCATCGGACGACCTGGTGCACACAACAGAAAGTGGCGGAACCGGGGTTTAAGAGCTGTAGTACAGCATATACGAAAGTTGGTAAATTCGCCGAAGCAGCCGCCAGTCTTGCGTCACATTTTGACTCGTATCACAGTGTGGATACCTCAATTTTGGCCTCAGGACGGGGATCAGCATCAGGAGAGTGTCGTACGACGCACAAGAAGCTGTAAGTAGGAGAGGGCCTCGTTTCGGTATTCAAAGCCGTGTACAAGCCCTTCTACAGACTGATTACAGGGTTTTGTAATCATATCATGCGGTACTTAATTCAGTGATACGCCATTGGCATAGCTGACATGCATACGAGGCTCACGTACGGCGTCACGTTGTGCAGTCTTGGATCGACATCTCGCATGTAGCACCAGCCAGATGGAACATCTGCAGCCCGATCTATGCAGTTACACTTGTGTTGATCACGTAAACGTGATGGGGCATTGTTTACAACCCAATTGCTCGACTCTACAACTGTCGCGTACACGCTTCGTAACTCGGTGCCGCTCAGGTTCAGGGTTGGGACAATTCTATGGGATTCCCCGCCCCACGCGGGCTGCAGAGACGGACGGGTGTAGCCGACCCTGGCTATAACGGTCCGCTTCCAAGTAAATCACATCGTGATAAGGAGGCATAGACTTACCGAAGCTTACCGAATCAACTTGGCTTAAAATTTGTTCCAGGTGACGCTGTTGATGTAAGACGTAACGATTTGAAGAATGTTGTAGGAAATTCACGGTCTTGATGGGTTTGTCTCGCACCTAGCACCAAAAAGAACAAATAGAGAAAAATTCAACATAAAATTGAGGGAATAATGTGTCACTATTGGTCGTAACGGGAGGTGGATTCAAGTTCCGCAAGATATCACTGCCAGGTGCCTACCTGTTGAGGTTTTCTGGAATTCAGTCTTGTGTACACAAGGCAACCCTAGAGCAGCACCCTGGTGCATCCATGTCTCCTTCTCGCACGTTCTCCCGCAAGCAGAGGTGGTCAGCCAGTGCATAGATATAAATTGTCATACCGTTTCCTCTTGTCGAGATCTTTTTCTAGCCAGACCCAGCCCCTATACAACATCGAAACCGTAATTCTGAATATACCGCACTTTAAACGATGGAGACTTCAATGTGCGGTCTTGGCTGCTTGTGTAAGCCTTGTTCACAACCTTTTTACTAAGTGACTAACCTAATGCCCCGTTTCAGCACCGGTATTCCACGACGCCGGCGACTTTGACTCAATATGCGATTCTTTTTACCGCAATGGTGTTGCCTTCTGCAAAGGTTGTGATGAGTCCTCGCTTCTGAATATCGCCAAGAATATGGGTAGCCCTGTTGCGCCTCGAAATGCATCTGGCCGTGGGGTCATAAGCCGTATCAGGTGCGAACCAGCCCTGAACGGTAAGACCTATAGTAGCAAAGGATACAGCTCAGAAGGTACGTTGTCTTCCAGAAATCCTCTACCGTAGGAGATCTGACAGGAGCTTTGCAGAACTCTTCTTCCACACAGATAGAAGTGGCTGGGAGCTGCCACCTCGTATTCTGATGACAGCATTGTCCATCAAAGCTCTAAAGGGGGGCGAATCACTCTTAGTAGATGGACACCGGTTCCTCTCTCATCTCAGATCTGAAGAGCCAGACCTGTACGACCTTGTGGTCTCCCCGCAGCATAGCAGTTTTCGTCAAGAAAACGGCTCATTTCAAGGCCGTCCAATTTTTGATGAGGCAAAAGGAATTCTCCGATTCCGCCTAGATAATTCGGTCCAGCTCTCGGGCGTCCTTGCAGAAAAGTGGGACAAACTGAAAGCTGCAGTCTATAAGCACGCATACTACGTTGATTTTCAGCCAGGGGATGGATACATCGTCGATAATCATCGCTACCTACACGGGAGAACTTCATTCACTGGCTCACGTGAGCTGCTTCGTGTGCTTGCATTCCAGAATCAACCACACCAACAGGGAAATTCATTCTCTTTGACGTGGATGGAACAATCTGCTGCGCCGAAGACCTGAGTGTTGATGCATTTTATCGTTGCATAAGCGATGTAACTGGAAAGGAGATTCGCCTTCACAACACGCATGTAAATCTTCACGGCCAAACCGACATGGCGTTAGTAAGAGAAGTCTTTCGCTACCACGGAATTGATGCTTCTCGGATAGGGGGTCTCATGAAAACAATGACGGATGTGTGGCCAAAGTACCTACAGCAATCGCTTGACGCCGGTCTAGCATGTTCCCAGTGCAGTCAAATTGCTTCAGCCTTGGACTGGCTGATGGAGCAGAAGCAGGACGGTAGATATCGCATCAATATCGGACTCTTGACCGGGAATGCGCAAGCAAACACGGAGCTGAAGATTCAAAGCTGTGGGTTATCCACTAAAATGTTCGATCAGGGGATATCATCCTTCGGAGATACGTGTCCATCTCGGTTAATGCTCTACCAAAACGCTGTAGGGAAAATGGAAGGCCGCCACTCAACACCAATACCACCAAAACAGATCTTGCTGATTGGAGACACCCCGATCGACATCAATTGTGCCAAGAAAGTGGGCTGCAAGATACTAGCCGTCGCTACTGGAAATTATGACATTGACGAGCTCCGCAAACATTGCCCAGACTTTGTCTGTGACAACCTTGCGGATGCATTCGACTTTTTGGAAAGGTTCATGCAAAATTAAAGGGGTTTAACCCGCATATAAGCCTAGTCTGCAGAACTCACTAGAGACAGTGTGGTACAAAGTGGTCCCTTTGAACTCTCAAACGGGGTAGATTAGTTTAGCACCTCAGGTTAACTTTTGCTTATAGATCAATTGATTCTCAAAAGTGGTCTTGCAAGTGTGTTGCGTGAATTGGTGAATGGTGTGGTTGAATAAGGCAATGAGCCAATCGTATTGCTGGGAAAGCAGAAAATGCAACCATCTGGCTGGCAACTGTCTGATTTGTTTTGTTTTAATCAAACAGGTCCTAATGGTGTGTTTTATGTCTTGTTGATCATTCCCAAACTTTGCTGAGCCACTTGAGTTGACTGCTGACCAAAGCCCGTAAGATTCGTGACATTTTGCTGCGAAGATGGACCTTCATCCTTAGTCTCATGGCTGAAGGTTCTCCCTTTGGGAAGATCGTCATCGTCCTGAATGTAGAAAATGGCAAAAAACGCCAGTATAGCAACTCCAATAGCATAGAAGGCAAAGATAACGCCTGCAAACGCAAGGTAATTCAGGCCAGCGGCGTCGATCCCGAAACAGATTGCTTCACCAGCAGCTAAGAAACCACGCTGCACTCCAATGTAATGGCTGAGTCGGTCCGAAGTCAATGACAAAGAACCGATATACCAAGGGACCAAGTATTGCCAAAGGACCGATGCAGTCCAGTTCATAACAAAAAAGGACCATGGTGAGCCCAAACTCGGAATCAACCCAATCAATAGGCGCTGGTGCTGAGTGTCTGTCATAAGTCCTAGCAAGAACTATTTCCCAAATCCAGGCAATTGACAGCGGGATGTCAACAAATGAAAGACCTGCGAGACCACGTGTGCGGCGGGACCATTTACAGTTGTCCAAAATCAGATGCAACAGGTGGCCGAAAGGTATCTGAACCACCAGTGCCACAAATGACAACAAGGAGCGAGCTCGAAGCGTGTTGTTAAAGACGTTGACCGATCCAAGGTAGATAAGAAAAGACCCCGCAGAAAAGAATGCTGGTAGTAAGAGGAGGAGCTTCGTCTCTTTGAAGACTCTGATGTTCCCCTTCAGCGCTGTCCAAACACCTTTGTTGGTCTCGCTAGTGGAATCGAGTCCCATACCATGAACCTGGTGAGCACGCGGAGTGTAATGAAAGCAAGAAGAGCCGAAGCGAGGACAATAACTATATAGGTGATATAGATAGCCGCGGGAGTAGTCGCTCTTATTGAATTGTCTTTGTTTATAATGACCGGCACGATGCTGCATATGATGGTGCCAGTCGCTTGCAACGTCTGCTGGATAGCGACGAACTTTCCTCTGTTGTGATTGCGAGAATAAGCAACTGAGATATAGCCGGAGGTGATAAAAACAGCACCAGCTCCAAGCCCAATGACAGCACCAGCGATTAAAGTGAACGCCTTTTGCCCCGTGATTCCATAGTACCATAATGATCCAACGTAAATTGCGAAGGTGCTGATGCCCAGACCCATAGTAAGGCCAGGCCCTAGAAATCGCAAGTACGTGCCTCCGAAACAGGCAGAGAAGAACCAGACCGATGACAGAATGGCATTTGCAGTCTGGATTACGTGAGACTGTTCAAGGTTGGCTCCACCAGCCCCAAGCAAATTGAGTGAAGTGAAGACTCCTGCCGAGAAAGCAACGCCTACCCCCGCGATGAAGTTCTGTGTTGAGGGTTTCGTGGACCAACTGGCCAGGTGTGTGCTAGCCGCTGGCGCCATGGCCAAAGAACTGACTTAATAGGTATGAGGTGTTGGTGCATCGGTGTTGGGCAGCTCACATAGCATTGATGTGAAAGTACAGATAACTATTTGGTGCAGAAGGATTGAGAAATGTTGATGCCCCTGCGAATCCTTCAACACGAAGAATACGCAAAACGAATATCTCTATAGAGGGTTTGACTCTTTCGAACTGTGCACCAGTGAAACAAAGGCACCAATCCTATCGAAACGTTACTTGCAAACTTAGCCAATCGGGGAACTTTCCCCTGAAGGGCAATATGCGGGCGGGGTGCATCCGTCAAAACCTGGTAAGCAGTAAGCGGAATGTACACTATTCGCATGTCACATAGTTAATTTCTTAACTTGATTTCGGCGCGACATGGACACTTGATGCAAGATACGTATGTCGAGCCTTCGTCACAGCAAGATCCACAGTGCAAGGAAGTTGAGGTATTTCCTCTTATTTGGGACATACGCCCGATATAAATGTATGTATCATCAGCTCCACAGTAGAATGGTCTGTTGCACACGTGAGGTTAAGATGGACTCCACCAGGTAATGCAGGGTGTTTTAATATATACAACAATGCCACTCTGCGTTCTGTCGAATGTGCACAAAGCGGTAAAGGATGAAAGCTTCCGCAATTGGCCACCGGACGAACACGGGCCACGTATCCCGAGGGCTATGGGGCCAAGACATAAGAGCAGCAGTCCATGCCGGCGTATTCCTATCCTTTTAATTTCATTTTTCCTGAAATAGAAACGGAAACCGGACGCCAACGTGTAAACCTTGAACTTCAAACTTGGCCCGTAGACCATCCCATTCATTTCTGCCTGGAGATAGAGCCCGTCGATACATGAAGCGATAGTCATCTCAATTTCGACTTGATGGCATGCTGACAACCCAATAATGTCTCTCTGGCATTAAGAATTCAAGTAAATTGGCATTAAAGTTGGCGCAATGACTCAGGAAGGAAAGACATGGTAGCTAACTGGGAGAATCGTGCTCTCAGACCGAACTGCCGTGAGATGCGTCTAAACGCAAACAACCTTGAAGGGTGTTTGTTATAGAAATTCCACTAACGGCCCAATTACAGAAAACAAAACTTATGTACTTCAGCTTTTAAGACCTAAATCAGTCTCAACTGTGATTTGAGAAACTCGGCAAGTCCTTTTTCGATACTTGCCGAAAACGCTGCAAAAACAAGCATGCTCGTGCTGGTCGGTGGCGGGCAATAATGGACGTCTGGGAGGACTTCCAGTTCCTCTATCCCCTTCACTTGGGCCAACTCGTTAACCCAGTCAAGACTTTCGTGCTTGATGTCGGCGAGGAATTTGAAGTCACTGGCGGTGAACTCCTTCGGCCCTTCCCATTGCACGCTAGGTCTGCCGCCCTGGATGACCAACCGTAGCTTCTTGATTGCTCCATTGCTTTGCAGGAAGCGACAGACGCTGCGCCATTCGCTACGGTCGTTCTCATATAAGGGAATCGGGCCGCGCTTGTATAGGGAGATTTCCTGGATGAGATAGCGGCTTGATGGTCTGAGATCTGACAGAAACGGCTCGACAGCCTCTATGTCACTGCCAAAGTCGAATGCGTGCCTGGCGTACACAAGATGCGACGTCTCCTCATAGATCTTGCTGTTCACGCGCATCAAGGCTGCGCAGAAGTGCACGCCTTCAGACGCCAACCGGTATGTTGTTTGATAGCAGCGTCTTTGCATCGACCGATCAAGGACATGATAGCGCTTTCGCAACCTCCCGGTGGTACTGGGCACCTTGCCAGCGTCAGCGCTCCGAATCAGGAGTCTGCTGGTCCCTGCATCATCAAAGATATACTCGTAAATCAGCATGCGCACCTCTGCAGGCGCACGCATCAGGTGGGATCCGTCGTCCATAGTCTGGGAAGGGAAAGGCACAATCGAAGATTTTTGTGATTAGAAGAACATTTGCGGCATGAAAGAGACACAGTCAGAGGAAAGTGATGCAAAACAAGTAAGCTGACGGGGTGCACGCAGCCGGGGTGGAGATCTGTTTTTGCTATGGATTCGTGAGCACCAAAACGGAAGTTGGCCAGCCAGGTTCTCGGGTGGTCAACAAGGTAGGCCCTGCAGAAGGGCCGCCAGATTGTGTTGATATGCTTGCTTATCCCTGTCATCTTGTACAGTCAAGACTCGAGTCTTCGCAAAAGATGTTCTGGGAGGATGCGTGATGTTCCAATGGCCTTATCGCGTCCCCTGATCGGCATGGTTGGTTGCGGCTGTGATATGCATCAGCAGCGGGCCGACTTCGCGTTTTGCCGCAACCAGATGGCAATGTCGGCACATACCATATCATGAAGGCCATATTGCTATTTTTATATAAAGCAACCGCAGTCCCCAACAACGAACTCTTCAAGCCATGGGTAATATTGAACATTCACGAAGACGAGGTTAGGGGGAAGCCAAGGGCGTGAAACACAACGTGCTGGCTTTCTAGTAATCCATTCATAACCTGCCCCGCTCAGGTCCCGCTGTGTGCTGCTGTGCCCCAGAACTGTCCAGCGACGTGGATCCATCACCGGTTGACTCATCCAATTTCTTCTGCAGGGCCACCGTCTAAAGCCGACTACTTTCTTACGTATGTCACTTCAGGTTGTCTCGTACGAAGCCGCGAACGCATCGCTATGTCACGCTGCGGGCCGGATCTAACAGAGCGTCTCCTTGGTTATGCCACAGCACCATAACTCGATCACCTAGCATCCAACTCAGCCTTAAGATACTAATTATATATGAATCACAGTATCATTTAATGTTGTCTTCGAGATTTCTTGCTGCTTCGCAGCTTCTCTCGCGTAGGGACCGTCGGCTATTTCCAATGGTGGGGTTCGCTGGTAGCCGCAATAGCCTAGCTTAACGCACTAACATCCAAGCCAGAGGGCCTATTTACAGACCTGCGCTGAGCAATCTTGGCGCCTCTTAGATTTATCCCTACAAACGTACTTTGCAGTATAAACTTTGTAAATCATATTGTTCGTGATACAAAGAATTAACTAGATAGACATTGATTGTATTAATCATTAAATTTTCACACATGCGTAAAGTTTTCATGTAAATGACCGAGAACTCTGTAGGTAGGTTAAATACCCAGATACGTGCCGTGTACAATCTTGACATAACAAGTCTAAACAAACGATGTTAACTTATCCCAATTGCAGGCTAAGTCAAGCACAGAGATGCTAAGTGGAATGGCTGGCGCGACCTATTACATAAATAATGACTTCATTTGTATCATTGACCAAATCTTCGACACGCCCTCTTTTGATTCGACAAACATTCCAGCTAGCTTTCAGTTGAGAGCCTGGCTTCCGCTCATCTTTCAGTACAGGCTTGTACACGACAAGGGACTGAAACCGCATGTAAGTTGATTCATGTTGCATAGTACTTGCCGAAATAGAGCCTTGGCACAGGCACGCCGCCGTTTAATTTTTCAAATCCGAACAACTCCTCATGGAATCCCTCGACCGGGTCCGCAGACTTAACAAAGATCTTTAAACCAAAGAAATTCAAAATGTAATACTCGCAGGCGGCTTACCAAATAAAGCCATGGGCGCTTATCGGAGCTCGCGTTGGTTTGACTTTATCTTTTTTTATAAGTGAACACTTTCGCAACTTACTCGCTATGATGCTTATATAGACATATCCTGTATTTGTGGTGGAGAGTTGATCATAGCCACATGCTTCGGGTTCGTTGAGTCTATCAGCAACGTTGCTATAACACTTCACTGACTTCAGCCGTCTGAAACCAACCATGTGCGCGTTCCTGGTTACACTGACCGACGAATGTCCGTTGGTGCGAAGCACAGTATGTTGACTTGCCATCGCAGCATCTCAGAATAATTGAGAGCCGTTACCGGAATGTCGCAGGCACTTGTGATCTACTAAAATCACGACACTACGTAACGCACCCACCATCACGGCAAGAAAGCCGAGTGTTCCTCGTGTCGAGACAAGAACTGGCGATACCCCTCATCTCCGCACTGAAGAGCCCCCGAGACGAGGACACAACACCCCACTTCTCCGCATCCCCCACACCAGGCTCTCTCTAGTGTAAGTGAACCGGAAGTCGAAACGAGGCCCACGGGTGTAGTTAAACCGACGACACCCCCGAACTTTGCGTAGATTATCACTTCAATCTCGAGGAAATCACTCGTCCCTTGTAAAACCACCGGAATAATTGTATCATGTCACAATCCAAGAATATTATCGTCACGGGCGCCGGCGGCCTCATCGGCCCCATGCTCTCCAAACGACTCCTCAATGATGGATACAACGTTATCATGACCGACATTGTTGAGCCCGTTGTCCCCAAAGGTGTCAAGAACCCTGAGAATGCAACTTGCTTGAAGGGGGATATCTGCGACCCGGCCTTCGTGAAGACTCTGCTAGATGCAGCTCAGCCGTTGCACGCCATCTTCATCTTCCACGGCATTATGTCAGCTGGATCGGAGGCAAACTTTGACTTGTCCTTGAAAGTCAACATCGACAGCGTTAGGAACCTCCTCATGGCCCTCAGGCAGTCGAATCCAGGAGTGCGCGTTGTGTACTCCAGCTCTCAAGCTGTATACGGACAGCCTCTTCCTCCGGTGGTGACGGACAGCGTGACACCAACACCGGAGGGAACATATGGCTCGCATAAGTTCTCCACGGAGATCATTGTCAACGACATGCATCGCAAGGGCTTCATCGACGGATTCATCGTCCGTTTCCCCACTTTGGTTGTACGACCCGGCAAGCCAAGCAACGCTGCGTCTTCCTTCCTATCTGGCATGATTCGTGAGCCAATGAACGGGCAAGTCTGCGTTCTTCCTTTGAAAGACAGGGCTTTCAAGTCATACATATGCTCACCAAGTGGTACAATCGAGAACCTGGTTCGAGTGCTGCACCTGCCTAGCGATGCGCTACCTAAGCACATACGTCACATCAATTTCCCGGGAATATCCGCATCTGTGCAGGAACTGATGGATGGGTTGGCCAAATACGGTGGTGAGGACAAGCTCAAGCTATTACAAGAGGAGACGAATCCCGAGTTGGAGAGAATTCTGAGGAGTTGGCCACAGGACTTCGATCCCAGCACCCCTGACAGACTGGGGTTGGTTAGGGATAACCGAACAGAGGACTTGGTGAAGGAGTACATAGACTCGCTTTCATCATAGGTGTGCATATAATCTTTAAGTAGACGAATTCTGGTGTAGAATCGCGCCACTCTTCTAATTTAGTTCAAAGTCGGAGTGGCGCAAAATAGCTCAGCCTATAGCGGGAGAAATGTACAGAATGAATTAGAGCATGAGAGTGCAATCACGATTCCGAACTCCCTGCAACAATGTACTAGCCTCTCAATTGTCTTACTGTCGCCTACGTAGTAAGCAGTAGCAAGAATACCGCGCTCTAATCTTAAGACAGGTGCTCAATATAATCGGCACCGGAAGCTGCCAGTGTAACGTAGTACAGATCCTGCTCCGCTGCGATCACCATACGGCCGTGACCAGCGAATCGGAAGTTCGCTGAAGTCTCCCCAAGGTAAATTTTGCCTATTAGCTTTCCAGATTGGTTCCAAACTTGGATGCCGTCACCTGTACCAGCATAGACAATTCCTTTGGAGTCGCAGTGAATGCCTGAAGTCTGTGAGCTATCGTCAACACCAGTGAAGCTTTTTACCCACCGTCTGGAACGCCGGAGTTGATGTAGGCAAAAGTCTTCCTATTCTCTAAAGTGCCGTCTTGCTGAACATCGAATCGATATCTGAATTGTGGTGAGCATGTAGCTTTACGCTGAAGCAAGTCCACCCACATGCTGGCTGGACCTGTAAAGTTCCACCCCCAGAAACCTCCGTTGGCCCCAGTGTCTGTCACGTAGACGTGGGTTGAATCAGGGGAGAAGACGATGCCTAAAAAACGCTTCAGCAAATTGACCATATTCTCACTCATCAAAGAATCTTTTCCTGACCATTTGGAAGATTGAACCCGTCTGCTGCCACCGTCAACGCGCCTGTGCTATCGTTGTAGCGGTAGACCTGGTTTGGAAGACCAGGGGCGGGACGGAAATCTTGCAAATAGCCATATTCTGGGTCTGTGAAGTACAGGTCTTTGTTTCGAGTATTGATAGCGATATCATTAAGTGAATTGAACTGTCGACCGAAGTAATTGTTGACCAGTACTAGAATGTTTCTCAGCATTTCGATTTCATTTCCCGAGAAATGAGCCGTACCAGTAGTGTTATATGGCTCTCTTGGATTCATGACGACGAGTGCAGCGGTGGTGTTGGAACCTTGTCCTTCCGACATGTAAAGAATTTGTCCTTTGTAATTAGTTGCGCCTGCGCGTCTATCAGCGATCATGGATAGTAGTTGGACCCACCTGAAAAGCTCACCTTTTGGGTTAATGACCATCGGGCTTGAGTTGACGGTTATCACATCGACTAGCCCGGTCGCATTTCGCTTGTTAGACACTGGACCTGCTTGCGCCAATGAGATTTTCGAGATGATACTGGATTTATTCAGTCCAGTACCCGCTGCTGGAGAACCGGCATTCTGCGCGATGAAGACTTCGTCCGTTGGTGGATACCTGATTGCTTATTGTTAGAAGACCTGGTGAGTATTACGCCGAGAACGTAGACATACCACACGACAGCTTCATGGAACAAAGGATTCGTGCCAGCGTTAGCGATGAGGGTTAATGTGGGATTTTCTCCAATCACGGATAAGAACTCGTCATCGTATATGTGGAATGGTCTCTCTAGCCATGATGCCTTTTCCACACCAGGTGGGAGAAAATACTGTGCTAGGGTGAGCAAAAGACGCAATGTTGCTGTATGACACATACAGTGGTAGCATTAGATTCTGTTGGAGGCAATACAGTTGGCAACACATTGAAGCCCTTCTGGTTGACCCTTTGAGCTTGAGCGGGAAGGTCGTTTGATGCGATGTCCCTGTTTTCAAATGACCCAAAGCCCTCTGTCAAAAGGGCAAATGTTGATACCAACGTATAGAGGTGTAGGAGAATCATTTCAACTCTCTCACGTTCAAGTCCACGGATATGCCTTGTTCCAGGGTTTCAGAAGAGAAAGTAACATGAAGGAAGCGGCACGATCCGATTTACATCTTTTCACGTTGAATACCATCTGCCACTTACATTTGGGAGATTACGACGATGTTTTGGGATGACTGTTCCCCTGCAGACAGTCGCGGGACGTGTTACCTCTTGATCACTAAGAGCCCCACGTTGTACGCCATATACTTCGGGACGTCGCAGCGGATCCTTGCGTGGAGAGGTGGCTTGGTTTGAACATGCATGAAGCCAATGGCACGAAGTTTCATTAGTGCGCATCAGTGTGGGTGCCATAAAGAAATGACGGGGATTAAATGCAACTCTGTTGGATGTTTGGGTGTGCATGGAAAGTTCTTGTCACCGAAGCCGTAGGAAGCCAGCTTTCCAGGATCAACGCATACAATCCAGTTAAATGATGTATTTGGGCGTGAAACCCTAAACACAGTGAAAGCTGTACCACCAATTACACAGCAGTCCCTTCATACAATTTGACACAAACACGACACTATGCTAACGCGGTAGCTGAAGAGGGTGAGTATGACTTTTCTCCATAGAAATACCTTGCTTATATACGTAGTATTTCAAGTAAACGCGAAACCCAACTATTTGTCGAATAATACGTCCATCAAAGCGTTGGGCCATAGTTCTTGTCGCGGAAGCAATCATTGTATGAGCTTATATGAAAGTAAGAAGAGCAGCTTGAAGAAGTACACCCACGTCTGAAAGGATTTGTTGCTAAATGTCAGGGACTGCGAATGAAGATTAACGTATCAATGCATGCAGTCTATGCTATCTTGTGGTTTCTTGTTAATGTATCGCCAAAGTATGCTTGAGCAGAAATGGTCAGTGCAATGAAACGCCGGAAAGCTCTGTCGAAAGTCATGGCAAAGGTCATTGTGTTCCAGTCAGGCATTCTTGCTGGCTGTCCATGTCAGAGCCGTACTAAGACAATGACTTCTGATCCAGTTAAAACTTCGGAACAGTTGCTTCTGACTTTTCGATAGGGGACCAATGTAAAGTTGCAGAGGATGCAATCTGGCCATCATCCAAAGATCCTCTGGTGTGAGGGCCATCACCGACATTCCTGCATACACATCATCCCACAATAGAGAGCCCAAAACGCGAACAGTCCCATCGAAATCAGAATCTGTATTGCCGCGATCCTCCGAGCGGGCGGGCTGTGCTTCTGTAAGCAGAACGAAGCCACCGGTGTTCCCGGGTTCCAGGAAATCAACGCCGCCATTCAGATACGACTCGATTGAAGAATCGTCAGCAACGAGGAACATCGACGGGGCGAGTCCGTTGATCCAAGCTGATGATTTGCGATAGGTCTCGAAATGCCTAAACATGTGTCAGCCAATAGAGGTTATTTGCCAGGGAAAGTGCACCCTTACCGTCGAGCTGCCTCCACATCTCCATCCGGAATCCCTAACTCCTGTCCATCAAGCCAGCGCATCCTACAGAGTCTCTTGATCCACAGAGCGCCAGTCGAACCGTGTTCCCATGGTTGCACATCCTTTTTGAATGCATCAAGGAAGTTTTTCCATTGTTCCGGGCTGTGTCGGTAGGATAAGCGATACCCAACAAAGCCCCATGCTTGATCAGCCCCATCATCAATCTTCGCTTTGATCTTTGCAACCCAATGCTCCATCCTCAGTGGTGCCGGCTCCCCACGGAGCTCCATCCGGGCGTCTCGGTAAGCCTCAAGCTGCTGCTGCATCGAAAACATCATGTCCGAAGGAGCGCTTGTGCCGCCTCTCCACGGGCCTGGCAGCATGGTCTGCTCCATCATCTTGACTCGGTTCAACCACCTCATTCGAAAACCATAGACCGTCTTGAGAGACTCCAGATCGTTGGGAAGGGCTGCCGTTGAGAGGGCAGTTTGCCCATTGTAGCCAGTCCAGTTGCTCCTTGGCAGGGAAGGGGAGTTGAGCGGAATCCATTCGCTCTTGAAACCATCCGTGGATATTCTACATGCAACATCAGCCTGGACTAGTATCTCTGAGATGTCCTGCATATCATCGCCAATTGCTATCTGCTCATCGCTATAGCTCGTTGGCCCCAGATCATGAGTGGCTGCGCCCATACGTGCGACGATGACCTCTTGGAGTTTCTCTACACGCTTGAGAATCCAAGCATGCGATCTGGCTGCGGCAAAATCGAAATGTGTCTTTATGTATTCATCCCAAAGAGGCATGATACGCACATGTGGCTGGTGCTCGGCTGCTTGTTTTGCGTTGAGCGCAGTCTCGAAGTGCTTGATGTGATCCCAGATTTTGTTGTACGAAGTTCGGGCCATCGATTTGAAAGGCTCCTGGTTCATGTATGTAAAGACGTTGACCACATTCGCAATATGCTGGCATGCCCTAGGGAAGTTTGCAGGGTCATCCAGTCGCTGTTGGGCCCAGCGCCGATCCGAAATGGGTACCATCCCGAGAAGAGCCCGGCTTTTCATGAAATGAGTTTCCTTATCAATCTCCCAACTCCCGAGCAGGAAATTATCCAGGCCACTCAAGATCATCAAGGAGTGATTGACAACACTTTCAGAGCGAATACTGCCTCTAAACCGTTCAGGGGCCCACTCTGAGTATGGCATCAGGAAGTAGGAAGCCTCCTCCTCTGAAGGACGGGGTTGCACGGTTTTGCGGCCATCTGCAAGTTGCCCGTCCTTCAAAAATACTGAAAAACAAAGTAACACGGACGCTGGGAAAAGAGACTCGTCTGTAAGATCCATTAGCGTCCAAAGGCCAGAAGGCGTCGGGAGGTCTGCCGAGAAGGAAACCCACAGACAAACTTGACACCGGTTGTGTCACGACCATTGACCGCAACAACGCCTTTGGCAACATTACTGTCATGGAAGTTACGACGTCTTCCGGCTCTCGGGTCCATTGCCACCACCTAGGTTGTACGGTGTAGTGATCAAGAGAATGCAATTTTGGGGGGTTTGAAGATGGGACTTCTGCCTATCAAATCTTCCAGGGGTTGGCGTGAGCCGCTAGCGTCACAGTAACTTAGGGTAATTGTGCCTAGCGCCTAAGGAGGCGGCGCAGCACTGCAGCCTGTCCTGAGAAAAGGAGGAGGGGTTGAGTTGGGACTTCGGGGTGGTGTTGAAAACACTAACGACTGGAAGTGATGAGGGAAGATGGTCGCGATACCGGACGCAGATTTCTAAGTGGGAGTGGGCGGCAGTCAAACTCGATGGAGCTGGCTGGTTGTACCCTTCGAGTGTCGTGCTCTTGATGTGCCAACGCAGTCGAGCTCGGACAATCGGCCCACTGCGTCGAGTGCCCACTAGTTGGATCATGAATGCGTGGGGTTATGCAGGAATAGAACCATTTGCGATTACCTGCCTCAGTACAGAGGTATGTAGAGCAGAAAATACTAATTAGATCCCAATTCTGCAGAGGATGGGGGCACTTAGGCATGGCTGTTAATCACTACTCACAGGCTGCCCTTGCAACTGTATTGCCATCTTGAGTGGCGTTAACTTGGTATACATCTAGCGACTGTGTGGCCGTTCTTGCACTACAGTTGCAAATGAGGGTTCAGGTTTTGGACGCTGGACAGCCAAGTTGGATTGGATGCTCGTTAATGCCACCCTCTGTAACCGACATCCATGGATGCTGGTCCAGGGTCTGCAGTTAAGTGCGGCTTTAGCGCCGATCGCGCAGGTCCAAGGACGTACGAAGTACTGGTACGCACTAAAGCAAGCGAGACTGGGTCACAGCAGTAGACTACGACATCGGAAACCGTTCCAGTGGCTGGTACTGGTATGATGAGAGTCAAATCGAGTCGGTGATCCTCGTCCCTAGCATGGACTATAGTGACTTCTCCCGCGAAATCTCCTCGATAAGCTGCCTCCTCCCGGCTTGGCATCCTCCCTTAAGGCTCAGCTCATGGCAACCCAGGCTCGACAAACGGCAATGTGTTCCATGGCTGGGTCAAGTTGCCCATTCTACGCAAGCGAGTCGCATGTGAACCATCAAAGCAGATGCGAAAGCAATTTGCAGACTACAAGCCGCGGCCGGCGTGGAGAAACTTCTGTCGAACCTCAGCCGCGGACACCATACTTCCTCCAGCCAGAGGATTAGGCTGGCACTGGCTTCCATCCCAACCGCAGCAGCTACGAGCTTAAAGCGACAAGCGTAGAAACTATACATTTGTTTGATTTCTTCAACCCGGACAGATAGATCCTAGGTGATGGTGCTCGAATACCATAAGGGCAAGCAAAACCCGCGCCTGACATATATTCACTCGCTCTCCAACGACCGAACTCGGCTTGCACAGGCCAGAGTCCCATCATGCCTAGTGAATGTTTGCCCTTCGAATATAACGTCGTCGTCTTGAGCAGACCTCTCCTATGAATCCAAAGGGGAACGCGGTCTGATTCAATGCTACCCCCGTGGTCCCATTGCTCATATGACCCTTGAGGGAGTTGAACGTCTGTCAGAGCTCCTGACAAGACTGCAGCCATATCTTCTCGGGCTAGCAATGTCACAAAACGGGCGAATGATCAAATACTAGGCATTAGTCGTCTTTACAGAACAGGATCTGCGGCCGGATGATACCTTTCAGATGGGTTATACACTCCAATCAATGGATACGTAGTATGTGATTTCACTGTTAGGTCCCTATTTATTGCAGTTTTCTTGTAACCAGAACCAATATCGATTAACAAGTTACCATGACTTCCATCCCGAGCACTAAATGGTTTCAAGGACGTCGGCATGGTGTAACTGCATCTCAGTACAGGCGGATTACCCAAAGACAAAGGCAAATAAATAGAAACCGCCGCCCATATACAGTAGTTCTCCATATTCAGTGATGCATCATTAAAGCTACCAAGGGGGTAAGCACCGCGGTGATACCAGCACCAATGCCAGCGACTTGTACGCCTATTTGGAAACTGTTCATCGTGACGCCAACAGCAGTACCAACAAGGCACCATGCAAATAGGGTGGTGATAAATGCAATCATAACCACAACTTTCTTCAAGACGTATTGGAGTATGAGCCCTTTTCCTTCTGGGGAACCCAATATCAGATGTGGGTAAAGCTCAACAAAAGGTCGGCCCCCGCGAAGGAGCTGAGGGCGGCGTCGGGCTGATGTCAGCTCCGTAGAGGGCGAGGAATCGGATACAAGGACTTCGCTCATTGTAGCTGCATAATCGGCTAGGCGAACCTAACCGAACGTTCAGTAACAACCTCACAGAAGCGATACTTGTCCGACAGACATACCTCTGATAATGCCCCAATACTGAGTACCTCTTTGAAAAAGAGTTTGCCAAACATTCCCATCGACTTTGCGGGGCTGGCCTTGAAGTCATCGGACTTGAGGAATATGTTAAGCTGGTTGAACACCTGCTCTCCATCCTGGGTCTGGTCAATGGGAAGTAGCGATAACCAAGTGGTGCCACTTGTGCCAGGAGCTACGAAGAGAACCATATGTTGCTCCTGGTTCTCGGATTGGTCGCCAACGAGCGGGAATCCAGGCTCCATAACTTAACGCAAATGCGGAACTAGAAGCGCGAAATGATTTGTCGAAGATAAATAAGGCAAGCAAGGCAATTTAAGAAAGAACGACGTGTTGAGAATGGTGTGCGGAATATAGGCTGCGGCTGGATATATATGGGGGGTCCTTCACCAGAATCGCGGTCACCAAGACCAAGGTGGACTCGGAATGCCCTTTGGCTGGATTCACATCAATTGGTCTACACTCTCAAAGATTTTGACCTTGATCATGGTGAACCAACAATAAGCGTGGTTGCACGTTCCTTTCTGTCCAACGAAGCGTAGTCTCATACAAATATTGTTCATGGTCTTTTTATTTTCACCAATATCGTGCTTTGGTCTTGCTGTCCGTTGTCTGTGATTTGTCATGTCGACACGCGGCCATATGACCGAGTACTGCATTCTTTCCCTAAACGACTACCATATAGACTCGTGGGCCCTCGGTGTTTTCTCCCGCCTATTGTCAAGACCAGCACTGGCTGGATCAATGCTCCTTAAGATCGAATGGCTTATCCTAGGTTTGGGGGGTCTCCGTCGCATTGCCCGGGAGGCCTGAGCCTGCAATGCAAGAAATGATTAAGGCGAATAATTAAAGAGTGTCGTGAGAACAAGAGTATCCATCCCGTTACACCCATGATGGTTTGAGATCCTCCTCGACATACAAGCAGGTGCGCAGCGGGTCAAGATCTATTACTATTGCACCACATTCGTAACGGCGCAGCATAATTGAAACCTACAGTTGGGGGACTACCGTTTACACGAGCCCCGCGAAAGGATCCAGCCACAGTTCCAGTCTCGCAAATCATATAGCACCACGGAGTACTGCGGGGCAGCATTTCACCGAAGTCACGGTGAAAGAAGCTGCACATTGATTCTCAAGTTTGGAAGCCACCGAGTGACTTGTTTGTGACCGCGATCCCAAGCACAATCCTCTTGCGTTGAATTCCCTAACTCTCAATTCAGATGATACAGCACCTGATCTGACGACATAGGACAGCGCTCTGCGCTTTCCAAGGTTGAATACCCTCGGACATGAACGCCGGCTCCAGGTAAGTAGTCCCCAAATCCGATCCCGACAGTGCATCTGCACAGAAACCACCTCAATGGCTGGGGTTCCATTGCAGCGAGAGTACTCATACTGATCGACGGGGAATTAGAAGCAACAAGGCCGGCAGCTCACCGATGCTGGCTAGTTACCTCGAGAGCTCACCGACTGTGACAGAACGTATCGCAAACGCAAAAGGCTCCGATAAACACTCCAGTAGTCAGCACAACGTAATTGCAGCACGAATGGACATCTGCAATCGAGTATTGAGTGGAAAAAAGAAAAAATGAGCAAGCGGCAGCACAGTACAGGGAGTGAGAGTTCTGAGGAAGCTCAAGCGACTGCAATATTTGACACCCCAGAAGGAGATCTATTCGGGCATTACAAGAGCTATATGGAATCAGAAGACAACTGGCCGGAGGAAAAGAAAAAGAATTTGGCATGTCCATTCTACATACTTGAGCCCCATCTGTACCGTGGGATCAGAAACTCAGCATGTCAAGGATGGGGATTCGATGGCATTCCACGCCTCCGGTTGGTCCACCACAAGCTTTACATCAAACTGGACAAAGGCCACTTTATGAGCTAACAAGACTAGCGACCACGTCGATAACCATGCCCGCCACATACCTGACACAAATAATTCAAACCATACAGGCTCAAGAAGGGGTTCCAAGAGAGCTCAAGACGGGATCCCGCGATTCTCCGGCAAGAAACGCGTAGCTGTGTGGTGGCAGACAAGAAGTGACAGGAAAAGACACGCGAAGAAAACAGACCAGGAAGAATGGTGGGCGATTGCAAGGCTCGTCCTCGGAGCTGTAACGCCCAACCCGCTACCTGCCGACGGTATGAACCACCTTTGGTCTCCGGAATAGTCTGCAGTTATTAATCTGTTCGTTCAGTACACCTTGCAATGTACAGCGGCTTCTATGAACGACAAAGGTTTCATTCGTATGTAGAGTCACGTCGTCCAACCGAGATCGGGACGTACACAGCTGAAGAGGTAGAGATGATGAATAGGGACAGGTTTGACGACGGTACGGAATACAACCGCGCGGAGGATAAACCTGACTCGGCGTACGTGTCACATATGGGAAGGTCGGACAGTTTATTTGATCAGGATGGCTTGTGGTACCGAGACAACCCCCACCTCGATATTTGACGACGACTAGTCGGAGGAAAACGGGTTTGTTGAGGGAGCTGGAAGCAGCGTCAATGAGGACAACGTGATATAAGAGCCATGGTGTGTGAAATATAAACCTTTGATGAACACTAAAGTAGCGTGGAGGTAGTAATGGGGCTCAATCAATTTGTTACTAGATAAGACTTCTAGTCACCCGAATCAGGGGAGTTGAACTATATCTTGCTTTGCAGCCGCCCTGGTAGAAACGATACTGGTTGGTCGCCTGAGGTCTAGCAACCTGTTCGACACAGTCAAGACACCGACATGGAAAATTATAGATTATCTTATAATCATACATAAAAATGGGAACTTCATACTGAACTAGTGCCTAGTTACCCAGCCCCGTCTGAAGCTTTCTGTCAGCCATTTTCCCACGTCCAAACGAGACATTTTGTTGGCTGCTGTCCCGGCGTAGAACCAGGGGTCCGTCAATTCCTTGGCCTTCTTGTCGAAGAAACCCAGACGATCCTTGAAGCAAGTCGTTGCGCCCTCTCTGTCAATGATCGTATATTTCTTGTGGCTGGGAGAGAAGACATTGTCTTGGTACTGATGGTCCGCACCACCCCAACGGACGTTCTTGTAGTCGATTTCCAAATTTTTGGCCTTGCCCTCCTTGGGATCGCCTCCCATAAGCTCGTTCGTGATCTCGAAATCTTTGCAATAGTCCATGAAGTACATCAGGCTGGCAAGGACCTCGGGGTGTTCGTTGAAGTACGACATCCCGTGCTGGCGACTTTCGTCAGCCTTGACGAATCCGAGCTTGAGACCCTCGGAGAAGCTGTAGTCGAACGTAGTTTCGTCCTGAAATTTACCCCATTTATAGCAGACAGATGTGATGTCCCAATCGAATGGCATCACACCGTGCTCAACTGCAATACGACTCTTCTTGTAGCCATTGTGCCAGTACACAACCGTACAAATCTTCCGCTCGCCGGGCTTTGGATCGAAGTTGTTGAACAGCGCATTGTTGATAGTGAGAGGCTTGTATTGCTGGATGTGATCTGCAAACTTGTCGATTATACTTTGGTCTTTGATCTCATACGAACCCCATCGAATATCTTCAACGCAGCCTGGCCTAATCAAAACAATTAGTCTATGCTGTTAGCAAAATGGAGTGGTCGATAACATACATGGTCGCTGTCTGTGTACTCAAATTTGCTGCGGGAAGAGGCGTGTAACTTGCAAGTCATGAGTTGCATTGGCCTTTAAATGTATAATTCTGGGAATGGCAACGCCGCACACTCAGCTGGTCGCATGGCCCGAGTGGGTGGGTGGAGACTGTCTGGAGTGGTCTCGACGAAGCCGGCCCATGGCAGGTAGACGGGACGAGAGGGCTGAAGCTCATGTGGCTTGTCCATATTTTGCGTCGTCTGAACCCCGACCGCTGACAACAGCGGGAACATTCAATAGTTGTCGCTAGTCGTGAACCGGTTTGGCAAGCTGAAAGACGTTGTGGGTCCGTCAAGCCATTGGACGTTTGGATGTGGCGTTCCCGCTCCGTGGCCGGAAGCCCAATAGACCTTCCTTTTCAAGTGCACCGCATATCCTTGATAGGTCTTGTGAAATAGGGTGAGCATTCTCTGGCCCACATGTTTTTGAAATAAAATCTCTGGAAATATCGACGATGGTAGGGATAATTTTGGAATTCGGTATGCACATAGTATCATGATCATCAAGAGAAGCCACAGAAATTGCCTAGTTCAGTCCGACGTTACCGACATACGAATAGAATAATAACAGCTTCTATGAACGTGCACACCCCGCTCCACAGCGAGCTTGGGTTCCTATAGTGCACACGGGGAATCTGCTGATGGGAAAATCCTAATTACCAGGTTAAACACCTTCGGAGTGACAGGCTACTTCTTCACATGGCAACACAACCTAATAAAAGGAGAGGAACCGGCACCGCGGAATGTATGCTCACCAAACGAGCCCTATATGAAGCCTGCATGTCTCACGTGTGAGCTTGTGAACCTACGATCGTAATTAACAATCAATCGTCAATCATCAACCGAGAATTTGGCCAGCTACCCATAGCAAGTGACGGAGCCGGCCGGGCACGCACTTCACAACGGGTGGGTTTAGTTCTCCACACGGCCGTTGTATTCGTGGGGTGTGGGCCACCCCTCATCTTTCGTACCCCACCGGAACACACGCATTAGCCAGTCCATAACAATTAGCCTGACTGTGGCCAACACGATGTGGTGGAACAATAACTTGTCTGTACTCTTCACCTGGGACGATGTCGAAAAACTCAGATCACGCTGTACCTACAACCGCATCGGCTCTCTCTCCAAGCGGAGACAATTGTGGCAACAGCATACCAGGCCAACCCCATATCGTGCAGTCATCCTTAAGAGGGGTTCAGACCAATGACCAGGAGAAACCCGGCCTTCCATTCTCAAAGGCGAGGTGCATTGCTCTAGTTATCACTGTGACCGGTGCCAGCTTTCTCAATGTATGTCGCCACAGGTTTCTTGCGGGACTTGGCTTACCAGAGGTAGACTCTTTCCGCGCAAGCCGTTATCATCATCCTGCCAACAATTGGACACGACCTTGACATCCCCGATAGTAGACTGCAATGGGTCGTCTCTGCTTACTCTCTCACCTTCGGTTGCTTCCTTCTGTTATGGGGGCGCATAGCTGATATATTCGGCAAGCGACTGATATTCGTGCTGGGCAGCGGGTTCGTCGCTGTCACGATGATCGCCAACCCCTTCCTGAGAGACGAAATTGCGTTCGATCTCTTCAGGGGCCTGCAGGGCATCGTAGGTTCTCACGTCTTAGCACGCATTAGTCAGTTGTACCATCTAACGAGCCATTCAGGGTGCAGCGGCAAATGTGCCTACAGCCATCGGACTACTCGGATCCCTATTTCCCCCTGGGAAGGCCAAGAACTATGCCTTTAGCACGTATGCCGCCGGTGCTCCCTTGGGTTCTATCTTCGGAAATCTCTTAGGTGGGATTATTGCATCTTATGCCAGCTGGAAATGGGTCTTTGGTGTCAACGCAGCTCTAGCTATTGCTGTCACAGCAGCAGGGGTATTCCTGATACCCCCTCCGCTGCAGAAGGAGACCACAGAGAAAGAATTCAAGTCTCTAGTTGGCTCCGTCGACTGGTTTGGGGGCATTGTGATAACATCCGCGATCTTGGCTCTCCTCTTCGGATTAACGGAAGGTAATGTCGTCGGATGGAGTACCGTGTGGATTTACCTCCTCATTGTTATATCACTTCTGCTGATTGGCATCTTTGTTGCGTGGCAATGGTACCAGGAAACGCACACCTCACGCCCACCCTTAATGAAGGTCTCACTATTTAAGAACAAGCTGTTCAGTGTGGCAATGGTGATCATGGCAATCTTCTTCGCTACTTTCAACGACTTCCTGATCTACGCGACCTACTTCTACCAAGATTTTCAAGATATTGGGCCGCTGCAGACAACTCTCCGGTTTCTGCCAACTGGTATCACGGGCATTATCGTGGCCTTCATCGTATCGCGTCTCATTTCTAAGGTTCCTACCTACATGATGCTGATGCTGGGTAATTTTGCCGTTGCGCTAGCTTGTCTCCTGTTCGCCATTCCGATACCAGCAGACACTTCTTACTTTGCCTACGGGTTGATCGCAATGATACTGTCGGTGGTGGGTGCTGACATTACCTGGCCGTGTCTAACATTATTCGTCTCAGAATCCGTTCCAAGAGAAGACCAAGCAATAGGCGGAGCATTGATCAATGCTTGTGGTCAGGTTGGTCGAGCGATTGGCTTGGCTATCACTACAGCAGTTCAAACAGCCGTCATGGCTCAGGCACGAGGTACTCCGGTTGAAAAATCTGGAAAGGTCGAACCGTGGGACACACCCTCGCTCTTGGGAATGCGCGCGGCACAGTGGCTGAACTTTACTCTAGCACTTCTGGGTGTTGGTATTGTTGGGCTTGCTTTCAGAGGAACCGGAATAGTCGGCAAAGTTGTACAGGAGCCAGGGCGTACGGGTGGCAAAGAAGGGGTTATGAATGAAGAGAGGGTTGGTAAAGAATGAGTAGATCTTGAATCCACGTGTCTTTTGACTGAGATGCATAAGCCTTCGGGTTCTCAACGGTTGAGCTATTGCTTTCGCGTATTCAATGCAAGAGCTATGTCTCAGATGCAGAACATTGGCGAATGATAGAATCAATCTAAACCGACGAAATAGACGGATACGTCGCTCTACTTAACAAGAATTTGTCACAATCATCATTGGCGTTTCCTCCCCAATTTGTCTGCTTCTCTGCCCTTTTCAACATACGTAATTCCCACTCCAGGGGCCATATGATGTATTGTAGTCCATGGAAAAGCTCGAATCTGCTAACCGATTGGCCCCTCTAATAGAACCAGTGGCTGTGAGACTTGTCGTGATATGCATTTGGGGGGGAAGTTTAGTTTAGCCCAGGAACTCTCGGAATTGGGATCTCAGGTATCATATTTATGTATTACATGTTTGTGGGTCACCTCAAGGTATACCCAGACCCGAGGCCACAGTTTCGAGTACACGTATAGAGCCAATCGGAATTTTTAGTAGACTAATTTAGGCAGGAGGGGAATAAACGCCTATTGCCCGTTGCCGAATCGAGTTACATTAATGTCAACTTTGAGTAGGCTGGCGACGCCCAGTCTTGGGTAAGATATGATTGTTGTAGACCTGGGATGATGTTAGGCGGGTCCAGTTTTACCCATAAAAATGCTCTTGATGCAGTCCCGAATTTTTGAACATATCACGATCAAGAGCTCCACACATATTGGATTGTCAAAACTTAAATTATTGCTGATTAAGAGAAATGGGGTATCAAAACCCCGACAGTCCACATATACACATGTTGCCTATACACACCGACGACTTGCTTGCACGGGCCGATCAAGCAGACCAGCACCGTCCAAGCCCATCAGCCGATTTCTCTATACCCGTTTCTGAACCCGAGCTAAGATCATAGTGGGATGTCATTATACACGACCATTGACGCTAGCATCTATCGTCAGTAAGTCTCAATTTAAGTCGTACAGGAGTGTTGTACAGAATTTCAGCAACGTACCCGAGTCAAGGGAGTTCAGTAGCCATTTATTCGTCAACACCAGTGGGGGTCTGGCACAGGACACCGAGGTCCAGAATGGGGAGTACACAGCAGCGTGCGCGCTGGCCGATGGCGGAGCAGACGGCGCTGAAGTTGGTCGCATCAGTAGGGACCTCCGGAGGGTTGGCGCAGTCCAAGTCGGCAATGCCAGAGACATCAGTGGCACAGCATTGCGAGGTGCCGTAGAGACCCGAACAAGGGACATAGGCCTGACGCTCCATGACGCTAGGGGCGGCCATGGCGGTGGCCGAGAAGAGAGCGGCGGCGATGGTGAGGAACTGCATTTTGATGATGTAGATGGACGGAGGTAGATGTGAGTTTGTTTAAGGTTGAAGAATGAAGTTTTTGGAATGTTTGTTGCTGTTGCAGTTGTAGATGGATCTCCTAATTTCAACGTGGAGGTAGAGGAGGTCTTTATATGTATGGAACCCGTCACTGTATGTCATGGCTTCGGGCGAAGGTTTCTCGTTTACGAACATAGGGCCCTGGAAATGATTATGACGAAAACTCGCCCTCAACGCGTCGTATTGTCACTGATTAGACAGCATGGTTACCACGGCCTTGATCCTGGTAACGCTCAACCTTGTTGGAGATTTGATGGGACCATGCAGATATGCCCGATCACAAGTTGTAGGGGTATCGAAACTGTACCCTGGCATGTCGATCTCTTACCAGGAACCTGATGTGTATGTGTGAACTTGCAGGGAGCTACTTGACCAAAGAGAACCTTCGGCAAGAGGAGGCGTTAGGCCGAGGTGAATGTTGTCCAATTGTGCCAGCGTAACAACTACTACTCCAAGCCACATGTCAAGTTCACGGCGGTTGGGACGGCAGCATATCGAAGGGGCTGAAGGGGAAAGCATTGTTGCTGCATGACGGCTCTGGTAGCGCAACCTTGGAATTACACGCCAAAGGCTACCGATGTCTGGTCATCGACGACATAGAAAGTGGAGGAGCGAATCGCGGTGCGGACCTGGCTCGGAGTATGGACAAGGGTCCGATAAAACGGCAAGTTGATGAAATCCGCAACGGGTAACGATGTGCACCTGCAGGGGAACCGGTCGAACGACAGAAGCCGAGACCACCAAACCATCGGGAGAGGTGGACGGCAGGGCCGGTAGCTTGTTGCATTGACCCGCATAGGAGGCCCCTCTGAGGAGATCGCGATGGCAAAATGACAGAATGTGCGTTGCTTCGTGTTGAAAATAGCAACCGTGAAAATCATACCAAATCGCATGCCACCCTGGGCGGCTGGGATCTGTTAAGGCGAGACAGTGTCTCAGCTGGGCTTGCACCACGGGTAGAATGAGGCTCTTCCTGTCGAGATATCACACTATAGATCTCGTGCATACTATCCGATATAACGGCCTGCAGAAAGGGGCAGCTACAGGCTTCTGTGTACGTACCTGTATGCAGGTGTTCATCTGGAAGATGAGGCCCATTTCCCCAGTTTATGCCATCCGCACAGAATCGTGGCGGTGTTCAGAAATGCCCCGAACGGGTCGGCAAGACTTCCCCTTCTGAATCCCCACTCCCAGGCTAGAGCTTCTGAAACTCATAGGGCCTAGGCGCATCCACATGGCCACTGGCCTGGCAAGGCTTGCGGGCTGATCGTCATCCCAATTCACAGAGCTCCAATTTTGCAGGGGTACGTCAGGCCAAACAAAATCGCCGCACAGGGCGAGGTTCAGGAACCGAAAACAGGGAAACGTAGCGATCGTCGATATACTGCCCGTAGAGGAATAGCGAGATTGCAGAAAGGTCCAGACGGGACCCACCGCGCACAGCGAATGTCCTGATGAACGGCAGGCCGACGCGTTCACGATGCAGAATGGGGGATGGGAAAGTGTAGAGCGGCAAAGTCAATTGCGATGACTGCCGCCACCTGATCTTAGAGCCGTTGAGCTTTGCGTGCGGATAGGGCCTGAGGGCATGGTGCACACTGGGCGTCAGTAATAAGAGTGGGTACGGGTGCTAGACGAGCGCGCAACAACTATCCGTCGAAATTCCTGCGGAGCAGGCCAGAAACCTCCGCCTTGTCTGGCTGTCGAATGCTATCTATTCTCTAAGCGAGGAGGTGCTCGTGCGTACGTTGAAACCCGTGAAGCTGAGTAACCCTTTCTACACTCCTACCACTCCTCCCACTCCCAGCGTCATTCATAGGCCAAGGCTCTAGGTCCAGAGGGTGGTTTAAAACCCCAGATATTACTGCATTTATGATCGCATAGCGGAAGAGGCATTTGGTGGTTCTCGGCCGACTTCCGTGGTTGCCGACCCTTGAACGGTCAACCCTATAGCAGAAACAGGGTTCAGTGCTATCAACTACCGCGTCATCCCAATTCAGCAAGCTGATGGGAACTTGGCCCTGCCCTATGGTCTCTTTTGGATTGAACCTCCCTTGCTCCAAGCCGGGAACTTGACATACGTATATTAAAATGCAACTGCGTCAGGCCTGAGACGACATCTTGTGCGCCTTAAGTACGGAGCTACCGGTAGTCGGCCAGCTCGGCTCAGATACTCTTGGGTCATGGTGAGCAGTCACACGTCACAGAGTCGTAGAAAGAAGGAGTGCAACGCGCCGAGTTCAACGACGCTTCTGTTACTCCGCGTCACACAAGCGAATTGTCACATTGTGAGAACTCGGCGTTTTCTTCTTCTCTTCATGTGACACATCCGCAATAGTCTAGATGCACGCCGTACCTAGACGATACGACGCTGAACCACCAATTTCAACCATGGGCGATATGATTTGCTCCAGCCGTGGGTTTTCAGGAAATTGAGCCCTGCGATAGGGTTGTGCACACTGAGACTACCTTTTGGCTAGACGACGCAACTGCCCATCTGGCGTAGAGCATTGCAAGCGAGGAAGCCACAAATCTCCCATGTCCAAGCCAAGACCGTAGCCGCAACGTCTGTACACATGCTGATGGCGTCCAATGGGATGGAGTGCGCTGATGCGATGGCGTACGAACAATGCATGAAGTATGCCGCACACAATGGCGGGCGGCAATCCCTACACGGGAAGTGATCAACTTGGCACCACCCCAGCGCGCCAAGATCTCAGCACCTCCAAGTCGCATTTACACCGCTTTGGGATAAGGCTAGCCTTGACGTCAATGACGACATCCAGGTACCGCGCAACGATTTCCCGGCTCGTCTACTCGTGGTTCCGATGGAACTCAATGAGGGGAGCCAAGAACCAGTAAATGGCTTAGCAAGGCCCCAATCCGAAGATACTGTCCGCCGTTGCGCCGCACATATGCACCAAGGGTCCTGCAGCGCCCCGAGGCTGGTCCGTGAACATTATATCATAGGGGGCGAAATGGTCTCGTTGCTCCCGACTTCACGAGAGTTGGCACGTCTCTTGCTGCAGATAACCAACTATCAACCACAGGAGGCCTCTAAGTGAGAATTGCGCATCCGATTACGAATAAAGAAGCAGGGATTGTTTCTAGCGATGGCAAGTATCAAGGCACCGTCTTCTGACTGCATCGGTCTTCTTCCTACACTACACATTCGTTAGCGACCATTCCCTCCACCACGGTAACGATGCCTCTGGAGGCCTCGGGCGGCTTTCCGTAGTGTTTCATTGCAGTCGACCTGATGTCCAACCGGAGCGTGCGATCATATCAGCGAACCATTCGCCGTCTCCGCCGCGATGGTCATCCAAATGGAACGGTCGGTTTGCCTCAAGGTCGGAGATTGTAACCGGGGGATATATGAACGATAATTGAGGCCTCCGACTTGAGTCTCGCTACCATTCGAAGCGATGGCTGCCGCCATGCCCACAAGAACATTGAGCTTATTCCGGAGGCGGAAGTCGTAGGGTAGTGAACCGAGCTGTTGCACGTCACGACAGCATTTCGAAAGTTCGGCAGTAGGGCATCTGACAGGTTCTCTGCGAAATTTCGCTTAAAACATAGGTGGATGATTAGTAGAAGTTGAAGGCTTGCATACCATGCCGATTTATATTCCCAAAGCGTCAACCCTGCAACATCGAGGGTCACCCTGGATGACACTGATATTAGGAACCTCACCGCTAAAGATGTTCCTCTATAAGAATTCGAGGGAGGCTTTGCGCAACTTTCGGGTAGTTATTGAAAACTGTGATATGTATCGAAGTATGTGTCGCAGAGGCTACATCAGTATCCTTTCCAAGTTTAAAGGAGATATATTAACCAATGATGCCGGCTCGATTGTCACGTAGGAGGCCCATTGACGCCAACTCATGACACCTGTCAATTTTTCAGTGCGACTAATTTATGCCAAAGTGCAGTACGGTAGGTAAGCATCAGAGTCATTGTCCCGCCTATGGACGGAGATATTACTGCATCCTCCATGAGCAGGTCGTATGCTGTCGAACAAGGCCTTCAAAGTTGATTCTACACTGGAGAAGTAAACTCGACACTGACCGATCTGGGAAGTTACATGTTGAGTGGTACTACAAGCTGATATGTCAAGGGAGATAAGTATCTATCTACATAAGTGTCCCGGTAATTAGTGGTATAGATTTTCCGGGAAAGGTTGCGACCATATCACAATGCACCGCCTTGAGTGGATAGGCGCTGGATGTAGGTAATTTACACACGATATTCGCGAGCGAGTTCGACGATATTTATTAAAGGACCAGATCACAATTTAGGGATGGCTTGATGCTGCTGCGACTCGTCGTTGTGGGGCTGTCCCTCAACGGTGGATCAAGATGCAACGTATAATGGCTTCTACGGAGACAGACTAGCACGGGACCGCTCATCGTACAGCACACAGTATTTCGCCAAACTGAATTTTGTGAATTTGTCAGCGGTTGAACACTGGCCTAACACATGCCAGAGCACTTGCGTCGTCCGCGGGGGTAAGACATTGGATGTGGATTTCCCCCAAGCTCCGACCCGGCGCGCGGATCATTCAGAAGTCCGGCGCCACGCCGCCAGCAGTTAGTGGCTGCGTACTCCGTATGCGTGCCTGCTTTCACCGTATGCATTCGGTGGCTGCTCACTCCGTTTGGAGTTATTAAATCGCCTCTGTTCCCAAGTTCTTTTGATACAAACCGCGCCGGAGACACATCACTCTCTTTTTCCCAACCACTTCCCTGCCCACGAGGAAGCAAAGTTCTCCAAAATGGTCATTTTCAACATCGCATACACGGCGCCGATCAACCCCGCTGGCGCCGCACCCGTCCTTTCGCAACCCCAGGTTTGGGCCGGGCTAGAGCGCAAGGTTCGTCGCGCCCAGGAATTCGTGCCTGTAATCAAATCATGCGACGTAGTATCTGAGAAGCAGACCGCCAAGGGGCTTGTCGTTGTCCGCGACGTCCAGTTCACATTTGCAGGGCCCAAGGGGGGGGATGTGACGCCTATACGGGAGGTCTGTACGCACTTTGCGCCTTGCCGGATCGACTTTGAGCAGGAGAACGGTAGCTTTGTTAGCAATATCGTAAGCAAGGGTCCGGATGGCGAATTGCTCATGACGTACTCTTTCGTCTGGATCGATGAGAGCCTGCAGGAAGGTTCTCCTGAGGTGGAGAAGGTCGAAAACGAGCACTGGCAGGTGAGCGTGGCCGAAAACTTGCAACCCTAGATTCTTTATACTAACATGCTTCAGAGGGCAAAGATGGCAGTCGAGGGCAGCATCAATACCATCCGCCGCTTGGTCAAGGACAGTGTTCTTCAGTGAACATAGGGCTCAAAGCGGAGCCTCTCGGCACCGACCATAGGATTCTGTATGTGACGATAATTACGAACTTTCTTCAATCAACCAATCTGCTCGGCTAGCTCAGTTGGTTAGAGCGTCGTACTAATATCTCCCGCATCGGGAATATCAAGTTTATGCGAAGGTCCTCAGTTCAATCCTGTGGCTGAGCAACTATACTTTTTCCCGCCCACAACAATGTAGTCTGTGAAATCTGCCTGCATTTCATTGACTGTGCCACTTTCTGACAGCGCTTATTCCGAAAAAAAAAAAAAAAAAAAAAATGCATGATTGGAAGATAACAGTATCTCCATAATTAGCCAAATGCCCACGTTCATAGCTCTTGCCTACGTTGGAAGACTTTTACTACTATCCTGAGTGATGAGGAATAGGCCAATACACATCGCCTTGACTTGTGTACTAAACCAGTGTGATTTCCAACGGCAAACCGTTTCTATCGATCAAGCCTCACAGAGCATATGCTGTCGCAGTAAACAAGCATCATTGGTTGGTGGAAAGGACACCAGTTTGCCCACAGGAGGAGAAGGCCGTATCTATGGCGTTTGTATGTATATACACGAGAGTGACTTCTGTGAAAAAGAACCAACTTGGCTACAGGGAAATATCAGGATTTAGTGGTATCGTGCGTCTTCAGATCAAGCGCGGGGGTGACAGGGAACTGGCCTTGATCAAACTCCCTCGCACTGGCTGGTGTAATTGCCGCGCATGGAAAAGCAAACGTATCACACATTCACAGCTCAGTGCAGCTCCTCCCCCGCATATTCACCTTTTATTCACATCAACATCCTAGCATTGCTGCGGTGACCACCTTGTCCAAGAATCACCGAGTTCATTCAACAGACTGACGGTAGTGTCAGGCAACAATTTATTGAGGCATCGCCTCTGGAGCATTAGGAGGGCAACAATAGCCTCCGAACCCAAGTAACACATGCTCTCCTCTTGAAAACAATGTGTTTCCTACCTTTAATAAACTACAATCTAGACGGAGCAACTTGATCAAATTCTGCAGGTTCACCTGCCACTACCCAAGTATCTGCACTGTCCGCGGTTCTTACCACAGCTTTCCCAACTGACCATCCCACTTTTCACTGCCTAGGCTGCGCCGGAATACACATCACTTCAACACTGCGACTCATTCATATCATATCTAATCTCAATCACTGTCACCGCCACTATGCCTTCTAGGAAGCTTGAGAACAGTCCCTCTGATGATGGTCAGAAGGTCATCGCCCTCTGTCATCTCATCATGAGCTGTGAAAACTTTCAGGCCAACATGAGCGCACTGTGCGGTCCCTTGGGTATCGCGCAGGCAAAGAACGTGTATTTCACTTCGCTATATCCCAAATTGGCAACCTTTCATACTGACAAGTGTGCATTACAGCCCTCGCAAGATCAACTCCATCATCACCCCATTCGGTTTTGAGTTCAAGAGCGGCAAGGTCACCAAGAAGGACGATGACGGTGCTCCTCCCTCCACGCCCGTCAAAGCTGAAGAAGGCGCTATGGCTTCCCCTGCTTCTACTACCGGCAAGAAGAAGCGCGCCAATGGTGTAGCTAAGACACCTGTGAGCAAGAAGCGCAAGGCCGACAACGAGGACGAAGAAGTTGGCATCAAGGAAGAGGGTGACGAGGCTGACGAGGTCGATGATGCTGGCGACATTTGAGTTATTCTTCACAAACAATCTCCTTATGCCACTACCGTAAGATCCTCAAATTGGCGTACTTCCCCGCGAAGATACTGAGTCAAGTTCCCAGTGACCAAAGGCTGCGGCTTGCTGCCGATGAACTGCTTGCACCGCTTGACGTGAGGCGAGAATCTTGATTTGGACAAAACGACGTGCGGTTCAATTGACCACGATTTTGGTACGCTGAAGACAGCGGCGTTGGTCATGATAATTCGACAAGGCGTGCCATCGTGCTATGATAGGTAGCTACGGCAAGGTCTAACGCTTGAGCAACATAGTTTTCTACCAACGCACTCGAGTAGCATTACCTTTGCATGACCCGTGTGATCCGTTCGTATTCACCTAAGTAGCATTCTAAAGGCCGGGAGTTTTGATTAGAATAGTGGTTGCCTGCAGATTCAAGTGAGCTATTGTGAATGAGATATCTAAAACTTAAGCAAGCATTAGATCCCTCTCCGCCACGCTTGCCTCCTTTTACCGCTGCATGTTTCGATTTCGTTGAATTTGACCGTTCCCTAAGTTGAGGATGACCGTTTGACATTCGCGCATTTGGTTCGAGCATCTATCCCGACTGCCAAGCAAGCAGGTAGTCAATATAGGAATCTTACAAGGTGGCGCTCGTTATGTCCTGCGCCTGGCGTGAACATGTACAGAAGTATGGTAGGCGGAGCTTGAGTTACGAGTCAACAATGGAAGAGCCTCTTAGTAAACGTGGACCTTTACGCCTTTGATCAATGGGTGGGAGTCATTTCTTGCAAGCTGCCTCCATGACCAGACTCACTCTACCACGCGCTCTTACCTGTAAATTGTTTCGTGCATTCCAGTCCCGGTGTGTGCTTGTGACTTGTAAACGAACCGTATAACTCTGACACATATTGCCATGAATCATGGACTGTCACTGATGGACTCTTGCCGAGCAATTCCCTCATAATCCAACGCCAAGTGCAACATGGAGGCTAAGTCTAGCAACCTTCGCGATTTCCGTCAGATAAGTCTTACAGTAAAGGCATTACTCTTGATAAGCCCTTAGAGCGGCCCAATCGGGAGATGTCTCGAGATACATGCGGTTTAGAGAGAGATTTTTGCCTATTGCTCCGCCACTAGTTGTCAGAATATTGAGGATGGAAGCTCTTGTAGTTTGAAACTTCATGTCCAGAGTTTCGTCCTGTATGACCGGTAAATGTACTCCAACCGCCGTTATGTCTGGACTAACCTTTGCGAAGGATGGACGTGGGTAAATACCAGTTCTATCGTTTCAGGATGACACCGGTTGAATGTCACTGCACAGGCAGGGCTCATGGAGTGTGCTCCTCCCCCAAGACTTTGATCAAAATCACATGCTTGCCCTTCGGTGCCATGCTTGGGTTCATGCCGTAGGACTGAATTGACGCAATCATAGTTGATTTGTAATAATTCTTCACCAACGTTGTAAATTTGTTGCTTAAGTTTTTCTTGGCTAGGCCATGGTAGATAAATTCGGACAGTAAATCGAAACTGATGCGCAATGAGCGAGATCGAAGACAGTGGCCTTGGCTTATTGTTGATTGGTGCAATTGGAACCCAAAACCCCATCAAATCTCACCACCGAGCTCGGGTCACAAATGTGGACGCCAGCATGACCGCCAGTGGAATGGCGACCAACGCAGGATGAAGAGGGGGCAGGGTATGCACGTCTACTGCATCACGTGGCACCGGGGTGAAGTGAAGTCCATACCCCAACATCTCAGGTGGAGGAATATTCATTCTGCCCAATTCGCCACCCGAGCCACGGTATACACTGATCACCATAACTCATCATCCATTTTTGATTGCGGAAATGTCGAATGTAGCTCAAGGTGCAAATGCTCGCGAGCACTTCAAAGAGCACGGTTGGGTTCGTGTCCCGTCTGTTATCTCTAAGGAGCAATCCGACGAAGTTCTTCGGAAGCTCTGGAAGGTAAAAGAAACAGTCGAGGCACGGGGCGAAGACACCCACCTTGCCTTCCTAGACCCAAACCCCAGCAATGTTCGTATCTTCTATCTGATGGAACTGGATAAGATCTTCCGCGACCTTATCTTCCATCCTACTGCTCTGGATATGGCAAAAACCGTGTTGGGGGGTAACTTCATCATATCCAACTTCACGGCGAACATTGCAAGACCCGGTGCTCGGTCCATGGCTCTGCATTCGGATCAGAGTTTAGTTTTCGAGGAGCCTTGGAAGACAGTACAAGCCATGAATGTTATCTGGTAAGCACCATGCTTTGTCCCTCGGTTTATTCGGGCATGCATCAATAAGTTTGGACAACAGGTGTCTCACCGATGTTACCAAGGAAAACGGCGCGACACTATATATACCGGGCTCGAACAAGATCGTGACTCGCGACGAGGTGCCGAAGAATGCCCCGGAACTTTTAGTTCCATTCGAAGCCAAAGCTGGCGACATCATTGCCATGGACGGTCGTGTCTGGCATACAAGCGGCTCGAATGTCACGAAGGACGAAGACCGTGCGCTCCTCTTTGGTTACTACACCTCACCGCACATCCGTCAGCAGGTCAATTGGACGGCGAAGTTGCCCAAAGAGATCCAGGACAGTCTGGACCCGGAGCAAAAGTCGCTGCTAGGGCTAGATCCTGTTGCCAATCTTGGTCTGGCGGGCGAATTGAAATACTTGTCGGAGCAATATCCAGAATATGTCAAATAGCCAGCATCCAAGCACCATCCCTGTGTACCCATCATAGTAGCCACTGCGAGGACTGGGTGGTGCTTAACTTCAATGCTGCATTCAAATAAGTAGTTGCCACATTTGTTTTTATTCCAGGAGTGGTGATTGTGGCTTTGTAACAACTGGAGATCGTTCAAGCATGTGGCCGCTTGACGTAAGTTTTGGTGGATGCAATCCATTCGCTAAGAAAGGTTACAATTGGGATTGGAGGACTGCGGTTACTGAGGACCGATGTGGGAGGTGGATAAGCTTACCAAACGGGTAGTGGCAGTGTCTACGGAGGTCCTGGGAAAAGGTGCCGTTTTATTGACTTGTGTAACTCACATATGCCTCATCAAACCATCTTGGCCCGACGTCACGGTGCGCCTAAATAGAGGTCCAAGAAGCGCTACGGGTGCCTGAGTCTAATTGCACCATATACTGCAGAATGCATCGATACGAGTAGATGAGTTCGTGTTCAGGCGTGGATGCTAATTATTGGTCCATGCGGCTGGTAGCTTGGCATTTTGTATCACCTCTATTTGCGCCATCTTCCCAATTCCTTCGACCGGTCAGCAGAAAGCAAAATCCGCGACAAACACTTGTGAGCCAAGAGAAACACACACATGTAAGTTTTCTCGCGATGAAAGACAAAGATCCAGCCGTCGGCCAACTTGCGCGAGGTGCAAAAAAATGGTTAGCCGCATTAGGCGTCGCGAAGGAGAGCCCCCGTCATTAGGACAAAGAATTCAGCTTCACCTATCAGCCAACAGCCAACAGGTGCGAGTAAAGCACTGCCCTGCCAGAATCGTTACCGTGGACAAAGAAAGTCATCACAAATGCTTCCAACGTGACAGGATGCGCACCAACCAACAGCAGGTAAGGTATATTGAATTTTTATCGCGTTTAAAAGACGTCGCTTCTCTTGCCGACTTACCTATCATCTACGCAGTTCATTCTGAAGACAACTACGCGGCCTCTACTTGCCAAGCAAACCCCGCCGTCGTTATGTCATCAGACAGCAAACTATACATTAGTGACGCTTGTGAGGCCTTCTGGCTCGAGTATTATCCTCAGAAGTGCCCAACAGCGAAAGAACCATGGCTACCGGAACGAAAGCCACTCGACGGCCTGTGGCTGCCACCTCTCAAGATTGAAATGAAGAACTATCTATTATATGACGGTGCAACTTTCAATCCTGGGCACAAGGCCCATGCGGAGGTACTCAAAGTGATCTACGACGCAGCAAATGAGCACATTATACCAAGTTTTAAACTTGAAATGAATCTTGCCGGATCTTTAATCGGTTGTTCGGCCGACAATGACCTAGAGAGGAAGGTAATGGAGCAAAACAAAGATAAAGAGGGCAGGCAAATATTTGCCTTGCCAAGCAAGGTCCGTCTCGATCTTTGGTGTAGAGGTGCGTCAAGCTCACTGGGATGTTTTCATCTACACATAATGCTGTCACGTTGACGATATATGCTCATAACACGCAACACAGGAATTCAACAATTGAAACTAAGTCATTTCGCCTATGTGGGTGGATTTAGTCTTTGGAGCGATTTTTGGTTATTTGTTGAGTTCCTGGAAACCTGGAAGGGTGGGAAATACCGGATTCGCTTTATCCGGGTGGTTAAGATTGACAGAAAGAAGGACGGTCACAGTAAAGTCTTCGAAAGGCAACAAAATGCGCAGTTATTTGAGCCATTGTATTACAAGGATACGCCGGGAAGCGGCCAAACGTCTAAGCCTACGGAACACATTGGCATGGAGATCACAATCGCCACCAACAGCGGCGGTCAAGGGTCATGGATGGATGAGAACACTTCTGAGCCGAGAAAGTTACTGGGACATACCAACTGGGAGCCCATCAAAAGATATGGTGGGAGTGATGGGGACAGGGGTATATGGAGATGCGAACGTGTGCTCAAGAGTGGGGACACGCATAAAGTCTTTTACGTTCACGTCAAGGAAGACCCAGGCGCTGTACAATCTGTTGACGCGTGGAGTACCCTTGCCGATAAGAACGCCTCTCCGAAAAGCAAATTGGAACAACTGGGAAATGCTGGTGTCTTTGCACCAGAAATCTTTATGAAGAAAGCGGAAGAAATGAGGGCGAGTAGTAAGTGATCTCGATCAGCTATAGAGCTAGCGACCGGCACTATTTTCTCAATGGTGAGTCTGTGTGTGGGTGTGGGGTTTCGTATGCTCCTGCATCATTTGCTTCCTCCCCCGTCTCTTCTTTTTCAAGGCGGTGGTGGTTGTGGGTGGTTGTTCCTTTAAGTTGTCTCTTCAAAGTAGCTTAATACTATGGTTTCCAACCAGGTATGTGAAGGATTAGAATACCAATCGAATCAGCATTTCTCGAACACATGACAATTTCTTACGGTTCACTAACGACAACGAAATTGTTCTAAGTTCAATGTTTTCCAGCAGTCTAAGAGCGCGCACCTTAGAAGACTAATACCAGGCTACAAACTGCATCCTGGTTAGGCTAACAGACTGATAGAGCTGTGATGTCCTCACACGGTTTGCTTCCTCCTGATTCTGAAGCGCAGGGCGCGGTTTGGTGGCAGTGCACCAAATGACACGTAACCCGTGTTCGGTTTTATCTTTCCCATGTCCGTTTCGTTTACTTCGATCTCATACGCCGTGAAAAGATACGCATAGATGATAAGCATCTCCAGCTTGACCAAATGGCGCCCTGGGCACATGCGATCTCCACCGCCATATGGAATCCAAAGACCGGCCAGTCGATCCGTAGAAAATAAAGGCTTGCCAGTCTCGGACGGTACCAAGAACCTTTCTGCATCAAACTCATTAAGCGGCTTCTCAGTTGACCCTCCTGCACGAGTCCAGGCCTCTTTGTTAAAGTGCATTGAGTCCGTAGGCATCAGCACTACGTCGCCACGAGGCACCCTGTAACCGCCAACTTTGATATCCCCATGTTCTACTGTGCGGCCCATCACTATGGAAATACGGAGACGTAAAACCTCAGCATACGCTGATTCCAGCAGTGGCTGACTTGCCAAGTCAGGAATACTGTGCCACCCACCGTGGTTGCGGCAGGCAGCAACCTCATCCATCATTCGCGCATGGAGCGCTGGGTCTCTCAGAGCCTCATAGAGATACCAAAACATGGTGGGAGGTGTATTGTAGTTCAACCTTAGCTTCATTAGAATAGATTTGCGAAGCAACGAGGTAGACGTACCCGATCAGGAAGCCCCAGTCCTCGCAAGCCCGTTCATAGGGGCCGAGAGCTTGGGTGTTGTTCATATACTGCTGTCTGAACTTCTCACACTTACTTCCCCAGATAGGCTCCCAGTCAGGGTCATTTTCGTCAGTCGTGGTGTAGTCACCATTAGCGTTTGCGTATAAGTGCCATTTTTCCAGAGCAGCTCTTACGCGATCTCGAGCTTTGAACGCATTCGGAGCTAACCAACGAGGCCATCCTTTCAGAAAGATCGGAACACTCATTTTGGCAACGCAGAAATCTTCTATGAAGTTGGGGTTGAGTTCCCGGAGCTTTGAGCCCATCATGGTCTCAATGTTAGCTTCGATAATGGTAGGCTGTAGCCAGGCGAACAGGTCGGGGTACTCGACCCACTGTTCTCCAATGCCGTGTGCCTCGACGGCAGAATGTAATTTTTCCTTGAAAACTTCCACCAGCGGATCTAGATACGGGGATGCCAAGTATTTGTGGTGGGTACTGGCCTGGTGGAAGAGAATTCTGTCCTCTGGTGCCACGTTGCTGCCCTTTCGAGGTTCAGCAGCCATGCCAGAGTCATCAGCTTCATAGAAGGGCATGACTGCGTCTGGAATACCAAGAAGATATGCTTGAACCCTTTCAATGACAAACCTCGTAGATAGGAATCTCGAATTTTTGAAAACCGCCACGACATCTGGTGGGTTCACGACCACAGCCAAACGCATACTCGCGGCTTTTACAGTGAGGGGCTTTTCCCATCCATATTGTTGGCTATTCCTGGATTAGAAATCAAGAACACAGGTGGGTCCTTGGCATGATTATCTCACATCGTAACCAGAAGGAACCGGACATTATCCCATAAGAACGGGATCAGATGAAAAATGCCAGGGAACCAGTAAGGGACCACCGGAGCAACGGCCTTCTTGTTTGTTTCGACCCCGTGTGAACTCTGGAAGTTCAAAGACGAAATTATCCTTGTGATGAAAGGCAACGATATCAGCGAGATTAGGGCTATCTGTCCACCTAATGATGATGGCCAATATAGCAGGCAGCTAAGTAGAGTCATCTTCCGGCATGTTAGTAGAGAACAGTAATCTTGGGAAAGGTGTTCATCTTACGTAGGAACCACCTTTTCCGGCAGAATGCGTTTCAATTTGAGAAACACTGGCATTGCCAGTTCCCAACTCTTGGTGTTCCAAAATTGCCATCTTGTCCTTGTCCACGACCAGTGGGAAATTTGAGAGCCAGACGTAGATTAATATGTCACGAGGCGAAGGGGCGGCATGCCTTCGATACATCAGTTGCCCAGCCTAACTTGACGCTAACAGGCTTTTCGAAAGTGACACCCACTTTATCCAATCAAGGTTATAACATGCTCCTGTCCCTCAAGATAACAAGCAGCCACAGCGCAAAGACCACCCCGGCATGCATAAGGGTGCCGAAACAAGGCGATGTTAAGGTACTTGACCCAATACAGAGACATTGGAGTACTTTGGGGGTACATTTTGACTTAGTTCCCACCGACCGTGCGGGACAAGCAGGCGTAGTGGCGCTGGGTGTCCGTCTGAACTGAGGTTGCATTGCATCCCACTAAGTTACCCACCTTGAACAAGTACCCAGCTTAGGAGGTACTTTATCGCGCAGCACGTGGTGCCCCGACCCCACTAGATCCTTGCAATGCGCTGTAGAGGTACGGAGTATATCCAATTAATATGCACACTATAGCCAGTCGCAATGCGGTAGCCCTTCTCTAGTTTTGCCAGCAACCAGGTAGTCTCTTGATCTACTACGGCATTCTCCGTGAATTTGACGTGCGACAGTCCTCCCGATCACCATCAATGGGTAGGTTGAAAACCAGCTTTCCATTTTCTCACGGCTTCGATACTGTTCAGCATGATGCGTTCCTCTAAACACTCAATGTTAGATATGATAGTGGTTGGAGGTGGTATCTCCGGAATCTGTGCAGCAATTGCGGCAGCTGAGAACGGTGCATCAGTCATTGTCCTTGATCGTGCCTATGGCGGAGGCGCATCAGCTATCTCAGCAGGTGTGATCTATGCCGGGGGCGGCACGAAACAGCAAAGTAGGGCAGGTTATGGGGACGACTCTCCTGAGAACATGTATCAGTATCTTCGACATGAGGTTGGAGATGCCGTAGATGATGCAACGTTGAGGAGATTCTGTGAGGAAAGTGCTCCGAATATGGAATGGCTTGAGAGGCATGGATGCCAGTTTGACAGTACTCTCTGTCCCTATAAGACGAGCTTACCAATGTCTAAATACAATCTCTACTTCTCAGGTAACGAGAAGGCCTATCCGTTTGCCCACCTGGCAAAACCAGCACCTAGAGGCCACAAACCAGTAGGCAAGGGCTCTGGCGGGATGGGAATGACAGGCGCAGACCTTTGGCAAGCTCTATTTGACTCAGCTTCGCGACTGGGGGTAAAATTTGAGCCGGCAAGCAGGGTCACAGAGATCCTCATGGACAGTGGTGGCCGAGTGAACGGCGTCCACTACTCAACCCTCGCCAACGGGCCATGGTGGGCCGTAAGGTCCTATAAGTGGCTATCCAAGGCAGCTTTGAATTATCAAGCTACTTTTCAGCCATTGTCAAGTTTTTTAGACTGGATTGCGGAGTTTATCTTCGTAAGAGGTGCCCATGAAGAGAGATTGGGGTCTCCCACCGTTGTATTGGCTGCCGGCGGGTTTATCAGTGGGTTGCCCGCAAATCTTATGCACCACAACAGGTCGGGCCAGAGCGGTTCTTTACTAACGATGAATTTCATAGTGAACAAGGCAATGACCCAAGAATTTGCGCCGTGGGCTCGAAAAACGGCAACCCTGGGGACCGTTGGTGATGACGGAAGCGGTATTCGACTCGGCCAGTCTGTTGGCGGCAGTATCTCCCACATGGATCGCATATCAGCATGGCGGCTATTGTATCCCCCCGAAAGTCTACTGGAAGGAATCATTGTTTCCCAGAGCGGTGAAAGAATTGCAGCTGAGGACCTGTACGGTGGCTCTTTCACTGACATCATGATTGAGCGTTCAGACGGACAAGGCTTTCTGATCTTGGACTCGGTGCAATGGAAAAAGGTAAAAAAACAGATCAAGGACCAGACAAAATCGTTGTGGCGGGTTTTTATCTCGTTCTTGGTGTTTTGGGCTCATCAGCGAGCCGCTTCTCTTGAAGATCTTTCTCGAAAGCTCAGAGTCAAGGGTCACGTTCTGGAGGAAACGGTGAAAGACTACAATGCAGCAATAATAGAAGAAACAGGGGATCCGATGAGAAAGCTGAATCATAGATCAGTGATAGCAACTGGACCATTCTATGGTATCGACGTATCCCTGCGGAGTTCTGGATTGTTAATGGTTCCAGCACTGACATTAGGAGGTCTTCGCGTCGACGGCAGATCAGGGCTAGTGCTAAACAGAGCTGATCAAATGATCCAAGGTCTTTATGCAGTTGGGAGAAATGCGGTTGGTATTTGCTCAAATAGTTACATATCTGGTCTTTCTATAGCTGATTGTGTATTTTCGGGAAGGAGAGCTGGCCAGCATGTATCGCAGTTCTGCAAGAATGCTCCCAATTCTCGATAAAATTAGACTAGAGAAGCAAAGACTGTTCTAAGGTGGAAAATACATGATTTTTGAGCCTTTAAAAGTTACAACTCAAAGTTTCCTTGGTGCGAGTTGTACCAACATATCCTCGCCCAATTTTGGTGACATGAGCCCAGGAACCGGCTTCGTCAGATCCGCTTCCATCATCTTCTGCCCATCTACCAACTTGATATCATACCTGTGCAGGACCATAGCGGTGAAGAGCAGAACAGCCCGCTTGGCAATATGTCGGCCTGGACAAGCAGTACTTCCACCACCGAAGGGCCTAAAGCTATTGCCCTGTGATAGCTTGGGCTTTTTCAAGAACCTTTCATGATGGAACTGCTCGACATCCTCACCAAACACGGCTTCGTTCATATGGAGTTGGCGATATGGGACCATGAGTCGGTTACCCCGACGAAGCGTCTTACCTCCGATGATCGTGTCAGCTGTAATGTAGCGTACGGACGCCGCGAAAGCAGACAATCGAAGCATCTCGGTCCACATTGCATCCAGTTGTGGCACTGAAGCATGTAGGTACTCGAAGTCCACGTTTCCATTAGGCTTGAACGCAGGTGCTGTTTCCTCTCGGACTATTGAGACCAACGAAGGTGTCTGAATGATATAGGCCAACAACCAAAACGCAGCCTTGCGGCTATTCGTGTTGATTCTAGCCAGGTCAGTACAGGAGACTGCACGAGATGAAACGCTTGCTTACGCCCAGTAGATCGTCATAATAGCGATCGCTTTGTCTTCGTCTGACAAGTGCAGATAGTTCATTTCCTCCTCTGAAGCATTGACGAACCATGCAGCGCCCTCCCTTCTCTCGTGCGGTATCTCTAGGTATTTCTTGAATGCCTGAAGTATTCGATCCCGTGATGCCCGCATTTTCTTGGCGAGGAAATAAGGGTACTGATAGATGACCTGATAGCTTAACTCATCAAAAATGATGAAGTCATCGGTTAAATTGGGATCCAAATCAGCGAGTCTAGGCCCGAAGTAAGCATCTTGTCCAGCCTTAGCAAAATAATCCGAACACCATTGAACAAGTGGAACAATGGTGATGTCTGACGACTTTCGGATAGCGTACGAGGCTTTCCTCAGCTCGCTATTTTCGAGTTGATCGTAGAAAAATCTGTAAAACCGATCTTCAAGAAAATTTAGATTTTCCCCCGGAAACAGCTGGTGGATGTGCATCTCTCGGAACAGTATGCCTAGAGGCTTTTCTTTAGGATTGGGATATCCTTTCTTGTCCTTTGAGAGCGGCTTGAACATTTCCTTTACAGCAGACTTGGAGTTTCCCAGAATTTGCATCATCATTTGAACAAACTCCTCATATGAGAGCGTATCGTTGTTCCGATAGACTTCGCCCACGTCTTCAGCTTTAGTGAGAACATAAGTCTTCATTCCAAGAATCGTCAACGCGAATGGCTCTCTAACATTGCCAAAATAGGTTCTTAGGTCGTGTTAGCCAATTTTACATGAAAAGCGAATCGTAAAACCTCATCCCTACCTCGCTCGAGTCATTAAGACATCTGCATTGCTGAAGAATTCAATTAAATGACCTGATCAACAGATAAATTTAGTAGATGGACACCATTGCTAGGATGCTGTGAAGCAGAAATGCATACCCAAAACTATGACCAGGATCAGTAATGCCCCCGATTAGAAGAAAATAACTCGGTTTGGGCTGATCTTTCACTCACATGGAGTCCAATAAGGTAGCTCTTTTGGTTCGTTGGGGTAGAGGAGCGGAACAATGGTGAATCTATAGAGCCGCCAAAGTAGCAGGGTAGAGGCACATAACATCGCCACTCTCAAATATTCATGATATTCACTGCCTTTCTCGGGAAAAGGCCAGGTTCCCATCTTGGAGACGAGCTCATTCAATAAAGTGGTCCCCATCGCCCTATTCAAAGATGAACAGTTCCTACGGTGAGAATTCCGACTCTCTGCGTTGAGTTCGAACGGTGCGCGCAATTGCTTTGGGTGTATCTGGAGTTGATGAGTGGCAATCACAGTGGTTCAATCCAGCGGCTGGTATCAAGGCAACTGTCCTCGACTGGCAATCAACTATTGACCTTGTCTAGTCGCTACAGAACGTGGGACCTCTTCTCCTCGGACCTGTTCTCCTCCCCCTACACGCCCCACATATCTACAAATGAAAGTAGCTCCGATAAGACGGAACTGACAGGGTCCGCCGTATCCATCAAACGCTTTGACACATATCACCGTGCATACCAACCCCCGCGGCATGAGTGTTGACCAGGTTTAAATATGGTAGCACATGCTGCACCTCTGTACGGCCAGTCCGACTATTCGGATGTTACTAATGCGCAATGTGGAGCATTATTTAGTGGGCTGCCACGTAAATTGCCTTACCTAGTATACCAAGCCAACAAGGTACATCATTTGATCCCTTGATACCCGCATGCGGACTCTCTGCTCGCCTAAGGCGGCTATGGTACGCCCGGCATCACTTCTCCTTTAGGATGTGTGCTGGTTATTAGGTGGCAACAAATGTCTCCTACCTTTGCGTGTGGTCGAGAGAAGCGGTATTGATGTTGTTTTATGGCGGCCACGTGAATATCGTCTGGAACTAGAGGGGCCCCTGTCAGAGCTCCTATCGGCGTGGGTTACGCTTCATGTCAGTCCAGAACTTTTGTGCTTTGTGACTTGATAATTGTGCATGTGATGATACACAGTATTCGAATCCCTACCATGATCTGTTGGTGAGATGCCATAATCGAGTCCCATTGATCATATGATTTCTTGATACACAGTGCCTCATCACTTGTAAGGCGGCTGAAGTTTAGACTCAAAACCAACGTATGTTGATTCACCTCGAGACGCTATGCCCAAGCAAAAATTAACCACTGTCATTTTAAAACAGTTTGCCTTCAAGCTTTCTCGATGTTACCGAGCACTTTAATTCTGGGGGTCGCCATATGTGGCCTCTTCATTTGCATCAAGTTCTTGGTCGAGGGAACTTTGACAACCACAGTAGGTCTTAGATCTGAGGCGTCTAAGAAGCAGGACTCCATGACTCACTTTGCCTATCAGATTCACTATTTGAAGAACCGCTTCAAAGGGCTTTCGTATCTCTTTCATGGACCCGAGGTTATTGAGAAAGCTTATGCTCAGGTAAGAACCAGTCTTGCCTTGCAATATTTCGCCACGTCTTCTTCCTGACTCTCCCCCAAAGGCCAATGGAAGACCATTCCTAGTTGCAACGCCCTCAAATAACCATGTTCTTGTAACCACAAACGAGTTGATGAGGGAAATCGCAGATGCATCGCCTGCATCTCTGTCGCTTCACGCTGTGGCTAAAGAGGTTTGTCACATGTCACCAATGTCGCTGAAAATGGCAAGTATTTGAGCTGACTTAATATTTGGTCTGAAAGTTACTGCAGCCCAAGCACACCATGCACGGCTTCGAGTGGCAGAACCAGCGAGGTCTTGAGGGGACTGGATTCGTCAGGGCACTCCGCAGTCTTCTTACTTCTCACCTGGCTTACTTTCAGCCAAGCATTGATAGCATCATAAGAACCTGCCTTCGTGAAGAATTGAGCACCCCAGGGGGAAATGGTCAGCACATATCCGAGGTGCTGTCATATGTCTGATGACTTGCTGACATGCACTTCAGGGTTCACGCAAGTTCATATATTCCCAATGATGAAACGTATCGTAACGAGAGTGAACTGCTTCATTTTCTTTGGCGAAGAACTAAGTCAGTTTTGGGGTACGAAATGACTACAATGAAACGAGACTCACAATTAATCGACAGGCCAAAAAGCGGAGTTCACAGCAGCTGCTTTGGAATTTCCGCAATCAGTCATCTTTGCTGCTGAGATTCTGAGGATTACTCCGAGCTTCCTCCGCTCGTAAGTGGTATCTCTATACGGGCGTTCACAAATGCATAGGCTAAGAGAACTATGAAGCATCGTGGCATCACTCGCAACAGGGAAGCATCGTGCGGCAAAGACCCTGTTCAGACATCTCGAGCCCATCGTCAAAGAGCGTATGGCTAAGAGGGCGAACCCAGACCTAAATCGAAACTCGCCCCTACCTGTAAGATAATTTCAATAACATCATATACTCGGACAAACCGCCATGTTCACACCGACTTCTCAGGTCGATTGTACACAATGGCTTATAGACACGTCGCCACGGAAGAATCCATGGTCACCAGCTCGAATGATTGGCGAAATCATAGCGGTGTGGTTTAGTACCGTCCATCAGCTCTCTATGGTGAGACACACCCGTACATGATACTAGATGTTGACGTCTCCGATGAAAGTGGCTAACTGGTTGTGTATGAATCTTGGCTTAGACGGCGACGTACCTTATCGAGGACCTCTGCTTACATGAGGAATACCTAGCGCCGCTGAAGGAGGAGTTGAGGCAGCACGTCGCAACTTCTTCCAAAGCATCAATCGACATTGAACGCTTGCCTTTACTTGACAGCTTCATTAAAGAATCAATACGCTGTACTAATGCTGACGCCGGTAAGTACCTTTGGTCCACGATTTTCTGCGTGTTCTCTCATACGCAATGGCCAACTTGGCTGAAACGTGTCACAGTCAGCTGTCGCCGCAAAGCATTGGTGGATTACGTTCTGGATGATGGAACAAGAGTCGCAAGGGGTGACTGGGTGTGTATACCCCAGCGTGCCATGATGCACGACCCTAATAGGTTCTCTCGACCGCATGAGTTCGATGGATTCCGTTTTGCAAGGGCCAACGCTTCGCTTCGCGCAGGGAACCACTCAGCCGAAGTCCCTGACAACAGTCCTGCGAGTCTGACAACAGCGAACCATGATTGGCCAATCTGGGGTTTGGGTATTGCAGCATGGTAAGTGACGCGCAGCAAATATTCCCTGCATCCCCCTCCCATGAAACCATGCAGGATGAAGGAATTTCTGACTCGTGTCCCTGAGTACTGACTAAGCATGCAAAGCCCTGGCAGGTTTTACGCCTCGCTAGTGTTGAAGTTGATAGTTGTGCAAGTTTTGGATGAGTGGGAGTGCAAGTTACCTGACAAGGATGGCCCACGAAGCATGGTTTGGAGATCGAGCGTCGTACCACGCAATGACACGAGAGTACTGTTTCGTAGGCAAAGTGAGAGACACCTTGAGGCGTCGTAGTAGGATAGTTCACCCCTAAAGTGTTGTATCTTGGTAGCTTGTGGAGTTGCTAAAAGGACCACATGTTCCAAAGTCCCAGATCGCTATCAAGGTAGCAAAACCCACACTCATTATAATCAAGTCGCTACATAAACGCTCCAATCAGGTGCCTGTAACTGCGGCCTATAACCCTAGTAGAGGATTCGGTGTACAATCTCGGTGCATGAGAACTCGCACAGGCTTTTACAGGGGGTCGCCCGAATATGCAAATCACTTCAAGGCGCCAGGTGCAAAGACTCAGATAAGAAGCTCGCAATACATGCAGGGATTTCTCGGGAGGGATCTCGGCAATCTGTGCGTCGTGTCAGCGACAGCCGTGACGCAGTAACGTAGGTACTATGGCACTAGGTACCGTGGGGCTTGCGGGGCTAAGCAGCATATTAGGTGGGTCGAGTCGCCCTAGATAGGGCCATTGGTCCGCCTCATATGCATCATGTGCCGTGGTGGTGGGCAGGAGGCTTGTTCTTATTGGTTTCTCAACGCTAGCTCCCGTCCGGGTTGTCAACATCGACTGCGACTCTTGTCAGCATATTTGTGGTGCTTCATCCATTGATCGACGCATATTGCCCACGATAGAGGTATCGATAGAGTAAGTTTACTCCATGCGTAGCCGAATGGAGACCAAATCCGTTGCCATGCTGAAGGTTTGGGTTATGTACAGGCGCTGTGTATATTGTCGAGGCACAAATTATAGTGCATAATCTTGTACGTTGTGCCATGCACGTTCGATACCACTTCGATCCTATTGGGAAAATGAATGTCACTCAAAGTCATATTCCTGCCATTCACTTTTCTCTACCGCGGCAAGCGTGGCCACCATCAGACAAGTATGGTGTCAGCTTTTGTGCTTCACTGCAACCATGATGGCGTGTCAGAGATAGTTACGTAGCCTATATCTGTCGAGGGTAACAGCTTAACTACCACAATGATTTAAGCTAGATATTTGATCCCACCTCTGATACCTTCGCAAGGTCAACGTTGATTGAACTTGAGCTTACAGTAACTGAGGAATGAATAACACCAGAACGGGCACTGCAGAATGGATCCCTCAGCCGGGAACATGGACCTTTGCCTCCTGCCGTTGCAGCAGCCACCTGCTGGACAGGTGTCCAACTTCACGAATCCGAGCAACCTCGTTGTCCCAACGATAGCGATCAGCACCATCTTCACAGGACTATGTTTGGCATTTCTGGCAGGAAGGTTCGCTCAGAACTGGATGAAAATGAGAACTCCAGACTGTATGTCGCTGTTTGTTGAAACAATACTCACCTAGTCTACCGAGGCTACCAGGAGTTTGCGAATTGGCGCTAATCATCCTGCAGACTTGGCCATCGTAGGCTTCGTACTTAGTACCAGTTATACTGGAGTCGTCATTGCCAGTAAGTGATGACATTAAGATCAATGGAGCCAATCAAAGTTGACTTTGTCAAAAGTGCGCAACTTTGCTCGCCATTCTTGGGACGTGCCAATGTGTTGGTACCTGTCAGATTACTCGTGGCAGGTGAGAATCACTTCCGAACTCACGGCCTCTGTGCAATTACTCACGACGCAATCAGTTGCTCTTTGCCTCCAATATGTTGTTAGGCCCAACTCAATTCGTTGTCAAAGTGGCAATCTTGCTTCTCTATTTCCAAATATTCGCTGTAACGACCCGGACAAAGGTGTCTATCATATTAGCCTGCGTATTCTCCGGGTTAATCTATCTCGTCCATCCCATAATGGTCGTCGTATTCGAAGCTCCTCGAATTGGACAGACATGGTCTGAACCAGCACTCAGTGGCATGGCCGCGAAGCTGACATATTATGCCCCCCTTCATGGCATTGGCTCCGTCATTCTGGATATCTGGATCCTTCTCATACCAATTCCAGCCATCATAAAGCTTCAAGTGTCTGCCAAAAAGAAGGTGCAGCTTCTTGTTGTTTTCGTGACGGGGTTTCTGTAAGCCGAATAACGCATTGGATGAATGGTTCATTAAGCTAATTGAGGCTAGTGGGGTGATTTCGAGTATTATCTCTTGCTATTGGCGCTTTAGGCTTCTACTTGATAAGCCAGGTGACAGCTCGTGGTACCAAGGTCAACTTTTCATCTGGATGTAAGTCGTTATCTGATTTTTTAATGAAAACGTCACAGTTGCATAAGATCATAACTGCTAATGGGGTTTCCAACAGAATCATCGAACACAATGTGGCGGTCATGGTGGGATCCATGCCAGCATTCGCCGGCATGATCAAAGCTCATGTTTCTGGCTCCTTTGCTTCATTGAGATCTAGGATGTATGGACGTAGCAGTGGAGTGGGACATTCGGGCCAGGGAAGCCTACCCGCATCTTCAAAATCTCCAAGCAGTTTCGGCAGTGGTACGCCATATGGGGCACCCAAATCACACGCTTACTACTATGAGCTCAGCGAATCGATAACACACCCATCTCCGATATATGTTGGAAGCACGTCATGCAACGAGCTCTTACCCCGCGACGAAGAGCAGGGGATATTTCGAAGCACTAACTTTGAGCAGCAGTCTTTACATAAATCCTCAGACCGCTGTTCGATTGAAGGTCGTTCGAGGGGTTCGCGGGGCCAGGTGTGAACACATGGGACATTCACATCGGTGATTTCATAAATTTTTGTCAGATGATGAGCAAAATAATTTAGAACCAGGAGTTTCAATCGAATGTTTTACAAATGAAGACATCTAGATGCAAGTAAAACGAATGATGGGTAGAGCATAGCTGACGATACTGCACTTGGTTCGTCGAACTTAGAGTCCGGCGTGTCAACGTGGATCTATTTGCTAAAGAAACCCAGACAATATTCGTACCTTCATACCTAGCTATCTGATTGGCATGGTGCGAAAGTGATTACTCGACTGCATAGATACGTAGGATACCGAGACCGTACGAGACGTGGCCGACCAGTTGTACGATAGTACGCATCATATTGTGTAAGCAGCTCGATCTTGCCGAATGCCTTAGTTTGACAGTATCAAAGATAGTAGTAGTATCTTGACTCCCAGAAGTGTCTGTTCGCGCCTCTCTCGAATTCCAAATCTAGAAGTGCCCGAGCCGTCCGTCTCAATCCTGTCCCAAAGCAGACCCATGAGCAAAGACTAAATCTCCTGCGGACACCGCGTTATGCAGTTGCTAACCTGACTCATTGCAAGATATACATGTCACAAAGTCAGTAGTACCCCATCGATACCTCGCAATCTCAAACGAAAGCTACCGCAGTATAGCCGAGCATCATGGCAGTGAGCAGGGGGTTTGTGCATTAGCCAAAACTTAGTCGGCATGCGTGCCTAGTTGACGGGACATTCAAACTTAATAATCAATAGGGCTCCATACCTCTCTGTCTGAGTACTTTGAGACTACCTAGGTACCAGCATAGGTAACCATCGCCTGCGTGCGTGCTATCGGCGCGGATGCTGATAGGGTACCTAGGTGTCTGGGACAAGCCGAGATCCAAGCGAGACCAGGGGGCGAATGGCACTTAACGTCCCTGCAGAAAATACACTGGATCGGTACACTTAGGCCGTTTAAGCTCCACTAGCCCAACGGCTCGCTGAGCGGGATGTGCGGCGCTACCATTCTGTCACAACGGCCCTGCCCGCTCAATTGCAGGGATGCTGATTGGACTCTACCACCACAGTAGTCTTGCAACTCACCGACCCAATTTGTATTTGCCCACTGAGACACAAGCGACGGAGATGGTCACAACCAACTGAATGCGATACCTTGTTCAGGTCTCAGACTTTGGCTCCGCTGGGATATGATCAGGTGTCCCCACGGTTGGTAAAGGTATCCATTCTAACTACGAAATTGGATCGCCTACTTGGAACCCCACTATGTTGGTACGTCGTGCTTTGTCCGCTTCCTTGTTTTGCTCTGGTGCAGAGTGGCCATGCACGAACATGAATCATGAAACTGCCGCTGCACCCACCACCTGTTTGTGGCCGGGGCGATCGAGAGCACTCTATCTAATGCTTGCACATCGATATTTCACTATACTGTAAATACAAGGTGAATTCCGCCTTTCCCGCCATTGGCGCGAAATCCACTTGTAAGAATGATCCTGTTTTGTCTTGGTCCTCTGACCTGTTCGAACCTTGTCCGTCTTTCATAGATCTCGCAAGGGATGTCTCCCAAATCGATCCTGGTGACAGGGTGCTCGGTGGGCGGTATTGGTGCCGCCATCGCCCTCAATCTTGCCAGAGGCGGTCACAATGTCTTTGCTACAGCACGAACTACGTCCAAGATACCACCAGAGCTATCAGCTCTACCTAATGTCATAGTCGTTCAACTAGATGTTACTTCCAAGTCGTCAGTTGAGGAGGCAGCGAGAACCGTGGGTCAGAGCGGTGTTGCTGGCCTGGACGTATTGGTGAACAACGCAGGAGCAGGATATGGAATGCCGATCCTCGACATGGACGTAGAGAAAGCCCAGAAACTTTACGATGTCAACGTCTGGGGGCCTGTACGGTGTGTACAAGCTTTCTCCAGCCTTCTAATCAAAAGTCAAGGCCGCATCGTAAATATAAGCACGGTTGGTGCTGTTATTAACATGCCATGGATTTGTGAGTTCACTGCACGTCGCTCCGTATCGACTTCTTGTGATCTCTTTGCCTGCTGATGGTGGTGTGCTACCATAAGCTGCCTACACATCGTCGAAAGCCGCGATTACGAACATTTCAGAGTGCTTACGGCATGAGCTCTCTCCTTTCAAGGTTACAGTCGTAACTATAATGGCGGGCATTGTAGAATCTCACTTCCACGACAACGATACCAGAACTGAACTGCCCGACAAGTCTCGATACACTTTGATCAAAGACATTATAGACGGTTGGACAAGTGGCAGGTCGAAGCCTCATGGCATGTCGGCAGATCAGTTCGCTGCCCATATAGTCGGTGATATAGTTGGTACTAACAAGGGCGGGCTCGTTTGGAAGGGACCTAATGCTGGATCTGTAAAGATTGCGCAAACATGGCTTCCCGCCTCCGTATTAGTGAGTGCCCCTCCCTTCCCATTTTCATACCAGATATATTTCTTCTATTTCCTGTCAGCTGTACATGATTGTATCAAATACTGACAGATAGTGCAACAAGGACTCAGCCATGACGAAGAACCAGGGGTTAGATAAGCTCTAACAGCTCAGGAAGGCTCAAAATCAGATGTACATAGGCCGCCACTGAGTGAGAGTGAGGTTTTTCCCCCGTCTTCTTTTATTTTTACTGCTAGTTTTACAGATAATGGACAAGTAGAAGGGGAAATGTGGTACTCTTAGTCAAGAAGCCTTCCATGATCTTGTCTTCAGGCCTGTTCTCGTTCGGCATCGTTTCGTAGCTGTTTCGGAGAGCTGTACGCCCTCTCTTATCTATTGGCTACAGTAACCTAAGCAAAGTGTAGAATTCACATGCTGATATGCCCAGCTGCGTTGGAAGCATCCTGACATGCCTGGAGAGAGTGCCCTGCATCCCGCATACTTTTTCACTGCTAAAACCCCTCGCGGCTCCCTTGCCTAAAGCAAATGCACCTGTAGCAGCCCCGATGCACGGCATTGATTATGTTCCTTCCGGCGATGCGCTATCTTGAAATTCTATGCAGTTAGGGGACAGTTCGTAGCAAATGCACTTGCATGACTGTCCGCGTGTCTAATTTCCGTATTGATTGCCTAAATCCCCACGAGGGCACAACTTCAGGGAATCAAGCTCATTTCGTGTCCATTTGATTTGGTGGGTGTAGCCAACGGCCGTCTCTCTCACATCGAATGTACGAAACTATCAGATCAATTGCATCGTGGGTAATCTTCCATCCTGTGCAAGTTCCAGTGATTCTACTTCCCAAAGACGTCTTGAGTGGATTTCTGGGCCTTCAGATCCAGCTGAGCAAGACCGTCTGTATGCCACGTGGAGCGGGCGGAGGCTGAACCCTGCATACCCGGTAATGGCCACCCAATTAGGTCAATCACATCTCCTCAACGTAGTATTGGAGACTGGTTGCTGCATGATCGGGTAGCATCGAGCTCAGCTCATTCCAGCAGTTCAGTGGGGTATAAAGTTCCAATATATTTATATTGCCAATCGGTGGCAGCACTTTCCCACCGTTTTTTAACCACGCCTGTCTGCACTCGAACCAGCAACGACCAGCATGCCGGGTTTCCTCTAAGGCCTTCAAGATGTTGCGCAACTTTTCCGTTCTAGGACTCCTTTGCGTCGTCACAAGCGGTGCCGCGAGAGGATCATGTGCTAATTGCGTAGGTTGAGGTGCAAGTCCATTGTTATTATGAATGGGGCTAATATGACTGGAAAGTGTGCAAAGCTTGCCTCGTCGCTGCCGGGCAAGGTGTTTTCTCCTGATAGCGCTGCATACGAAGCCTCTCTAGCTTCGTATTGGGCTTTGCAGGAACAGCTCATCACGCCATCATGCATCGTGTCTCCAACGACTGCGATCGACGTCTCGACAGCCCTGAAGATTATAGTGCCCGACTCATGCAAGTTTGCCGTACGCGGTGGAGGTCATGGGACTGCAGTGGGAGTTGCCAACATAGAGGACGGCATCACAATAGACCTTAGAGGCATCGACACCATTGTGCTGAGTGAAGATAAGGAGCAAGTGGCTGTTGGGGGAGCTGCGACACTGGGGGATGTCTACACTTATTTAGCTCAGTACGGAGTTTCGATTCCAGGCGCGCGCGCTGCTGGAATAGGTGTTGGAGGATCAACTCTGGGTGGTGAGTACTTGAGCTCTGCTTACGAAAGAGAACTGAGCTGATTATATCTGGCCAGGCGGATTCGGATACTTCGCGCCCAGTCAAGGACTCGCTGCCGACTCCGTGGCTGAATACGAAGTCGTCCTGGCCAACGGCGACATCATCACAGCAAACCAACAGAGCAACAGCGATCTGTGGAGGGCGCTAAAGGGTGGGGGCAGCAATTTCGGGATCGTCACCAAATTGACGTTCAATACGTTTCCTCTGGGAGAGGTTTGGGCCGGCGATGTTTTCTTCTCGGTATCAAACGAGACCGTGCAAAGTACGGCAACGGCCTTATACAACTTCGCGTCAAATCCCGACTACGATGAAAATGCCAGCGTCTTCGTGCTATACGCTTATCAGAACGCGCCGGTCGTACTGGTAGAGTATACCTACACTGCACCTGTTGTAGATGCTCCTGTCTTCGACGAGTTCGAAGCTGTGCCTGGTCAGCTTCTGAATACTACAGCCGTGACTACAATCCCTACGCTGAGTGCAAGCTCTCAAGCCCAATCTCCCAGTGGTTTCGAGTAAGATTAACACTATTAGCTTCTTTTCGGTCCAATCTAATATTTGTCGCAGGCAAATCACATTCGCGATGACGTTTGTGAACGATGAGCAAATGATCCTCGAGGCCTATAACATTATGATCGCTGCAAGTTCCAAGCTCACTGGAGTAGCAGGCGCGGCGATAGGTTTGACACTGCGGCCGATTGTCCCCTCGATGATACGCCCCGACGATGTGCTCGGCCTCGAGGTGCCTGCCCAAGGCTTGATCCAAACCATCGGATCCGTCCAATTCAACCTAACTGCAGATTATTCACTCATGAACAACGTGGCAGACCAGATGCTGAGCGATCTTGAGGCAGCGGCCAAGAGGCTCGGCGTGTACAATCGATACATCGACATGAATCATGCTAAAACAGAGCAAAAGGTCTTGGAGGGTTATGGGTCTCGGAACTATGAGTTGTTGAAGGCAGCCGCTGGAAAGTATGATCCTAAAGGGGTCTTCCAGAATTTGATGCCGGGAGGCTTCAAGTTGTGAGACCATTTCGTCGTGGCTCTCAAAGAATAGTGCCCAAAGATACTCCTTGGCATTGAGACCACTTAATACACTGCTACAGGCTGTGGGTTGAGTTCTACATTTTGGCACCGTTCGACTCCTCGGATCATTGAGTAGAATCATAGCCATGCATATCCGCTTATTTCTTTTATTAGACAGACCCTAATATAATCCTTTCTATTCCGTTATAGTAGCACGTATCCATCAAGTAGTGCCATGTAAAAGTCATAAATGAAGCTCAGTTGACGCAGGACCTTAACGTGGATTGTTGTCCTTTCTCTCTACGCAGATGGTACAAGCATATCATCAAATCACATTTACAAATATCTCTTGGTCTGGGTTTTGGCGGGCACAAACTCTTGTGCTGTCCTAAACCTAGATGGGCGGACTGTTCCAGTGGTCAAACTAGGTTGCAGGTGTTTATAAGGACGAAAGAAATCCCGACTAGACAGTTCGCTGCTGCGAATGGACATCTCTAGAGCGTCAATCCAATTTAGCTCTACGACCATGCACTTGGTATGACATGTACCCTTACCAGATTGCTAGATCAAGATCGAAATACAGAGCTGCCATGACACATATCACTCCACTATGCTGCCTTTTCCATTATAGAAACTCTGAAGACGTGCTTATTAGCATGTCCGGGACTCTCAATTTCAAAAATTAGACAGCTAAACCCAAAGGCCCCCCTCACGAAAGATTGAACACAGATCTGCTCCAGGAAAGGAACCATTTATGTTGTTTCACAGATCATGTGACCTTCGCGTACTCCAGCGCGTCACAACTGACCTACCAATACTAAGTAGCAGCTAGACTCGCCGGAACGCCGGATGGCTACACGCTTATATGTGAGTTAAAGGAGTGCCCAATCTCTCAAGCCTGCCCAAAGCGGTAAGCCATTTGGGCTCCAAGTTGCGGCACAGCACGGCCTATTCCGATGTACGGTTCTTTCTGCGCTGGGCCGTGGAGTCGGTGGGTTTAGACGTAAGCACTTGCTGCGGCGGATCAGCAGTGCTCTAGCCTACTGTAGAACGGGCATCCTGGATGTAGCCAATCGCACCGAGAGACATTCATAATAATGCCCCACGACCCCCAAAGTCCTACAGGTCCAATTCCACCTTGGGGCCACACAGTGTTCATAGGATTCAATGATGGGCGGATGCTGCGTCTGCTTCGTAGCTGGTCATACCGCCCTTACGGACTCACTGAATAGAGCAGAGATAAGAATTAGGGCCCTCGAGCCAGATCCAAGTTCACCATTTGCTGATCAGTGAAGGCGTGACAAATCGTTTCAGGTGTCATAACTGTATTCTGCGTCTTTCTACGCGTCATTACATTCTATTCTGGCCTCGCCGCAGTAGCGAGAGGCCATATGGTATCTCGGGGGCATCACACTCTTCTCCACACTCGCAGGATATCGAAGTACAACTAGTTGCACGCGTCCGTCATGCCAATGACAAAAAGTCATAGAAAAAAAAAGATGAAATATAGAAGGTCCCTTGGTTTTCAAGTCCCCCCGAAAACGCCAAATCCCAGATAGAAAATGCACACAGCCCCTGACACTACCTATGTCCTGTGGGTGGCTGAGGGCTGTGTGGACTTTGCACGCCGTGGGTCCCGTAGGTAGAGTCCGCCGGTAATTCATTCTGCGACTGGTACGTAGTAGGCATTTCCTGAGGGACCGGGGCCATACCTCCAGGCAGTTCCGCGGCGAAATTCTGTTGGGGGTAGCCCTGTTGCACGTAGTCGTGCTGAGGATATGCCTGGGCCTGCTGAGGAGGCGGATATCCCGTCCCTCCGTACGGCGCCTGCTGAGCAAACTGCGGGTTGTATACGGACGCATGCTGCTGTTGCGGGCTGTACATGGTCGACTCGGTCATGTTGGGCGAGGTCGGGTTCTTGACGGGCTCGTAGTAGCCGTGCTGCGTTGCGGCGCCGCTGACGGATCCATTGTAGGTTCCCGGCTCGGAGGCCGCTGCGCTCGCCTTGCCCGCCGCTCGACGTCTCCGTATGAAGAAGAACGCAAGCGCACCGAGTCCAGCCGCTCCGGCAAGTCCGATGCCAACACCGATTCCAGCCTGGGCGCCCGTACTGAGCGAGCCGGAGGACGATGAAGCGGCATCTGTCGACGTGGATGCAGGGGCAGCCACGCTGGCGGAGGCGCTCGCCTCTGCGGGAGTCAAGGCCTTCCAAGCGCCTGACCATGACGTCTTCCAGTCGTTATCGCTCGCACTGATAGACTTGTCGTTGCTGTTGATGGTAACGACGGCGGCAGACGGGATGTTCGGACCAGGAGCTTGCGCGAGCCACCATGTCTTGCTCTCCCAGTTGGCTCCAACGAAGGCGTCCTGAAGGAAGGCACGGCCCAATGTGTATTGATTCGCAGCGCCGGTGAAACAAGGGAAATATTGGGTTTTAGATGATACCAGTGGCGCGTCGAGGGTGAGGTTGAGGTGGCGAAAGGGTACCGCAATGGTGACTTTTTCCGTGTTGGTAGTTCCAGTGAAGGTAAACTGCAGGGCTGAGGCAGAGTTGACGATCTTGGAGTACTTCGTATCGTCAGTATTCCACGTATAAAGCCCAAGCTTCTCATTCAGGGTGACGGGAAGGTGTGCTGTGATGGCCTTGCATGTGGATGATGGCAATGACAGGTACGGAGAGCATCCGTCGATACGGGTCTTGAGTCCCCCGGTCATGGACGAATTCCCCTCAGCCAACAGTCCAGTCCTCGACGTGCCAAAATCCCACGGCGATGATCCATCAATGACATTGATGGATATATCATTCAAGGTAAGCTCGCTGCTGATATCTCCGGTCCCACCCAGTGTTAGAACTTCTCCCACGATGCGGTTCTTATCATAGCCACCAAAGTAGAGCGACCCGGCCATTGATGGATTGGCGGATCCAATGTGCATACTGAACGAGTTGGACGGTATCTTGTTGTGCGACGCTAGGTATCCCGGAATAAGACTGGCGTTGATAGGTGCGTCTCCTCCCGTCGAGAAACTTTGGTTTACCTGCCCTGGTGCGCCTACGCCCAAGCAACCTACACTCAGGGGTTGCCACGAACCGTCGGGATATGTCGCGAAAGCTTCGCCGATCAGGGCCATCGAGACGTTCGGTACCGTGAAGCCCGACCCAGCCTGAAGATCGATATTGTCGATCCAGGACGTTGAGCTTTCGCCATCCACGAGCAGACCAGCCACTACCGAATACGTTAGAGAAGGGCTCTACCAAGGCTTGCTGCTGCTGTATATATCGAAGGGGGGATACTTACTATAGTCCGGCCCTGGCGAGAACTGGATTTTCCCGGTTGACCCCGTGTTATCCAGAGCAGACTGTGCTTTGTCGTATACTCCCGCTTGGCTCGCATAACATGGCAAGGTGTTGTTGTATGAGCAGTACTTGCTCGTCAATAGAAAACTCTGGTATTCGTGCCCCGGGTACATGGCAATGGTCTGATCGTCCCCGACTTTCACTTCCACCGCCGGCCAAGGACCGTCCGGTCCAAATGTTTGTGATGACCATTTTGCAGCAATCGGGTCAGTTGCCGCCTGAGCCGAAGCAAGGAGGGAGATATATGAAAGTAGCGACAGCGGCAATGTCGAGGAACGGGCCATGATGGCGACCATCGTGCCGTACGGAAGGTATACACCTGAGGATGGGATGTTTTACCGCAACAGAAACTAGCAAGACAGGAAATAGGAAAGAGAGAAAGGACTTCAGACGGCTCAATGTGCTCCAGAAGAAGGAAGGAGATGCTCAAAATAGTTGCCCAAGAGGATCCAGCAGAGCGGGCTTTGGTCCCACCATTACACAGTGAAGACCCTAGTCTGCAGAAAACGTCCCATGCCAACTGATGAACAGTCTCGAGATTTGCAAGGCTGGGGGGGGGGGGCGAGGTAGTTCCGGACTAGGCTATGGACATAGGGCATTAGACTGTCAGCGCTTACTATGTAGACTAGTGAACATGCTATGATATACGATCCACCTCGCCCTATCAGTGCTCACGCGAGCAGACGAGACGAGCTGCTGTGCCGTCGTTAGGTCGCCAGGGGCCAAGCGATAACGCTTTGGGGGAGATGAGGCAGTCAGTCCCCGGGGGCAGTGAGGCGCACTTCCACACAGGACTTTCGCACGGCTTGGCACGGCTTCATCGCATGTTGAAGGATCCAAATGCCTGGGCTGCTAGCACCAATGTGGACAAGGCTTATTTCGATGGCCCGCGCCCCTGTCCCTGCTCGTCTGCAACGTGTAGCATGTCGAAAAAAATACTCCCGTCTGTTATCAACAGAGGAGCCTCAAGGTGGACAGTCCCAATCGTACTTGTTTTTGCAGGTACTTGCGAAGTAGGAAACAGACGGCACTGGCACTCAGGCTAAAACGGTCTCAAATAGGTTAATAATGATTACCTGGACTATCGTAAGGATTCGACAGTCGGAAGACATGGCCGTGCGATTTGTTGCTTTTGCCTGGACGAACACAGAGAAGAGGAAGGCTGGTCGCACACGCGCTGGTTCGGTTAGCCGGTGTTTGGGGGGGCTATTTTTGGACGTTTTGGGGCGAAGCGGACGAAATTACAGGCTGATCGTTGCTGGATGATGACACCAGGCGGCCGTTGTCCAGGGGCATCCGCTGAGCCCCACAAGGCCTAGCTGCTTAGTTACCGTGGTACGGCGGTCCTTAAGTTAAGTAGTGTGTGTCTCCTCGGGCTGATTATGGGGGTTTGGGGGAACGGCTTCTGGCCTCTGGCATCTGTGTTGTGGCTACACAGTGACGTGAATGGCTATTGACCGTGCAGGCTTTTAATATATCTGTGGCAAGTTCACAGGACTCGAACTTGTGCCTTGAGCGGGTGAAGGTATGCAGAAGAACTCAGACGATTGCCACGAGTACTATGGTATTCTGCCTTGTTCGTAGAGTATGTAAACGATCCAATGAGAGAGCTCACGGCCAGCTGCGAGTCCTCAATCTGTTGCATATCTGGTGCGAAGGATCAGGCTCTAGCCGAATACTGCAAGCCAGATTGTGGCGACGATCATCCTTCAGTTTGAGGCTCTGAGCACCGGGCCACCGGGCGGCGGGGAACATGTTGACAGCATAGGGCACGGGTCGGTTAGTATACCGTAGATGGGGAACAAAGGCTTCCAGGTTGTCGTTGTTGGAGAGGTACATTGCACCTGTGCCCAGCGCCCAGCGAGCCGGTAACTTTTAAGGGTATGCCGGGCTGGCGGGTAAGTAGGTTGGAGCCTCTGCCTTTTTCGCTGTTGGAGTACCAATGAGTTGGTACGCGCTGCCCGGGACCTGCCGTGGCCGGCCAGCCACCTGCAGCCAGCCAGCAGCCCACGGAAGACATGCGACGCTACGTGACCCCCCTTGGCCCCATTCTGTAGCAAAAACGGAAGGGGACCTAACTACGTAGGTAGTTACCACAGTAAGTTGGCTTGACCACTAAGGTTCGTGACCAAAGCGGTGCAGTCCACTAAAGATTGCTTGTTAGGCGGTGGCTGGCGCGTAGCGGGTGCGCAGCAAGGCCAGCAGTGCTTTTTTGGTTCTGTAGCGAAGCTCAACCTCAGCCTCGAGCCAGGCCTTTGTCCGCCGTTCCATTGGCACTGGATCCGGCTGGGGGAGAGGGGGGCCATTGGGGCCTTGGGGCCTTGAGGCCTTGGGACGGCAGGGGTGTCGTCAGTCAGCACCAGCAGGCATCTCCGATGTATGTCAACTCACCTCAGCCCTCATTTCGATCATCGCGACACCTTGCATCATCCCTAATCCCGAGTTAAACCTGCCCGCTCTCGATCTCCAGGCGCTCCACCACTGCTCATCCGCGGCCTCCTGTCCCCATCCTCCAGAAAAGGGTCGTGCTTTTGCGCAGGGCCTGCGAATTGATCTCTCCCGAATCCGAAGGATCACGGCATTTACCCGCCCTGCGCGCATCAGACCGGGCTGCCGACCGTCACACACACGCTCACACACATACGTGCCCTCACCTTCCTGCGGTCACAAACCCCGGCGTCGGCATACACAAGATGGCTTCATTCTGGACCTCGTTACATCGGTACAGCCCGCTGCAGAATGGCGAGTCCTCCAACGGCGCCGCCTCGACAGATACCTCCCTCAGCAAACCTAGTATCGGCCAGATCCTCATGTCGAAACGGGTGCGCTACACGGCAACTGCCCTGGCTGCCCTGGGACTCTTTGCCCTCGCCTTTAGGAACTACGACTCCTTACCGTCCCTCGAGACTCTGCGAGCTGGCGCTGGCGCGGGCGTAGCTCCCTCGAATCCCAAGTCAGACTGCCCTGTCGCCCAGACGCCCGCCGCGACCGACGACAGCCACATCAACTGGTCGAGGTTCGCCTATACCCAATATGTCACCAACCAGGCCTACCTTTGCAACTCGCTCATGATATTCGAGACCCTGTACCGCCTGGGTAGCAAGGCCGACCGTGTCATGATGTATCCCGAGAAAATGATGGATCCGGCGGCGACCGAGGCCACGACGGACGAGGGCAAGATGCTCATCAAGGCGAGGGACACCTACAAGGTGAAGCTGGTACCCGTTGCCGTTCAACGGAGATCTGGCGGTGACTGTATGTCTTACTGCGTTGTGTGTGCGAAGGACTCTCCATGCTGACATGTTTCCCACAGCTACTTGGGCCGAGTCGTTCACAAAGCTCCTGGCTTTCAACCAGACGCAGTACGACCGAGTACTGAACGTTGATTCCGATGCCACCATCCTCCAGACTATGGATGAGCTGTTCCTGTTGCCGCCGTGCCCTGTGGCCATGCCCAGGGCCTACTGGCTTTTCCCCAAGGACAAGATCCTCTCCTCGCAGCTCATGCTCGTCCAGCCGAGCGCGACCGAGTTCGACCGTGTCATCAAGAAGATGGAGAAATCCGGCAGTAACGATTACGACATGGAGATTGTGAACCAGCTCTACATCGACCAGGCCATGATCCTGCCGCATCGCCCTTACGATCTGCTCACCGGCGAGTTCCGTGGCGACAACCACGAGAACTACCTTGGTACCGACCGCGAGGAATGGGACCCTGTGGCTATCTTCAACGAAGCCAAGTTCCTGCACTTCTCCGATTGGCCCGTCCCCAAGCCTTGGATTCAGATGTCCGAGTCCGTGCGGAAGGAAAAGCAGCCAAAGTGCGTCGTCAAAGGTGGACAGGAGGACTGCTCGGCAAGGGACTTGTGGAACGGATTTTACTCCGACTTCACGCAACGCCGCTCGGTAAGTGCAGCCCTACGTCCCTTTCTCCGCATTCTGCTAACCGTCAAACAGCAAGTGTGTAACACTAGAAACAAGTCCAGGAGGTAAATACTGGGTGACTGGAAACGGCTGGCGATTTGGGTACGATATGTTCATGGCGGGCGGTGGTTTTCAAAATGTGTATATATCATGTGGCACGACCTAATAAGATACCAAGGAAGCTATGCTTTTTCACATGAACGCGATGTTTCTTCTCCGGAGCCCAGGCCTCCCCGTCGTACCCACACGGTCTTCCGAATGTTGTCTCCGTTTGATCAACCGAATAGGAACTTGAACCCGACATCGACATCACTCGCATGGCCCGTCGTGCAACACCGTGTGCTCGGGCACTTGGTTGTCGACAAAAGGCGTCTGCACCAGGACCGTCGGCTCGTTGCTCGGGAACTCGGTCCAGTGCCCCGAGATATAGCTCGTGGCCTTCATGTCGGCTGCGATGACCAGCGAGGACGCCAGCGTCCCTGGCATGAGGTACGCCTCGACGTGGGGTGGGGGGCCAGCCTCGCGGGAGTCGTCTATGACTGCGCTCAGGTTCCGCAGCTCCTCCGCCGCCGGCGCCGAGACGTGGATCATCCCGTTCAGGACCATCGAAAGTCTTTGAATTTCTACTCGTCAGCAGGGCCCGCCAGGTGTTCTTCGAGCGTCCGCGGCCAAGACAAGACCATGGTCGGAGTGCGGAAAGAGGGGCGGGGTTCTCACTGTACGGAGGGCGCCCACGCCTCCCCGATGACGGTCCGCGGCTCGATGATGGACCACGTGGCCTTGGACGTGTTGCCGATGCCGTAGTTGAGCGCTGACATGGCTTCCACCGGCGCCGTGGGCAGCTGCCAGCACTGGATGGTCGAGTACCCGTTCACGGACGCCAGGGCCGTGATGTTCAGCGGCGCGAAGTCCGTCATGGTGCGCGGCACGAGGCTCGCCAGCGCCAGGCCTTCGGATCCGAACATCGTGGGTGTCTTCGTCGATCGGATGCTAGACAGCGATGTGTTTCGATGCGGATGAGAGAGATCGCGGTGTCGCGTACGTGCGACCTTTTGTTATAATTGTTATTTCGTTTGACCGGCAGCGTCAGGGGCTACTGCATGTCTCAGTTCCATGAGACACGAACTTTCGCGATGGTGCTGACAGCGGCAAGCCACAAAGGAGCAAGGTTCGCCAAATCATCCTGCCCTCGGGCATTTGCGCAACGTTGAGCATATACTGGCATCGAATGATTTCCCTGTAGGACTCTGTCGGGTTGTTCTATTTTCATACCTTAGGATTGCAATACTCAAAAGACTCTATAGATGTCTCCGCTTCTAGCTTTACGATACGTTGTTCAATATATTATAGCAGATCATTTCTGAATAATCCCGTCAGTCACGGAACTATCCGTGCTAGCTGGTAGTTCAACTTGAGCCCTCCTACCCATCCTCTTTGATGTGAAGTTGTCTGGCTAGGGTTCCTTTACGTCTGATACGGATAGAGAGACGACTTCTATATCCACACAGCGCAAAAAGGTCTCATCAATCATGTTCGTATTATTCTATAGAAACTTGCAAGCCAAAGAGCAAAGGCAAGTATTTGACTACGTTTGTGTTCCCTGGTTAATGGCCCCCGCGTTAATTTATCCACCTTAGACTTGCTAGGTACAGTGTCAAAATACATAGCCAATCATAAACATCAGTCATAGCCAAGCCTGTGACTAATTATACACCACCAATACCCTGATTCCTTTCTGCTGCACGACTCCTATTAACCATTATTCTGGTGTTCGCGTGGAGGTTCATCAATACACTCGTAGCATCTGGGGAATACTCTTAACTCCTCACGTCGCCAACTCCCTCTATCCTTGTCGGGTAGACTTTCTTGAATGCAGTTATACAAAGAGATCATGGCTTGCAAGGCCTAATCATCCATATCACCTCTGTAGGCTGGATAAATCGTACGCCGTTTCGTCGTCGGGTCGCCGATGATCTCGCACCTGAGGTTTAGCAATGAACAACGCTTGCGTTAAGAGGGACCGTTTCTATGATTTCGATTTGTTGGCAGTAATAGACTTCTCCGGCGATAACTGCCTTGGAGTACAGTTCCCTGGCCGTACCTGCACGTCCTGACCGATAGCCATGCCGGTGTCGAAATTGAAGAATGTCGAGCCTCTAGCACCACGCAGGGAGCCAATGATGGCAGCCTTGTGCTCTTTGAACGTTATAAGGATATTCATCCTGGCAGCCTGTCCTATTCGTACATGAAACATTGAATAGTGTATTATAGTTCATCCCATGGCTAAGAACAATTATCCAGAATGGTTTCCCATTGTCTGCAAGTGCATATGCAGCCCCCTCTACACCAGGCCGTCCTGGCGCATACCTAGTACTCATCGAAATTCTAATTGATGCGGTTTCGGAATGCTGCCATCCTGAAGGCCCGACCCACGCATTGACGATTTGGCGAGACACAAATGTTGGTGACAACTTTGAGAGTCCTTGCGAGGTCTGAACAAGAAATACATGTAATGCAGCATCCATGATCGTGGGATGCACAACATCCACGCCATGATACTTTGAGTTTGAGGTACTGATGCTGGCGATAGTTCTTCCCTCGCCGTCCCATCGGAGGTCATCCAAGAGCTGGAATGACTTCCCGTAGACATATTCGTGCTCATGACAGAAGTCGTAGAAGTCGGCTGAATCAATACATGTTGTCCATGAACCTACGGCTTGCTTGTATCCATCAACCAGGCTTTCGGCGTCTAATCGACTTTCCTTTCCACCATCCAAATTATTGTCTTGGCAATCGTATTCGACATGAATCAAAGCTTTGAAGGCTTCCGTCCACTTATCGTTAGTATGACTGAATACGGATATGCCAAACCAAGTCGATTCTTTCTCATACGGCTTCTGAATGGGTCGCAGATGCAACATGGTTTCTGTCTTGCCTTCTATATCAGCATCCACCGCGATGGGACACAGGAAGCTGGCTTCCTTAATGGAATATCCGGAAATTTTGCGATTAGGCGACGCAGATTGTTTGACTGCCTCAATGGCCATGGGTAGCGCTGCTGTTGCCGGATAGATAGTCGCGTTGCCAATCTAAAATGATTAGTTTTTGGAGGGTCTTATGTGTCCTCGGGGAATGCTATGAATATAATTTTCTACCTTGTGATCAGAAAGCCACGGACCAATGGGATGTTCGCGTTAGAGACATAGGAGACTTTACTCTAGTAGGTTGTTCTTCCCCTTTCACGAGGTTTTGGTAGACCATCTAACAGCTCCAGTTCATCCACGTTGTTTCGGTGCTATACTGTGCAAACATCATAACGGTCAAATCAGCAATATTATTAGAATGGCTTCAGGTGTTTGTTCCGAAGGGCACCCGCAACGCCTTTTTCTGGGGTTGCCACGTTATGCCATGGATCAATATCCTCTTCTACGGTGCGATGATCATCGTGATCAACCTCCATTGCATCCCAATTCAACACATGTGGGACATACGAGTCGAAGGTCACTGTATGAACAATGAGCTTGTTGAGATAATATCAGCTTCAATCAATCTCGTTTCTGATCTTCTCATCTTGGCACTCCCACAGCGAGTCATTTGGAGACTTATTTTGTCTCGAAGAAGGAAATTTGGTGCCTCGATTGTTTTCACATTTGGCATTCTGTAAGTTTTCCAAGTCAGAAAATAGTTTCAACGTAACTAATGCTTATTTCGAAGGACTGCGATATCAGCCGCGTTTCGAATCAACAGTGCCATCCAAGTCATTCGATATCCAGGTACAACCTATGTCTTGTCTCCACTTATCATGTGGTCCCTTACAGAGATGACGTGTCTCTTTCTGGTGCTTTATGTCCCAGCCATACCCAAGGTGTGGAATGATGCGCCTTGGATCATCGCCATCAACAATACACTTAGATTTTGGTCAATTCTGTCTTCTTCGAAGTCATCGAATACTTCTAAAGATCCTGGGCCACCATGGTCTGCGGGAACTAATGAGAGTTTGAGCAAGGATTCTGCACATCAGGCAACACGAGACTCGCCACGAATCCCTCACAAAGATGGTCATATCTCACAAACAGAAAACGATGACACTCAACAGTGGCAGAGTAACTACAAGGGCATAGTCTTGCAAGAAGAGATTGCGAGCACTGTCGAGAGGTGGTCGCCGTCTGCCAGGAAAGAGGGAAATAGAAAGACTCATCCTTGGGCTAAAAATAGTTCTAGTCTCTCTCTGGTATCTCCAATTGAGTGTGTGCATTATCAATTATGAGCAACAACGGTGATGTTATTAACCATATATTTTATTCGTAGTCCGGATCCGGGAGTGAGTTGCATGACAGGTTCTGGCAGAACTCTTGTTTGTTCCTGAACGTGCGGGAGTGACTTAGCCAATATAATTGGCGCGACACAGTTTATACATGGCATTGTCTCCGGATCGTTTACTTCCCACTTAAGATCGTGAGAAACGGATTACTTTGTTGTGTGAAATCAGACCAAGATAGTCGTGAAATGATGGAGACAAAATGGAAGTTGTTAAGTCCTCCCGACTGTTGCCCCCCACACGTACACAGATACGCAAGGAAAGTGCCATCCCACCACGGCAGAAAGAAAGTGTTTAACATCTCTTCTACCCACGTAACAGAATCCCCCAGCCCCCAGCCCCCAGCCCCAACATCTTGGGATTGCGGAGAAATTTCAGACGGCAAGATCAAATGGGTGCGTTGCCGCACGCCCACCCGCAGGCCTGCATGTTATCACCGTTTGTCGCAGCTTGCAGCCTGGCAGCCAACAGACCAACAGCCAACAAGCAAGGACCAACAACCAAGAACCAGTAGCTAACAACCAATAGCCAAAATTAATTGACCAGCGAGTGGTGCCATTAATCCTTGTCATCCTCAGCCGCCTGCAACATACAACTTGCCTGATGATGGGTAATGGTGCTTGGAAGGGTCGGCTGCAGCCTGGATGCAAGTACCATTAGCCCCAAAGAGCCCTGGATAAGCTCTATGAGGTGTTGTCCATGGCACGCTGGTCGTAGACTTGTTCATTGCGAACCATCTTTCGTCATGGTTAACCCGAGGCACCATGACCTGACCACAGACATTGACCCCTCTTTGATTATTCCCACAGCGTAAGCTAGCTGTCCTTATCTGTGGCACAACGGTTCAACCATTTCCTTTTAGATACCATTCGATATACTTTGCGCCATTGACTTACAGATCACTACCTCTGTCGCAAAAGATCTGTTGAGGCTTGGAGCAATCTCCCCCTCGTCGCGCAACATGGGTTTGCTTCATGTCATACAGACGATTGTCTACTATGGCTTCATGTTACTGATTCCATCCGTAATATCTTTCTCAGCGACGGACCTAGATTGTACTGAAGGCTAATTCCAGTCCATATCTAGATCATCCTTACCATTAGCTACCGTGTGCTGTTTCACCCTCTCGCAAGGCATCCCGGACCATTGCTTGCTAAAGTTTCCGACATCTACGGCGGCTTTCATGCACTAAAACGAACGCTTCACATAAAAACTTGGCAAGATCACAACAATTATGGTAAGCCACAAACAAATGGTGCTGTTGTACTATTATCACTGACAATTTCATCAACTGGCCCGGTGATTCGGCAAGGTCCCAACAAAGTTGTGTTTAGCTCTATTCAAGCTGTCAACGGTAAGAGCGCCTGTGGTCTTGCCGTCTTCTTTACGATAACTTACGCAAGGGCGCGCAGATATCTATCAGAATGATGTAGTTCTCAAGTCACGTTGCTACCAAGAAGGGAACATGGATCCAACAACTACAAATGTTTTCAATGTCTTGGACCCTCAAGCTCATCGTTTGAAGCGTAGACTTGTTGGCCAGCTCGTTACAGGAGGCTCAGTACACCGCGTTGAACCGATGATAGCAGAACAAGTCGAGATCTTCGTGAAGCAGTTAGTCACGTTATGCATCATGGATTCGCCTCCTATCATTAACATGTCTCAACGGTGCAAGTACCTTGGCCTTGATATAGCAGCCTTGCTTGCTTTCGGGTACCAATTGAGGCTTCAGACTGATGACAAACACCGGTATCTGATACGAGCCATACCGCGCGGAAGTTGGATTATCAACATGTACATGCAATTTTGGTTTTTGAAAACGATAAAATTTGGCATTCCAATCTATCTTCCGGCCATCATTCGTGGCGAAGCATTTCTTCCGACTCTACGAAAGATGATCGACGCCAGACTAGGCGAGGATACGCATGCAAGAGTTGATCTGTATTCGCACTTGGCTGACGCTTTGAATGCTTCTGATAACAACAAAATCACGTTAAAGGAACTTTGGGCTGAGGCAATATTTTTCCTGCCGGCGGCTGGTGATACTAGTTCTACGGCACTAAGTTCCCTCTTTTTCTACGTGGCTCAGAACTCTGAGTGCCAAAGGAAGCTAGCAGAAGAGATTCGGACAACATTCGCGACTGGGGCCGACATTCGAGGCGGCCGCAAGCTCACAAACTGCCAATACCTCCAGGCTTGCATCAACGAAGCCCTGAGAATGTCACCTCCCGTTGCAGGGACCCTTTGGAGGGAGCAGGGCCCCGAAGCTGCGAATGAAGCATTCGTTGTTGACGGAGTTGTCATTCCCAAGGGGACACAGGTCGGAGTTAATATTTACTCTATACATCACAACCCGGAATACTTTCCAAGCCCTTTCGTATATAAGCCAGAGCGGTGGCTTGTTGACGACCCCGAAGCCAAGAAAGCAAATACAGCCGCCTTTCTGCCTTTCTCAATCGGAGCCCGCGCATGTGCTGGCAAACCTCTAGCATATTTAGAGATCGGTATGGCGATGGCAAAGACACTCTGGTATTTTGATTTCGAACTTACGCGAGATGCAGGTCCAGATGCATCACACCGGGATACTGAATTCAAGTTGAAGGATGTATTTACTTCGGACCACGATGGACCATATCTACGCTTTAGGCCGCGCGGAAGCTTGTACAGAGAGTTGGTAAATGATTAGCTTTAATACTGGACGATTAATCCTAAACTGAAGTGAATTTACAATCTTTTTATGCTCATTTAATTAGCTGTGATAGCGACGGGCTGTATGGTATAGTCAAGATAAATGTATGAATTCAATCAACTCCAAGGTTTCAAGGTTTCATATTAGCATTAATCCCTTGAAATATCTTCATTATTACAGCACGATTTAATGTATTTAGTGATTCTTATGATATGTAGGTTTTTTTTTTCTGTTTATTTAAAGGAGTGTGTCGGCTGCCTGAACTCTAGATACAATTTAGGTTGCAGTATCCTTACGACGGCCGTGAAGCTCGCATGTTGAAGATAGCCGAAACATTTTCTCATCCCGAATGCTCAAACACCAACATAATTTGGAACAACAATGAGGTAGAGGAACAGTTTTATCGAACAACATTACCATCACCATCGCTAACAGTGAATCCTTCTAAATCCTTTCGATCAGTAAATTCGCGAATAAAGCGCTTGAAGTCATTGATTCCGGTCATCCAGGCCGCCTTGCGAGCCTTCATATCGATTTCCGTAGCTGATTCTGGCTTTTTCGCAAGTTCTCCGTCAAGAGTAAAGTAGCCAGGGGTGCAGATGGTCAAGGTAGAGGCCCCCAGAGACCGCTTCTTAACCTCGGCGGTGTATCGATCTTCCCCTTCCTTTGTGGCTTCGATCACCAAGCTCTCTGCATTAGGCACGGTTCGAGAAGCTTCCGCAATGATCCCAGCAACCAGCTTCGCCGCAGTATCGAAGGCAGAAGTCATGTTGTAGGTATGCGCAGATCCTTGGAGATGGTATGCGAAGAAGTTAGGAAACTGATGAGACGCAACACCGAACAAGGTACCAAAGTCTGGGCTATTCCATTTTTCCGCAATGCTTCTACCATCTCGGCCCAGGATCTTGGAGTCCTGACGCTCAGCCGGATCGTGTGCAGCGGCGGAAACGAACCCAGTACCCATGACGAGCAGGTCAATTTCAAACTTTTCTCCATTTGCAACGAACCCGTCTTGGTCGAAACGGTCAATACCCTTTCCATCAGTGTCTATAAGAGTGACGTTGGGCCGGTTGAAGGACGCCAGGTAGTCATCGTTAAAGGTCGGCCTCTTGCACCAACTAGGGTACCAAGGCTTCAGCTTCTCAGCAGTATCCGGATCCCGCACTTCATACGCGATACGTGCTCGAACCTTCTCGGTTCGTACCGCGTCAACTCGCAAGGCTTTATCAACATGTGTTTCAACGGTTTCCGGAGTCACGATCTCAGGGTTGCCGATGAGCCCAAATCCTCCTGGGGTGTCAGTCCAACCATCGTTGACCAAATCGACATCTAAAGGGTCGTTTGTAATCATGTGGTTGAAATTGTCACTTCTCCTCTCCTGCCAACCTGTGCCGTCTGCTGTCTCCTTCCAGGACTCGAGAGTAGTCAGTCGCTGGCTGCGCTCTCCACAGTACGACGGTGTCCTTTGGACCACGTAGAGATGCTTGGCCCAGCGGGCTAAATGAGGGACTGCTTGAACGGCAGTTGCACCAGTGCCGATGATAGCAACCCGCTTGTCCTGCAAATTGACCAGATCGGGAATCTCCTGAGATCCCCCGGTGTATGCATAGTCCCAACGAGAGGTGTGGAAGACATGGTGCCGCGCACGGAAGTCTTGGAATCCGGGGGCTCTGGGAATCTTCGGCACGGCGAGAATACCGCCAGCCGAGAGCACGAATTGGGCCTTCAACGCAATGCTTGTCGGCTCCCGGTCTGTTCCCAGCTGTCTGGTCATGTCAACAGACCAGTGGGCCCCGTTGCTATCCCATTTCATCTCATTGACTTTGGTGCAGAAAAGAGCCTGGAGGTTCCATTTCTTGGCGATTCTGTCAGACTGGCCTCTGATCTCGTGTCCGAAGGAGTATTTATGCTTCGGAATGTAGCCAGTCTCTTCGAGAAGAGGAAGATACACATATCCTTCGACATCGCACATCAGCCCTGGGTAGCGATTCCAGTACCAGGTTCCACCCCAACCTCCGGCAACGTCGACGAGAAGTATGTCCTCCGATTTGAAGCCAGCGCCGATGAGACGAGAAGCGAACAGAAGCCCGTTGTGGCCACAGCCGACAATCAGAAACTTGACCCGGTCGCCATTCTTGACCGGAAGTTCCTGAGCCGCTAACGCTTCGTAATCAACCCATGGATCTTTAGCAAGATCCTGCACCAGAGGAGAGCGGGCGTCGACGAATTGATTCATGCCATCTGGGCGCATTCTCTTCTCCCGCTCTTGGGCGTACTTCTTAGCTAGATCGGGAAGCATCATCTTGAGTCCTGTGATGTCTTATTGTAAAAGCTGGTCGAGTAGGGCAAATCCTGAGAACGAAGTAGGCTTGGAGTTGGTTTGTAGGGTGAGTATAGGGCTTTCCTCTGGGACGGCCACTGCTTATATATGATTGGGCCCAGACTAGACAATCGTTGTTTACCTAGCTTCTCGGGTGAGTGCCGGGCGGTATATTGGAACTTCCTGGAAGCCGCCGGATGTGGGTAAAGCCCTGGGCCTGTTATCGTCACATACAAGTTAGGTATCAATGAGCAATTCACACAGAGGGAGTGAACCTCGTTTGCTACTTGCTAGACAGGGTTACAGCACTTCATTGCTCCTAAACAACGGCGCGATCAGGTTTCCTTGGCTGGTGTTTAGAGCGCGCGCGTCAGGACTACGACTTGGCAATCTGGAAGTAACCCACCTCTCCAGAGCTTCATACCTTCATACAGCCACAATAGCAGTTTTTGGAGACGTGTTAAGCCGAGAAAGGCTACGGCCCAGAGTCTGCAACAGGCTACGCTACGGAACAATATGTGCGTAGCGCGCGCGGATGACGGGTCGGCGCGCACAGGGGAGCTACGGCGGGAGGTTCGGAAACCTTGAAACCACCTTGCAAGACCCTCAACCAATTACTCCGATTCGCACTGCCTGAGGACCCCTGGTCCGTTCAACATGATCGTCCCTGGAAAGCGGGTTCAATTCCCGTATTCTATCTGCCGATCACCCTGGTCCTTGCTCACCCAACGGTCCCCCACTATTAGTTATGCATCTTCCTCAAAAGTCAAAAGTCGAGCGCGGGCAGCATGACGCGCGCGGAGGTGAAGACAACCACTTCTCCCTGACTTCACCTCATATGATAATATCAACTCGGCTGTAGTTACGCATGGAACAGGAACGCTGTTGACCCAATGCCGGAGCGTCTCAGCTGTTGGACTTGCCGTCTTCGTCACAAAAAGTGCGATGGCGCTTCCCCTGTGTGCCATGCTTGCGCAAACCTTCAGATCACATGCTACGCCGGTTTCAACAAGCCGGAGTGGATGGATAATGGGGCCCGTCAGAAAAGTATGGCCGCAGAGCTGAAGGCGGAAGTCCGCCAATCTGCACGAGAACGCCGCGCGCGGTCTTTTCCCAAGGCGGCGCGGCCAACATCATCGAGCCATGTCGCCCCGGCTTTCCCACACACGGCAAGCTCGACGGTACTTGGAAGTTCAACCTCAGCCGACCACTCCAGGTCCCTTTCAAGCCCTCTGGAAACTGAATCTCATCATTTGAGGATTTCTTATCATCGGGGTGACGATGTCAGAACCGGCACAATCGGCGGAGCGTCGGCTAGACTCTCAAAGGGCTCCCCGACAGACAACAGTTTTGGCACGCGGGATCTATCTCAGGACTACGACGAACTCGACTTGGTTGCCGTGATGAGGTATATGGATACCATCTTCCCCCAAATGTTCCCATATTACTGCCCGCCCACGTATAATGGCGGCCGGGACTGGCTCTTGGTTCAGGTCTTGCAAAGCCCGACACTCCTGAACATTACTTCATGTATAAGTCTGCTGTTCTACTCAGATATGACCCAGGAGCAAGAGGAACGCACAAGTAATGAGTCGATGTTGCGTAATGCGACGACCCGACACGAGCTTGGCCGAAGAGTAGAAAAGGCAATTGCGTCTCTACAGAGCGACATTCTTGCGCTGAGCAGTCCTTCGGATATACTGCCATCGCCTCAACCATCTATCAAGACTCAAGATAAGCTTTACAGTGACGCCAGACTTCTTGGGAGTATATTGCAACTATTGTGCTTTGAAGTCGGCAGTGGAAATAGTGCCAACAGTTTGTCGCACTTAGATGCGGCACTCACTCTATTCGTGCGCATATTGCACGATTATGGGACAAAAGTTGGGAACAAGGAAGCTGACCGTCCTACATTCGCCCTAGTCCTGGAGCGTATGGCGCGTCCATCACGGCAACTTAGTTTGATTGATGGAGTGTCGCCCATGAACACCGACCAGGCAGCCTTTCGCTTTTACTCCACGGTCCTTCTAATCAACGACATCTTGATTAGCAGTTCCCTTTCAAGGGCTCCTCGACTGCAAGACTACCATCTTGATTTATTGGGGATGCGCAACTCGAGCTCTAGGAAGTCTGGCGCCAGCGAGCAATCAGGTTCTCCCCAAACTTGTACGCTCGACGTTGAGATCATCATTGGTTGCCAAGGCTGGGTTCTATTCTGGATTGGAGAGGCTTTGTCACTCGATGTTTGGAAGAAAGATCAAGTAAAACAGGCACAACTTGATGCGATGGACCTGGTTGACAGAGCCAATGTCATCAAAAATGCGCTGGAAGAAGGAATCCGAAGTCTCGCTGTTACGTCAACTTCACCACCCAATATCATGGACCTCGATGAGACTGGTGAGCAGGACAGGGTGCTTGACCAGACTATCAGACTAACCAAGACATGGGCGGACGCTGCGCTCATTTTTCTCTCTATGGCAGTTTCTGGTTGGCAACCATACGCGTTGGCAACAAGCAGTGCAGTAGAGCGAGTGCTCGACTCGGTAGAACATTTAGCAGCAGCTAAGAACGTAGCTGTTGTAAACAGACTGGTTTGGCCTCTTTGTGTTGCAGGTTGCTTAGCAAAACCTGACCAGCACCCCCGAATAAGGGCCATCATCGCAGGTCTCGGCCCTAAAGGTCTGTTTAGCACATTATCACAAGCAATTGAAATCATGGAACGAGCCTGGGCTGGCCCAAGTTCTGAAGCAGACAGACGAGAAGGGATTGCAGAGGGCAGGGATCTAGACTTAGCTTTGTGCCTCAATAGCCTGGGATACCCAGTTCTACTTGTGTGAGAGATTCAACAGCTCCTCACGAACCTCAGGCTGAATGATTATGACATCATTGACATAAGGGCATACCATTAACACATTGTCACATACCTTTTGCGCCTGAGGGATGTATATTGATTTGCCGATATCTTACAACGAACAGACTGGCCACCAAAGTTTCAAACGCGTTGATATACGGCTGGGACCATTGCCCCTACCCCGGATACTTATCACAAGTCTTATCAAGGAAAGCAACGATAGGCAGACCCACCATACTTCTCTACTAGAACATGGGCCGGGACAAGCTACGATACTCTGGATTGACCCACTGACCCTGCTATGAAACGCAGCAATACCTCCATTGCCCCTGGCCTTCCGTTCAACTTCAGAAATATGATTGGCTCTCAAAATCTGCCCGCGCGGACGGTTCCCCCACAGACCTGTTTGGCGCGTCTATGCCCGCGCGGATGCACTCGGGGCGGGGAACGCGGCCTGAAGATATCTTCACTGTCCGATGTAACGGTGAACGTTGTATGACGCAGGGAATATATTTGGGCATTTAGTTGACCCTAGGACTTGATATAAGTGGTACGAATATGTCGCATTGTTGGGAGAAGAAGCATCTTAATATACTCGTTCCGCACGTCAACCTGGATGAAAAGAACAAACTGATAGCCACCTTCAGCCTATCTTTGCCTGAAGTCCACTTTTCAAGCGTTCATCAGCAGTCACCCATATAAAAATCTGGCCGTCATGAGTTCTTCGTTTTCTGTACTGCCTAGTAATGCTCAGCAGCAGCCGAAACCATTCGAGCTCAAAGTACCAGAGCAGGAAATCGAAAAGTTCCGCACGCTTTTGAGCCTCTCTGAGATTGGGTCCGATACCTGGTGGTCACAGCCAAGCAATGGATACTTCGGAGTAACGCGACAGTGGCTTATGCAGGCCAAGGACGAATGGCTACGGTTCGACTGGAGAAAAACTGAGAACCGAGTGAACGCATTTCCCAACTTCAAGGTCGATATCACCAGCGGCGGCCAGCACCACAAGGTCCATTTTGCGGCATTATTCTCCTCAAAAGCAGATGCATTCCCCGTGATTTTCTTGCACGGATGGCCTGGCTCGTTTCTCGAGTTTCTCCCAATGCTGGAGCTCTTGGCCGAGAAGTATACTCCAGCAACACTGCCCTGGCATGTCATCGTGCCTTCTATCCCTGACTATGGGCTGACGACAAGAGATGATCACCAACAAGAAATGAGATTTTCCCAAGCAGCGGGGATTATGAACGAATTGATGGTACAACTTGGTTTCAAATCAGGTTATGCCGCTCAGGGTGGTGATGTTGGAAGCGGCATTGCGACTACAATGGCAAGCATGTTTCCTGAATGTGTCGCTTACCATCGTAAGTTTTGTACTGCTCATCGCTCAAAGAGGACGATCAGAATCTCTGGTTGCGTAAACAGCACTGATCACAATCTTAGTCAACTTACCGTTCAAGAACATGGTCCCCACAGATCTCCCACTGGACTTGTTGACAGTAGATGAGAGGGCCCAAATGGAGCGATCTGCAGAATGGATGAAGACGGGAATGGCTTACGCGTTTGAACAAGGTACACGACCGGCGACCATTGGACTTGTTCTCTCCTCAAACCCACTGGCGATGCTTGCCTGGTAAGTATTAACACCCTACTGCCTATACTACCACCTCTTCCCTGACAATAGCTCAACATTCGTAGGATTGGTGAAAAGTATCTGGAGTGGGCCGACCATCGCCAACCCCTGTCTTTAGAAACTATCCTAGCCATGATCAGCTTCTACTGGTTCACCAAATCATACTCCAAAAGCGTATGGCCGTATCGTGAGCTGGGAAACTCGGTGCCACAGCCAGGAGCGTCCTTTGATCAGGAGACAGTTGATCTAAAGGCTCACAATGATGCTACAAGGAAGCCACTGGGTTATTCTGCCTTTCCCAAGGAAATACTAGTGATTCCTCAATCATGGGCGCAGAAAACGTTTCCGAACTTGGTGTTTTATAGAAGACATTCAATTGTGAGTTTTGTCTTGGTCCATCTTTGTCCTAGAAACATTAAAAATTCAAGTTTACTAACGCGGCTTACGAATAGGGCGGGCACTTCGCGGCGCTTGAGCAGCCGCAGGCTTTTCTCGAAGATGTGGAAGAGTTCATGCAAATCGTGAGCGCGAAGTAGATAGCAAGGTCTTGCGGAACCATCGCCATGTTTTATTTCAGGCTTGGAATTTAGATCCATGTAGTAAGCAGGTCGATTGCAAGCAAGGCTCGTGGTTGCCGATATGGTCTAGATTATTTGACCAAAATGTGTTCGATATCGTACCAAGCTGCTGCCACAAAATTCACAGAAAAGTACAAAAGCACCTCTAATATCACTGAGGACCGGCAGCGGTGCAATACGATACGCTCTGCCGAGGCAGGCCATGGCCGGCTCTGCTCTCGAAATGCCCGGAGTCTCGCTTTATGGTCTCGTTTTGGTTCGTGTTCGAGTGCCGGTGACATTTGAATACTAGGCGATCGATATGCAAGTCTACTCCTTGGATGATCAAGCCTGTTGAGCTTCAGGGTGAACGCACTGGAAAGTGAAGCAGAACTGCGGTGCGCTCTTTATTCGATAAAAATAATCAATCGGACTTTTCTACTTCTTCTTTTCATAATCGATATATTGAAAAATATCATATTATAGTGGTTCCCTTCCAAATAAGACATCTCACCTTTCAGATACCGGCTTTGTCTTCGTTAGCGCCGCATTTGCTTCCTCCAGACCCGCGATTACCCTAAGAGACACAGACCGTGGAGCCAGTGGACAGGTGTGGCCCGGTACTCGCCAAACAGGTGGTGCTAGACCGATATCTGCACCACTTCGAAGGAGTAATCTTGCTATCTCGGAGTGGGCCAGCTCTTTTGCCAACTCTACGGCTCTTCCACAGGAGAAGTGAATAGGCGCCAAGGGTTCTTCCCAAGGCTTAGGTCGATTAGGAATGTCAAGAACATGATAGGCAGCATTGGGATTTGCACCATGCGGCAGAAGCAGCCGGACCAGAGCCACATTTCCTAGTCTAATGGCCCGAATGAGAGGAGGTGTGAAGTGTTCCGCCTCTAGCCGTTGTCCTTGGTTAGGCGGTCCGGACAGCTGACTATAATTGTAAGGGTCCCTCCTGAGCGGACAAGGTCGATCTAAATCTTCAACGTCGGGAAGAACGCTGTTCGTATTAGTGTTGTTGCAATCCCGATGTCCTGTAGTTCCACTGCGTGGCAAAGAGCTCTGGTCGAGTTGACTCGATTGGTCGTTGGCAGCAACATTCTTATAAGCTTCTGGTCCATTTTCTTGACTGCCTTGACAAGTGCAGGTCCATCCCTCGGAAAGGTAGAAAAGTTTGCATCGGCACCTTTTCCCAGGAATAGCTCGACAAGCTGGGTATTGCCGCTGTCCAAAACCCATTCCAATGGTATCAGCCACTTGACAAGCGCAATGGGAAGACCATAAGACGCTCCAGTATACTCTTCGACGTGTTGCAGAAATGCGACGTCCAAGTTCAAACCGTATTCCAGGACTTGCGATACTAGAAGATTGCTACAATCACCTTCCAATGCAGCTTTGAGTGCGCATTTCTTCTGGTTCAGGCTGGCACGGTGGTTTTGGGCCCCCAGATTGCGATAATCCCCGACTGCAGTGTCTTTGTTGTCCATGAGCAATGTGTATGCGATCAGAGGATATGTATCGATCGATCGTTTTTCGCTAGTCAGGCGATTATGGAAATGAGATCGTTGAGATGTCGGCTCCCAGACTAACTCCCATCTATCGTCCTGTACCTCTTCAGGTTTCCCATCTGGGGCATTTCTTTCATCTTCATCTCTGACCCGGTACCAGAATTTGATTCCAAAATTATCCCAGTAGATTTCTTTTTCCTCTACGCCTTCAGTCACGCGTTACGTGCCGGTCTCGTGGTACGATTTGGAGTACTTGACTTCGTCCGGTTCAACTCTGAAGACCACCCCATCCTGCTTGGCCATAGGTAGGTTCTCGCGTCTGCGCTGGGTGATATCATTCCAATCTATCTCGTGGAAGAAACCGTGTCCTTTAATCTCAGAGGCTCCGGTTGCACCCAAGCGCTTTGCGGGGTCTTTGTTGAGAAGCTTTATCAAAATATCCTTGGCCGTTGCCGGAAGCCCCTTTGGAAGCTGAAGAGTATGTTCCATGATCCGGCGTTGTTGCTCCTCAACATTCTCTTGGTAGAACGGAGGTATTCCAGTCAGAATCTCGTAGAGAATGGCCCCCAAGCTCCATCAATCGACCGCTTTGGGCGTCTTTTTTCCAAGGAGCATTTCTGGAGCGGGTATCTCCGGTTTGCCAAGCACAACTTCTCCCCTCTGAGCTTGTCCCTCCTGGCCACAATACCTTGGTTTTCCTCTTCATTCGCGAATAACACGTGGCCTCGGACGAGACCTGGGCCTTCCCACATTCCATGATCGAATGAATCAACCGTCGCCTGCCGGCATGGGGTTTATCGAGACATATCGGCTCAGACGGGTTGTCTACGATCAGGTCACGAGCCCAAGAACGCGTGACAGTCAGAATTCCAGGTCCGGGTGGAGTAGGCGGCGGCAATTGTGTGGTGTCAGAGCAGACTAGGGAGTTCTTGAGCCCAGCATCTCTCCAGTCTTCGGGTGGCAGTTCACTCATACCAAGTGTATTGTGGTCTGGTGGCGGCGATAAGAGGCGTTTGTGGCAAGCGGTGGTGTCGACCTCGGACATAGTGGATCCGCTACACGGTCGAGGCGACTTTTCTAAGTTCGGTATCTTAGTCCTATTATTACGGGAGACAACATACTAGAACCAAGAGCGAGGATCATACTTACGTGTTTCAGGATTGCCGGACATCGGGTGGATTGGTGGAAACAATCTTGGAAATACCTCCCGGTTGTTTGCGGTGGAGCACCATATGTAGGTACATCAACTGATAAATTTATGATTGGCCGCTTCATTGCAGCCAACTGTCAAGGCAGGAAACTGTTGGAGCAGAACTTGGCCTTCCACCTCGGATTGCAAATCCTAGCTACTTCTCGTTCGTAAGAAAGCTTGTATGTGGATGATATCTCTCGCTGTGAAATCTATCTCGCAATTCTCCTATACTCATCCACAACCAGAATAGTCGTTCCCGTTGCGTGCCATGAGTGGTAGTATGTCTGATGCGCAGTTTTCAGCGCCTTATGTTGTTGTATGATAATTCATCTAGTTATGAAGTCGTGTAAAGTCGAAACCGAATGCGCGTAATAGGCCAATAAAGGCTGAAATCAGGCCAGAAGTGAGATCCGATACTTGAGTAGGTACCTAAGTAGCTTGAGTTTGCTGCACCTTGGCATGACTGAGCATTGCTAAAGCGGCATTAGCGCTAAGCTAAGCCCAAACTAGCGAACCGGCGCTGGATTTGACGATACACCCAGAAACGTCTACTCTCTAACAACCAAGAGCTTCCACATCAATGCATGCAAAAGCACGGTCGATATGTTGAGGCTGGTCAAGTCAGGAAATCACAAATTGCGGTAGTAGTCGACACAATCCGATTCAAAGGAGCAGCTTTCTGTTCTGGGGCGCATTGCTACGTATTTGCGTGCAATCTTAGACTCTCACACTTACATCATCCGAGAGCCAAGACCATGCCCGACTCCTCGGAGGAAGAGGACTACATGTCCATGGACTTCCTCGCCGGGGAGGCCAACACCACGCAGCCCGAGACGTCGCTGCAACGGCGGGAGCGCCTGAAGCGCGAGGCGGCGATCCGCGGGCGGCCCAAGTCCAAGGCCGAGCTGGCGGCCGAGGAGAAGGCGGCGCGCGAGGAGGCGCTGTCGCGGTCGCTGATCGACGACGCGCGCAGCCTGGCGGCGCAGAAGTCCAAGGGCCTGTCCATGATGAAGAAGATGGGCTTCGCGCCGGGCGGCACCCTGGGCGCCCGCGACAACGCCTACGCCAAGGCCGAGCCCGTCGGCCTCAGCATCAAGGAGGACCGCGGCGGCATCGGGCTCGACGCGCAGCGCAAGCGCGCGCTGGACGAGGCCGCCGAGCGCGAGGGCGTCCCCAAGAAGCCCAAGGTCCTGGACGAAGGCGAGTTTCGCGAGCGGAACCGCCGCGAGCGCGAGCTGAAGCGCTGGGAGGGCCAGGCGTACGGCGCGCAGAAGGTGTGCGAGCGCATGGACGAGGAGCGGGACGCGCAGGCCCACACGCAGTCGGTGGCGACGGGAGAGGAGAGCGAGGGCGACGGGTCGGCGGACGAGCAGAAGCAGAAGCAGAAAAAGAAACGGACGCTATCCACGCGGCCGCTGAAGAGCATCAACGTCCTGTGGCGCGGTCTGGTACGGCAGCGGGAGGAGGCGGAGCGCGAGCGCCGCATGCGGTACGACCTTGAGCAGAGCCTGTCGCGGCTGCCGACCTACGAGGACGAGAATGAGGACGAAGACGACCGCAGGGCCCTGGGCAAGACCAAGACGGCATACGTGCCGGTGGAGGACCTGGAGGAGGAGGACCCAGAGCTCGATGAGTTCAACGCGCTCGAGCCTGACGAGAAACTGAGGAGGCTCGTGAATTATCTCAGGGACGAGTACCAGTACTGCTTCTGGTGTAAATGCTCGTATCCAGACGAGGAGATGGACGGCTGTCCTGGACTGACCGAAGAGGATCACGATTAACGGGGTCGCTTGCGGTTTGTATACACTCAGAAAATCACAGTCACTGTCCTGGGCGAATCAAGCCTGGTGGAGATGCAAAGATTGTCTTGTCATGAGAGTGAATTTTCTTCAATGGTATCTGTGCTGTGATGTCTACATATGTTGTACATTTCGGATATATTACATAGGCAAACACCATGGGTGAGAGCTGATGCTCTGTAATCCTGTGCTTCCGCAGCACCTGCGGTGTTTCGCAGAATAATCAGTCCACGTCGTCAGACTCGGAGCTATAGACGCCCATCTCTTGGGCCGCCTGCATGAACAGCTCCTGCGCGTTCGGGACCTCGGCGAGTTGCGACTCTAGGTGCAGTTCTAGGAGGTTGGCCAACTCGACCGTCCTGACCTCCTCGGGGATATCTTGCTTCTTCCTGAGCTGCCCGGCTTTCACCATCTCCTTCTGTCTCTGTGAAAGATAATGCTCGATGCGCTGCGTCGCCGCAACGAGGTTCTTCCTGAGTTTCACACTACCTGCGGCTTTCTCGACGTTGGTTGTGCCAGCTAGCAACTCCAGTACCATCGACCCTGCATTGGATACCTGAAAGACCTGACGTAGTGCTCTAAATGCAACAAGCATCCCGAAGGGATCTTCTAGCTGGCGGAAGGTATGCATGATATTCCTTGCCAGCTGGCTGTCCATCCCTTCCTTTTGGAAGCTGGCAGCATATCCCACCATCTCGGCAAATAGTTCTCTGCTGGCTACTCTCTCGGTTGGTACTTGCTCAGGCCTGAGAGTTTGGAGGCGGTTGACAGCCAGGGCTTGCCAGAGGGCCAAGAATGTCCAAGAATCAGGTTGGAGCTTGTCGAGCTTGAACTCGTCAGTCAGAGCTCGATACAGGCCACGGACGTTCTTCCCTTGTCCATTTCGAAGTAGGGAGAAGAGCATTTGGTTCATGAAGAAGGAGTCTGGTCCGATCTCAGCGGCTCTGAAAGCACGCCAAAGCTCTTCCATCTTAGTGAGAACCCCACGGTCTTTGAAGCTCTCTGCGAGTAACGAGAAAGTTTCGAGGGTCGCGCTCGGCCACCCGTCTCTTGAATGTTTGACAGTGATGGGGCTTGCAAGGCCAGTCGACGGGATGATGCTCTTGGCCAGAGATCCACGCTGTGCTCGGTCCTGAACAAACATTACCCTCGAGTTGATCATAGCCCAAGCTATCATTTCGGCCTTTTCAATGTTCTCTGCGGATCCTGAGCGTAACCAAGCTCCTACCAGGACATTGACAACTATGGGGCTAGGCATCACCCCCTTCGCCTTGACATGGAGTAGCGCGTTGTAGGCACCGTCGAAATCACCAGTCCCTATCAGTCTTTTTAGCCACTTCCCAATGAAGAATCCATTCGCGACACTGGGAGGGAGGTTGCTCATGTGGCGAAGATCGATACGGCCGTTGGTCATCATTTCGACAAATATCCACAGGGCTTTTTCCGCCTGGTCCGCCGCAAGGAAAGAAGATACGATCTCGTCATAGTCTTCAATAGTCATGGCATCTCCTAGCTTTGACCTCGCAACCCGGTACAGCTCGTAAGCCTTGTCTACCGTCTCAGACTTCTGCCCAAATGCTCGGATCAACGGGAAGGCGACTCGGGGGTCGTACTGATATGACGACTCAAAAATAATGTCCAGCAGGCGCTCGGCCCGCTCCAAGTCTCCAGAGTGGCAATACATGCGTAATCCTAGCTGCCAGAAATCAAGAAACGTCTTGGAGTCGGTCCCGAGCGTCGCCACCGACTTTTTGTGGTTTTCTATAGCTTCCTTGTGCCACCCTTCCAGGAAGAGAGCCTCGATAGCCATCAGTTGACGTTGCGGTACCAACTTGAACCCGGCCTCGTTCATGTCCTTGGCCAGGTTGTGAACGTGACTCCAACGGTTGGGGTTCTTGGAGGATTCGATGGAGAAGACCTCCCACAGGACCTCCCAAGTGGCTGCTGGAACCGTTTCCCAGTTCCTGGCAAGGGTCTTGCGGGCAGCTGAATACCACTTCCACAGTTCGAACCCTTTCGCATTGACGTTTCCACGGTCGAGTTGCCTCGCAGCAAGGTCCAGATTGTTATTCAACTTATTGATCCGGATCATCTCGTTGGTGTTCCACCTAGCAGCATACGGGTGGTTCAGGTCAATGAGCATCGGGCCGGTCGACGTCCTCTCCAGCTCATCCGACAGTTCGTCCAAGGCATTGATGGCGGCAGGATCCAGCCTCTGGGTCGAATCGAGCGCCTTGTCGAGCCCGCTGTTCAGCTGATCGTCGACGACCTTGTTGTGGAGTTTTCGTTCCTCGATGTCGGCCTTCTCAAAGAGGTCGAACAGTTTGGACGCCTCGCCGTATCCCTTCTCCAGCTCCTCCAACTGCGCAGAAAACTCGCCACCGGCATCGTTGACGGAGCCGGCGAACTGCTCGTGGCTGTCAAGTCGGCGCAGCTTCCCTCCCTCTGCCTCTTCGAAATAGTTCACCTTGAGCTGTGTGTCCCGGCCTTCCTCTTTGAGCAGGCCGAGCTTCCTCAGGGTCCTCAGGCGCTCTGGGTCATCGGTCGGCAGTGGCTTCTTTCGGGGCGGACCCGAAACTTGCGCCGCAGCGGCCTGGGACGCCTGTCGCACTCCCCATCGCGCGGGCGGACGGGCGGGCGGGCGCGCGGGCTGTCTGCGCAGAGCAGAGAGGCAGGATTTGCAGATATAGTCGCGAGGGCCTCGTTCGAGCAGGATGGTCTTCGAAGACATGGGGTCTAATGCCGGACGGCAGACATGAGCGCAGGACGTGCTGGGACAGAAGCCGACAAGAAACGAGTTTCGATACGGAAACTTTTTTTTTTTTTTCAGGGGACAGCTGCCAGTGAGGTCACTACGGCCTTGCCGGGTTGCGCCTGGGGGCTAGCGCGTCGACACCCCTGTCAGGCATCGGCCGGCCCCTGCAGCAAGGCGCGACGGCCAGCTCGAGGCGCGCCTCAATTAAACAAACGGCATCACAGGTGAGCTCGTTGTCCAGCCTGCTCCTCCTGTGTCCCGGCTCGCTTCAGAGCTGCCAAGTCAACGAGATGGACGCCCAAGATCAAGACACGCAAAGTGTGGTCTTGGATGACAAAGAGCACCAAGTGACTATGCCACTTTTTTCTTTGCCCTGTATCTGTCGAACTCGACTAACAGTTCTCAGGCTGCGTACATATTTGATCCTACAGACGGAGCTGATGGGGCGGCCAGGCCTGCGAAGCGCAGAAGGGTGTCAAAGAAGCACGAGAAAGAAACTGCAAGACCGGACCAGAGTCGGCCGTCGCCCAGCCAGTTCCAGCCGCTGCTAGATGGGGCAGAGGAGGAAGCCTGCTATCGCCTCCGACAGTCCCTATTTGAGAAGTCATGGGCGAGCATTGAGACTAGGATTCATGTCAGTTGTCGACGATTCCACGAACCTCCATACTCGAGTCATTCCAACTGACTCCCTGCAGCATGTCCTCCGTGAGGCCAATCAGTCCACCCTGGAAAAGGTCACATCATTCATACAGGAGTCGACCACTCGAGAGGCCCGCGACAAGATTCCCTCTGGTTTTATTATCACCGGCGCAAACATTGCGTCTCAGGAGCTTCTCTTCGAACAACTGTCCGAGACACTCCAGGAGGACGCCGAAGCAAAGGTCGTGCGGCTACGGTCAGGGGATGCATCGAACCTCAAGGCAGCTCTCAAAAAGATCATACATGAAGCCACGTCTAGAAGCACAGATGATGGTGATGATCTCGACATTGCTGTGGGCAAGGATGTGAGTCAATCTCTGATCACACCCTAATCTGATCTGCGTGCTGACTCTTCAGGGGCGCAAATACCTAAACTATGACCTGGAGGCTCTTTACAGCCACCTGAAGTCCAGTCCCCGCAAAAACATCGTGGTGTGCTTCCAGGACAGCGAGGCATTCGAAAGTGGACTCTTGTCAGACCTCATCCTCCTGTTCAGGTACAATGATCTGGCCCATATGTACCTGATTTTAACTGACAAGATTATGTAGTTCATGGCTGGACCGTATCCCCTTCGCGCTTCTTTTCGGTGTAGCAACCTCGGTGGAACTGTTCCAGGGACGTCTGCTCAAGTCCACATGTCATCATCTTTTGGGCCAACAGTTTGATGTCGAACAGTCGACATCTGTGATTGAGAAGATCTTCAGGGCTGCAGTCGCTCATTCCGAGGCTCCTCTGCGTCTTGGGCCGTCTCTGCTTCAGAGTCTACTGGACCGCCAATCTGAGCAAGTCGCTGGCATTCCTGTTTTCGTCAACTCGTTGAAGGTTGGTGACAGTTCGGTTTTTCTCTGCGATAGCCTTCTAACCTCTTGCAGTACGCATACATGTGCCACTTCTATGCGAATCCCCTAAGCATTGTAATGGCCGATGATTTGGACGACAACTATGTGAAGAGTCAGCATCTGGAGATAGTGAGGTCTCTGCCTTCGTTCCGCATGCTTGTCGAGGGCAACCTGGAAGGTGGCACTCTCTCCGACGCCAAGAGTCTACTTGACGATGACGCCTACCTGATCAGCACCTTGCAAAAGAGTCGCATTATGTGGGAAAAGTGGACGCTAGACGTGTTGCGCCATGTCAAGATACTCTCGGCCGAGAGGCCGTCCAAGTCAGGTTTCATCCAGCTCTACCTAGATGCTCTTTCCAACGGCATTAAGGTGTCAGAGGAGAGCGGCGGCTTCTACACGTCAGTCCAGCGGATGCCACCCACTGAGGCAGTGTCCTTCTTGACCAACGTCCTCGACATGATCCAGGATGGAGACAAAAGCCTTGGGCTCGAGGGATGGGCTGAAGATGACGGACTCACCGCACAAACATTGTCAGACATACTTTCCGAAATTAAAGGTCTTCAGGAGAGAGCTGAAGAGGAGGGCGCAACTTTGAAAAGCACTTACAGCAGCCAGAGCAAGATCCTTCGCACGACTGTTATCGCGCAAAAGGTGCAACTGAGTCAAGATACGGCTGATTTGACTGATGATGACAAGGCCTACACGCAACTTATACGCCGCTTGGTAGACCATCTGGCATCAATCATGTCGGCTTCCAGACCGGATGAGGTGCCATTCCACGAAATCTGGCTCTACGATTCGAAGACGCCATATAGAGACGTCTTCATCCCACGCCCTCGCGCAGTCATTGAGCGTGCGCTTCTACGACCACATGACTATCTGAGTTGCTCTTGTTGCAAGTCTGGAGAGGACGAGATTAAGCCGACTTTCCCCAGCACTGCAATCTTGTACAAGCTCTACCTCGAGACGGGATCCCTGATCAACGTTGCAGATCTCTGGTCTGCTTACTACAATATCGTGGGCGAGGAGAGCGACAAAGGATTAGATGAGCGGACTGCTCTGGCGCTGTTTTACCGCGCGCTATCCGAGCTCAAGACGTTGGGTTTTGTCAAGCAGAGCCGCAAAAAGGCGGACCACATCGCGAAACTAGCCTGGCAGGGTCTGTGATCCGGTCGCGTGGTTTCGCTTACACTCAACGACTGTCAATCAGATTAGCCTGCTTTCATGGTGATTACGAAGGGGTGTTTGCGGAGGCAAAAGTCATTGTGACAAGACATCACAAGTTTCCCGTATAAGAAAGGTTTGCCTCCCGTATCTACCAAATGCGTCTCGGCCAGAGCGCATTGCTTTCAAATACAAGCTATTCCCCTACATCCCAGATCGCACTGGAACATGTCTTGAAGACCCCCGAGACTCCTTCTTTCAAGCGGCCCGGAACAAATGTCCTTGAGAGGTGAGCTGGGAGCTTAGTCCACGAGGTACAAAAGCGGCAGACAAGGGTGCCGCGAGGACAAAGAACCACGACCTCGCCAACAAACAAAACGCGGCAATCCGGTACAAGAAGTCGTGGCCGCCTTCGAGTTCATTCTCGGCTTATCATCTGCTTTGAAGCCCGCAAGTCCTCCCAGCTGCGCGTAGTCCGATTACTTCCTCTCTATAGAATCCCAAGTGCTCTCGTCTGGCTCTATTATTCCTCACCTCATTATCTGCCGCTTATTCTATCTCTCTGTCTGTCTATCTGTCTCTCTCTCTCTCTCCACTATTTCCATTCCAAAAACATCGAATCGTAGCTGCTGGGCGGCTTCTACGCAGACCTTCTCGAAGCTGCAGAACCATCCACTTGCCATCGGGCTAAAGCAACTCGTTCATTAGTGAATAAAACCCGGCGCGTACACTCACTACCAAAGAGCCTGGATTTCATTTCTCGGATCCGGACCGCATCGTTGTTCTCATTGCGAGATCATAGCTATTCATTCGTACAAGAGAAAAGAAACAAAACCCTTATCCTAGAATTGTGCACGCAACGCCTATAAGCGCACTTACGGCGGACATAAAAGCACGGCGGCATTCACAAGGAGAAGGACCAAAAAACACACCTGAAAGCACTTGGACTCGACTCTATAGAGAGAGTGAAGAAATCAAAAAGGGAGAATCTTTGGAGGCGGAAACCAGAGAAAGGAAACGAATAGCCCAACATAAAAAAGACCCAAAGAAAAAAAAAATGTTCAACCACCAACAACACCGCCCGTCCTACCCTCAGGACATGGACAGCCAACTGCCCGCGTCATCCCCCATGGACACCGACTTCTCGGTGCCGCCGTCGCCCATGGACTCGCTGTTCTCGGCCAGTGCATCGTCGTCGTCGACGTCGTCCCCCATGGACACGGACTTCTCCTTCGACTGCTCCCCGTCGGGCGCCGGCTCCTGCAACTCCTCCACGGCGCCGCCCCTGAGCCCAACGTCGACATCCATCTCCATACCGTCACCGACCTCGGCCTGCTTCATGGCCGCAACGCAGTCGCCCCAGCTCCCGCCGCCGCCGGGCCAGCTCGCGAGGCCCTCGGCCTCGTTCGGCGCGCACCGCGCTGCCAAGATCAGCACCACCTCCGAAACCCAGTCCCAGCCGCAACCACAAGCGCAGCAGCAGCAGCAGCAGCAGCAACCGCGGCGGCGCGACCCGGCCTTCGCGCAGAAGCTGGCGCAGATGGCGCTGCCGCTGGCGCCGCTGGTGCAGCTGACGACGGGGCAGGTGCACCCGGCGTTCCCGGGGACGCTGCTGGGGTTCTGGCTGCTGACGGAGGCGGAGCTGGAGGCGCTGGCGCACTTCTACCACCAGCGGACGCCGGGCCGGTGGACGGCGCACTACCCGTGCCCGGTGGCGTGGGACAGCGGGGCGGCGGTCGAGGAGAAGCGGCGGCGGCTGGGGCGGTTCATCGGCTTGCGCGGCTGCGAGACGCCGGCGGCGCTGCGCGACGAGGACGAGCTGGGCGCCGAGGCGCGGCGCGCGCGCGAGCGCGACGTCGAGGACGAGGTCTGGCGGCGCAAGCTGCCGTGGTATTAAGGCGAGGGCATCAGGGGTAGGCGGCCGGGGTCTGTGTTAGGAGTGACTCGGGACTGCTTGGATCTGTGGATGTGTATGTGGGTGAAAGGGGGGTGTTAGGAAATGAGTGATAGGGGGCTACGGTTTCTTCTCCATGGCTTTTTGGTTACTCCTAAACCCTCGTTTTTGTTTTTCCTTTCACTTGAGGATCTCGTGTTAGCGGTTTAATTGCATTCGTCCCATTTCAACTCACGTATCGCGACATTGTGGACAGAGGCAGAGTGTGGAAAATGTAACGTTTGATTTTGCTCGCGCGCACCCCAGACCCAGCCCCAATCACCGGAACGCCAGACGCGCAGAATATGCCATTAATAGATTTGAGGCCCGATTCCTCGATGCAGACAGCAGGAGATTTACCCCTCTCGTGACCGCGAGAATATAGACATGCAGGGAGCGAGAATTGTCAAGAATAGCTGCTGCTTGGCGTTCATTTCTTGCCCTTCTTCTTCTTGGAGGGCGTGGCGGTGGCCGAGTCGACCAGGACACCGTCGTCGTCGCTGATGACCGCCTTGGCGTCCACCTTGGGCTGGCCCTCGTCGTTCAGCTCCTTCTCAAAATCCTGGCGGATGGTCTCGCGGCGCTTCTCCCACCACTCCTTCTCGGTCTCGGTCTGGGCCTGGATCTCGTCTAACCTCTCGCGCACCATGGCGTTGGCGGCCATCTCGTTTGCCGACTGGAAGATGGTGTTGCCCCAGCCCGGCACGAGGGCATTGGCCTGTCACGGTCAGTTCAGCAAAACGGCATGGGTTGGAGAGGGGGGGGGGTAAAGAAGGGGGGAAGTTCGACTCACCTCCATGACGACCTCACGGAGCTCCTCCTCGATCTCCTTCTCGGCGCGCTGGAAGCGCTGGTTGAGGTCCTCGCCGACGCTACCGCGCTGCAGCAGGACGTTGAGGGCCTGCTTCGCCTGGCGGACCTGGATGATGCGGCCAATGTCCTCGACGGCGCGACGCAGCAGGGCGGCGCGGATGACGCTGTCGGGGACCTTTGTCTTCTTCTCGCCGGCGTCCGAGTGGGCGATCTCGAGCAGGGACGAGTAGACCTGTCTCTGCAGGTGCGGCGGGAACCAGGGCTCGAGGTTGGCGAGTTGCGCTGTGGATGCGTGTGTCAGCCACGGTCTGGAAGCATGGTGCAGGGTCTCTAGAGGGGGGACAGGGAGCAACGAGGGCACACGTACAGGCTTTCCTCTTGCGGTAGATATTCGAGAAGGTGTAGAGCATGCCGGCCAGGACCGAGATGTAGGCAAAGGGGAGCGCAAGGCTCCACCAATCGACGTCGAGGAAGTCGAACATGATGCGCGCTGCTGTGAGGAGTGATTCGGGGTGTTCCAATGTGTGGCAAGGAGCGACACGCGCGGCGGGAGAAAGGAAACACGCAATGCACCGGTGCGGCAAGGAGATGTGTATGTACGGGTGGTCGTCGTGGGTTGCGAAGACAGACAGGCAGACAGACAGAAAGGCAAGTTTAGGTATATTGGGCCGTGGAGTGGAATGAGAGGACACCAAGACCAGACCACAAGCAGACCCCCGGCACGATCTTGACAGTTTTCAAAAGCGCCGCCGCCCACGGCCACCGGCGCGGCGGGCGATTGGGTCATGGCCCAGAGCTTCCCTAAATTTAAGCTGGCTCCAGCGCCATCCAATGTGTCTGTCCACTAAGAGGACGACCACCCCTGCCTCTCGGGGCGCTGTCCTCAACGACCAGGGGTCCTGAACCGCTGCCCACTGTGGCTGCCGGCCTGCTGCTGACAGCCTGCAGGTGACGGCGAGAGGCTGAGCGCGCGCTCCAGCGATGACCTGGGGGCCTAGGTCGGGTCGGGTGGTACCTGGGTAACTTACGGCCGGGGCCAATCGCACCGATTGATCCGGCCCAGCGCCTCACCGCCCAAATTTTCAAAAATTCTGCCGCCTTTGCCAGCAGACGCCCGGTTGGCCCTTTCTGCGCGCTGCATTGGCCCTGCCGTAGTGGGGAGAAAGCTGCAGGTTTCCTGAGCCAGCTGCCATTCGAGTCTTTTGACCAAGAAGCAAAAGGTCCTACCTAAACCACCTATGCACCTTACGGGATACTTCACAGGTCTTGCGGGTTTTCTCCTCTCGGCTCACGACGACAGATAGCGAGCGAGGAGAGAGAAAAACAGAGAGGCAACGAGGCCCCCCTCGCCCGTCTTGAGCGCACTCTCGCGCGCCGCCCGGCCTCCGCCGTGACACCACCGGGGGAAAGAAGAAAAAAAAAATGTCGAACCCCAAGCCCGAGTTCCTGCGCTTCACCGGCCACCAGTCCTTCGCCCAGCGCCTCGTGCTGTCGACCCTGACCGGCCGCCCCGTCCACATCTCCAAGATCCGCACCCAGTCGCCCACCAACCCGGGCCTGGCGCCCCATGAGGTCTCCTTCCTGCGCCTGCTCGAGGCCGTCACCAACGGCGCCTCGATGCAGATCTCCTACACCGGTACCACCATCACCTACCACCCGGGCCTGATCACGGGCGCCGCCCCGGGCGTCGGCGCCGTCGGCGACAGCGCCGATGTCATCGAGCACAACATCCCCGCCTCCTGCACCCGCGGCATCACCTACTTCCTGCTGCCCCTGTGCCAGCTGGCCCCCTTCTCCAAGGCCCACATGAACGTGCGCTTCACCGGCCCGGGCGTCATCACATCGGCCACCGAGACCGGCGACCTGTCGGTCGACTCCTTCCGGACCGCCATATTACCCATGTACGACCTGTTCGGCATACCCGCCGCGCGCATAGAGTTGAGGGTGATGCAGAGGTCGTGCGCAGGGCCCAGGGGAACGGGCGGCGCCGGCGTGGTCGAGCTGCGGTTCGCCAGCCAGGTCCGCCTGCCCAAGACGTTACATCTGAACCGCAGCCCCGGCAGGATACGGAGGATACGCGGCGTGGCCTATGCCACGGGCGTCTCGGCGAGCAACAACGCGCGCATGATACACTCGGCGAGGGAGGTGCTGAACCCCCTGGTGGCAGACATACACGTTGCGGCACAGTACGACCAGGCGCCGCTGGTGGCGGCCGGCGACAAGGCCGGCGGGAAGAGGAGGATGGGTATCGGGTTTGGCCTGAGTCTCGTGGCCGAGTCCAACGCCGCCGGCGTCCTGTATTCGGCGGACATCGTCGCGCCGGCCGAGGGAGGCGTCGTGCCCGAGGATCTGGGGAAGCGGTGTGCATACCAGCTCCTGGAGGCCATAGAGACCGGAGGGTGCGCCAGCCTGGCGGCCTCGAGCACGGTGCTGACGCTCATGGCCATGGGATCGGAGGACGTGGGGCGGCTACGGATTGGCAGGGGCGTCATGGGCACGGAGCAGGTCATAGGGCTGGCGCGGGACCTCAAGACCTTTGGCGCCAGCAGCTGGGGTCTGAGGGACGTCGACGACGACGACACGGGCGACATCATTGTCTCGGTGAAGGGGACTGGTGTCGGCAATGTCGGCAGGAAGGTAGCATAGTCTGATCTGGTCGGGGAAGCGTTGATGATATCCACATTATATTCTGTACAAGTGCTCTTTTGTTAGGTGTCATGACCGTCCCACCTGGGCCCCCGTCTGCGCCGCCGCGAGCCTGGCCCTCCTCTGCGCTGCCAGGGCCGCCAGGGTGGCATTGTAGCCCACATTCTGCAGCGTATACGCCGCCGCGGCCTGTGACGTGTTTCCCCGGTCCGTCCAGGCCGTCCTCAGCGCATGTCTCACGTGCAGGTCGGCCAGTATCGCGTTCCCGGACGACAAGACGTCCTCAAGATTCTCGTAATCGTCAGTTCTCCGCCGGCCCAGAAGCGAAGACCGTTCTTCATCCCCGTCGTCGTTGCCTCCCAGGGGCTGCATCTCGATATCATCCGTTGCGTCTGCCGCCGGCGCATCTCGGAGAACGCCTCGCTCCTCCGCGTCGTGGTCCTGGCCCGTGACGGGCGGCGCGTCCGCCGCGCCCGCGCCCGCGCCCGCCGCGTCGGCGGTCTGCGGCTGCTGGGGCGGGCTGACGATCTTCTTGACGCGGTCCTTCTCCATGCTGACGGCCAGCATGACGCACTGCAGGGCCAGGACGACGGCGTCGAGCAGCAGCAGGACGAGGCGGGACGAGGGCGGCTTCTGGCCGACGAAGTCGACCAGCACGCCGCCGTGCAGGTAGCCGCGCGCGGCCTCGCCGGCGGTGGGCAGCGCCGTCGCCAGGTGCAGCAGCATGCACAGCGCGTTGGCGCCCACGATCAGCCCCACGGGGTAGTTCAGCAGCGGCAGGATGACGTGGTCGGCCTTGACGCCGAGGAAGAGCCAGTGCGGGATCCAGCGGATCATGAGGCGGAAGAAGGAGCAGCTGGATAGGCGGGGAGCCCGGGACGTTAGTGTCACAGGTCGGTGGAATTGGACGAGGGGGTTGCGGTTGCAAGTGACTTGCTTCTACAAGAAAGAGAAAGGGGTGGGGGGGCATACTCCATATAGTACAGTGTGCCCAGCTCGGCGTATATCAGGGTGTCGAGGCACAGGAGCAGGTGAAGCAGGAAGTCGAGCTTCTTGGTGAGTCCCGCCTTGGCCTTCTTGGAGAGGTGCGGCTCCTGGCGCCGGCGTCGCGAACCCGGGGCAGAGCCATTGTCTTGTCGCTGGTGCTGCTGCTCGTCGACATCGCCTCCGTTAACAGCAGCGGCGTGGCTGCGACGGGCTGGGCTGGCAGGGTCGGGGTCAGGGTGCGCCGGCGAGCTCGGGGAGGGATCATGGTTCATAGCTCCACCTCATTCGAAGGTTGAGAAGCCACCGGGGTCCGAGGATGTGGCCTCACATGCTGTAGCGGGGGACGGATGTGTTGGCGTGTCTTGCGGTCCGGCGGGCGCGTTGACGTCGAGGGCATGAGTGACCACAGTAGGATATGGAGGGAGAGAGAGAGAGGAGAGCTACCTAGGTATGGGCTGGGGTGTGGTCATGTCAAGTCATCCCGTGGTGTGAGGTTAAGCGACCGCCAAGAGGCATTCCCTCTGTGCACAGGCGTTCATAGCAGGGACTGCATTATTATGCAAAAAGCTACAGCTTATGCACCAGGCATATATACATACAGATAGACATACATGTTAGTTATGCAGCCCACCCCGCCTTGGCACAATTGGGCTGCCCGCCATTCCCCCCCCCAAGACCAGGACCAGGACCAGACATCCCACTTCGAAATTTGGCCCGAGCTGCATTTTGGGGGTCGCAAAGCTGTGACTCAAATTATCCCATCCCACCCTGTGACGCTGCTCCGGCCCCGTCCCCGTCCCCGTCGCCGTCGTTATCCTCGAGAGAGAGAGCAATCCTGCCCTCGCGACCCAACCACGCCCTCGTCCTCTCTCCTCTCTAGCTCCCTCACAACTCGAGTCCCCAACGGTCGCTCGACGTCCAGCATCACAAGATGGCCGGGGATCTCACCTCCCAGGTTCTCAATGCCTTGTCCAAGGCCGACCCCCTGCTGTCCACCGAAGCCTTCCCCGATGTCTCCTTCGCCGACCTCAAGGCCGTGCTCGACAGGCTAGCCTCGCGGTCCATGGTCGAGTACAAGCAATTGGAGCGCGAGGAGGCCGTTCTCCTGCCCGAGGGCGAGCAGATCCTCCAGAACGGCAGTCATGAGGCCCGCGTCTGGGAGGCCCTCAACAAGGCCATGGGCGCCCTGTCCGTCCAGGAGATCAAGGCCGCCGTCGGCGACGACAAGGTCGCAGGCTTCGGCCAGGGCAAGGCCATGAAGGCCAAGTGGATCGGCAAGGCCGAGGGCGGAAAGTTCACCGCGCTGGTGAGTCGACCGACACTGGCCATCGCCTGTCCTCGGGCTTCACTGACACACCATGTCTCCAGGTCGACTCGATAACGGATACCACCCGAGACCAGCTCCGCACCATCCACGAGACCCGCACCCTTTCTGACGCAAAGGTCATCGCCGACTTCAAGAAGAGGACGCTGATCAAGGTCCAGAAGGTCCTCAGCTTCAAGATCCAGAAGGGGCCCAAGTTCGCCCTGGAGCTGGTCAAGGAGGAGACCGACCTCACGGAAGAGATGTTGGCGACGGGCTCCTGGAAGACCGCCACCTTCAAGCCCTACAACTTCAACGCCCTGGGCGCCGACCAGCACGCCGGTGCCCTGCACCCCCTGATGAAGGTGCGCCACGAGTTCAGGAACATCTTCTTCGAGATGGGCTTCGAGGAGATGCCCACCTCCCGCTTCGTCGAGTCTGGCTTCTGGAATTTCGATACCCTCTTCGTCCCGCAACAACACCCCGCCAGGGATCTGCAGGACACCTTCTACATATCAGACCCCAAGCTGGCCGACAAGCCGCGCGCCGAGGATGCGGATGACAAGAAGGACTACGACACATACTTTGAGAACGTGAGACAGGTCCACGAGAGCGGAAAGTACGGCTCGATAGGTTATAGATACCCGTGGGCTGAGGAGGAGTCGCTCAGACTGGTCCTGAGAACACACACCACCGCCATCTCGACGGCCATGCTGCACAAGCTGGCCGACAAGAAGGGCCCCGACGGAAAGCCGCCGCCGGCCCGCTACTTCTCCATCGACCGTGTCTTCCGAAACGAGAGTGTCGACGCCACCCATCTTGCCGAGTTCCACCAGGTCGAGGGTGTCATCGCCGACTACGGCCTCACGCTCGGCGGTCTGATGGAGTTCATGACCATCTTCTTCAAGAAGATGGGTATCGAGGACCTGCGCTTCAAGCCTGCCTACAACCCCTACACCGAGCCCAGCCTGGAGATCTTCTCCTTCCACAAGGGGCTCAACAAGCTGGTCGAGATCGGCAACAGCGGCATGTTCCGCCCCGAGATGCTCGAGGCCATGGGCCTGCCCGGCGACCTGCGCGTCTACGGCTGGGGCCTCAGCCTGGAGCGCCCGACCATGATCAAGTACGGCATCTCCAACATCCGCGAGCTGCTCGGCCACAAGGTCGACCTGAACTTCATCGAGAGGAATCCCGCCGTGCGCTTAGAAAAAAACTAGATAGATCTCATGACTGGAAATGGAAAAATTTTCAACGCTTTCCGAAGCAAGAACACATGATGCTCGTTCTATTTTGTGCCCTGTCAGTATCGTGACTGCAGTGGAATCTTTCCGCGCGATGGTGCCAGCGTCTTCTTGCATTTGCCTACAAGATTAATCACTCGAAGGCCACCACCAAAAATCCATCTATACGCTATAAGTCATTGTACATATGACATTTCGTTCTGAGGTTTTCGTAGTTAGTCAAGGAGCCTTCAGGAGTGTGTCTGTGACCTTCTTCATAGCTGTCTCCTGATCATTCTGGCCGACAAGACCTGGGCTCCGTGCCTAGATTAGAATTGCTCGTCTTACATGGAGAAGCACATGAGCTACGCCTTATGAGAGGGCGTCTCGTGTGTTCGTTCGTCTCTACGGCGCAGTGAGTTGCCACTCTGAACCTGTATCCTGTCACCGCAGCCGGGGCTACCACTGGGAAGCAGGAACTTTTGAGATTATGAGGTTGCGTTTGGGAGGCGAGTATATCGCGTACTTGCTCTATTGCCTCCCGCCGTTCTTGCCGTTAGTTGTTTATTATTAAAATATATTTGTCAACAGGTGGCGGCCACCACAATCGTGGTCATTGGCAACTTCATTCTCACACAGCATCAACCCACTAACCACAAGGAGAGGTGTTAGATTTCATCATCACTTCTTGCCCCCAGTTGGTATCTACTTGAGGCACCACTACACCTGTTGCCTCACTTCACTTCCATCCACGAGGTACCTATTTACCTCTTCCCCTTCGGATGTCTGGCCACGACCTCATCATTTCACATCATCTCATCAGAAACACCTCAACATCTGACAACGCTTGACTTCTGGTGGTATCTGCACTGATACCCGCCTTCTCCTGGTCGGCCAGCTACTGGCATTCTCAGCCATACATTCGCACATCAAATCTCACCACACTTACATTACCCTGAGAGAACCGGCACCATGCGTTTCAAGTCAGCTTCGGAGGCGTACCTGGAGATTCGGCAAAGAGAGTTGAATGAAAAAACGTCTGCTGCTTTAGTCGAGTACTTGAGGACGTTTCATCGAATTCTGCTCCATGATCTTAATGAGTCCGGGTTCTGGAGGGCTGAATTCGAGGAGTTTGCCGACAGCAAGAGATTCACTTTCACAGTCGACCGTCAGACGGCACTCATATCGGTAGAAGACAAGAGCGATAACCCAGTCGTCATGATTTCCCGTCTGTTCCTCGACAATCGAGGGGAGCACATCAACGATGAAATCGTTGAGGTAGCTGATGGAAAGTTCAGAGCTTGCCTCGCGTTGTACAGCCAGCTTCTTATTCATGACCTCTGGATCCTGCAACACTACTACGACGAAGACGGAGGCGACAGGACTACAGTCAACCCGATTACCGGTTTCATGATCCTACCTTCTTTTGAGGACGAATCAGATTAAGGATCACCTTGACCAGGCAAGAAGCCGCACCCATGAGGATTCTCACGTAGGCCATAACAAGGTGGACATAGTTCCATTATCCAGGTTGTGTGCTGTCAAGCCGGCATTCATTGTGAGTTCCCGATTCCCGTTACCCAATTTGGAATCAGGCGAGTTCTCCGATTCAAATTCTCACATGGACCTCGACAACAATCGACGGACGGAGGTTGCACAACTCAACAATACGTTCACTTCTTGCGGTCCCCATCCTTCCTTTGTACTTGTCAAGCTGGTTCGCACATATCAACTTAAAGAAGCTCTCACAGAGGAGACTGGTTCTGAGAATCTTCATCCGTCAACCTTCACCCATCAAGCCCCAAGCATGGCTTTCATGTCAGCTTCAGCCACCTACCTGGAGTGCCTTCGTTCGGAGTTACGGCTGCACATGAACGCTCACATGGTCTACTGCATCAGAAATTTCCATCGGCTGCTCCTAGATGACCTCTACCAATCCGACTTCTTCTGCTACTTCGACGATTGCAACTCTGAAAAATTTGCGTTCAAGGTCGACACTTCTTCGGGGCTGGTGTCATTTGAGGACGTAGATTTTCCGTACAAATCGCTCTCGGTCATCTACCTCGAGGACCGCATCAAGGAGTTCGATTTCGACGACAAGATTCGGCAGATCTTCAACTTGTACAGCCAACTCTTCATTGACGACCTCCGACGTCTCATGACATTGAAACTCGAGCTGGACGACATGTTGTTCGTTGTTGACGATGAGCTCGGTTTCATCATCCTGCCTTCTGTCCTTTGAAAACATGGCCACCCAGTAAGTGACCTCGCATATCTCTCCCGATCGAAAATTACCTCGTTACGAGAACATGTTCTCTGACATTGCAACCACAGTTGGGCTGGAAGTGGTATTACGGAATGGTTTCATACAAGGGTCATCAAGAGCTTTTTTTTTGCGCGGCATTTTCACCTCACGGATCTGAGCTAGCTCACATAACAGTCCTACAGGCAACGAAATTGAGCACTTTGAGGTAGACCGTGTCTCTTCTTGGCCTAATCATGCTGCAAAAATTCCGAACGCTCTGGTATCTGAAATACAAATTCTCGCTCGATTTCCTCATGTGATGTCTTTCTTATCTGCTGCTTGCCGATTTTGGCTCGGCAACACTCTAAAAAAAAAAAAAAAAAAAAAAAAAAAAAAGGCGGGAACATCCGCTTTTGCCAGACAGTGCTAACCTGTGCATCTGTGTTTTCGGAAAATTTGTTCTCGAATCCTCATTATGTTAGAATACACTTGTCTTTCATAGAGACAGGAGAGACAAACATTTCTCTTGCATCTCCTTCCTACAATTATGCGCGGCGTTTCCAGTCTGTCATGCCAGCGAACGTACGACTAACCGCGCCTAATTGGAATAAAGTCTAGAGGTTTGAAACTCCCAAGTTCGAGATGACAGCTCCAATCTACTGAAATGTAGTGTGTTGATCTCGGACAGACGTCATGTTAGGAGAGGTGCATGATAACATTTGAGGGCGATCTAGTCGATCACTCCCCATGTACACCATAGGTGCTTACTTCTGGTTCCGAAAGATGTCGACGAGAAACACCTGTCATTGGGTATGATGGAGTGCCTTGAGGGCCGTAAATCATCAACGTCTCGACTTGTGTTTTTGACTCAAATCACGTGTCTATTCCTTGCTGATCAACACTTGTGAACTGGCCAACGGAATATGGCCTCAGAGTCTTTGAGGAACGATAGTATTTCATTGGATCACCTTCAAATTTTGTTCCTGACTGTTATTTCTCGTGGGTAGCTCCGGATCCATATTTTATACGTCTACAATACCGTTAGACCGGAGCCTGCCTGCCGGAGATACCATTCATGGGCTCATAGTTCCTACTTGTCAGGGACTAGCCTGGAGAATGCTTACGCAGTCTTGCAGAGTAGCCCGGCTCGACATGATCCGGGCTAAACAGTTTTCGCCGTGGCGCTGGACACAGTTGGGTTCTGGCAAAGAGTAATCGACCGTTTGCATCAGCGTCTCGAATATGTTTTGAATGAGAATGACGCGCCTAGGGGAAAGCGCTCTCTTATGGCCATAACCCATCGAACCACGCAAGCTACTCTACGTTACTATAGTTCGTTAACTTTGATTTTATTTTTCCACAATCGAAATAAAAACGTAATTTAAGTCTCGTCTAAAAGATTTTGTCTATAATGATGAAATTGCTTCCGCGATACACTCACATCTGGAGAAGCTCTGCTTCGATTTAGGTGCCGGCTCAGCGCAATCAATCAGTTTCGCAGTGACCCACTGCTTGGGGAAGAGACCAGGATTTTGATCCGGAACCTTCGCCGCGTGGTTTTGGAAAGCATGTGTCTATGAATCGAATAACCTCTGTCTATATAAATTGGCGACGCCCACGGCGGTTATAGTGATTTCTTTTGTAGAGTGAAGACTTATTTTCTCGGTGAGGTGTGCTGGGACAATTAACAGACTCAGGTCTCCGCGGATCCCTTCGTGCTTTGCCATTTTCCAAGGATGCTCCTCAGTTTACCCTTCACCATATCCGCAGACTTGGGTCTCTGTGGGACCTTAGGAGGTCCAAGCCTATCATTATGGCTGGAATGCCTTGCTCCTGATGACCCAACCCGGCCAGTCTGGTCTCTGGTTAGAAGCTCCCGAACCGCGCCTTTCTGAATCATCAAACTTTTCAGATGTTCGTAGAAGAGTACCAGCTCTTCACTACGTGTTTCAGTCTCTGTTCTAGGCTGGTACCTGATGGCAAATGGGTCCATGGGATTTGCAGGGGAATACAGAGCTTTAACGGCACCCAAAGGAGAAAATGTGGGCCGGTAGATGCTCGTGTCGTTGGCTTGCCTTTTTTTCGAGACAACTTCAGCGTTGACATCTGCTCCGTGTTGGACAAAGTTAACCAGGAGCCTGGAGTAGGTGTTTGCAAAGCCGCCGAACTCAAAGTTTCTCCAAAACTCTCCTTGCCTTGTTTGGTTGGTCACCCCATACTCAAGCATCAGTTGCCATGCACTCTCCTGTGATATGCCATATCGTGCATTAGGATCAGCGCCTTGATCGAGAAGATAGCTGCAGATGACGGGACAGCGCAGCGCCATGGATTCTTTATCTTGCCTATTGCCTGGCCAAGGACGCCTAAAGAGCATATTGTTGGTCGTGTCGAAAAGCAAGCGGGAAGCTACGGATCGAGCCTGCCCCTGTGGAAGCGAGGAGTGGGTGTATAATTGCTGGAGGAAGTCGGCCAAGCAATAAAACCCCGCCATGGAGTAGAAGTCTATGGGCTTAGCAGCACCACGCAGACTAAAGTCTAAGCCTGTATTCTCGTCGTCAGCCGCATATTCCCACCTAAGCTCCTGTGCGGCGGCCCAGTGAACGTCATTAGTCTCGTAGAACGCCGTTTCTCTCAGGCGCTTCCGCTCTGATTTAGATCCTTTCACGGCGTCAAAAGCATGCCGCGTTATGTAACACGCCTCCGTATCCTCCCAATGGGATGTCATTGTGCGATCCAGCTCCTGAAGTATGCTTGGCAAGACAGGTCTCCCCTCCCTTTCAGCAAGATGAGCATAATGCATGGCACGTTGCATGTAATACCAAATATCACTCTCGTCAAGAATGATAGGTGATTCTCTGAGAGAAGTTTTGCAGAGAAGGACGCAAGAATGGCAGAGCCCCACCGCCGGATGGAATCCTGAATCGACTGTCAGGCTTGAAATCTCCTCCCAGACGTCGGGATATCGCAGGAATTCGACTGCAGACCTGTGGATGAATTCAACGTAGAAATGTCTGATCTTCTGGGAACTGAATAGTCCTTGCAGCTTGAAATTAACAGAACGGAGTTCGAGGATACCAGCGCATCTTGCTCGAATCCTGCCTTCTGTTGAGTCCACGATCTCCTTTTCCCTGGACATTGCAAGGGCGTCGACTGGTAACTGGAGAATCTTAGCGACGTCCCAACCGGCATAGTGCAGCTGCATTGGTGTGAGACGATGCTCTCCTTCCTGCTCTTCAGAAGCCATCAGACACATTTGAAATAGCTCCGATGCTTGTTTCCGATAGATCTGCGGCAAGTGCCTAAACATGGCCGCGTATAGATCCTTGAGCTCCGATGGCAACTCATCCAGACGACGGCGCAGCTCGCCGATGTCATCGAAATTCTGAAGGCCAACCAAGAGCGAGCGAACGACGAGAACAACCCAAAGAAACACGCCACAGGATTTGGTCACAATTTCCTCGACGAAACTTTCCCACTCGCCACCGTGTCTGTACTCCAGTCGTTCTCGCAAAAGCTCTTCGGTATAGCACCGGATATCATCCTTGGTTAGATCCTGGAGCTTCATGTTAGGCAGGCTTTCAAAGGCATTGACACAGACTGGCAATGGCCGACTGGATATTAGGAGTTTGACATTTGGATAAGCTGTGTTAATCGAAGCCAGTAGATTCACGACTTCAGCCTCATCTCCTTCGTACTCATCGATGCCATCTATGAGGAAAAACAAACGGAACTGAGAGCTCGATTGATCCAGCAGCCGGCGAAACCAACGGAGAAGTTCCGCCAGAGACGGAGCTTCCAAACGAATTCTCTTGGCCATGTCGACCCCAAGGATACGGAGCTCGGGCATGACGCTAGGGATCAGGCCAGGATGTTGACAGAGAATGTCGTAGAGCAGTGAGCGCAGTAAGCCCTCTTGAGATTTCTGGAGAGTGGTCCCTAGGTTCCAAAAGAAAAACGAGGCGCACGCTGCTTCATTTTCAGAGCTTCCAGTCCATCTGCGTAAAAGTGCTTTCGTTCTCGGGTCGTTGAGAACGTGTTTCATCAAAGTCGATTTGCCGGACCCAGCCTTGCCGTTGATCCAGTAGCATCCGCTTCCAGACTCAAACCATTGGACTAAGGATGAAGCAGGATGTTCCGCGTCCAGCGTATCGTCCAATATCCAGTTGAACGTGGATGAGTGAGCCTGCTTGACACTGTCATGTCTATCACTATAATATCGAAAGTACAGGCTTCTCAGTGCCATATCCTGGATAGGTTCGAACCCCCGGAGCTCAGCGCGTCCCACTGTACTACCCTCTTCGGCTGTCAGTGTCATCAGGCTCTGAGCATGGGCTTCCGAGCTTCGCTGATATACTCCTTTCGGAGCGATGACATGATTTTCGCCATTTTGGAGCGTCAGAATCGCCGAGAGAATCTGATTGTGCTGTGTAATGTCACGGGCACCCGTCTGATCCAGCCTATTTCGCAGTGTGGCACCCTGATTTCCAAGTTTTTCAAGCCGGTTATTCGTGACAGCCAATACTTGGACGATATTTGAGTATTGCTGGTTCAAGTCATCAAATCGTTGCTTGTGGGACTTGCCGAGATCATTCGTGGTTAAGCTGAGGTGTTGCAGCATACGTAGCACCAACTGGCTTTGGTAGGCTGCCATCTTCTCCATCAATCGAGTGATATCGTCATATTTCCAAGCGGATTGCATTAATGCAATTATCTTAGAGAGAGCGTGGTTGCCTTGTTGAATTCTCTTCAACTTCGCGAAAATTGCTGCAATCTCTCTCGCCACGTCGTAACAGCCTTTGAGAAGGTCGTCGATAGCCTGCAAAGCCTTAAGCTCCCGCACCCTATAGCCACTCGCTTGACAAGCATACTCACATCGTCAACTTGCTGGTGCTGATTGCGAGACGCCAAATCCTGCTCCTGCCTATGTTCGAAACCAGCTGACAAATGGAGAAAATCCGTCGCTATACTGTCGAATGCGATGCCCTGCAAGAGTGAAGTGTCACCAGTCTCGTACAGTTTCTGAACGTCGCGGCATCTCTTTGTCGCAAACTGAACGAACTGAACAACAGCCGCCGCTATGCCTAGAGCAGATATGGGATCCATGACTGGCACTTCCTACGAACAGGAAATAATCAACGGAAAAGATCAGGCTGAGGATTGAGGAAGCGGGGCTATGAAGAGCGGAGGCTGTGCTCAACCTGGTAACATGGCGGCGGCTACGAGTTAATAGGCCCACAGGTACCCGTGGTGATCGCCATTCAGGCTTAGCGCTATTTGATTTTCTTTACCACGCCGCATCTTGGTTCTGTCCATTCTGATGATAATTAGTAGAGCGACCAAACGCCTGGGCAGCCTGGGTCTTTGAGGCAACAGAAATTACTCATTCCTAGCCTTATTCGTGGCAGTTAGCTATGGCTTGACTATTATACGACTCCTTTCTTCCTCAGCTGAATATATGGCTTGCTGTTTTTCAATATCCTGCTGTACTCTTGTCCAAATTCCACCCGTGCCCGAAACAATACGCCCATTGTCCGTCTCTTGTGCAACCTGTCCATCTTGGGGACTTCGACGAAGAACTTAAAACACATTGGATAGAGCTCGAGACGAGGATTTCAGAGGTACCATCAATCTTGTCAGAAATGAAGAATCACGGGAGTTATAGGTGATTGAAAACAGTCTATCTAGAACGATGATGGTGGTGACAAGCCTAGGATCTCGTAGGACTTCACCCCGAAGACGACCCCAATTTTATTAGTATGTCGCTTGAAAATACTTTTTAAAAAGAAATACAAAAGTAGAAATGAAAATAAAAATAAAAAGTACACATTCTCGTAATTACGACCGATTTATCTACCCAAAACAACCTCAAATAGAGGTGTACGACCAGAATTGGTGGAGTTACAGGGGGGGTTACAACAGATACTGCAGATTTGATACAGCACCATTAGCAAGGTCTATTTAATTTCTGAAACCGCACTGGCGAACCCATTGCTCTTCAGTAGTCCCAATTACCTAAGAAAATTTCCCAAGGGGTTGGGCCTTAGACCAGGCGTCTCTTGCGGCAACATATCTCTAGTAAATGGCCTGCGAATCATCATATCTCAAACACGGGCTAGTGACTGCCACCGGGGTTGACGATGTGGACCTCACTGGTCATGTCATTGAACAGGAAGCTGGCTTGGTGAACGATCGTATACCTGTCAGATACCTGAGTTAGCGGTATTTCTTATCCTCGCAGCTAGCTCAGAGTCAGCAGTCAAATGCAGCAGAATTTGTTCCTCGACTAGTTCATCGCTGATTGCTCTTGGTCCAATTCTACGTTTATGACTGGCAGAGCTATCAGATCTGAACATATATCTCAGCAGACAGTCCTTTAACACTGTTGTATGCCCTAACACATGAAACTTGCTACAAAGTGGTGGTGCCTTTGATGATGGAGTAGCAATTTCGAATCCACTCAACTCTCGCCTAACAGTTGGTAACGGCAAAGACGAAGAAGAAGCGACTGCATCTATACGTTAGCGAGGATCCAACAGCAACCGAGGGGTATCTCCACGAGCTAAATGCCAGCGTGAATGGAAATCTTCAAGTTCCAAGGCTTTATCGTATGCCAATAGGCCTTCTAGCTTATGAGCACAAGGTAGCACTTGAGATCGAGTGAAGGCGCCGGTACATAGTGGCAAAAGCGGTGGATTGCTTTCAAACAACATTTTTGGCTGTGCCTCGACCTTTCGGAGGGCTTCGTGCGATACCCAACCACGTACCATGCTATACAGTACTTCCGAGTGTTCAACAGGAATTCGGATTTGTTCTTTGACTTGGTTCTCCCGTAGCTCTGTGAGCTGGTTTTGTAATGCATTTTTGATAGCTCTCCAGGCGTCAAAGAGATTTAAGGTAGACAGACACCTTTAGGTGACTTATCAATAGCCAGCGGATACCCTCATTTTGTGAAGAAACGACGTTGTCAAAATGCCGGCCCAGAGAAGTCTCGAACATTCATCAACACATCAGACCTATATTGTCGAGATACCCCAAATGAAGATACTGAATTTTGCGAAGGAGAGAAAGAAAAGCAAAATTTGACATCCTTATATGACATTGCCACACGCAGCATGGCGTTGTGGCACTCATCGATGGCCAATGAGACAACGAGCTTAAATTAAGTTTTGGCTAGAAATGTTCGAGACAGCGTAGCCTCTGCACTGCAATTTTAACCCTCACGAAAGGGATGGCAGCCCAGGCGAACTTTCAAAAACATTTCTTGGTATACTATACACTAGTTTTCCGTTCAGCCCCAACGCGGATGATGAATCATACCAATATAAAAGGCTTTCATCCTCAACGAACGATGCATGAATAGGAAGACGTCGCCTTAACGTAGTTATTATTAGCGTAGGGACCAGTCACCAACGCCACACAGCTTGAGCCGCAGTCGGCTCCACGGAAATCGTAGTTCACAAATGTAACAATGCTTCTTGCCATATAAAATAATATCTATCCACAGAAACGCCACTGATGCCCCCCTTACACTGAGTTTTGCTAACCGCGCTTGGCGGCGCGCTTGCGCTGTGCCTTCTCGCGCTCGTAGATGTTGGCCTCGCGGCCCTCCTCGCCCTGGATCTCGGCGACGAGGCGCTTGTACTTCTTCTCGTAGGCGGCGTCCTTGGCCTTCTTGATGCGCAGCTTCTCGCGGGCGGTGAAGCTGGCGTCCTTGCGCAACTCGCGCATGGCGCCCTTGCGCTCGCGCTTGTGCTCGGCCTTGAGCTTGTTGAGCTCGGCCCGCTCCCGGTCCGGGTCGTAGTGCTTGTCCGGGTCGAACTGGTCCTCAAACTTGGGGATGTTGCTCTTGATGGCCAGCGGCCGGTGGTGGTGCAGCTCCAGGGTCCGGCGCTCCATGCGCGCCAGCTGCAGGAGGCCGTCGAGCTTCGTCTTGGTCTTGGCGATCTGGCTGTTCAAGCCCTTGGGGAACTGAGACCGGCAGGGCTTGCTGGCGAGATGCTCTAGTACGTTTGCGGCTTGTTGGAAGGTCTCGAAGAACGAGGCCTTGCCTGTCCAGACATTGGCGGCAGAGTCTAATAGCTTGACCGTGGTGTCTACAAGTGCGATCTTGGCGTCCAACTGTCCGTCCTCCTTTGAAGACTCGATGCAATCAGAGGTTTTCAGCTTCCGCACGGCCACATTGCCAGCCTTCTGAATGCGTGTTCCTTCTACTGGCTCGTGTACTGGGAAAAAGCCGAGCTTGTCCTTTGACTGGACTGGTGCCAGGGCAGCCAGAGTGTTGAGACTGAAGTTGACCAGCTCTGGGACATATCTCTTTGATACTGTCTGATATTGCGCCGCCAGAATGGATAGGTAGGAGCCGGTAGTGTAATCGGACAACTGGCGAGGAATCTTCATACCAAGATAGCGACATATTGTCAACAATGCTGGCGTGACGACTTGGTGGAAGTGATCAGATGTAGGGAAGATGGTTCCAATGGTGGTTAGGATGATGAGGTCTCCAACGCTCAGATCGAGAGGCCGCTTTGCCATGTCCTCGAGATGTGACCTCAGCTCAGTACCAATCTCGACAGCATATGTCTTGGCAAGCGAATGTACGTGTCGCATGAGGCTCTCGATCGTCTCGAACGAAGGCCGCTTCTGGAGCGCCATATATGACAAGTGCTGAACAAGTATTCTGGCGAAAGCTCCCAGCTTGGCTTTGTTACCGCTGTCTAATTTGGAGTGGTGAAGAGCACGAATGCGCTGAACCACGACAGGCAGCTTCTCGACTGGAACAGACTTTGTCATGCTTAGGAAGTCTTCATGTGTCTGTGGACAGGAGAAGACGTAGGGCAGGCCATCTGCATCTTCCTTCGTACTCGCACGATCAGCGACGCCGTCAGGTTTTAGGGTGAAAGCCGGGTTGTTCGCTTCCTCTTCGTTCAGTAGCCCCTTGGTGAACTCATCATCATCGTCTTCACCATCCGCAGAGGCATCGTCGTCCGAAGATTCCTGTTCGCTGAGGGATATGTCGGAGCCCTCCGCAACTAGGTTATCTTCTATTAAAAAGTCGTCTTCGTCATCGAAGCCCAACTCCGTAGCTGTAGGCCGCAGTTTGAGGCCCTTGCCAAGCCCAAACGTGTCCTCCTCTTCTTTCTCGATGAACTGGATCGGCCCGTTGGCTGGTTCCTCGTCTTCCATGTCGGAAGCGTCGTCCTCACTTTCGCTCTCGGGTGCGCCTTCCATTCTCCTCCGCCTCTTCTCCTCGAGCTCGCGTAGCTTGTCCGCTTCATCAGCGATCCGCTCCTCTTCCGTCTTTGTCCTGTCTGTGGGCTGAGCTCTTCGATCCTCGGCCAATTGCTTGACGCGGAGATCGTATTCCTTGTCGAGCTTGATCCTCTCGGCAGTCTTCTGGGCCTCGGTGGAGGACTTGCCTGTGTTGAACAGGAGCTGGTGAAGTTGTGGTAGTTCTTGGTCGATCTCCATGCGCAGGTCCTCGTCATCTTCCTTGACAGCTTGCCGCTCGGCCTTGTAGAACTTTGACTTGGCGATGACTTCCTTCATGACCTCTGCCTTGGTCTTCTTCCTCTCGGGTTGTTCGTCTTCTTCTTCCGGCCCACCCTCGGTCATCAGCTTCCTCTTCAAGTATGCCTTGCGCCCCTCGTCGTCGTCGTCAGAGCCGGCATCCATGTCGTCGGCCTCGTAGTCGTCGACAATACCAGGCCCATCCAGCGACAGCGATTTGCCCATGTGGGTGAGTCCGAAGCCCTCCCCGCCATCGTCATCTTCCAAGTCGAAGGCGGCGCGCTTGTGCGACCGTTGCTTTTCGAGGGCGAACCGTTGGAGAGCCTTCTCCTCGGGGGTCATGTCGGCATCGTCCTCGCCGAAACGGCGATCCAGAATGCCGCCGACCTTGTTCCGGCGTTGCATCTCGAGCAGGAGGGTCTGTCGACGCTTCTCTTCGCCGACGGCCCTGGCCTCGCTGGGGCGGCCAAAGATGCCCTTGGCGGCATTGCCGACGGCGGGACGGTTGCTCGTGACTTCGAACTTGGGTCCGCGAACATTGTGCTTCAGGTCGAAGGGGTTGAACTGCTCGCGAATGCCGTCGAGCTTGGTGGCGCGGCTGAGGCGCTTGTCGCCCTTGGCTCGTTCGTCCAGGGCATTGCGCTTCTTCTGCTTCTTTGACTGCTGGGGGCCAATGATGCCTTGGTCTCGAAGCGAGGCCTTGAGCCTCTTTAACTGCGAGCCGGCCATGGCGGATTGTGCAGTCGATTCGTCCTGGATTGACCGGCGGGCGAGGGGTCGTGATGCTCTCTCGCTCTCGTCGGTATATTTTTTTCTGGGGACTTGGGGGGAAAAATCACTTTCTTTATCGCCTATCGCTTATCGAAGCGCAGGCCTGGTCTTGGTCTCGGTCTTGGTCTTGGACTTGCTGCGCGCCCCGCCGGAGCCCCACTTCTGCTCTTCCGCTAGGCCCCTTCCAACTTTCCTGCAGCAGACGACCTCTGAGCTTATTGCAGCCTCTCGAGGTCCAGCTTCGAGCTCTCGAATCACCGATTTCTAGGTCCAGGACTTCATGATCCGCTTTGAGATGCTGCTTTCAGGCACGCTGTTGGTTTAGCAGTATCTCTCCTGCAGCACTCGGCTTCGCTTCTCCGTACCATCTCGCGAAGCATGAGGTGACGGCAGCATGGGAGTCCTCTCATCGTTACGAGATGAGCGCCTCGTCTTCTTCGGCCTCGGTCTCGCGACCGTGGGCTTCATCGGCATGATGCGCCTCATCCTGGAGCATTACCGCGATGAAGTCGAGATCAAGCCCAGGTCCCCCAAGACGCAGTACATCACCCAGGCGACAGAGGATGCTTTGGACCTGCACACCCTCAACAGCCTCCTCGACCACTACAATCCCACCATCCGGGACACTGCCACCAGGATTGTCGTCGGCAGGGCCGTCAACGATGCAGACACCATCCGCTATCTGCTGATTGGCATTACCCGCCCCAACTACGACGAGCGCGAGAAGTGCCTGCGGGCCCTCGTTTTCGCTGTGGAGGAAAGAGAGTCCATGCACGAGCCGTTGAAAGCCCTCAACACCCCCAAAGCCTACGCTGCCATCGTCAGGTGTCTGGAGCTTTGCCTGGCCGACAAGGAGCGTGGCAACCTCAACGACCTCCTATGGGACGAGTACCACCTGCGCGATGTCAATGAGCGGCGTTGCATCATGTTGGTTCAGCAATTGATCAATGCATACGGTGCCAAGATGCTCGTGGCCGCCAACTTTATCGAGAGATGGCTTGTGAAACAGGACTGGGGCGATGGAGACGAAGAGCGCCAGCGCAACTTTAGCACCTACATCAGTCGCAGGAAGAACCGCCTCAGCGATGTCTGCTCCGCGTTGACGGCCTTCAAGGAAGGCCGCAAGGCCCTGAGACAGAATAAGTTGCTGGGCAAGGGGCGCAGCGGCCCTCGCGACGGGCCAGACAACGGCGGCATCAAGGTCATCCTGGAGATAAGCATGTCGAACGAGGATGAGAACGGTGAGATCCAGCAGGAGAACTTCCAGACTGAGCTGGTCCCTAGAATTATGGACCAGAGCGACGAAGAGCAGCGACGACGCAGACGCCACCGTGAGGCTATAGTACTGAACGACGGGACGCACTCTCTTGGGAGAGGGGACATTATCGAGCGGGAGCACGACTCGCATGCCTGAAGCTCAGCTAAGGGGCTGAGAAAGCGGACTATTCTCTCTCTACGACCAAGTTTCGTGCAGTGGACATTATTCCATGAAACATGAAAACAAGCATTCCTCCGAGCCAAAAACCATACATCTAACTACGGCAGACTCGATGCCATTGCGAAGGCTCATGGGAGATATCCGCCTGAAACAGCCCTCAGCCAGCCCTTTGCGGGTTGGGAGGGACAATCCTGGAGAACTGTGGTCTACTGTGAAGAGATGGCCTACATCATAAGAGGGCAACAGAGAATGAGCCTGTTGCGGATAATTGATCGCGGCAAGGCATGCTTCCCTTGGAGCCGGGCTGCCAAGACCTACCGTACGGTCGGTCGGAGTTCCTTGGATACAGCACCTCGTATCCTGTCTTTAGTCTAGGGATTGTAACTCGTACGAAGGTTGAAGTACGGGGTCGGACTTTGTATATTAGACGTCGCATAAACTTGGTGTACAACTACTCGCGGCAGAGTTGACGGTGACACCGCCGTCGAAGCAATCCAAATTTCGACTTGCAACTCAGTGTCGTACCAGCGCCAAATGATTTGTAAATGTCGCTGTTACCCTATAGCTCATTGCGGAAATAGGTGCGGCTGGAAACTTCGTCTGAACCCTGGAAATGCTTGTGCTCGGTTGACAGCCGGGCTTGCCGGGTTTTAGCGGTGCGACAGCCGGGACAGGGCTCAAATAAGGCCACGGACGTTGCCTGGATCACCCTTGGACGCGTTCCCGGCTCCAGGGGTAAGCTGCTGGCCTAGGCTGCGATGCACTGACCCAAGAGCCCCAAAAATAATCAGAAGCAGCGCAGAAGAATTTGTCAGGTCTATGAACTGATCTACTCAAGGTTGATTGTGGTTCTGGAGTTGAATTTTCTCGCGATAGTGCTCACAGCTGTTCTGTTCTTCGTAGGCGGGGAGACCACTGTCCGATGGATCCTCCCACGCGTTGTAAACAAACCCCAAAGTAAACATTGGGCAGCGCTTCCGCACCGCTTAATCTACAATGGAGGGCCAATAGAACCTCAGTCTGCAAGCGACTGCGCTACGCCGCGCATGTTGGCGTTGCAGCAGCTTCCCCGATCGCCTCTAGCCACATGACTAGCTACATGGCGGGATTGCAGGAGTAAATACTTGGAGCTATAGGATTCGCTGCGGGTGGTGCGATGATGCAACAGGGTCAACAAAGGCCGGGACCCTTGCTGTTCCTGGCGGTGTAATTATATCTACAGCCCACGGTTGATTCGGCGGGATGGCTTACGAAGGGGGCGCTGAAACCCGCAAGAGACGACGTGGTGAGCTGCAGCTGCCGGTGATATATGACAAGACGCAGCTCGGATATCCTGCTGGAATTAATAGGACCGGCCAGCAGCGAGGACGAGGCCGCATCTTTTGTTTCGTTCTTCTCAGATACTCTGCTCGTCTTAGACCGCCTTGCGGCTCGACTCAACTCAACGGACCCTCAGTCACGCGGATAGTCCCATGCCGATTGTCCACTCTCCCCATCCGTGGCTCAGCAACGGTTCAACCCCAGGCTGCCCAGCTCCCACTGTCACCGTGCAGAGGCTGCTTAGTGTCTTTTCTGATTTTCTTGAAGAAGCGTTGAGGAGCGAGTGAGGCGAGGCTTCATCTCTTCTCATCTCTTGACAGCCACGGTCCCGTGTTGAGCCCGAGTTGCGATTTGTAATTCCCCAGAAAGCGCAGGCAAACTCTGGCTGTGAACGCCCCATTCTCGAGCTGGAGGAAAACAAACCAGAGCCTGAATGCCGGGTTGCTCTTTTCTTTATTAGATTGCTCTACCTCCCCAGCTTTGCCATCATCCCTCATCGGACACCAGGACACGGACGACACCGAACCCTCGATTTCCCCAGTCAAGATTTTACCAGTCTGCTCTAGTCTGGAGGATGCGTCCGCCGGCCTACACATAGATCTTGGCTCTACAATTGCCAAACAAAGTTACAAACAGAGTTGACGAAACCATTGACTTGGTTTGTTAGCGCAATCGCTCCCGAGCCTAGGGTGCTTGTGCGTGACACTTGTAGCACACAAGCTTCCAGGTACGGACGACGGGCCTCTGTTGTCGCGACCTACCTACTGCTTGGGGTCTGGTCGGGATTTGGAGCCAGCGGATTGGAGGCTCGCGGGCTTAGGGGGGGTCAACAAAGCGGCGAGATCGCTAGCCTCTGGCTTAGGTAGCACCTGAGCGCGCGCCCCAAGCTCCCCAACCGCAGCCCAGGGGGGCCCCCGAAATGCCCATGGCATCTGGGTCGGTCGCCATGTCGCCAGCCGCGACACCCTCAAACTCCTCCACCCACTACGCACAAAGGGCCAAAACACTGTCGCGGGCCACGGGTAGAAAAGCAGTGGGCGCCGTCAGCTCGACCTCATCGCCCAACCTCAGCTCGCTCTTCTCGGCCCATTCCAAGCTCGCCCCGGGAGGCCCCGGCTTGCTGGCGCGCAAAGGCTCCTACGCGGCCCTGACCCCTGGGTCCCTGGCCTCGATTCCGGATGACAGCGAGAACTACCCCTTCGACACCGTCCTGAACCCGAACCCGCCCTCGCCCTCGCGCAGCATGGCGCCCCTCACTCCGGGACGCGCCGGAGCCGCCGACGACTTCTTTGTCGGCGACATCGTCGACGTGCCCGGCAGCATGCACGGCACCGTCCGCTTCTTGGGCTCGGTTGACGGGAGGAAGGGCACGTTTGCCGGCGTTGAGCTGGCGCCGGACTTTGCGGCGCGCGGGAAGAACAACGGCGACGTGGACGGGTGAGTCTACTCCTGACATGAAGTCATTGTTTTTGGGCCTTCTTTGGCGTCCTCCCTTGCTCTGTTTTGACCCATCGCTGACCTATGCGCGCTGCCAGGATATCGTACTTTACCACCTCGCAACCCGGCGCTGGCATTTTCGTACCCGTCACGAAGCTGTTCAAACGCGCCTCAGGCACGTCTTCCGGCATAGCCACCAACACCTTCCCCCGAACTCCGAGCGCCCTCAAGGCTGCGGGCCAGAACACGATCAACTACACCCCGCCCACTCCCTCTTTACCCAAATTCAGTCAGTCGGTTGGGCCAGCAAGGGCCCCAAGCCCGTCGGGCAAGCACCCCCGAGTCTCACTACCGCGGCCTGAGTCGCCCGTCCGCCGCCTGCAGCTTACACGTCCTTCGACCGCGACGCCGGGTCCGAAAGCAGGGCCTCCGCGATATGGAACGCCTTCCATCAGCAAATTCGGCTCGAGCGTCCGCGGTACCGCTGGAGACCCGGCCAAGCCCCCCTCCCGATTAGAGCGCAAGCCCAGTCTGCAGCCTCGAAGCGCGTCCTCTCTCGGCCAGGCGCGTAGTGCGTCTGCTTTTGGCCAGGCTGGAACCAACTTTAGTGAAGATGAAACCACGCCTGTGGGCAACCGCACCAAGACGAATGGAAGTGTTGGGTCTATTGGGAGCTTGAAGATGCGCCCGGCCTCTCGCGCCGCCGCTGCCGAGGATGAAGAGATTGAACGTCTCAGATCGCAACTTGCTGATCGCGACCGACAGCTCAAGGACCAAGCGTCTGCACTGGCTGAGATGGAGAGCAGTGTTACGGAGCTTACATCGCTGATGGAAAACACCGACATGGGACCACCTAAGAGGAACAGCCACGACGACAAGGACACATCCCAGCTCAGAGCCTTGCTAAGGGAGAAGAACGAGAAGATTGCGATGCTGACTGCGGAATTCGACGCGCACAGGGCCGATTTCCGCAGTACTATTGATACCCTAGAGATGGCCAGTACGGAGACGCAGCGGGTATACGACGCTAGGATCCGGGAGCTCGAGCAGGAGATACATGAATTACAGGACCGCAACGAAGATGTAGACAGCGTCGCGCGTCAGTTGAAGCAGCTGGAAGAACTGGTCCAGGAGCTCGAGGAGGGTTTGGAGGATGCTCGCCGCGGCGAAGCAGAGGCGCGCGGAGAGGTTGAGTTCCTGCGAGGGGAAGTCGAGAGGACACGGGCGGAGTTAAGAAAGGAGCGTGAAAAGGCATCTGCCGTCATCAACGGAGGCTCCAATGTTGGAGATGCTGCATCCAAGGAGCTGGAACAGAAGGAGGACGAGATTAGAGGTCTCAAAGCCATCATCCACTCCCTCAGCAGAGACGGTATGGCCAGCAACGACTCCGCCGACAAGACACCGGTACAGCCGCAACGCAACCACTCTTTTACCAAGTCCGGCACCGACTCCATCGCCAAGGAGAAGCTGGAACGCGAGGTTAACGAGCTACGGGCCATCGTGGACAACAAGAGCAGCCGGGAGGAAGAGCTCGAACGTGAGCTCGAGGTCTTGCGTCGCAACAGTGCAACGACTCACCGCGGCAGCGCTATGACCATAGGCAGCATCGACCGCTCGTCGTATCGTGACTCCAAGGGCACTGTCATTCTTGCACGTGAGCCCCGGTCACCTGAACACAAGCGAGTCCCTACCATGGAAACCATGCCCGAGAGCGATGCATACTCCTCCGTCACCGAGAGTAGCACCCTCTGGTGCGAGATCTGCGAGACCGGCGGCCATGACATCTTGACCTGCTCGAATATGTTCGGCAGCCAACAGGAGCAGAGCAAAGGCAACCCCACGACAGCAAAGACTGGGAAGGACGTGGTAAAAGAAGGCCTTTCGAACCTGAACGTGCCCGGCGCCGACGCGGAATTCATGCCGCGGCCGTTGACGCCTGTTAAGTCCACGCCGGCAACACACCCGCCGCCCGCCAACGTCAAGATATTACCGAACCCCACCGATTCGGGGCCCCTGGCAGGCAAAGACAGCGGCGTCGTTGACCCAGAGAAGTGGTGTGCATTGTGCGAGCGCGACGGCCACGAGAGCATCGACTGTCCGCTCGAGGATGCTTTCTAATATCGCTCTCGGCCTGCTTCCTCCTCATCCTACCATTGATGCCCTGCGCTTTCCCATTCATTTTCCTGCCCCCGGGGGGATATGCGAGCACTATGCGCGCCTGTGCGGCTAGTTTATGCTTTTGAAAGCGATGATACCACAGTTTTCTGTCCCCTTCTACACTGCTTCATGCCTTACCTCGCCAACGTTTATTGCGTTTCTACCGAATGTTCTTTGTGATGGGAAAGGGGGATCGACCATGCGGGGATCGATCATCTAATTTGCTTGCTGCATGGACTGCATGGATAGGTCTTCTATGATTATGACATGACTGATGCGGCCTGTCTTGGTCAGGGAGTAGAAAGAGACAGAAGGGGGCAAGAGTCTTGTAGAGATAGAGCGCGAGGGTTGGCGTAACCTTGCGCGGACGTGTAATACAAGGAGTTATGGCTTCAGGTGTGGCTTGGTGATTGCAATGTGATGGCTAAGCGCGATTGTGTCTTGAGATGTTGCGATTTGTACATATTCCTATGCCTCAGACGGTTTCGCTCATTGTATTCTCAACCGAAGTCGGCGTAGGAGTTGTACAAGGGCGACGCCGATTTATCATGTGTCTCGGCCAAACAGATGCGCTGGTGTTATTTATGAATATATACCCGCCCCGTGATCTTTTCTAAGGGTGAAACTTGACAATTGATCCTACAGTCTACTAAAGCACTACCTACACCGTCAGACCAACTCGCTGGCTAATGAGACGATACAAGGCTCACACGGTCTACGGCACGCCCATCTCATTGGCAGAGTCGGTGGAAATCCGTATCAAATGGAGCAATCGTGCAGCCTCGCTGTCACACAATTGCACTGCCTGGAGCAGGACCAAGGTAGTTGTCGATGCGACCGATCGAGAGCCATGACCTTGAGGGCTGAGCGCCTTCCGCTTTTCTGTCGTATGACTGGGTTCAAGACTTATTATCATCTGTTTGTTTAATCTTCCGGTCCTCTCCTGGACAACATATGGCAGCAGGAAACGACATTGCTGGCGGTCCTGTGCAGGTCTCAGGCTCAACGGGGCACGACGCCTTGACACAACCATCAACGCCCGTAGCCCAGGCCCAGGCCCAGTGCTACAGACAGCCTCGTGCCTTCAAACCTGAGCAGGTAGTCGTCAACTTGGTGCGTGGGCGCTGCACCTGCCTGGGCAAACGTCGACTTCGGCCTCGGGGCGCGGTGATCGTGACTCCCTGGCCCTTCTCCATCATACGATCCGCACGCCGCCCAGGTGCTCATAAGACACCGGACGCCCTCAGAACTGGTCCAGGCTGACTCTTCCTCTTGCCACCCTCGTCTCCAGCATCCCATCGCCTCATCGCCAGCCTTTATTTCTTTTCTACTCCTTCTTCTCCCGGTATCGTCACTCGCTCCTAGTGTTATCCCTTTGCCCCCGAGCGGCCGATTGCACAGATTCGCAGACTTGCGCGCGCGCAAAGAAAAGGCTCGAGACCAGACAGCTCGTCATACAGACGAAATACCTACCAGCAGGACCTGTGGGATAACAAGTGGTTCTCTCCCGGGCCATTATCATCATCATCAAGAGTTTGCCCAACATGTGGTAAGGTTCAGGTTTGGATATGTGCTCAACGTTTTCTCCCCTGAAATCCGACGACTACATATACCGGTAGCCTACTGCCCACTTATCCACCCTGGCAACCTGGTACCCTCTCGTCTACGTCACTCCACTTCCTCCACCCCCTCCCGCAGCTATTTTGGGCCTCCCAGACTGCCTCTTCAGGTATGGCGCTCCCCGCAAACCACCAGTTTCAGGCCGACGCAGGTCCCCGCATAGTGGTGCGTTGCGCCGGCTTGGAGCTCTCTGGCTCCAGTCCAGGGCCGGGTAGCTCCAGAGAAGCTTCCCCCAGCTGACGCCCGTCTTCCCCATCCCTCCATCGCCTCCCCTCTTGGCTGTTGTTCTCGTGATCCTCCGCGGCCGTGCAACCCCAACTACCCATATCCGATTGCTTTATCGAAACAACTATATCTGGGCCCCCTCGAGTCCCTCTTCGCACTTACACTGCTTGACGACCGCCTCGAGCTGTTGAATGGCACGCTGACCGAGCTGTGATCTCTGTGTAGCGACCACAATCATTCGGTTCCGGCCGACGTCTTCCTGTCCCTCGTAAACCAAGTCGCCCACCTCGGCACCACCGCCAACATGGGTGGCGAGCGCGGCACACAGCCTAAGGGCGCTTCTGCTGCGGTCGCGACGTCCAACTATCCCGCCCAGGCTACCGGCCCCGTCGGCAAGCGGATAAGCAAGATCTACAAGGAGCGAATCACCCAGTTCTACTCCACCGGACAATGGGAGAAGCAGAACCTCCTGGCCATGATGTACGAGGGCAAGGCCTCGGGCGATCCTCACGTCCGCCTGTGGACCTGGAAAGCCCCTGGCTTGACTCGCCCGACCTTTAAGGAAGCCATGCAGGGCGAGTACGAGCCAACACAGGTTGGCGCGCCGTTCGGGCCCTCGTGGACAACCCACTGGTTCAGGATCAAGATCACGGTGCCCAAAGACCTGCTCGACAAGGAGCATCTGGAGTTCCAGTGGGACGCCAACAACGAGGGAATGGTCTGGACCGAGGACGGCAAGCCGCTGCAAGGTCTCACCGGCGGTGGTGAGCGCACCGAGTGGATCCTGCCCAAGGCATTCCGCGATGGCAAGGAGCACACATTCTACATCGAGATGGCCTGCAATGGCATGTTCGGCAACGCTAACGGCGACTCGATCCAGCCTCCCGACCCGAACAAGCAGTTCGTCTTGACCAAGGCTGAGATCTGCGCTGTCAACATGGACGCCCGCCAGCTCTGGATCGACACGTGGATCATCGGCGACGCCGCAAGGGAGTTCCCCGAGGACTCCTGGGAGCAGCACAAGGCCCTCAACGTCGCTACAAAGATCATTGACAACTACAGACTCGGCGACAAGGAGTCCATCAAGGAGTGCCGCAAGATTGCCGAAGAGTACATTGGCGCCAACGTCAATTCCTCCAAGGTTTACGACAGCGACACGGTGCCCCAGGTATTTGGCATTGGCCATTGCCATATCGACACCTGCTGGCTATGGCCGTGGGCAGAGACCAAGCGCAAGGTGGCGCGATCCTGGTCCAACCAGTGTGATCTGATGGAGCGCTACCCCGAGCTGAACTTTGCTTGCTCGCAGGCCCAGCAATACAAGTGGCTCAAGAAGTACTACCCTTACGTGTTCGACCGTGTCAAGACGAAAGTCAAGGAGGGCAAGTTCCACCCTATTGGCGGTAGCTGGGTTGAGCACGACACCAACATGCCGAGCGGTGAATCGCTTGTTCGTCAGTTCCTGTACGGACAACGGTTCTTCCAGAGTCATTTTGGAGAGCGATGCAGAACGTTTTGGCTTCCCGACACTTTTGGATATTCGAGCCAACTTCCGCAACTCTGCCGCTTGGCTGGCATGGATCGCTTCCTCACTCAGAAGCTCAGCTGGAACAACATCAACAACTTTCCCCATACCACATTCAACTGGGTCTCACTGGACGGCAGCCAGGTCATCTGCCACATGCCCCCGTCCGAGACGTATACTGCCGAAGCCCACTTTGGTGATGTGAACCGCAGTATATCTCAGCACAAGTCCATGGACCAGGACCACACTTCCTTGCTCGTCTTTGGCAAGGGTGATGGCGGCGGCGGTCCTACTTGGCAACACATTGAGAAGCTCCGCCGGTGCCGTGGTATCAGCGATGAGGTTGGTCGTCTGCCTCGTGTCCACATGGGCAGCACCGTCGACAAATTCTTCGATAAGCTCCAGGAAAAGGGCACGTCGCTGGTCACCTGGTATGGCGAGCTGTATTTTGAGCTTCACCGTGGCACCTACACCACACAGGCCAACAACAAGCTGAACAACCGGAAGATGGAGATCTTCATGAGAGACCTCGAGCTGCTTGCTACCATTGCATCGATAGAGCACAAGGATTACAAGTATCCTAAGGCAGAGTTTGATGAGATCTGGGAGGGCATCCTGCTATGTCAGTTCCACGACTGTCTCCCCGGCAGTTCGATTGAGATGTGCTACGATGATTCGGATGAGGTAAGGACACTGCCTGGGAATTTATTGACGCAATGCTAACCAATTTGCAGCTGTACGCCGATATTGCCGCCATCGGCCAACGTATTCTCAAGGACATCTACAAGCGCTACGGAATTTCCGAGGTGCAGCCGTCCTCAGTCACCGATGCGGCGGCTGTCAACACCATGCCTTGGCACCGTAAGGAAGTCGTCGACATCTCCGATACGCAGAGTGGCGTTGCCTGCGGCTCCGGTAACTTGCTGAGTGTCAAGCCCTTCAAGACTGGTGAGAAAAAGGCCGTCACGGTCAAGGAAGTTGGCAAGGGTGTTTTCGTCATGGAGAACGATCAGCTCACCGTCAAGGTTGAGGCGGGCTGCGTCACATCTCTCATCGACCGCAAGAGTGGACGTGAGGTCATTTCCAAGGGCGGAAAGGCTAACCAGTTTGTCTTGTTCGACGACAAGCCCCTGTACTGGCAAGCCTGGGATGTCGAGGTCTACCACCTTGACACTCGAAAGGAGCTTCCCTCGGGCGAGACCAAGATCTACGAGGACAAGGAGCACCGTGTCAGCGTCGTCACCGAGACCAAGATCAGCGAGGAGAGTTCGCTCAGGTCCATCCTGACCCTGCATGCTGCTTTTGACGGCCAGCAATCGTACGTCGAGTGCACTACAACTGTGGATTGGCACGAGACGATGAAGTTCCTCAAGGTTGAGTTCCCCGTCGACGTCATCAACAACGAGGCGAGCTACGAGACACAGTACGGCATAGTCAAGCGCCCAACGCACTACAACACGACCTGGGACATGGCCAAGTTCGAGGTCTGCTGTCACAAGTTTGCCGACCTCTCGGAGCATGGATTTGGAGTGTCCATCCTCAACGACAGCAAGTACGGATTCGCCACTTGCGGTAGCCTGATGCGACTGTCCCTTCTGCGTGCGCCCAAGGCCCCTGACGCCCATGCCGACATGGGAACGCACAAGATCCGATGGGCTATCCTGCCGCACGAGGGCGCTCTGGGTGCCACGACGGTGCGCACGGCATACAACTTCAACAACCCCATGAAGATCGCCACGGCAGGTGCTGACGTCCGCGCCGCCCTGGCCTCGCAGCCGGTGAAGCTGAGCGGTGACTCATCCCTCATCCTGGACTGCGTCAAGCGTGGCGAGGACGACGAGGACGTGTCGCAGGACGACAACATCCCCAAGCGCAAGGGCAAGAACGTGATCCTCCGCATCTACGACAGTCTGGGTGGTCACAGCCGCGGCACCGTCTCGACCATCTGGGACGTGAAGAAGGTGCACAAGACCAACGTGCTCGAGGACGATCTCGAGGAGGTGGAGGTCGCCAAGGACGGCAGCTTCCAGGTCAAGCTCCGGCCCTTCGAGGTTGCTACCTATAGACTGGAGCTGTGAGCAGTAGTGCTATGACCGTGGATGGTGGAAGTTCTGCATGCGTGGGTGGAGTGCGAGGTGCTGGGGTGGTATTTCCAGGACGGCGCGCATCGCGATCCGGCCGGGCGCATCGATGTGGGAATGACCAGCGGAGCATGAGGTGTCTTATGGATAGCATTTCTTCTCTTTCCCCGTAGACCGGACCAATCCCTACTTTTTTTTTTTTTTTGCAGATGGGTGCTGACAGTGCTGGTTGTTGCATGGTAGCATTTTGATGACTATGACGGTGATGAATGGGAGTTTGCAATTGACAAGCGATTTGATGAAGGACTCGTCTGACTATGCCATGCCTTGATCTGACCGTGTATGTATAAGTATTATGCTCTGCTACTTCCATACCGCGTCGTGACACACAATCATAGTGCCCTGTGCAGGAACTTGGTACCTATTTGATGAGAACCAACATGGATCAGGGGGGATAAAAGAGTGATAGAGACGGGTGCTTAGGTGTGTGTCCAGGAGGTCGTATCCATGGATTCTATGGGGAGTTAGTTCATGGCGTCGCTTTATCGATAATGGGCTCTTGGCCCCCTCCGTACCTGATCACCCGCTCCACTGGCCTCCAGGTGCGCAGCTTCTCTGCCCGCGCGACGAGTCGCACACACTCGCCCCACTTTTGAGGGCAAAAGTTCGGGCCGCACCAAAAATTGGCCAGCGACTGCCCAATTCGAAATTCGAACGCCGGCGCTGCTCACGAAAGTTTGCGAGAGAAACATCACCAACAATCCGCCTTTTCGCATATCACCCCCCGACCCCCAACGCGAAAAATTGCTGTTACCCTTAAAGTCCGTCTTCATAAAAATAAGAAGAAATGGTGGGTAACAAGTCTGAGTACTTCGGCAAGCTGAAGAGCCTGCTCGAGGAGTACAAGTCCGTCTTCATTGTCACGTAAGTTTTTTTTTACCCTCTGCCCCCGTCCCTCTCAGCCCGTAGTCCCAGGTCCCGACTTGGTCTCGAGTCGACGGGGGGACAAACACAACTCGCACATGGGCTCACGCGCGATCGCTCCAGCGTCGACAATGTCTCCTCGCAGCAGATGCACGAGGTCCGCCAGTCCCTCCGTGGCGAGGCCGTCGTCCTGATGGGCAAGAACACCATGGTCCGCCGTGCCCTCCGTGGCTTCATCGCCGACACCCCCGAGTACGAGCGCCTCCTGCCCCACGTCAAGGGCAACATCGGTTTCGTCTTCACCAACGGTGACCTGAAGGACATCCGTGACAAGATCCTGGCCAACAAGGTCGCCGCCCCCGCCCGTGCCGGTGCCCTGGCCCCCGCCGACGTCTGGATCCCCGCCGGAAACACCGGCATGGAGCCCGGCAAGACCTCTTTCTTCCAGGCCCTCGGTGTCCCCACCAAGATCGCCCGTGGTACCATTGAAATCACCACCGACCTGAAGCTCGTCGAGGCCAACAGCAAGGTCGGCCCCTCCGAGGCCACCCTGCTCAACATGCTGAACATCTCGCCCTTCACCTACGGTCTGGGCGTCGCTCAGGTCTACGACCAGGGCAACACCTTCCCTCCCCACGTCCTGGACATCGGCGAGGAGCAGCTGCTCAAGACCTTCTCCAGCGCCATCACCGCCATTGCCTCCATCTCGCTGGCCATCAACTTCCCCACCCTGCCCTCGGTCATCCACTCCGTCGTCAACGGCTACAAGAAGGTCCTGGCCGTCGCCATCGAGACCGAGATCACCTGGCCCGAGATTGAGGAGCTCAAGGACCGTATCGCCAACCCTGACGCCTACGCCTCCGCCGCTCCCGTCGCCGCCGCCGCCGGTGGTGCCGCTGAGGAGAAGCCCGCCGAGGAGAAGGCTGCCTCTGACGACGAGCAGTCCGACGACGACATGGGCTTCGGTCTCTTGTACGTTTACCCCTCTGCGTTTTTGCGTCCGATAAGAACATTACTGACCACCTCTCTAGTGACTAAATGCCCTCGCATGATCACGGCGCTTGCATGATTGGCGTGAACTTGGACTCCGGACGGGTTTATGCGATCTAGACTCATGACAAAGAATGAACCCGGTCCATAGGTCTTGGTTTAACAGATCAATGGAAACGAATTCGACAAGAAACAGTGCTCGATGCATTATGTGGTACTCGATATTGTACGTGTGTGTGTATGAGTGTGAATTGGATGCTATGAATGTGTGCTTGAAAGGGCAGATACATTGGCAGTCTCAAAAGGTTAGTCGACATTTCTCTTTCCCACCTTTACCCCGACAGATGTGTCGATGATTTGAATAAATGTCACAACGAGCTTTTTAACCCTGAATTCCATTGATGACCAACCATACAACACCTTATGAGCCACACACTAGCACTATATTACACTACACTATCACACATGTACACAGAGTTTGTGCTAACTCTCCCAAAGTCTACAGATATCAATCGTACAAGATCTTGCCACAACTTTTTGTCTCCTTTCCTGAATTGGGGTATCATGTTCCACCATGCCCTGCTGCTGCTGCTGCCAAACCCCTTGTCTCGTCATCCAACGGTGCGAGGGTCCCGTGATGATTATTGCCCTCTCCGCTTCCGGCAAGCACCTCCTTAGCCATCCTAATAGCCGCCTCGGGCAGACCCGCCAGCTTTGCAACCTTGAGCGCATGGCTCTGCCGGTTGACGCCACTTCGTAGCTTGTGAACGTAGACAAACCCGCCGTGCCCATCCTCTTCCACATCCGTACAGTAGCAGGCGACCTCGCCGCCCGGTTGGCCGATGTGCATACCGCGCTCCACGACCAGGTCGGCCAGGCTGTGGAAGTGCGTGGCGAATAGGGCGCGGCACCGGTTGACGTGGACGAGGTGCCACAGGGCGGCGAAGGCGACGGCGGTGCCGTCGTCGGGCGTGGTGCCGCGGCCGATCTCGTCCATGATGACGAAGGAGCGCGGGGTGGCGGCGCGCAGGATCAGGGCCGTCTCGAGCATCTCGACCATGAAGGTGCTCTGGTCGCCGGCCAGGTTGTCGGCCGACCCGACGCGGCTGAACAGGGCGTCGACGACGCCCAGCCGCGCGTGCGACGCCGGCACGTACGCCCCCGTCTGCGCCAGCACCGTGATCAGCGCGTTCTGCCGCAGGTACGTCGACTTGCCCGCCATGTTGGGCCCCGTGATCAGCCACAGCCGGCCCCGCCCCGGCGTCCCCACCAGGCAGTCGTTGGCGCTGAAGCTCCGCCCCGACGCCGACGCCCGCAGGCTGGGCTCGACCGTCGGGTGCCGGCCCGCGATGATGGTGTGGGCGTTGGCCGGGCCTGGGGCCGCGGAGGCGCGACTGCCACCGTCGGCGGCGCTGCTGGCGTCGTGGTGGTGGCGGTCGTCGTCGTCGACGAGCTCCGGCCGCACCAGGTCGTTCTCGACGGCCAGGCGCGCGAACGACGTCGTGATGTCGAGCTCGTCGAGGGCCGAGGCCGCGCGCCGCAGCTTGACCAGGTTGCGCACGACGGCGGCGCGCAGGTCGGCCAGGATGCGGGCCTCCTCGCCGGCGACGGCGAAGCGCGCCTGGTGCATGGCCTGGCCCAGCCGCGTCCACTCGGGCAGGTGGAAGGCCCGCGTGCTCTTGGACGACGAGACGGCCGGCCCGGCCGCCGCCGCCGCCGCCGCCGTCGCGCGCGCGTCCTTGCCCCGCACGTGGCAGATGTGGCCCAGGTTCGGCGTCCAGCGCAGCGTCAGCGAGGGCGCCGCGAGCCGCGCCCGCAGGTCCTCGGCCAGCGCCTGCTTCTGCTCCAGCAGCGCGCCCAGCTCGGCGTGCAGCGCCGTCAGCGTGGCGCTGGCGGCGGGCTTCATGATGAAGGTCTGGCTGTCGGCGTCGTAGTGGTCGCGGATCGAGGTGGGCTTGCCGGCGCTGGCGGCGCCCAGGTTGGCCTTCTTGATCTTGGTGGCCGTGTTCTTGGGCAGGATGGTCGCGGCCTCCTCGCTGGTGCCCTCGGCGCTCACGATCTCCGACGCCAGGGACAGCAGCTGGCCCGCCTCGCTGTCCTCGAGCTGGTGCTTCGCGAAGATGCCCTCCTCGTCGATCGAGGCCCGGATGCGGTCCGCCAGCTTGGAGGGCTCGTCCAGGGAGATGCGGGACAGGAGGTAGTCGAACGGGTTCGATCCGTCGGGCGAAGCGCCTGCAGGCGAGGCGGAGAGGAGCCGCACGATGTCCTCGGTGGCGCGGATCGTGTTGGCGAGGCCGACGAGGTCGTCGGGGTCCCCGCGGCCGAAGGCGAACTTCTGGACCAGGCGCTGCGAGTCGTGGCTGCGGCGCAGGAGCTGGACGATGTGGTCGCGCAGGTCGCGGTGGGCGATGAAGTAGGCGACCAGGTCCTGGCGGCGGGTGATGGTGGGCAGCGAGGTCGAGGGCGCGCTGAGCCACTCGTTGAGCAGGCGGGCGCCACTCTTGGTGACGGTGCGGCGGACGGCGTGCAGCAGGCTGCCCTTGAAGGCGCCGTCGCGCATCGTCTGCTTGATCTCGAGCGACCGCATGCTGTTCTTGTCGATCGTCAGCACCTGCAGGCTCTCGTGCCGCACCGGCGGCTGCAGCTTCATGCTGAGGCCCAGCAGCCGGTCCCGCACGTACTGCAGGAGCAGGCTCCCGGCCTGGACCTCGTCCGCGCTGAAGCTCTTGACCGTGTGCGGCGGGATCTCGGACTCCAGCATGGGCCTCCACTCCGTTGTGGAAAGCGGCGTCTCGTGTGGGGTGTATGTGATGAGGTGCTTGTCCTCGGCCAAGATGGAGAACAGCGTGTGATCCGCCTGTGACTGTAGAGTCTTGTCGACCACGATCTCCCTGGGGGCGACCCGGGACAAGGTAGATGACAGGGCCGCCAACGTCGTAGACTGGGTGTAGAACTGGCCTGTAGAGATGTCAAGCCACGCGAGACCGATAGGCGTAGCCGTCGGTAGTTGCACCTCGGCAGCTTCAGCTTCGAGGCCAGCGCTACGACGATCTGGCCCATCATCAGGGACGACGGTGCCTGGCGCGTTTTGCTTGAGATGGATAGCCATGATATAGTTGTTCGCATAGGGGTCGATGAAGTTCTCATCGATCAGCGTGCCGGGCGTGATGATGCGCGTGACCCGCCTGTCATGCATGAGCCCGTTGGACTTGACCTTGTCGGCCGCGTCGTTGGGGAACTCCTCCGCGATGGCGACGTAGCAGTTCAACTCCTGGACCAGCACCTTGAGGAAGCGGTCCAGCTGGAAGAACGGAAAGCCGGCCTATACATGATCATGATAGTCAGAACGACGAACAGTGCAACTTCGTTGTATAAAATCACCAATCGCATATCAAGCCACACAAATTCGTGACGAAAGCCATTTCTGGAAATGCAAAGTGAAACCACCATGTGAAGGGAAAATAAGGAGTAATTACCATGGGAACTGGACCGGCATTGGTCTTCTTGGAGGCGACCTTGAGGTTCAGCAGCGGGCCGTAGTCCTCGGCGTGCTCAAAGTACAGCTCGTAGAAGCCGCCGACGCGCGTCAGGAGCACGCAGTTCTCGAACTTGGCCATGTTGCGCCGCGCCTGCTGCAACACGGTCGGATAGGCAGGACCCTCATCCTCCTCTGCTGCCGCCGCCGGCCCTGCTCCATCGTCTTGCTGGCTCGGCGATGGTGGTGCGGGCGGCTTAATGGGGCCTTGTGGCAGGTCTGCCAGGTTGACCGTGGTCTTGGTCTTCTTGCCCCGGACCTGCTGCCGCGGCTGGAAGTGCCATCCATCCTGGCGGGAAAGGGGCCGGTGGTGGTGATGGTGGGAACGCAGCCCCGTCCGGTCCGTGTAACCGGTGGCCAACGGCCGCCTCAGACCTGGACTGCCCTGGGCACGCAGCAGCCCTGCAGCCGTAGATGGGCCGTCGGGCTTGATGAGGAAGTTCCGAGCTAGCCGCCGACACGAGGGACTGTGCATCGAGAAAAACAGGTTGCCGGCTGGCAGCGTCGACGCCGTGGGGTTTGCCGTAGACTGCTGGTTCGGGCAGCTCACTAGGGGTCACGAGTATTTGGAAGAGTCGACCGTAGCGTTTTAGGACCCTGGAAACTTTGTCCATCTCGACATCCACGTTCTGGCACTGTGACGCTGGGCGAAACTCTGCAGGTTTGGACAGTAAGGTATGGATGGAATGCAAGCACCGCACACTGTCCGACCAGGGGTCATCTAGTGTCCCACTTTTCTATTTGAAATTCTGGATATACGGTGTAACCTTAGCCTCCTGCATAGTGAACAAGCTTCTCGAAGCCCCCCGTCCGGTGATCTGTCATGGTGCGCGCGCGCGTGGGCCAGGGGACGACGCCTTTGGGATGAAACGATGGCACCCAATGGAAAACTACGAGCGGTCAGATTGTTTCATCGGCAAATCCTGCGCAAAACCCCCGTTTCTCAAGGCGCGACGCAGACAGTGCGTGCGACTTATGTTTCCCTGTAATTGCCGTCCCCTTGGAGCTGTCACCGACGCGTCGTGATGTTTCATCGAGAAAGTATGAGGTTGATTTCTCACCAATTTGTCAGTCGCTGATAAACCCGCGAGATCGTTTAACCGCCATACGGACACAGTGACGAGAACTAGACTCCAGCTTGCCCGTGGGTGACAGCTCGTGCCCGCGGATCGATAGTCCGTACTTAATCCTGCAATGATCTCCCACCACGGCGCTTGGCGTGCCGCCGGGCCTTCAGCTTGCCTCAGCTAGTTAGAGGTTCTCAAGGTCCTCAACCCCCCTCCCTCCGTCTCACCTGGGATATAGAAAACGCTTATATATATATTCGCAACCTGTCATCGCTTGGGAAACAGCAGCCTCGGCTACCGTTCACCTGCTTTCACAGCCGCCGTCTCGTCACATCTCATGAGCCTTGGCGTCCCCCGTGGTTCTGCCCTGACACTTCGCCGTGCGAGAAAGACTCTCCAGGCGAGAGCTTGAAAGTGTGGGCACATACCACGACACTCCAGACATGCCATCCACCTCTGCAGCGCCAGTGTCGTCTTACACGTTGGAGTTTGTTGCCTCGACCCCCCAGATTCGGCTCGAGGACACAGTGCATCCCAGAAGGCTGCGGCCGGTAGAACTGCAGTACAAGACGCTCTTGGCTTACATGATGTCGGCCTACCGCAGCCATGATCAGGCAGTGATGACATACTGCACAGACAGTAGCACAGGGGCCGGGGACGAAGAAAGTCGAGTGTGTTCTTGAAAGGAAACGGCAGGGTCTGCACACAGAGCCCGGATTGAAACATCTCAGCTATAGGAGGCACGTGCATGGAGGTGTATTTGCCGAAGTCGATGCACTGCAAACCTAGATATATCAGGTCCGGATGCTTCACGACGCGGAGGTTTACCTACAACAGTATGGCGATGCTCCGGTAGACATGCTGGGGCAGTTTACTATCATGTGGATGCGCTCAAGCGGATGCAAAATCAAGTGTAGTTAATTGCAGCAAGTATCTTCCGGTACCTCTATCCCCTGAACGCCAGCTTGCAAAGCACTACCTGAATAAACGATGTGACGCTCTAGAGGTTCTGGTAGAAACATTGCCGACGCAGATCACCAATCGAGTCGTGTCTCGACTTCATCATCATCATACCTCCTTCCCGATAGCCCTCGACGCCGCTCAGAAGCGGCTGTCCCGCCATGTTCCTCCAAGCCGATATGCAGGTGGGCAGGTCTTGATTCATTAAACATCGCGCCATAAATGCTGTCGTAGTGGCTATGCAAGCAGGAACCGGTCCATCAGGTCACCGCAGTAGCCTGATCAAGTACGTAAATCGCAGGAGTCGTCTCAAGAATGCTCAGTATTGGAGTTGTCGTTACTCTTCTACTGGGAGGCGCACTGCACGCGCTCTCCGTGCGGGTGGCCATCCTCGTCGTCCTCATCCATACCGCCAGCGCCACCGCCGAAGGCTCTGGCCTGCTGCTGGTTGTCCATGTCCTCAAGGTCCGCCGGCTCGCTCATAGCCTCGTTCGGGGGGACAGCCTGAAGAGATGGAGCAGGCAGGATCTTGCGCAGCGACTCAAAGGCCTCCTCGTTGTCGGTCCAGCCCTTCTCAGGGAACTTGACGGAGAACTGGATGTACATGTTTCCACAGTCGTGGTGTCTCGGCGACGGCATACCCTGGCCGCGGATCATCTTGACAGCCTCTGGTCGCTTGTTAGTGCCCGTGCTTTTTCTATTAATAGTTGGGGACGAGATGTCAAGGCTTACCATTTGCGATGGCCTCACCGGGCAGAATGTCAACGCTCAGCCACCTGTCGTCGAGGTGCTCAATGTAAATGGTGCCACCAGCCAAGGCTGTGACCAGCTCGATCTCGCAACGGTACAGCAGGTCGTCCTCCTTGCGTGTGAAACGGGGGTGAGGCTTCTGTTCGATCTCGAAAACGACGTCGCCGGCTTGAACACCGGGCGACTGGTCACCCTCGCCACGGAACTCAACCTTGGTGCCACTGCGCACACCACGGTCAACGTGGACGTGGAGGACCTTGCGGTCGACAATGGTCTTCTTGCCGTTGCAGCCCTTGCAGCGGTCCTTCTCCTTGATGATCTCGCCCTCTCCGTTACAGTCAGGGCAGACAGTCTGGAAGCGCTGAATCATGGGACCCATCTGTCGCATCATGGTCTTCATACCGTGGCCGTCGCAGCCAGGGCAGCGTCGGACGGCGCCCTCCTTGCCTCCGCGACCCTCGCACTTGGGGCAGATGATGGAGCGCTGCAGGGCAAGCTTGGAGGTCTTACCCCGGTAGACATCCTCGAGGGAAACCTTGTGGGTGTGGTGAATGGTTCGGGCCTTGGGAGGGCCGCGCTGGCCGCCCATGCCACCGAACATGCCTCCGAGACCGCCGCCGAAGGAGCCGCCGCCGAAGAACTGAGCGAACAGGTCCTCGGCAGCCATACCACCGCCACCGGCACCTCCCTCCAGGCCAGCCTCGCCATACTGGTCGTAGATCTGGCGCTTCTGGGCATCCGACAGGATTTCATAAGCATGTGAGACCTCCTTGAACTTCTCCTCGGCGGCAGGGTTGTGGGCGTTCTTGTCTGTTCAGTCTTGTGGTCAGCCAGGTGCCCGGAGATGAGAGCAGCAGTAATCGGGATCATCTCATACCAGGGTGGTACTTCAGGGCGTTGACCTTGTAAGCCTTCTTCAACTGGGCCTCAGTTGCGTCGGGCGAGATCTAGCATGGACTGTTAGCGCCATGTGTAGCTACGCCGACAGCGCAAGTGTGATACATACACCCAGGGTATCGTAGTACTTGGTTTCCTTGACCATCTTGTCAGGTGTTGCGGGCGTCTAGCGAGTTTGTCGCGGGAACGAGTGGTGACGGAGAGAGGACGGAGATTAGAGTGGTTCGGCTGGGACAGGAAAACAAGGCCGGCTAAGGGGGGCGAGACGAGGACGAAGATCCTTCGAGGCAGACGCAGTCAGCAAATGGTAGTACAGACAACGAAGTGCAGAAGTGAAGCAGAAACAGTTGCGCGGCAAAAGGTGAGGCTTCGAGGCCGAGATAGGGATCTCGAAAAATAGGTAGCCAGGGCTATCGAAGTGCCCCACCGATGCGCGAATCAGGGCGCCGCCCAGTGCCCCTCGGTGGGAGATTTGTCGGGCTACATGAGTAGCCACCGGCAACCCACCGTGGCGGCTTTTGAGATCCCAGGATCCCATCCCCGGATACCAACCAAGGAAAGTAACAGCTGGAGGCCGAGGAGCCCCCCGGAGAGCACACGTACCTGGGCGACTCGAATACGGATCGAAGCCGGAGTGGGCGAACCCGAGCGTGGAGAGTCGACGGCGATGCGACGGGTATCTAGCTAGGGATGGGTATGCAACGGCAGGCAGTCGGACCAGACGAGAAACAAGGACGAGGGGCGCCTTTCGCGATGTGGTTTCTAGTACGAGTCCCGGAACTGTGGGATCGCGGACGACAGCTTCTGGGCGGATGGAAGGGAGGAGCAGAACCCAGGTGGGAAGAAAGACTGGCGGGCGGGAAGGAATAAGGGCACTGACGGCTGTTCTTGTCTTGCCTTCAGATAATTGCTGAGCAATGCAACCAGATCTACTTATTCGCTCCGCCGGCGCTGGTCTTCCCTCGCCATCCATACGCAACCGGCCCCAGAGAAGGCTGAAAAATTCATGCGCCACGCCTCCCAATAGAAACCGATGGAATCGTGGCTTCACCCCCAGGTAGCCGTGCCGTACTCTTGGCAACGACCTCGGGCGGGAAACCGGCCGGCCATGAGCCGCAAGAGTACCTCTACGCTACTTGGTGCCTCGGGATTCCACGCCCACTTGGGCTGGGGACTGGCGACCTAACCACAGATCCCAAGGGTCCGGGCCAGGGTCAGCGGAAAGCCGAAAGGCTGTTTGGCGCAGTTGCAGGCGAACAGACCAAGAAAACAGCCGGGCCATGATTTTAGTTCGGGACGCCTTGCATTGGATGCCAGCCAAGTCTTGCCGTCCGTTATTATCAAAGTCCCTACTGTACCTAGGCAGATAGGTCGGGGCGCCTCGGCATTTCCTATACCGTGTTGCGACTCTGCCCAGCAACCCTACTTTGTCATCGTTGTAAGAGCAGAACGATCGGTCTTGTCTACGTCCACCTAGATCCGTGGAATTGCAATCACTCCAAAGTTGTGCGACGCTGAGCGCATCGCTTGGGGGGCTTTGCGCTGCGCTGGCCACCGACTCTTTCGCTGCCCTGCGGCAACGAGCGCCTTGCGAGAACAAGGAGCCGCCTGGTTCGCCTGTGCCGATAATAGGTATGCGGATTGCCGCATGAGACTACGGATGCACATAGGCACACGGGATTTGGGTTCGCGCCATCGGAGTATGGCGAATCAGTCAGGGCGTGGGATGAGGACATACGTACTGATAGCCTTATCGCTCGGTCTTAGCTGCACTAGAGTACACAACTGCCAGGACAACCAGTGTGGCTGATAACAACACGACCACCAGTAGCCCTGCCTTGCCCGCCTATATTTGCAGATAATGGCCGACACGGAGAAAGCGCAAGGAGCCGGGTACGGCCCCTCAAATGATTATAGTGACGTGGTTCTGGAAGCAAGGGTCGCTGGTTTCAAGCTATCTACATGTAGGTAGGCATGTACAGATACCACTAACCAACCAACCAACCAACTAACTGACTTGGCTACAGTGTGGCGCAGCAAGCTTGCTTGCTTCCAATTGACTGCGCATCAGCTTACGAGTTGGAGTACAACCTTGAAGCCAGCTGGTCCATCAGCCTGCAGCTTCTAGATATCCAATTGACTGTTTCACTGTTTCGTTTCACAGGTCCCCTGGCCCTTCGGAGGACGATACATATCCGTTACTTGGCCATTGCCCGCCCCAGCAACGTCGTTCTGCCCATCTAGCATCACAACCGCAAGCACAAGCACCTGGTATCCAGACCCCCCAAGCTCCGTCGGCGCCGAACAGCTCCAGCAACCACGACGTTGACGTAGCTCCTCGCCGCTGCGGCCCCCCGACAGATCTCGCCCACCATGGCACAGCTCCTCCAGGACCTCATATACTCCTTCGGGAGCTGTCTGAACTGCTTCCCGGGCTCGCCCAGCCTCAAGATCAACAGCCGCTCGTTCAAGATCCTGCGCCTGCTGGGCGAGGGCGGTTTCAGCTACGTCTACCTGGTGCAGGACACGGCGACGGCCGAGCTGCTGGCCCTCAAGAAGATCCGCTGCCCCTTTGGCGCCGAGTCCGTCCAGCAGGCCATGCGCGAGGTCGAGGCCTACAAGACCTTTGCCCACTGCCCCGGCATCATCCACAGCGTCGACTACGCCATCGCCTCGGAGCGCAGCGACCCCGGCACCAAGACCGTCTACGTCCTGCTGCCCTACTACCGCCGCGGCAACCTGCAGGACATCATCAACGCCAACCTCGTCAACCACACCCGCTTCCCCGAGAAGCGCCTCATGGTCCTGTTCCTCGGCGTCTGCCGCGCCCTCCGCGACATGCACCAGTACCAGGCCCCGCCTGGCGGCGAGCGCATGGAGGCCGGCAACGCCAAGGCCGGCGAGGAGGACGTCGGAGGGCCAAAGGGGAAGAACAGGAGAAACAAGGCCGTGTCGGCGGCCGATGCCGATGACGAGACGGAGCAGGCCAGACCGCTCATGGTGGACGAGCAGGTGGCCGCGCCCGGAGAGCGGAGGTCGTATTCCCACCGGGATATCAAGCCAGGTTTGTACCACGGTTTAAAACACTTCAATTGCCTCGGACCAAATGCTTACAAGAAAATCTACAGGAAACATCATGATCGAGGACAACGGCTCGGAACCCATTCTCATGGACCTGGGCTCCATTGCGACATCACCAATACCAATCACATCGCGGTCGCAGGCTATAGCCATGCAGGACGTGGCCGCAGAGCACAGCACGATGCCGTATCGGGCGCCGGAGCTGTTCGAGGTGAACACGGGCGCCGTCATCGACACCAAGGTCGACATCTGGTCGTTAGGCTGCACATTATACGCCTGCCTGGTCGGCAAGTCGCCCTTTGAGATGCGCAGCGACGAGACCGGCGGCAGCTTGAGCATGTGTGTGCTCGGCGGCGACTGGAGGTTCCCCGACGAGGGCCCCAAGGGCCAGAAGAAGGGCAAGGGCCCGGCCGCCGCCGCGGGAGCTGGTGCATCGGACGAGGCCATCAGCGACTCGATAAAGGAGGTCGTGAGGAAATGCCTCACGGTAGAACCGGACCACAGGCCGGACATTGACGAGCTGATAGCCATGGTGGAGCAGGTCGTCGACGAGCTGCCAGAAGACAGCGTATGAGATATGTTTTAGTCTAGATGAGCATCTTCTGGGATTTCGGTGACCAGGATAGGGATACTGTATCATAGTCTGGCTTTTTGTGTATAAGCAGCGTTACGAAATTATACCTGGCCGTAAGGATGGGCCGCATCAACCAAAGTAAGACTCTTGGGAAACTCTTGGCCGGCTTTTCGGAGCAATGGTAGACTGAAAAAACATACCATGCCTGAACACAAGGTGCAATGACCTTTGTTGGATTACCTCGTTGATTTTTTCTTCCCCCGACCTTTGCACCTGGTATTGATAGGCCCATCACTGACGATTGCCTCTCCTTATCTGATAAATTTTTTTTTTTTTTTTTTTGTCTAGTTCACCTGAACACCAATTGCCCTTAAATCCACTTCCACTATGCGGCATAGACTTTTCCGTTGCATCCAAACCTCCGGTACTACGTAGTCGCGTGCGACCAGCGACTGCCACCGATCCCACGATCCACGGCTCTTCCCATCACGCCGGAGTCGAAGCCGCCTCGGACTCCTGGGCGGGGGTCTCCGCGTCGTCGTCGCCGAACCCGAAGTCCGTCTTCCGCAGGTTCTCCACCGTGTAGAGAATCCTGTCCAGATCGGCCCGCGCGGCCTCCAGCCCCTTGACGTCCGTCTCCTGGAACGTGACGTCGGTGCTCTGCGACCAGCTGTTCTCGTGCGGTGTGAAGACGAGGAGCCGTGCAGCGGCGTCGGCGCCGTCCACGCCGACTACCAGCCTGCCGGCCGCTCCCTGTTCCGGGACAATCGCCATGTCCAGGGGGTTTCCGGCCAGCTGGAGGATCTGTGCGAAGTGCACTCCCACGTCAGTGGTTGTGAAAACGAAAATGGCAGGGACCCTGGAACGTGTATTAGCAAAGTGGAAGGCCAGTCAGCTACATTATCTACAGGGACGAGCCTCACCGTTCACAAGTAGCGAATATGTACTGGTTTGTCGAGATGAGTCGGGACACGGCGAGCTTGTCGGCGCCCGGCACGACCTGCTGGACGTGCCCCAGCAGATCAACCTTGGCCTTCAGGGTGCCCGTCTTCCAATCCCACACATGCAGCTCGTTGTCGCCTCCTCCGGACACGAGGACATCGGGCTGGGGCAACGAGAGCGCGTTGATGAAGGCCGTGTGGCCCAGGCAGAAGCTCTCGATAACATAGGCTTGCGGGATCCCGCGAGAGACACGGATGTGCTCGTCACGGTCGCCGGTCAAGATGTAGGGCTTGCCGTTGGACGACGTGACGGCGATGGACGTGAGCATGGAGACGTGGCCGATGAGCAGCTCGTGCTCGAACGTCGGCGCGTCCCTTGGTTTCGAACCGCCGTTTTCCCCCTGGGACTCCCTCTGGCGTTTCTGGTCCTCCAGCGCCTTCAGGTTGCGCTTGGAGTGTACCGTCAGAGGGTTGGCGCCCTTGGACACGAGACGCGGCGGCGCCTTTGAGGACGCGGGTGTGCTGGCGCCGGCTTCGGTCTCGCCATCGGCAGATGGCACGAGCGGCAAGGAGTAGACGTCTCCGAACTTGTCGGCAACTAGGAGGACCGTGTCGTCTGACGTTAACGCAATATCACAAGGGCGCTTGGGCATAGACCTGACACAATGTTAGAATGAGGATACGCTGCATTGGGTGCGATTGAGACTCACCGCTGGCTCAGCTCCTTTAGTTGACCCTTGCCGTCGTGCTCGAATACCCAAATAGTCTTGTCTGTGCCCGTAATCGCAACGAGGTACCCGCCATTGGCAGTTGCCTTCAGAAGATTCACGTACGGCTGTTCCTGAACATTGTATTGGGGGTGCTTGGGTTTTGCCTTTTGGGATCTGTTGCGACGGCCATTGCTCTTTGCATCGTCCGCCGTGGATGTAGCTGACTCCTCCGTGGGTGCAGTGCCCGCCGCTTCCACACCCCCCTCAGCGTCCACCTTGCGCTTTTTGGGGGGAGGCGAGGAAGCTCCGCTCTCCTCGCCAGCCTTGCCGGCTGCCTCCTCTGCGGCCCCTTCGACGGAGCTGGTCTTGCGTTGCGTCGCTGGGTGTTCCCAGGAAGAGAGCAGTGACCCGTCAGCACCGAAAGTGAAGAGGACAGTGCCTCGCGCGGCGCAAATGATGCCAGTCTGCCCGAGGGCAGTGACACACTGATACGGCAACGACATGGTGGGTGTTGAAATGCTCCCCGGTCCGACTTATAACCTTGAGATGAGCTGGGTGTGAAATTTTTGATTTTGCACACAGCTTGTCCCGCTCAATGAGTGAAAACACACGCACTCAGATATGAGAGCTCACGAGTTTGTGGTAAATCAATATGCATGAACATACAATCCCGCGTCAATGTGCTTGTTTGCTCGGTCTCACCGTGCGTAGACAATTCCTTCGAATTCATTCATGAGAATTTCATCCTGATCACCACCCACCAGCACTGAAGTGGGGCACATTTTGCTGGCGGAGCGATTATTGCATTGTGGATAAGAATAACTGGATAGTAGCATAATCTTATCCGGCGAGAGCATGACTTGGAGACCACAGCGGCTAGCTTCATGAATATGGCTTGTGAACCTCATTCTAGGTCGGCTGCTCTCTTGCTTCCCCAGGTGGACTGCCAGCGGCCATCTTACCTATCACTACTGAATGTGTCAGTGGCCGCCGGGGCGGGCAAGACCGCATGGCAGGGCCTTTCTGCCAAGTCCCAGCTCAAGACGATTGATCTACCTTCACTCGGTGCCCCATGATGGCTCTAAAGTTAGCAACATCGAATCCAAGTCTAGGTCGGTAAGTTGTGAGTTGTTGGACTTGGCAATAACAACGTCCTATATCAACTTTAATAACTCAGACGTATATCCACGCTGAATGTTGCTCAGAATGCACTACTACGGGTAGTTCGGCTGGTTCGTATTTCTCCAGCGGGTGCTGACGAAGGGAGGGACCACGCAGCGCGCTTATGCACGGTCCCAAGACTTGCATATCTATCCCGGGCCGCGATCTACGTGCACAGGGCTGGATTCCGCTAAGGTGAGTATGGCTACTCCGAAACCATGCTATTGGACGGGCTTAGTTTGGTATACAAATAACAAGCCAATGAGTAGCGAGAACCTGTCACGGGATAGTCCATATGTAGGTACGTCGGCGACCAACGCTCGCTGTGCCCCGGTGGACTACACACGATAGCGGGGTACTCTGTAACGCTGCTCCATGTGGCTGAAAAGTTTCGTTCTTCACCCTATAGCCTTTGTGACTCCCCTGAACCCGTTCAGAATCACTAGGAAGCTTGTCACAATTATTCAAGATTTCTGGCGGTTCAAGGCCAACATCCTGACAAGGGACAGTCGTCTACTTTATCTCTAGCGTCTTCATAAACCTCACACACCCATCCCCTTAAGAGCATGAGGAGTTGCGATCGCGGAAAGCCCATGAAATAGTTGTTGCAGATTGCTGACCCCAAAGCACCAATCAAGTCATAGCAGGCGTTTTGCAATCCCTAGGTGTGCCAACTATTGTAGGGTATGATTGGTCCATAGTCAGTGAGGCTCAAGCCGAATCAGTTGTCAGCAGCCATTGATAGTAATCATACACATTAACGGATTACATAGTACTCACTCGGCTGCTGCTGATGAAGCACCTTGCAGGCCTGGGGGCCATTCCTAGGAGCGGCAGGGACCGGGCAGCTGGATGCGCGGGCTCACAATCAGCGAGAGGCCTGCACCCATTCAGCTGAGGGCCATTAGGCTATCCCACCCTTGGCAACACCCCACGCCGGCATCATAGCCTACGTTAAAGCTCTTACCTCGTGCATGGAGTTGCCGACTGTCTCTGTCTGAGGTGAGATTCACCAAAACCCTCTGTTACCTCATCGCAACGAAATACAAGCCATGTGTTTCGCCGGGGTTGCAGTGCAGTGCAATGCACCTATTGATGGGCAGCGGTTCACGTGCGGCCAAGCTCCAGGGGCCTGGTATTTGGTTTATCGCCGAACAACGTGGGGCGAACAGCCCTACTGCGTATAGTCGCGTGGCATGAAGCCGGTTCTTCATCGACTTGGCAGCATTTTGCACATTTGTAGCGACCCAAGCTCCATGTGGCACCTCCGACCGGCCGTGTCGAACAGTCGAAGCAGCCTGATACACGCGCGTGTAGAGTAACTCGTGATCTTGATCGTTCTCCCTTTGCTCGAGTCCACCTCGTCCTATGTTTGAAGAACGTCGCTACTTTACTATCCGAACTATTTCACTTGTGACTGACAGCTGCAGAACCACAGGGAAATATTTCACCCAGCTCTCAGTTAAGTTGGTAAGGCGGATGCTTGGTCGCGGCGCGGAGCTGCGGACGTTTGCGGGGACCCTGCATGAGCACCAGCGACTGGGAGGACAAGCCCAGTGCTGGCGTCAGCAGTATACAAGCTTAAAAGAGCCGGGGCTGGCAGGGGTATCGCAGCTGAGTGTGGAACCTCCGCGCCCCTAGCCTTGAGCTTGACCGCTGCCAAAGGATCAATCTATTTTTGCCTGGGGTCGGGATTTTATAGCTACAATATGACTAACCAGCTCGCTACGTCTGCGCCAATAGGAGTGAGCGTTTTTCTGCAAGGCCGTTCGGTACTTTCGCCCACTGGTCCTCCGACCCTGGAACCTTCGATACTCTGGACCTGCGCGGGCCTAACCCTCCCGTTGTAGAAGTCGAGGTATCGTGGCGGTACCGAGGTGTTGAAACTTTTACTTAAAGAGTACGCGGTTCTTCTTCACAACGTTGACGCACCCTTGATAGGCCGGGCCAAGTTACACAGCCAAAAAGAGAAAGTCCGAAGAACGATTCTTCTCACTACGCTATTCAACACCATATCAACAGCTCGAGCCCATATCAGAGTTACTATCACTGGCTTCATTGAAAGCCGTTACAATTACTGAGCTCACTTCTACGGCTATATGAGAGGGCTCGCGCAAACGCTGGCGTTATGGACAGATTACACGACAGTGGGAGAACAACATACGGAAAGGCCCCAAAATCCAGGAACTCAGAAGCACGCAAAGAGCAGAACAGAATGGCGTCACGAGCCTATAGTAGGCCAATCTGCCATCCCCCTTAGTGCCATCGCGACGCATGCTGACGCCAAACTATAGGAGAGAAGCGGAAACAGAAACTGGCATTGCTGGACCAGATCTTGAAGACGGAAAACGAAGAAGCATCAACATCACCGTCCGAATCAGACGATTACAAGGATACCTTGTCAATTCCATCCTCTAGCAGAGACACATCGCAAAGCCCTGTTCCCGTACATCAAAATCTGGTGGCCACTACGGCATGGCCGTCCTCAAGCCAGACATTAGCGTCCACGGCAAGCTTCGCCAGCGAACCGTTCGAGAACTTGTGGATGCATGACTACGATCGCAATAACAATCTTTTCGATAACAGTCACCAGTTCATGACTCCGTTTCAGCCAAGTAATGGTACAGTAGCGGGGACTTCAGATCGGTTCCCACCGTCCCTGGCTTCAGTATCATCCTTGCCCACGATGCCATCAATATCCATGGATCCCATGCTCGCAGTACCGCATACTGAACCGTACTTGAATCCAAGACCGCATTATAGGAGAACGCAAGGGATACCTGAAAACATCACTCCATCATACAATACATCCTTTTTCAATTCGACCCATGATTCGCCCGTAGCAGCAACGTTAGAAAGTTTCTCCAAGTTAAATACCGCCCAGCAGAATCAGGTCCTTGATATTATACGTAGAAGACGGGAGGTACAGCAACACCTAGGCACGGAGCATGTTTGGCAGATGCAGGTTGACTACCCAGCCACGCCGCCAGCAGGTGAGTGAATCATAAGTCCCAGGGCCACGGGGATTGGTACATGTGACTTGTATCGGGAACCCGAGCTAACCCTTATGCCAGACAACTTCTTGAGCAGCAATATCCATCATCACGCAAGCAGCAGGGACGGTTCGAGATCACCTGTACCACCACGACTTTGTTGAAGGTCCTCTACTACAACTTGAAACTTCGAGATGGAACCAGAGTAGCCGGAGCAAAGAACATGCACATGAGCCAAGTGTCAGGGAGCTCAGAGCCCGAGGTGAATACCCTAGATTACTCTACGCCCAACTAGAAAGATAGAAGGATTGGCCGTGAGTTAGCTACGAGAATTTACGAAACCAGGATACCCACGAGGCGGGAGAAGATGGAACAGAGGGACTGTTCGGGTCCGGCTCTCCACAGGGCATGTAACTAGTATTATGAAGTTTAACTGCAGATCTAGAGGCGCCCGGTGCCGGTTGGCAAAGCGGCCATGGACCAACCCTCGAGGAATGAGCAGGCCTCTCCCAACCCACAATGAATAAAGCATTCTCCCGTGTCCCAACAGAGTTCTTATTCCCACACAGCAATGCGGTTTGGCGTCATCCCGAATCAAAAAGAGGGGGTTGTCCTCCCTTGGCGCCGGGATAGAGTGTTTATGTCAGCTCGACAGGGTATGGAATCCATCTTTAGCCCCATGCGTCATCCTGGTAACAGTGATGGTACGACTAGTCGGCTAGTGACTATATTAAGGTACGGGTTAAGAAGGCCTGGCCTAGTCGTAGTGCTTCAAAGAAGCAGGCTGTGACTGTTTATGCGCCAGTTGTCTTGTTCCAGTCAATGATCGACCCAGCCAATCTTGGAGCTAGGAATCACAACATATTCGCCGTGCGGAGTCGACTGTCATATCTTCATTTACCGCATTTGGACTTGTCGTCTGATTTCCACATACACCGAACTTGCTCAAGAAATTTTTTTGAGGTATCACAAATGAATTCGCCTAACGTAGGCTCTACTCGCCATTCTGTGGCGCTATAGTTATGTTACAAAGAGTGTAGATCCGTCACAATTTACTTGTCATCCGTGTCCTAAATCAGACTTGCATGCGCCATACTGACACATACACAGTAAAGACCCCAAATTAACATCAAAATCTGCCTCTTTCCCGGTCGCATTCCTCGAGAAATCGATATACGCCTTCGAGGCCCTCGAACTCGCCCGAACAGTGCTCACCCGAACTGATCGGTGGGGACATGCTCTCGTAGCCTTCCAGCTCGGGAGATTGCAGCCAAGGGTTCTCTTCCACTTCGCTGAAATCCTCGAATAATTCGTCCTCCGCTGGAAAGCTCCCTAGAGATCTGAGAGAGCCCCCAGGCGATGTCACCGTCTCTGCGCCACCGGCATCGGGTGCGAAGGGGAACTTGAGGGCCATCGAAACCCCTGTCTCGACACTGAAGTCGGCATCCTCCCTGACGATGCCCTGTGTAAGTCCAAGGTCATCTAAAAGAGTGTCGACTGTATCCGCGTCCACTCCTGGAAACCGAACGCGTATGATGTGCCCTTTTTCGAGTTCTATGGGAAGATCGCCAAGCGCTGATAGCTTCTTGATATCGGACAAGGTAGTTGTAAGATCCTTCAGAGCCCGAGCAAAATCGACGGAGAGGACATCGAGGAACCCCTCGGTGTTGAGGCTAGTGACGTCCACAGACTGTACCTTGGCGCCAGTAGCAGTGAAAGGGAATGCACCAGCGAGAGGGCTGAGAGCAGTGACTGTGGGGTTGAGGGCGAAGTCAACGTATGACCCTGGGGTGCGTCGAGGTGCAGCTGCCATCTTGCGTTGTGTCTCATCTTGAAGAGCAGAGACGGCACGGTACCGCTTCTCGCCGGAGGGACTCAGCCCGTCAAACTGTGCCTTCTGGCCAGAAATCCAAAAGGCCCGGACGGCGGTAGACACGTTCTGTACCACCTGGGCTTGGGTAGCCGGGGCATGTGAGAAGTATCGGGCCCCGCCGATCCGCCCCGAGCCGAGACCGTATCCGCCGGCAGTGCGCGGCAACGCTCCACCGGTGAGATTTGGTCGGAGGGTGCTGGCAAAGGGGGCGCGGCCAGTGAGCTGGGCCACAGCCCGGCCGGTCTGGGTGTTCAGGAACTTGGTTCGGTCGACCTTGGGCAAGGCATCAATACGCCCGGTGCTCATGAACCGGCGCACCGCGGCGTCGATGTTCTTATACGTCGATGTTGAGTGCCATCGTCGGCTCTTTTGCTGCCGCAGCAAAGCAGATGGGTGAATGGGTTGTCTTGGGCGAGCAGATCTGACAAGAACGGGCTCCAAAGAGGCATTCGCTGGCTGAAGAGCTGCTGCCAACTTCTTCCGAACCAGCTTGGTAGCCTTATAAGCGGCGGTACGGGCCAGCCGCTGTAGAGCGGCCGGAGCCCATACGCCGCCAAGACCGGCGACCACCATCGAGAATAACGTGTTCGCAAGAACTTGCGAACAAAATACTGATGGGAGAGATGATCTAGGAAAAGGGCAGAGGAGATACGCGGGCAATGACGGGTGTTTATGCATGAACTACCTGCCTGCCAGAGGGAGCCTGTGGCGGTGCCAAGTTCGCCACTGCCACTGATAGCGGGGCCGCGGGTAGCGCTGGTTTAGCCACATCTGGTGGCCCGAGCTTGCAGTCAGGTGGAGCTCGGACCTTGGGAGACGATCCACACAACGCCGCGAATTTTTCCGTCTCTGTTCCAATTTTCGGCCTTCAAAACAAAATTCATATTCCTCCTCCTTCCTTTCCCGTGCCTTGCAACCTCATCTTTCACGCACCCAAGACGCGGGCTTCCAGCCTCTGCTGCCTTCACTAACCCCCTCCCATAGCCTCTCCCGCTGCCGAGGGACTTGTGCTGGGAGCTGCACTGGTACGTTGTTGCTTTCCCTGCCATCACCTATTTGCTGTGATTAAAAAACTTTTTTTTTGAACAATCCAACTCTTACAAAACCATGGGGATTCTCTAAGACTCTAGAATTACCCTGAGCAAACACGTTACTTCACATTGCTAGCCTGTCCAGTCTATGGCTGTACGCTGACCCGAAGCAGTTTCCTAGGGTTTTCTTGCTGTTCATATCCCCGATCGTTGTCGCCAAACGCGCTTCGGTCCTTGGTAGCTTCCCACAAACAATCTAAAAGGTTAGTGGACTTTTATTTCTTGTAGCCCGACACACCAACGCCTTGCGCCTTGTTGCGCGGGCACATTGAGGGGTGATGAAGACAACCGACAAATCTAGGGAATTCCTCATGCCGAATATACTATGTGGATTGTTTAGTTTCAGCCTTGTCTGACCTCAACCATCAAATCACCATTTTGACGGAGATATCTAGTCTTGCAGTATGCTAACTTGGTCTCGTCTTCAGGTACATTCCCACCCTCACCATCTCCACGATTCCACATGAGGAAAGATTGAACGAACGGGCGGACATATCGAATATCCGTGGCCTCCTTTCCATTCAAGCAAGGCGTACAAACCTTGTGGGGGGAGAACCATGGTGACTTCTTGTTGAGACTTCGTCACCTGATTGTGTCTACCACGACTACACTGCGCGGATGCATTATGCGGCCAACAGCTCGCTAACATTCCGCTCAGGTAATCCTCTCTCCGCCTTTCACATTGCAACTTTCTCAATATGATGAGCACTATTCACACTGTTTGATCCCTTGACCGGGAAATGAACATTCATTTTACAAAATCTGATTTAATGAGGTATGTGCCCATCTGAACTCTGTCGTAGTGGGACACTTGTGCTAACTGCTCTGCTCAGCCTGACATTTCAAATTGCATCCGCATCAGTCTGCGTCTTACCTTTTGATTTGTTGCTGACTGCTGGCGGCCCAGGTAATGTCGAGTATCAAGTTGTGAATCCAGTCGAAAACCACTCAATGGTACGTACCCCACCACCATCACCCCGTCACCATAGCCTTGAGGATGATTTAATATCCTGTCTTATCTACATTGTCCGAGTTCTACAATGCGGAGAAACATATCACCTTGGAGAACTGAAAAGGCTCACCAGTGATTCACTGCGTTTCACACGTTCCCAGAGGATTTTGCTGACTCTGGTGGTCATAGGTCTGAATGAGTAAGATCATGCATAATTGGTCTTCGTGACAATGAGGTGTGCCTTCATAGTCAATATACAAATATTTCCATGTATTTCATCCTTGAGAACCATTCGTAATCGCGTGCCATTGCTAGAATATGGAGAAGACTGCATGTTTGACGCGACCTACCTGAGGTAGACTGCCTCGGTGTGGTCTGCCGCATTCTTGGTGTTGAGCCGTATGGGAGGAGTCACGGTCCGTGCTGCAATTCAGGGTCCTGGGGAGACTGGGGACCGGTCTCCATCGGTAAGTTCCGCCTTACATCATCGATCGAGCAGGACCCTTGATAGCGTACGACTGGGCTGCTGGAACGCACCCCACGTTACGGATACTGCAATTGACTCTCGATGATCTCATTGGCGTCGACAGGCGGGTTTCTCAGCGTTCCCATCGCGAGCCACAGCTGCCTTCAGCTCGGTCTTGTTCGGTCGCTACGGCAGGTCTGGAACTCTGGGGGCTTGGGGGAAAGGGTGATGCCTCCATTATTTGGGTTTCTTAGCCTGCAGCAAGAGTGCGCTCCCCGATGTCCCGTCGGCTGCCATGCTGCCCCCTACCCTGCAGATATGACGATCGGAGTGCTCTCATTCGACGACGCTCATACACTTGCAAGGCCATCCCTTTGCGGGGTATGGATCATATACATCCTTTAACGTTGCAGATGCTGAGCGGTACACTCATCATGACGCCGTGTTGCGCGAGAACGGAAGTAGCTGTCACTGTCCCCTTTGTTGCCCCGGGGTTCCTCCTTCGCATGGTGCGATTGCGCGTAGTGCATTCCTTCGATTGGTGAAGTCATCGGACCTGGCTGGTCTCTACCACAGTAGTGATAGCCCATCGATGCCCACCCTAGGGGAAGCTGCAGGTCGATCAGGCCATTGGCCTGTGCTTATGAAGCACCACAAGAGTCAGTCCAGCACTCGTCGTGTGATACTTATTAATAGGAGATGCTTTCCCCCGCTTGCATTTTCTTGTTGTTTGACACCTAAACCTCATCAATCTTGAGACACGCCCAGACATACACAAATACTCAACAACACACCAGTCAACCGACCAATCCCACAAACTGCAAACATGGATAGCTCTAAGGTTCCGGACCAGGCCAACAACTTCTCCAAGCGTAGAAGAGTACGTCCAGCTCTCTCGTATCCCTGCTCTTCTCCAAGGCAACCCGACTGACTCAATGCTACCCAGAGCTCTGGCCCCGCCTTCGATGGCCTCATGAACCAGAAGCGGTCGTCCGACCCTATGTCTCAGGCCAGACGTCAGAGCCTCCAGGAACAGAAGCCAGCGGCTGGAATTTTTGGGCAGATGTGGCATAAGTGAGCATTACCTCGACTTCGCTCAGTAGAGCTCTGTGGCTAATGGATGATGATTCAGTTTCACCCGCGGTCCCTCGAGCCCAAGCAAATAAGATGAGAAACAAACATGTATATTCCAGATAATGGAATAATGGGAGATTATCCCCGGGTGGGGGACAGATTGAGGCTGTCGTGTAAAAGATATTGCGAAGCGGTGATGACCTGATGGTGGCGTTCCGGCCTGTGTTAGATATATTGTAGCATCAAAGTCTCCCTTTGGGGAATCAACGAGACTGTAAACCTATTACCTACTCTTCAGCATCCATATACCGAGCAGCAATGCGTCCAGGTGTGGCTACTGATTGGTTCGTGCAAGTAAAACTACTACGCCAATTTGCGGGGTTCTACTAGGAATCATGCCATTCCACGAGTCATGGACTTGGGGGATGTAGACAATGTCAGGCTTGAATTCGAGCTATCCAGCTATCTAACGGAGAGAATCCAGTGGCATCCCGCTTGGACAGGAATCCCACACCTGCTGTCCCACGTTGCCATGATTGTTGTCCGCCCATCCGTAGGGGAAGATGCATCGCCGCACTTCCCAAAGGGATCCCTGTGTCTACAGATATGACTTTTTGATCGAGCCGAGGGCTTTTGAGACAGCCGGCTGCCGCCGAAGCGGATGACTGCCTACAGAGAGACGCGACCAGCCCAGCCCCGAGGCCAAAATGCGGGCCCTTTTCAATCACAACATGCTTTTCCCCCACACCTCCTGAGATTCTCCAACTCGCAGAGAAGGCGGACAATTGCCCTGAGTGCGGGAGCGGATTCTCCTGGGCCGAGTCCCAGACGCTGGCTCCGGGGCATAGTCGCCTCTGCCGTGTGTATACCGGATGCGTCGACGCCAAGGGTGGCCATCAGACGCGATCCGGACCAGGCATGCGGCGCTAACTATCGCGCTTATCCCCTTCAGAAAGAACCCAAGCATGAAGGCGACTGGCGGCCATGCACGACGCATATAGAGATGACCAGACACGGGGCAGACCGTCCCCGTGCCCTCCTCCTCTAGGCGCCCGAGCGGCCGCCCCGAGTTGCCGGAGCAGAATCCCGGCAACCCAGTTGTCTTACAGCTCGATACACGCAAAACCGGTCGGCGTCAGTAATCCGCCCGGCCGAGGCTTACCATATTACTCCTCCCAGAGGAAACCCGCAGCAGGGGTGCGAAAGCCATTTGAAGCAAGTATATCCAGAAAATGGTGCTACCGTGGTTCTCCCTCTTTATACTCTTGCCATCCACGAGCACCGTAAGAACTTGGGGCATGGCGTTCTCCTCGTCACGGATGTTCCCATGTCGCAGGAGGTGGTGTGCCCCGAACAAGTTGCTCATACATCACTTCCCCGTAACTGCCACGTTCGCCGTAAATTCTCTGATGCCTATGCCGTCGTCTTTGGCATTCCCATAGTCTATTTAGATCTTGTGACGTTCAGCCAGGAGTGATGGCCTGATGCATACCACATTCGTCGAAGATTCCTGGACGCATATGCTGTCAAATGTCGCATTACCGTTCCAAATTTGGACAACCTTGGTGGTACTCGGCGAGCCGAATATTAGATGACGACAAAAGGCGTGCCGTCTTCTTCCTCGGGGGGCATTGACTGCTGTACCCTATTCACACAGAGGGGGCCTTTTATTGTCCTGCCCGGGACCGCTGCACAACCAGGAAAGATCGCTCATCTCTGCCGGCGAATTAGCTGTGTTTGACCATAACATGGAGTGACCTGGACGCAACGCACCTTTGTCAAATAGTGTCCCAAGATCCGTGACCCTATTAACGCCAATCCTGTATGCTCCCTTGCTCATGTAGGAAATGCAAAAATGCAATGCTGTCAATACTCCTATGCAAGATTTTGTCGCTGGTATGAGATCGTCATCGTTCAACAGATTGTCCTCGAGCATTTGCCAACCGTGAAAAGCCCTTGAGATCGTATACCTGGGTCAAGTCAGCTCATGGCCAGCTTGTCGGGTGGTGGTCAGTGCCGCGTACCGTACATGACGAACAACGCCATCTATCCGTGGCAGAACGAAAGCCATCTCTAACATGCAACCCAGATTCATGTATCGTATCAAGTCATCATGACATCCGTGCCGCCGTTTTTTTGTTGCCGATTGCAACGCCGCGAGCCTTTTACCACGTCTTGCTCAGGACGACGCCAGGCCTTTTGTCATTATGTCATGCCCAGGACTTCCAACGTCGGGAATCAACCATGTACTCCACGACTCCAAGGGGCCTTTTACCGTCCTGCCCAGGACGCTGCAGTATGTTGAAAGGTGCGCCAGGGGAAACCCGACGGGCTTACCTTCATTGCGAGTCTTTTGCAGTGGCGTCACGGGCCGTAGTTGAACATCACATCATATGTAGTACATGGCGCTCTTGAGGGTGGTTTGAAAGGCACCGAGGGTCACTGAACCACCTCGACACGGGTGACTTGTGGTGGTGTTCCATCTACTTAGACGGAAAACGGACGCGACACAATCGAATGAGATCAGGATGTATACCTCAAACCTATCGGCTCGGGAATGCGGTTAAGGTCACGAAAGACGCGTTCCCAGGCGATGCATTGTAGTAACTTGTCATTTGTCTAGAGCGTGCCACTGAAAGTAGAGATACGCTTAGGCAGCGAAGCTCGGTAGGATGTAGTGTGAAGCAGGTTCCAAAGCGTGTCAGGCTGGTGCAACGACGCCAAACGCCCATGTTAAATGGCGGCTGCCCCATGTGACTTCCCGTTGGTGGAACCCGGGCGCAACTGTTCTTCCGTTCCGATACTGGCATCACTTACCGAAGATTGGTAGAACAATCTTAATAGAACCGATATCGATGCAGCATTTCCATTCCTTCTCCAGTGTCGTCAGCAATTGCTTAATGTATCCTCGAAGTGTTCGATGTGGACCCCGAAACAGCACCCTCCGTGCTTGGCTCGTCTCCTGGCGCCGATTCTACGCGCAGGAATACTTCGTGAGGCTCCTCCTCCCTCCTGAGGGAGGGTACAAGAGCTGGCCTGTTGTGCTCTCAGTTCATCTCTGTAAATCCTAGTCAAATGACAACTGAAGTACGTGCTATCTGCGACATTGAACCTGGTGGTAGGGAACAAGGGAGCATTTGATACTCTCCCGACAGTGCTCCAAGCTTCCCTCCCAGATCAACCACACAGGTATTGCGTTGGAACACTTCCCCAACGAGCCTTTCACCATTAACTCTTTCGGGAACTGAGCATTTTCGGCCAGATCACATGATTTCCTCCAAATGGTTCATCATGAGGTCAAGGGTTGTTCTATGCGTTCACAAGGCGACCCGCAAATGAAGACCTACATGCACGCCTCCAAGGCTCACTTCAACGCGCTGCATACACGACACATTGAAGTTCGGCGACCCATCCCAAAGCCTCACTATAGATGCTGCCGTGGCACGGTTTTTGGTCTTTCACTGTGTACGTCAACTGCGCCGCAGGTACTGGTGCTTGATTGAGGTAAGTCTTGTAACAGGGTGTTCGTACAGGGGAAATTGTAGCCGGCAATTCCAAGGCTTGGTAACACTGCTGCCCTGGTGGCTGCCGAGAGGTCGTTCTCTTGGGAGGCAGGGGTTGAGTTAGAGGGTTGCATTCGGCTTGTAGGTCATACGAGTAGCGCGGTCCGAGCTGCACGCCCCCGTATTCACCGCCGACTCGGGAATTACGAGGAAGCAAGCAACGGCTATCAATAGCACGTACTGGCAAGCAAGGAAGCAAGCTGTAAAGAAGAAATGCAAGCTGTCTTGTACGCCGACCTCTCATTAAGCGTTGGTCCGACGTATACAACCATATTCAATGTCTGGGATACCTTCGTAACAGTGTATTGGCAGCTCCACATTACACACCGAATCATCTCACACAGGAGAGAACTTGGACAAGACCGATGTCATTCGTCATCCGATTTCTAAATGTGTCAAAAACTGTAGAATCATGCCAAAAGTCCTTCCGTGCCTAAGACGGGTGTCCAATCCTATGGCACCTTACCATAGTTCTAGAATCTTTTCTATCGGGGATGCATGGAACACTGCCTACTCTTCAGTGATATGAAGTTTCGTTACCCTTGATGCCTCTTGGAGTCAGTTAGAATGGCACCCGTAGGCACTTCATCATCTCTTGATCCGTTGACGTCGTTGGCATCGCCATTGCTCGTTCCCGGTTTTGAATGAGGGTTTTCGTGCTCGACAGGCTCTAAATTCTGCATTTTGACATTGCCCTGGCTTAGCATACGCTCCTCACTTTCGTTGAAGGTAAAATCAGTGATGGGGTTTGCGGTGCGAGGGCCACGACCACGCCAGCTTTGGCCACTGCCACCACCTCCAAACGTCCTGAAGTCAGTTCGGGGTTTCTTGTCATCCGAGAGGTGGGCGCTCGAGCTACGCATGGACCGGGCGAGACTGCCTAAGAATGGCATGAGGAGGGTCCTGAAGAACGGGAAGACTATGGGGAGGTTCGTTGTGATGACGGCAACGAACGTCTCTCGGACCGCCCACGACCCAGCCACCTGGGCACCGTCAACAGGATCCTTATGAGCGGGAACGTCGTCAGTAGAGCAATCCCAAGTCTGATGTTTGTTGGGCGGAACGGAACCATAACTTACCATGACAATTAGCACCGCACGTAAAAAGGCGCACGCTATAACAAAAATTCCTCCGCTGAAGAGTATAATCAAGCCAACTTTCTTCGCAGGTTTCAGCGTGGACTGCCAGAGCATGGGTACCGGAATCGAGAGAAGATACAGGTCTGAGATGACGTTCATGCTGCAATAAATCCATACAATCGTGGTCGAGATAGCAGGTTGGCAAACATCTAGAAGGCCATCGTCAGTCAGACACATGTTCATCTGCCTGGATGGGTCGCAACAAAGATCAAGAACCCACTGCCTGGATCTGGATTGATCTGCCAGTAATTTGAGAACGGACGACAACTCAGGAAGAGCGTCATAGTAGCGGCTATATACGTAGCGATAACGATGCCGAAACCAATGTATACGCGAATGAGATATGTCCGATCTAGACCAGCCTTGAATGGATCGTTAGCCACTGATCGATAGCAATTGCACACCTTGGAAGGTAGAAAGGATGCTCTTACCGTCAGTCGTATATAGAAGACCAACAAGCATGTTTTCATGGTCCAGAGAAGAGCGGAATAAGTAGACCACCCAGCGAGCTGGATCTTGGAGCCGATGACTCTGATAAAGACAAACGCAGGATTAGCTCCAATTTTCGGACTGCAGATACACTTGCATACCTAAGTTGGTACTCGGGACTGCCCGGATCCAACGCCAATCGTTGCTCATCCGTCATTCCGTTATTCGCTAGACCTTTCGCTTTGGCGCCGACCGAATAAGCGAGGCTTGTCTCTGCTGCATAGAATATCTGCAATTGCCCTCTGTATTAAGCCACCACTCGATTCACGCCTAGCAACTCGGACTGAACTGACCATTCCTAGCCAGACGAGGTAGTCGTCAGCCTGGAGGCGCCTAAACCCAACCAACCTGATCCGAGCGTATGTCCTAACCATCACGAAGGCCACTCCGATCGAGAAGAGAGTGAAATCCTCAGTCACGAACTGCTGCAGAGCCGCGGCTGCGCCAGCCTCAGCCGCCCGGGTTGCGTGAGGGTCATTCGACGACATGATCGTTGGTCAGGTCTTGACAAAAGAAGCGAGTACAGTGAACGATTTCACGCCCATCCGAGGGCAAGGTAAGAGCACATCGCAATATCGTGAGCGAGCCAGGAGGCTCTCGCAGATTCGGAGTTACTAAGTAGAAAACATATAGGTGGGACGGTAGCCAAAAACATCAATGTGATACAGCAAGCTAGATATGAAGAGTGCAGACAAACAAGTTGGCAGGTTGATGGGAATCGTACAGTTGGTCCCGTACGAGCCGAGAGAGAGATTCTCAAACGTGCCCAACATGGGGGACTGCAAAATGGCCCGGCCGGCTGTCGTGTTGCACGGCGAACATATGTGCCAATGTGCATTCAATGTGCATCTCTCCCGCATCGGGTTAGCCGTCGTAACCTGGCTCCTCTTTTTCCAGAGTCAACGTCGCAACGGTTCTGCGTAGGCCTCTGACAGATCACTTTTCATGTTTTAACTTTGCATGGAGTCCAAGTTGTAATCATCACTTTCGGCGAGAGAAATGGGCGTCGCTGCTTATCTGTTGGACGGGACATATGATCCCTCAAGGTGTCCAGGGGCCAGCTTGACTGTCTTACCTGCATGCCCAGATATTTCACACAAGGGTATAGACGGGCTTATAGGGAACGATTCGCGGCTGACCATGGATATTCTGATGACCTGAGTCAGCCGCCTGCCAGGTTCTGGGGAATCGCGCGGGTGGGGCGGATAGTTGCACGGGAGCATGGATTCGACAGCCGGGCCCCGGGGAAGCTGAGGAACTCCCCGTGGATGGTGCACCTGCTATTGACTGATTGATGCCTTTGTGGTACTGGCACGACAGGCACGGCACAGCTCGCCGCAGAATGCTACCGTGTGCAAGCAGGCCGGCTGCTGGACAGTGAGTGACTTTCCGGACCTGCTGGGGCAGCCGGTCCAGCCCAATCGGGGGAGGGGTTGTACTCGCGTAGGCATGTGTGATGCATGGAATCAAGCAGTGATGCGGCGCAGCACATGAAGGGTCCAAATGTTGCGATTACAGCTCTAGCCCGGCCTCACCTCGAGATTTAACCAGGCACTGGTCCTCGCCAATTCCAGCCCAGCCGGTGGTAAGATTTCATAAATTTTCTGAAGGCAAGGTACCCGCTTCCAATCGCCAGTCTATACCAGGGGCCGTTGGATCCAATTATTCAATTGTTCCATTCAGCGAAGAGTGCGGCAAACGGAGCATCTAACACTTCACACCACCATCCCCGTCCACCGCCCTTTGATACTACACGGGCAAATCCGTCCATCTGTGCGACCATCCATCTCGGTCGCGAAAATACCTTCGTGGCAGCATGGAGGAAATCGACTGCGTGGTCGTCGGTGCCGGTAAGTGGCACATCATCCTTCTCCTTCTTATTGCCAAGGGTCGATCGATGCGATCAACACCAATTGTGATATGTAGCTCACTCTGGCTTGGCAGGATGGTACGGCTTGGGCGCTGCACAGCAGTTCCACAACACCCAGCCTGAATGCTCATTGGCCGTCTTCGACAGCCAGTCTTCCCTCGGCGGTACGTGGGCAGACGATCGTCTCTATCCCGACTTGAAAAGCAATAACCTCTTGGGCACCTTCCAGTATCCGGGCTTTCCCATGAGCCCTGGCAAGTTCAATGTCAAGCTTGGCGAACACATCCCAGGAGAGGCCGTCAACGCCTACCTCAAGGCCTACGCCACGCACCATGGCATTGCTGACCTGATCCGCCTGGACACCAAGGTTCTGTGCGCAGAGCACCAAGATACAGCCGACGGAGGGTGGATCTTGACAATTGCGACGTCGACCCAAGACGAAAAGGAGAAGAAGGTCTTCGCACGACGGCTGATTCTCGCCACTGGACTGACTTCCGAGGCCTTCCTCCCGCATTTTGATGGCCAGGAGGAGTTCGGCGGCAGAGTGTTCCACAGCAAACATTTCAAGCAGAATAGCGACACTCTGAAGACTTCCAAGGCTGTGACCGTGTTTGGAGCCACCAAGTTCGCTTGGGATGCTGTCTATTCATACGCCCTTGCCGGCGTCAAGGTGAACTGGGTAATCCGATGTACGACACTCCTCCCAGAGCCGTAGTATATACTAATCCGTTGATCAGCTAGTGGCCATGGACCTTGCTGGATTTCTCCGCCGCATGTAACACCTCTGAAGAAGTGGATCGAGAAACTGGCGAGTGAGTATTGGTAACTTCCTTACGAGTTCAGTTGGCTGACACCAGGCGTTTGCAGATACGCGCTTTCTAACCTGGTTCAGCCCCTGTATATGGGGTGCAGCCGATGGGTATACCAGTGTTAGGGATTTCCTTCACGGCACTTTTGTTGGACGCTTCATTGTGGACACATTCTGGAAAATCCTGGGCGGCGATGTCATGACTTTGAACAACTATGACGCGCACCCGGATACTGCCAAGCTGAAGCCTTGGACCGAAGCCATGTTCACAGGTGCCAGCTTCAGCTTGCTCAACTTCGACCATGACATCTTTGAACTAGTGAAAAGCGACAAGATCGATGTCCACGTTGGCGAGATCGATCACCTGAGTCCTGGTAGGGTCCATCTTGCGGATGGGACCGTGTTCGAGTCCGACGTGCTTCTCGCCAATACTGGCTGGAAACATGTGCCGCCTATGAAGTTTCTGCCCGAGGGCATTGAGAAAGAGCTGGGGATCCCTCACAAATTGGTGGACAATGCGCCTCTCGAAGATCTTGCAAATCAACGCAAGCTAATCGCACGGGCCGACAAGGAGATCTTACAACGCTTTCCGCGACTTGAGCGCCAGCCGGTGTGGAACAAGCATTATGTACCACTGACCGAACAGAAGGGCATCAACAGCAAGGACGACATCACACCGTGTGCACCCTTGACGCCTTACATGCTCTACCACTTTCTTGTGCCGCCAAGTCCACGCTTCCTACGGAACCGTGATACCGCCTTTACTGGAATCATCTCGAACTTCAGCAACCCTATCACGGCTCACCTGAGTGGGCTCTGGATCAGTGCCTACTTCGCCGGCAAGTTAACAGTGGATCCGTCCGTCACCTTGCATGATGAAGCTTCTCTAGAGAAGTTACAATATGAGACTGTATTGTACAATCGCTGGGGCAAGTGGCGATATCCGACGGACTGGGGCAACAAGAACCCCAATTTCATATTCGATGCTGTTCCGTATCTGGACTTGCTGCAGCGTGATCTTGGACTGAGCCCCTTCCGAAAACCGGGTCGCTTGGCTGAGATGACGGATCCGTACGGCCCCGAAGATTACCAGAGCATCACGGACGAATGGCTATTGAAGCAGAAGGAGGTAAAGTGATGCTGGTTGAACTCGGCATCGCCCGGTAGTCAAATGCGAATCCGGGCTGGCAGAAGCAGTTCGTATGAGCAAGCTGCGTGGGAAGAGCACCGTTGAATTGAGTTGCGCTGTGTTACGTGCCGATTGAAATGACTGACAACCGTCGTGCTGCTCCTGTCTGCAGTGCAAGAAACGTGAGGAATGCCTCCAGTGACTGAGAGTGCGCTGAAAAGGGCTGCATTCTACGAGACTATAGCGAGAGTCAATCAACATACTGTAAAGCCGACTTATGTATGCTCCCGTTATGCAATCATGTTGCTTGGTCAAACCTAGTCAAAAGTTGTACGGGCACCAAGCCGATCACATAAAATAGCCAACCGAAGGGCCCGGAACTTAGTCTCTGCCGGCGAAATGGGATTCAAGGTAGCAGCATGCTTCGGCTCTGTTTTGTAATCACAGCACCGCGACAAAAGCGCTTTTCACAGGCTGATCAGCGTGTCCGTGCGTCACATGAAGATTCACGATCCACGAGATGATTATAGTGCCTTAATTGCCGATTCTGAACCCACACGCTTACTGTCTCTCCGAAAGTGGTGACCATGTTCAGTAGGTGTATAAGAAGTAAACTTCGCGCATGTTATGTATAGTTCCCGCCTGTAGCACGCTTTATTTCATCTAGCATAGCCTGACCTGCCTGTGCACCCCTTGGTGTGCCGCGGGGAAACTTGTATTTTCCCTCCAACCCCTCAGGCGGGTCGATCAGCCTTCCCGCTGGTGAGCCATCGTATAATGGAATCTGTCCCGAGTATTCGCGGATTGGGCACAGGCCTTCACCCATGCCTTGTGATTCCATGTTGTCATAGAGCGCCCCAAGCGAGTTCGCTGTAGCTCGCATCCAGCCGGTGTACGGTCCGCCGCCGTTATACGGGACAGAATCCGGGTCCGTGGCATCGACAACGATAACAAACGGCTCAGCTTCAGAAGCCGACTGTAGCGACTCCAACGCTAACTCATCCACAACTATGCAGCAGTCACGCCGCACATCGGACGGCCATTCATCACCGTCGTCGCCGGTGCCCGCCTCCCGCCTGTCACGCACGTACGCATGCACCCAGGCGTTGAAGGCTGCGCGCACGGCGTTAAAGCTCGCCCCTTTCAGCATGGACCGACTGGCCATCACGGGTAATGCAAAGGTGGCCGGGTCCATCTCAGCGTTGTGTTCGCGGGGGAGCGCGAGCGTTCGCAACCTGTTGATGGCTGCGGACCAAGCTGTCACATCCGCTATGTCATCGGCCTTGTAAGCCGTGCGCACTACGACGAAGCCCCATTCGTGGCTCAGCTTGTCCATGACCGCGGGGAATGCGGTTTGCTCGTCTTCATTGCGCTGGTCCGTACTTGAGACAGTTTCAGTATGGGTCTGCTGAAGTTGCTGCGCGCTTGCTCTCAGGTAGTGAGGAGGTTGATCACACACTGGGTACGAGAAAGGCATACTGACAGAAGCGGACGTTCCCGCGTAAGGTGTATAATTGGTTTGAGTGCCTTCTTAGTTACTATTGGAGAGCTGACAAGGTACGACACATCTGAAAGTTAGCGTTATAGGATGCGGAGGTGGGTGGGGCTGCCTTTAGGCAGGATTCATGACCTGGGACCAAAATGTCCACTAACTTGATGCGTACTTAGGTAAACAATCCCAAGAGACTGCTTATTGTTTAGTGCCTGGCTATTGAGTGTATAAGTACCTGCCTACGTGAATAGTCAGAGACTGCGCTACTAGGTAGAGACCACTCAAACAAGCCAGAACCTACCGGGTATCAATCTTTGCAATAATTTGGTTAGATGCCTCGACGTATAGGCGGTAGCTGTATGCTCTGTGTGTATCATGTTGTCCAGATATTGGTTCTCTCAAGACCTGTTGAAGGTACTGCATGATCATGTATTTTACAGATATCGTCCATGGTCTAGTTACTATCTGCACAAGAAACGTGGAGAGCTATCCGAGATTGCCACAACTTCACATGTTGCCATGTATACCCACTTCGTGCTTTGGGGCAATGTTACCATGTTATGCATGTCCCATGCAACATATTTCAATCGATGCTATCTTATGACGAAGAAGGGTATATCCGGTCTGTATAACCGGGGTTGATCCCGTCTAGAATTTGCCGGTGCGGAGAGCTTCCCGGCACATACCGAAGAGCTACTATATAGGCACGGTATTTCTCTTCTTTTCTACAGTCTCAAATGAGCTTGTGCCTAGTACCCAAGAGCGACGCAATACAATCCCAGCTTACTCGCTACAGCACAGTCATTTTTGAATCATGTGTGGCCTTTATGCCTGTCTGATTGCACTCGCCGTAGTCTTTCCTGCAGTCCTAGCGGAATGCAACCGCACGCACCTATTCGAATGGGCTCACAACTTCGTCGATGCCCAGGCACTCGGATTCGCTGGCTATCTCGGCGGCGCCTCTGATGACTTCGTGTACCAAGAGAACAACAAAACAATGGATCTCACGGCTGGTGTCATGAGGAAAATGCTGAAGATAGACCATAACCGGACAATAGCCGACAGTGTCACCTGCTCGTCTTACACGGAAATCATCTCGGCTGATGCCGCACAGCCATATGTCATCGGGGCTCAGATCCATCACAACCCCAGCGACATGAAAGCGTACTTGGTCGACTCGATTGTTTCCACGACAGGGTCCTGGCTCTTCAACGCGACGCAGACCCTCCACTACGCGCTCCAGGAGAACTGGGGAGTTTTACCCGAGAACAAGCGCGACACTCGAACCACGCTGAAGAACGCCGCGGATGCCTATCTCAATATTTGGTCGAACAAGAGCGCGATCGATGCCGTCCCGTGGGGAACACCTTGTGCCCGCCTAGAAGGCGGGGCGTATACCGGCAAGGGAGAACCGAACGACAGCTGCAAGGTGGGCATTCCAACCAACAATAATCAGGCTCCCAATTCGCACCGGAGATATGTCATTGATGAGACGGTGGGCTCTGCCAGTGTTTTGTGTATATTTGAGCATCTTCAGATGGCACCAGATAGCCACGAGTTTCGGTTGGAAGGGGGGAAGCTGCGATATGTGCATACGATTACTGTCCCTCAGAAGTAAAAGCATTAGACACATCGCGGTTCGTAGCTTGATCACATATTTTTTTCTGGGGGCCGCAGTCAGGTTAGGAGCGAAATCAATAAATATCTCGATTTGAAGTTCCTCAGTCGAAATGCATCAACACAAACGAATCTTTCTCACCGCATGTGCTGAATGTTCCTGGTGGAGCGCAGGGACCGGCTATTACACTGCTACGAATCTTCTGAGAAGCGGTCTACGATGATGGAGTTGTGGCTAGTCTGGGAGGCGGGGCTCAAGCGGAGAGGATACTCACGAGCAAGTCTACCTTATGTGGCGGTGGACTCAAAATCATAGAGCCTAAGTGCTGCAGGGGTATATCGTGGCTTTCCGGAAGTGAAAGGGCAAGTGAAGTTACACCAATAGGGTTGGCCCACGTCCTGTGGTAACCCCACTAACTGGGCACCAATGCTGATGGCGCACACCGTTCTGTGAACAGCTCATAGCCAAATCAACCCACTCATGGGACTTGAGATTTTAAGAAGCAGAAGAAATTTGCGTCGCAGAAGTGAATAAGTATTTGCAATGATGTGGTGTGACTGTGATCAGGCGTTTGGGCAAACCCCCAAAGTCATGACACTTCAGACTTTAGGCGCTTTTGCATCTCTCAGGTTATATTACCATTTTCTCACGTAGGAATTCTCAGTTAACCATCACCACCTTACTCATTAGTTATCCCTAGCATCATGGACGACCATAGACTACCACATCGTTCAACTAGGAGGGCGCTCAAGATCCTGGTCTTTGCCAGCCCGGTGGCAGTACTTGCCTCACCCCCCATAATACAAGCAACAATGTCGCAACTTCAAGTGTCGACACTCACGAGGCGCGAAATGTCAGCTGGGTCATCTTGCTCAGATGAAGGACAGTGGAACTGCATGGGGACCTCGTGGCAGCGCTGCGCTTCAGGGCAATGGAGTGTGGTGATGCAATGTGCAGCTGGGACGCACTGCACTCCAAGCGGCCTATCGCATGGCTTTGCGGTTGAAGATAATAGCAACGGCGGAGCGGCGACATCTGGTGCCACAACGGCGGTTGCTTCTAGGACAGGAATCTCTAGGATGGGCCATACCGGAGCAACGCCCACTATGGCAATCGCATTCATGGAAGGAAACTTGTTTGTTCTGGCGCTAGTGGCAATGCTTGTTGGCGTTTTTCTGGTGTGAAAGACAGTCGTTTCTCTGCCGAATTAAGCGATGGGGTTGCGCGCCATTTTCCTTTTCCTCCGAACGGCGTCATTTGAGATTTGTACTGGAGTCTGGTTGGGTTGACACTGGGGCGAACCCTACTCCAGAGTTGGGTCAGAATTTTAAGGCTATCGCGGAATCATTCTCTACATTTGGCTCCATTCCTGGAGTCAATGCTTGATTCTATATAGTTTCATGTAAGGTCGGTGATATCGGACGTTCTCCGTATCACGTCGCCGTTGTTGAGCAAATGAAATGGTCTCTGAAGATACTCTGTGGCCTAGGGAGCCATTGTGAAGATAGCAGATTCTTGCAAGAGTGGTCATAATGCTGGCATTGGTGAGTTTTGGGGCGGGAGAGTAGCCCAACGATCATCTCGCCATAACCGTTCTAATAGCAAATATACTAAACAATCAACAGGAAGGCTATCAAGTGTTTAAATAAGCTTGAGGTACTTTATATCTGGACAAGCACCGCTGCTCGAGGCAGCTTGGGTGTTGGAGCGCCGAAAGATAGCAGACTTGAAGGAGTGTTTCACTTACCAGAATAGTATTCTGAGAGAGGTACGAGCTCTGGATAGTCAGTGGTTGGTGACAAGTTGAAAATCAGGCAGAGGCTTCTACATACTTTGACATTTTCTTGACTTGGATTGCTTCTTGCGCCGGGTCAAAGTTTTCTGAGATAAGCTGCATTATTAACCAAATGCAGGCTGATCAAACCACATTCTCTGATAATAGCGGCCAAATAGCACCTTCGATTTCGAAGCAAGGTAGTTCCAAGTTGAGTGACTCATATACGGAAGTCCTGGCACATTGAACACCATACCAGCGAATGCTAATAGCCGACACATCTACTGTTTTGAAGCCATTTGAGGACGTCGATGTGGCACAAACGAATCCTCATAATGTTCTGCATACTCTCAGGACCTCAAAGTAACAGAAGACAACAGGCTTGGAGGGGACTTTCCGGTACAGCCATAGCCCAATGCACCTGTGGGCTGCGGATCATAGTCGAAGTTGCATCTAAACCCATCCACAAAGCCTTTGATCTATCACGACTCGCGGAACCCGGACTATTGGTGGTAACACTAGTTATCTCACGTCAGGACCCCTGGCAAAGGAAGTCTCATGCAAACAGCTTTTTTTGGTGCCTAGCGTTGCATTTGCCTGTTAACTACGGCAAAATCAGGGAGGTTTTGCATAATTGCAACATATCCTGTTTATCACTGCTAAGTAGTGTGTCCGCCTTGGGCTAAGCCCATGTCGATCAGAACCTTGAATTAACAGCATCAGCAGGGTCTATAAGGCCTAGAATCGTGGTCAAATGCAACTACTTTAGGTCCATTCTTCCGATCGAACAAGGCTGATTCTGACAGGAGGAGTCATGCTACGCAATGGCGGCTCGGCAACGTGTTCCAGCGTAGAATAGATATAGCTCCTGGTTGGTCCCAGATAAGGGTTTAAAAGAAGAATGATCTCTCAGTATGCAGTCCTACAAGGATTAAACTCAACCCACGTGAAAGGCTCTAGCGAGTCTTAACGCCCATTCTAAGATGTTACTGGCCGTCTGCCAACCACTCGCGGTTGTATCTGTCTTACCGGGTTGCAGAGCTAGCAGTCGACCTAGAACATTATCCACTGCGTCGTCATGCAATCCTTCCTTGCATAGTGCCATGCAGAGCATTTGTTGTGTGGTTGTCAATGTGAAAAGATCAGACCTAAAACTTTAAGCTGAATGAAAGATTAACGTTTTCGACATGTCACCTATCCAGTCGTGTTTGAATCCAGCCAGGCACATTTAGACACATATGATTAGTTAGTACTATAGCGCAATCAAGGGCAGGCCAACAGCCAAGCACTGAGCTTAGGAGCCAGCTCCGACAGAAAAGGCGGGGTGGGTTTGCCAGTATATTAACTGCCCTTGAGTGACCTGAACTCCCTCTGGGCCCTCTCGGGTGGCTTTAGAGGTTTGGCATTGCCGGCACTGCCGAGGACCAGTGTTTTGTGAATTCGGTAAAAAGGGATCTGATCGTCCCGCTACTCAGTCCGGCACAGGAGCTCCGATGCGACGGCGTAAAGCCCTGCAGCTGATAGCGTGGGGACTTGCTGAAATCAGACCATGTGGCGGCCTCGCATCCCTGTCTGATCTGAGGAGGGTGATGATCTAAGTCTCATGGAGTACCAACTCGCATGCCGTTGAACACCGTCGAAAGACCAATGGGACGCTAACTCGGGCCACGACCCGACAGCGCGCTGCATTGTCTGTCAGATTTAGATCCGACCGCTTCGCTGCAAGGAGTCTATTGAGCAGGTTGGACGCTAATACCCGTTGATCCACCGTAGCTAGCGCTTAGTCTAAATGGTAGCTTCCCTCTAATCTAATCTCCCCGAACGGCAACAAAGTCCCATGACCAATGAGAAGTTGCATTACATACAGCTGCTTGTGCAGCTATCAGTCATGACAGTCTCTCAGGAATAGCGAGTGACGTTAACTGCATGATCTACTGAGCCCGTTTCATTGTAAGACTTTAGTCACGGGTGATCTCCTCTGAACAGAGACTAGTCTAGCATCTAGGCACAATGGATTCTGAGCTGAAAATGCAACTATGAAGATTATTGGCTTTTGGACCCCATTCTTGCCATATCACGGTGGCCTCGAAGCTAGTGTAGAGAGATTGGTTCCATGTAACATGCAGCCTTGGCTGTGCATGATTTAGGACACTTGCGGAAAATCCACAAAGAAACAACGACTTCCGTGCCTTCAAGGATAAGTGCCCTCGGACATATGTAGATCTTATCATGTAAAATATAGGTCATTTACGACACAACGTGAAGTGTATTGTGCCCATGGACTTACACTTGGACCAGCTTTCAATGTGGACCAAAGAGTACTAGTGGCGATATTCCTACATCACGAAGATCTATGATATCAAGGCACTATGAAGCGCCAACATCACATTGCCTCTGGCTGTGGCAAGGTCGCTCGCCAAGCGGTGAGTTGTAGGAGGGTCATTCTCACTTTGACTTAAACCTGCTTGATCGCCATGGACGTCACATATCTTCAATAGTATGACTACCAGCTATCCTCTCGGTATGTTGCTGCTGGGGTCCTTTCCTAACTCTACCGAGTAGAACTCTGAAAATATCTCACCAGCGATCCATATAGATGTCACCGCTGCTCATTAGAAGGAAGTCATGGAAGAATCTGTGAATCATCGCCTGATTAAGCGAGGCTCGGAGGACTATTGGGCCATGCTCCACATCTTTATCGACGACGTCAAGGTAATATGGCTATCCTCTGCAGTGAGTACCATCTGACAGTTGCTAGGGAGCTGGACACAAGATCCAATGCATATACCTTCAATATTTGGTTCAGATTGCCTACTTTGTTGCCTCTAGCGATCTTGCAAGAGATTTGCTATCAAGCATCTGTTTGCAGAACGTGTTAAGGCTTTGGGAGACCAAGCTCTGGTTGCCACAAAGCACAGCCGAAGACTGGCGGCAAATCACGTTGCTTCAATCGCTGTTTCTGCTAGTACAAGACCAGATGGACATGATGGACCCTATATATACACGCTACGATCGCCCGCATCATTTTACCCCCTACGAGAATATTCGTTTGGTTGCCAACGCCATCGGTTTCGTTTCCAACGAAGTCCCAGTGTTGAAAGTCCCCGAATACTCCAAATTATGTCGGTTCAAAGCCTTCACAAGTCATACCCTGTCTCAGATGGAAATACAAGCGCGCCATTCCCGTCTGCTCGGTTTCCTTTCAGTCAATATCAGACTCGATCTG